AGTCAGTCAGTCAGTCAGTCAGTCAGTCAGTCAGTCAGTCAGTCAGTCAGTCAGTCAGTCAGTCAGTCAGTCAGTCAGTCAGTCAGTCAGTCAGTATCTTAATCCATCCATCCATCCATCCATCCACCAATGAAGCAATCGATCAATCAGACTTAATATTCTCAACGACAAGCATGGCGAACGGACAGACAGAGTGTCAAGATGGCCGTGTGCGTGTGCATGTGCATGTATGGTATGTAATCAGTCCCTCCCTCCAAGCTCGAGCAAGCGGACAAACAAAGCAACAAAGCCCCCCTAGGGCCTGAACCCAGCACGAGCGAGGAGCGGGAGTGGGAGTGGGAGTGGGGCCAAGCTCCAAGCTTACGCAAGCGCCCACGCACCCACCTTTACTTAAGCAGCCTAAGCGACCTAGGCAACCTAAGCAGCCTAAGCAAGCAGGTAATGCAGGTAAGCATGGCAAGCATGGCATAGCAAGCAAGCAAGCCCGCCCCGCTCCTCCTCTCTCTCTCTTTTGCTTGTCTGTCGCTTGTCTGTCGCTGCTGTCTCCTCTCGCTGTCTCCACACTGCACTGCGCCCTCCCTCCCTCTCCCTCTCTCCTCCCCCGTCATCCCTGTCAAGCCACCACCAACTTTGCTGCTGCTGCTGCGGCGGTGTTGGTGGTGGTCTGGGGATAGGGATGGGGATGGTGTCGTGGTGTGGTATGGTATGGTATGTGTGGTGTATATATGCGCGATAGGTGCAGTGCAGTGCCGTCGCGTCGAGTCGTTGCAGGTGGATAGAGTAGATAGATGGTTAGATAGCTGGTGTAGAGAGAGCGAGGGAGGGATTGCGCGGCGGGTCACGGGGTGGTGGAGGGAAGACAGAAAGTAGGGCGGTAGGTGGGTGGTGGGCGGTAATAATAGGCGGTAATAGATAGGGCGGTACCCCCAAGGCGGGCGGGGACTGCTGGGCTGTGGGGACGTGCCTTTTGGGGAGGGATGCTGGCTGGATGCTGGGGGACGCTTTACGCTGCGAGTGGGGAGGAGATGGGTTCGTTCGGCTAGGGAGTCAGGCAGGGCGTACTTGGGGATTGTTGTGTTGTGTTGGCGTAGGCGTTGGACTAGCAGAGTGCAGGATCAGTAGAGTGCAGGCTGTGTATGTATGTGTATACTATATAGTGCTGTGAGGTGTAGTGTGTATAGTGTGTATAGTGTAGTGTGTACTTGGATTGGGCGTGTTGTTAGCGAGAGACAGGCGGCCCGGCAGTGCACAGTGGGCGGTGACAGTGGGCGGCGGCAGCGAGGAGTGGGTGGCCGTGCGCGCTCAACTTCCGCCCCGCCCGCCCCAGCTGCTACTGCTACTGCTGCTGCTGTTTTCGAGTTCTGCGCCCCCCTCCCCCAAAAAACCCTTTCCCTCTTTCTCTCCTCCCAAGCCCGCTGAGCCGCTTTTCCGTTCGGTTGGCTCGCTCTCTCTCTCTCTCTCTCTCTCTCTCTCTTCTTCCCTTCCTCCATCCCATCCATCCCATCCATCCCTCTCTCTCCGCACTTCCCTCCTCCCTCTCTCCTCTCTCACACGCATACACACACTCTCTCTCTCTCTCACGTTCACTCTCTATTTACTCCATTCTTCACTCCATCATCTCCGTCTGCATGCCTCCGCCTCGCGCTTAGAGACTGACCTCTAATGGACCTGTCCTCTCTCATGGACGCCACCTCCTCCTCCTCACACTCCGATCCCGATCCCAACTTTCGCATCTCTATGCTGCCTACCAACTCTGGCGCGCCGCCGCCGCCTACTCCTCCTCCTGCCTCTACCGCTGCTGTCCCTCAGCATCCTCCTCCTCAACCGGCTGCCGACCTCCTCAAACGCAAACGCAGTGCTGACGACCATCCTGCCCATCCCGCCCAGCCTCCGCCAAAGTCGGCCAAGACGAACAACCACCTGCAGATCAACTATCTGGCCCGCCAGTTTGCTCAGGACCTGCCGCTCGCATCCACCGAAGACACTCTGCCCTCCATCCTCACTCTGCTCGGCGACTATCAGGGCGTGCTGGACCGCCATGAGAGCATGGCCTGCAACCTGGGTGCCCGCCCGCTCGGGCCCATCCTGATCTCTCGCTTCGAGCGCCTGTTTGACGGGCCGCCAAAGGTGCTGAAGAGCCATGGCAAGGACGGCGCGAGCGTCTCCTGGCTGGACGTTGTCGAGTTTGCACGCAACAAGCCGGAGCAGTTCCAGCTGGGCCAGATGAGCGAGGGCGCGCGCGTCTGCCAGTTCTACACAAAGCAGTGTCGCGTGCAGATTTCAGAGGAGGACTTTGTGCTCATCTCGAGCGGCATTCCGCAGAAGATGATTCCGCCCCAGCCCATTATCGAGGACGAGGAGAAGGAGCTGGGCACAATCGAGATTCTGGAGAAGAATCTCGGCCAGATCTGTCACCTGGCCGACCAAGGTACGTTGCGGCGTCTGGTTGATGCGTCTGTTGGGCAGTGTGAAAGAGAGAGAGAGCTAACACTATGTGCCAGTCGCTGCGAGAACAAGACAGCTCAAGCACCGGCTCAAGCTTCGTCAACAAGCCATTCTCGATCGACGGGCTACGGATAATCCTCCTGCTGTACGCGCCTCAAGTTCGTCCACTATGGCCCTAATAAATGGATCAGGCCCTCCTCCGATGACACACTCGCCAAACGCTGGTTTCGTGCCGGTGAATGCGCGCACCCAGCATGGTGAGCAGAATGGAGGTCCCGCCGGTGCCGGCGACTCGCAGCAGCAGCAGCAGCAGCAGCATGCTCCTCCTGCCAGTCACTCGCATCCTCACTCCAGCTCCACCACTACTAAGAATGGTGCCTCGTCTGCCACGCGCAGCGAGCTCATGAGCAAGTTCTTCACCCTGAATGATCGCCGTCAGCAATCCTCCTCCTCCTCCAACGGCGACTCCTCCCGGCGAGCTTCGATTGTGCAATCTCACTCCTCGAGCACGGCCAAGAAATCAGCAAATCCCGCCGCCTTTCCGCCGCACGAGCCATCCGACTATTCTTCTCACCACCACCAACACCAACAACAGCACCACCACCACCACCACCAACACTCGACAACCTCGCCCGTGCCAATACCAAACACACCCTCCTCGCTCCTCCCACACCACACCGCTCCTTCATCGCGCGCACTCCCCCCGGCTGCTGAAAAGGACGATGGCGGCCCCTACAAGACCGAGATGGTGCTCCGCATGGAATCGCTCAGCAAAGGCGAACGCATCCTGCCGCCCTGTGATCGCTGCCGCCGCCTGCACATGGACTGCCTCAAGAACCTCACGGCCTGTGCTGGCTGCACGAAGAAGCATGCCAAGTGCAGCTGGCGAGAAGTGCGCGAGGGCGAGATCCGCTCCGGCTTTGCAGAAATGGCCCGGCTTGCGAGTCTCGGTCAGAGCGGCGGCGGCGGCGGCGCACAGACGACAACGACGACCACGACAACAGCCGCGGCAGCATCATCAGGAGGCATCGACTACGGCGACATGAGCGACGAGCCCGCCAGCGTCGGCCAGCGCACGCCTCCCCCGAGACCATATGCGCAGCCACCACAGAGTGCAAGTCTTGCCCATGCGCAGCCGCAGAGCTCTAGTCTTGCACATACTCAAAGCGCCGCCGCCGCGAGTGTACCTCCACATGGAGAGTACAAGGCGTCACCCGCGCAAGGCCGCAGTCCAACCCACAGATCAGTAGTAGGACACGACGACAGTCAAAACCGGGAGAAGAGCGTGGAATCACAGCTCCAGGAAGCGGCGCGGCTTGCGGGTGTTGAGGCAGAAGCACAGGCGTACGCGCATCGGGACTATGATGAGGGGCACAGCCAACAGCAGCAGCAGCAACCACAACATCGACATCAGCGAGACAATTCGGAGCAACAATACCAGCATCAGCATCAGCAGCACCAACATCAACACCAGCACCAGCGCAGCGAGCATCCGGGATATCAGCCTAGCCAGCCGCCACACATTGGCAGCGGGATCGAGGCACAGTGACGAGACATGAAGGGGACATTTTAAAGGAACCGGAAGCGGGTCTCAAACATGTACAGTTGCCGTTTCGACCTCTTTTGGACACACACACACAAAACACTCTTTTTTGCCTTTTGACTGTTTCTACGATCGGCGGTGGTCTGCGAGTCTTTGAATTATGACTGTTTACTTTAGCACGGCGTTGAGCGGGCATGGCGGCGGCGGCATGAAGCATGGAGCATGGGTGGGTGCATTGTGTGCGTGTGCGTGTGTGTGTGTGTGTGTGTTTTGAGATGTGTATATACGTCCACTGTTCTTGAATCCATGGGCATGCAGTGCATACTAGCTGGCAGGACGGACTCAGGGATGAGGCTTCATGCTACATACATATCCTCTCCTCGGCGAAATCGATTTACTCGTCATTATGTTCCATCTTCTTTTCTCTTTTCTCTCTCGTCGAAGTCCTCCAATCTCTGCTTGGGGTGATGTGATGTCTTCCAATGGATGCGGGGACGGTCCTTCTTATGCACTGTGCTGCATGTACACTCGAAAGGCAAAGGCCTGTCAGGGGAGTGAAGGCAGGGCGGCACGATATCCTAGCATTCTAGAATGAAGAAAGGGATGAGAAAGAAGAAGAAGAAGAGGAGGAGGAGGAGGAGCATCAACAACCCCCTATTCATTCCATGCCCCTATACTACTAATCACTCCATACCCCCTACTACTCCATGCCCAAATACCGCCACCCCAACGCCCGCTCCCCCGGTCGGAGCCCCCGGACACAAACAACCTGCTCATCGCCCGGCACCACATCAATCGCGCTGTCATCCACCAGCACGCCCTCTCTCTCCTCAAACACCAGTCCTTTCGTCGGTTTCTTTGCCGAGATCCGGAGCTTTGTCGTCGTCGTCGGCGTCGTCGTCGTGTTGTTGCTGTCGCTACCACTACCACTGCCATTACCACCCTCCTCCGACACACCCTCCGGAACAACCTCCTCCGACACAACCCGCACGCCCCGGTCCGCAAAATCAAGATACTTGAGCGGCTGCGGCCAATCGACGTCCCTGCTAACAACCCGACCATCAACCCAGACCCTAGCAGCAAGCACATGCATCTCCTCATTAACATTATCAATCGAGCCGGAAAACACATCCGTCGCGCCATTACCCACCAGCCTGACGCCCTCGCTGCGCAGAGCAGGCTTGATCTCCTCGCCCGTGGCAACGCTCAGGAAGCGCAGCTCTACCGTCACTGCATCTGCGCCCAGCTCCCCCTCGCCCTGCCGACTGACCCAGACCTCGTAGGTGGAGGTGGGCGGCACGCGGGCGTGGACGACGCTCCAGTCGAAGTGGGCGCGTTTGACGGCGATGGCGACGGGCGCGAGCACGCGGCGCATGGCGTAGTAGGCGGGTTTCTTGCGCTGGAAGTAGTCTACGATGGACCAGGAGGTGACGGGCCAGCAGTCGTTGAGCTGCCAGACGAGGGCGCCGCCGCAGTGGCGGGCCTGGCCCCATTGGCGGCGCCAGCCGCGGTAGCCGAACATGAGGGCTTCGGCTTGGGAGAGTTGGGTGAGGTGGATGAAGGGCTGTGAGTGGGTGTGTGTTAGGTTGGTGGTAGACTAGGGGGAGGGAGGGACATGGGGATTCTTTGGGGTTGTGTGGGAGGGATGGGGGATGATGGGGCGGGACATACCTCTAGATCAGTCCTTGTCCGGAAGTTCTCGACTAGATATGTGGCGATGCGTCGCTCGTGGCCGTCGGCTTTGTTGTGGAAGTCGAGCATGTGGCTTTGGGGGTACAGCTGGGATTTGTCGGTGCAGTAGTACTTGATCGTGTCGATGTGGGGGAAGGCTTCCATGCCGAATTCGCTGTTGAAGCGTCCGCCCAGAGTGTCGAAGATCTGGTACTTCTCCTGAGTGCCGTGCCATACTGCTGTCGTTAGGCAAACGATACCCCAAGAAGATCAAGACGTGTCTTACCGTTCCACTGGTGCATATCGCCGATGGTTGTATCCGAAGTGATCAGGCCGTCTCCCCATGGACTGCCAGGGTGATATGGCACGTGTGGTGATTCAGCTGCAACGACGTCAGGGAGCAACTGCGTGCCGTCAGCATACTCCTACATCCCCCATACCGCGTAGACTGACCTTTTCGTATATATATCTCGCCGGAAAGTTGGTCTTCAGCCAGCTCTCTGGGTCCTTATCCTCGTAGTTGTATGTGAGCCCGCATTGTTCCTGCACTTGGTAGTCCTCGTTGTTGCCGGCGTAGATGACAATACTCGGGTGGTGTCGGAGCCGCTTCAGATTCTCCAGTCCCTCTTGCTCGATCGATTTGAGGATCGACGGGAATGCTGGGTAGTTACCGCAGCCGAACATAAAGTCCTGCCAGACCATAATGCCAAGCTCGTCACACAGGGAGTAGAAATCAGAGTGCTCCCATATGCCACCGCCCCAGACTCTGTCCAGTGTCAGTACCATTCCCAGCATCATAACAACTCTTCTCACCGAATCATGACCTGGTACCCATCTACCATCATTTGTAACCACTTTCTGTACTTTTCCTTTGTGATCCTCGTCACAAAGTTGTCCGCCGGGATCCAGTCGCTGCCACCACAGAATATGTCTATGCCATTGACGCGAAAGTAGAAGCTCTTTCCGATCTTGTCCTTCTCTTGGACCAACTCGGCTTTGCGGAACGCCGTCCTTTTGACGTCTTGGTCCAGCTTCACGCCACCCTTGCTCTCCAATACAGCCGTGACGTCATACAGTGGCTGCGCACCGTAGCCATGCGGATACCATAGTTTAAGATGCTCTTCCGAGATGCTGAACGAAGCAGTCGCAGTACCACTACCGGCATCGACGTCTGCAGAAGTGGTCACGACAGTATCTGCTCCAAGCGAAGCCGTGAGTGAGACTTTGGCAGCCGACGTCCCTTCTACCGAGACTCTGATGGTCCCCGACAGAGACTTTAGCGACGAGTCGAGCTCATAGTCTATGCGTATATCCGAGATTCGAGCCGAGTATGTCTCCAGACGGACCGGTCTCCATGGTCCACACGTATTAAGGATCGGACCCCAATCCCATCCCCTGAGTAGTCGTGAGCTTCAGTAATGCTAATGGCTTAGCCAAGACAAGTATGCTCACCAATGGTATTGTGCCTTCCTCACAGCCAGCCTCGCCATGTCACCGTTGAAGCCAACCCAGGAATGCTCGGGATGCGCATCCTTGATCTCAATAGCTCGCAGCCGGGCCGAGTCAAAATCAATCTCCAAAACATTGTCGCTGTCTGCCTTGAGCTTTTCAGTCACGTCGATTCGGTACGGTATCCACATATTATCACTCGTGTGTATGACATCACCGTTGAGCTTGACAGTAGCGAATGTGTCCAGGCCGTCAAACGCCAACACCAAAACCGTGCCTTTCTCGGGCGCGGGTGTCTTGGGAAGTGTAGTGCGGTAGGTCCACGACTTATCAGCAACCCATTCACACGCGAGCTCGTTGAAACCAAGGAATGGATCTGGGATTCTGGACACGATGTGAGTATATTTTCGTGAGCGTCATCCTCCCGCCGCCGGCTAGCCACAAGAATTCGCAAACCAGCAGGCCTCGCACTCACTTGTCATGGGCCATGAGATCTAAATGCACACTTGTCGGCACCCGCTCAACAGATAGCCAAGCTCCATCGCTCGCGTCGTCGGTCTGCTTGAACTGCCATCCCGTAGCCAGCTCAATTGCACTCGATGCCATCCTTGCTGTCGGTGCGCGAAACTCCGTGTCGTGTCTCTCAATTGGTGGCTGGCACAGTATCTACGCAACAGGCGCAATCTCAAAGTTCTCAAGAGAGTGAAGGGAGAAGTGCAGCAGTCACGAAAACGGGGACCACGAAAACTTATTCCAATGCCCCCCTCCCCCGCCAAGCACCCTTTAACCTGATCCCAAGCTGTTGCTCGCGTAGGCAGTGGAAGCGTCGTGCACTCCAGCAACGTCCCTTCTGGCCAGGGTACGGTGCATCTGGCTCCGGCCTCGATCCTTATGCCGTTTTGCACGTTAGGCGTGCGGGTGGACTCGATGGCGGCCACCGTACCGGCCACCATGCCGTCCCACCGACGGATATCAGTGTTGTTCGGGATAGTAATGTTCACTTTAGCATTCGCATCAGTCACATGAGGCGGTAAAAGCGGGGTTTGCCGCGTGTGTTGTGGGGTGTCGCGACCGGGGAGTGCTCATTATGGCTCCTACACACTCCGTGCCTGATCGGTACTAGCGCGGGGCTCAGGTGGGGGAGGCAGAGGGGTTAATATGGTGCATGACTCGTGATTCGTGGTTCAGCTCTCTTTGGTGCTGGTCCTTACTCAGGTTGTTGTACTTATAGTGGTGATTTCCGCAACATAGTGACATTCCTTTGCGTTGAAAATTCGGTACTATCACGCCTTTCCTGCGCTTTTGACGCCGGACGTCCTAGCTCCGCTTCAATTCTCGTTAGGAGACCCAGACCTCTGAGTCCCGGAAAGTTGGGGCTACTGGTACTGCATGTCCATGCGTACCAACGAAGAAGTGTTTATGTTGTCTCTTGGCGGAGCAGTCAATTGCAGGCTCCAAGGAGGAACAGGTCTTTCGACGGTTGTTATAAACGCTCTATACGGTTGACCTACGCTATCTAGAGCTCAAAGGTGGGCTTAATTTCATTTAGTCTTCGACCACGATAGTACGAGGCTGGCGATGAGGCTGACAGACAAGTCTCACGTTCGACGTCCAAAAACAGAGGGATGGGAGCGGGAGTGCCCGTGCCTAATGCGTGTATCGCACCAAGTGCATCGGCTCCAAGACTCTCAGCCCAGCGCGTGCCAGGGGCACACGGTCAAAACCTCGTATATGGCAGCATGAGGAACAGTGCTGCCATGTATCGAAGAAAGCGTATATCTAACAATGTATGTATATCATCAAAGCATTTCATGATCGCCTAGGGAATCCTTCGGAAGATAGGATGAATTGTGAAGAGCAACACGCTGAATTAGTCTACGGACATCAAGTTCTTTATCCAAGCCACGACACTAGGGCTGCACATGTCAGTAGACCAGACGCCAGCCAGTAAGTCTGTTCGGGAAATCGTGGCATGCTGGCTTCGCTTGCAACGCCTTTATCGACATGTCCGTCCTGAGCAAGCTGTCGCAGCTTGTCTCCGTATTCAGCCAGTATGTTTGTCGAGCGCGCGCCCGGACAGAACACAACCTCGAATCCAGCTCCCACTGGAATGATGAAGGTAGACGTTTGGTCGTCAAAAGCTATATGGTGTACGTTAGCCTTGACTTGAAGATTAGGAAGGTGCTCGTACCGTAGCTATACGCGTCGGGACAGACTTTTTTAGCTTGACGCGAATACAAGCCAGGTGAGCACTTGCTGGGTACTCCATAGTCACCAATACAGCAATCAAAGTCTTTATTCCACTTAGCGCAAGCCGAGAAGCATGGGTTGAACGCAGGTCTCTCGATGTTGTCGTCAGGATACGGGTAGATGCCATTGCCAGGTTTGTACGGAGGGTTGACCTGGAGATCCCAAGGACACCATCGTTGCACGTCGTCACCCGACGCCTTGGAGTCGAATGGAAGGGGAAAGCTGCTGTTTGTACCAAGAAAGAATTGGTCTCCGCTTAGTCCGGAGTAGGGGTCGTAATCAGTCGGAGCGAGGACTGCAGCAGTGCCTTGACATGAGGGATTCGTATAGTTTGGTGGAATGTCCGCTAGACTTGAATTGTCCCGTGGCGTCATGACAATCGCTATTGGGATGTTGTAACCGTCCACGAGTGATATGTCGTAGTATGTCAAACCATCACCGCCATCGTACGTAAACTCTGCTAACGTCGCAGGATTGTCGCCCTATCTTGTGAGCACAGAGATATATAACGATGCACATGCAGACCTACTGTGACCACACAGTTTAGAACACCGTTACAGTCTCCACTCAGACAAGCTTTCCCACGACCACTACCGCTGGCGTCTGCCGGTCCCGTTCCGTCATCATTAAAGCTGCAGTTCGTTCGACCCCACATGCGGCCTTGCCAGTCTCCTGAGACGATTTGCTTAAAGGTTTCTCCGGGCTCAAGCTTGAACCCAGACTTGTCCGGTCCTTGGCCGTGTTGGGTTAAGACAGCGGGATAAACATCATCTTCACAGTTGTTGGTAGCAATCAGCGGTACCTCTCCGTGCACCCATTCCTTTACGACGTTTGGAATCGTTCGCTTCATGTGATGTAGGGCATTCGTTCGGTGGAGCTGAGATAGAAGTAGCAACATGGCGTACGTACTCAACGCGGATGAGAGACCCTTCGTCGGACTCTGTGGTGCTAGAACAGCATTTTGCCTGTTCTTCGAGCGCATGGCAATTCCTAGTTGCGTTATAAATCTCGCGAATTTACAAGGCAGAGAATCAGGTGTGGAGGTCCTAAGGTCTGTTCAGGTAATATGATGATAGGAAGAATTGCACTGTGTGAGATGATAGAGCAGCCGACGGCAAGTGGGCAATGATAGACGGCTGTCAAGGACGTAAATAGGAAAAGAAAGTGCGCCAGAGCATCTCCAACAATACCGCGCTATCATTATAACTCGTCAGGCAGCACTTGCAGCCAGACATGAGTTTCGTAAAAGAAGGAAGCACCCTGGTGATTGGTGACGTCGATTTGCCAGGCCCATGAAAGATTGGCGCGTATATGTATCAGGTTGGGTAGCGCCGCCTGGATGTGGTTAGCCCGATATATTTAGCGTGGAACAAGTGAGCTGAGAACGAGACAGAGAAGATAAGCAACGACTCAAGTCCATTTGTTAGGCTGATGTTACTCCCATTTCCATGTCAACATTGTCGTCAAGTGAAGTTATTGTATTGATTGTTCATCCTAATTACCAGTCTATATATATGATATACTCCACAGTGACGCGTCAGGATAGCCTCACTGATGCTTAGAAAACGCTACGGGCATGCCCGACAGCTAATACAAATATTTTACACGTTCTTGCATTCATCCACCAAGAGAATATCGGTCCTTTATAGGGCAAGGAATGCAAGTGCCACTGCTGCAACAACGACAACCCCGCTCTTGGCTATGTCTAATGCTGCGGCACCACCAGTTGAGATAGGGAGGCCAGCGCTGTCTGTCGGTGTTGAAGCGGCGCCGGCACCACCAGTTGGTAGGACAGAAGAGCCAGCGCCACCAGCATTGGGAGCACCAGGAGCACTTGATGGTGATGCCCCTGCGGATGGCAACTGGCCAGGAGATAGATTCTCAGCAGCAGCGGCAGCGAGCTGCTTGAAAGCTGCTACGGTCTTGTCACCCGTTTCTGGACTAAAGGATGTTAAAACTTGAATAGGAAGAAGGTAAGCTCATGACTTACGCATTAATGGCACCAACCATACCAGCCTGGCAGTGCTTCATCTGCGAGCAGTAGTACCAAATGGGCTTGTCGGTAGTCACACGGACGGAGTAAACGAGAACGTCTTTGGTCGAGTTGGTCGCGCTCACGGGCATGAAGCCGGAGAAGAATGCATTCGTCACGTTGGGCATTACTTGTTGCATGGGCATACAGGGAGTCGCGAAGGTTGTCTGGACTACAGAGTGGTTCTGTTCAAAGTCAGCGTCGCCTATCGTGTAGCGTGTGAAATGTCTTTCTACCTTGGGATTGAATTGAAACTGGACTAGATCGCCAACGTTGGCCTTCGTATTCTCAGGCCAAAATGTGAGCGAGCCATTAGCTCCGCCGACTTGCACCACATGAACAGTCTCTCCACCAGCTACTGATGATGGCGTAGGAGCTGCTGCTGATGGCGTGAGAGCTGCTGCCGATGGTGTGGGAGCAGCAGCAGTGTCGTACATAGTAGCCATGGCTCCAGCCAAGAAGAAAGTTGCGACAACGATTGGAGAATACATGTTCGGTCTTGTGGTCGAAAGGAAGGCCTGGATCGTTCTTGGTAGACTGAAAGGGAAAAATAATACTGTAAAGGAGCTGAACGAATGTTTTGGCGACTTGCGCTGAACTGGTCTGGCCAGATGAACGATGGAATTACTAAGAAAGATGCAAATGCGAAAGACACAAATTGTTGAAGACGAAGAGGAATAAAGTGAGCATGTTTGCGCCCGTCTGTATACTTAAGGCATGAAGAGATTAGACGCAGCGACAGAGTACCTCGTGGCAGATGTGCCACATCTAGAGATCTGCGACGTACGATGTTGTAGTTTTGCAGCATACGCAACCCTGCGACACAGGGCTTAGCCGTTCACGCTTCAGCCCAGAGATTGTCGCGTTACATCATTTTGTCGATGGTTCACGGTCTGATTTTGATGTCAAATTGCTTTTCGCAGTCTCGAGATCACCTACAGAAACTCAGAACTTGCGAGCTATCTATCACATCAACAAATATCTTCTTGCCGACTTCTGTACTATTCAGTACTTAGTCATAGTAGATTTCCCATCAGCAAGACACTACAGCCGGATAAGAAGAACCATGCTTGACGGATGGTTGGGGTGAGGTGAAGGGGGAGGTTTGAGATCTGTCGGAGGTGCGGCCCCCCGTGTTTGAGGCTCCGTGTGGTGGCCTTGCCGAGGAGAGCTGAGCAAGCATCACCAAAAATACCCAGCGGCACGACAAACATCGGCTACCGAGGACCCGATGAATAGGACAAGCAATCACCAATATAACAAGAGACCCTCCTGAGTTTAACAGTCATACAGCAGCAGATTTCTTCTGTCGTTGATTGGTCGTCAAATCGTGCAATTTGGGGATATCGAAGGGCACGGGCCACTTGTTATAGGATCGTTGCCATGAACGCCTGGCGTGAGCAGGCTGCAACCGATCTTAGAACCTGACATATGTATGTCCGGTCGCATGGTCGTCGGGCCGGCTTGTCATTTCATGTTCGGCAGCCATGAACTGCTCAAAAGTCCAATAACAGCTGTGGCGCAAGTTTCTCTAGGTCTTCAACCTGCATCACAGAAAGCACATCAGGACACGTTGGGTCTGTGACGTATACAAATGAACGAACCTGTAGAAATCCATCCGAGATACCTCCATTGGCTTCAGATTCACGGCGTTCAAATCCGGCTCTGGCTATAGCCTCCCTGATGAACGTTTCCATGTATTTGCCTGCAACTGTCATGCCTTCTCTCCCTATGCGCATATCCTTGTCTTCGAAACCCTCGTAGAGCAGTCTAGCCAGAAGCTTTGGTGGTATGGCAGGTTTGGCTTCCTCCTGCGTGGGTTCCGGTAACAGGTCGTCGATTTCTTCACTCATCTGCCGCTCTTCTTCTGCCTCGTCAACTTGGTCTTCTTCGGGCTCAGCGTCAGATGATATTGTCATGGTAGCGGGCTGTAATCCTTTCGATGTCGTATTCTTAGCGCCAGATTTCCCTCCTACACCTGCTTTGGACGTCGTAGAAGGACCGGCAGCTCCATTGTTGACAGGCCGTGGAGGCTTGAAAGCAGGACCCTTGCGCTTGGAGGGGTTGGACGCGGTCGCTGGAGCCATGGTGCAAAAGCGCTACAGAGATAACGAGGCGTTGAAGCTGAAACTCGACCGCGCGCTCTCAGCCAGTGTAGCGGATGTTGTCGATCCGATCGTGGAGAGCGGGAGGTTTCTTGCGAGTTCCAGCGGCGTTACAGAACAAGCTTATTGTAACAGACTAGCACGCGTCGCGCTTGTGTTCCTGAGGATAATCCTAAGAAGGCTAGTTCTGCTCTAGTCCGGATCGAGCATAGTAAGCTAGCATGTCAGTCCCCGCAACGTAAAAATGGATCGTATTGTCATTATTCATTTTATTGCACGCACAAAATGTTCTTGGTCTAGATGGAAGTCAAAAAGGCAAAAAGATGACCACGGGGATCGAACCCGCAACCTTCAGTGAACAGCTGTACCGAAAACTGACGCGCTACCATTGCGCTAAGCCACCTTTAACAAGAATTCAATTTAGAAAAATATATTCAGTATTATTGCTCAGGGCAAAGCGATCGAGAGCCTCTCATCCCACCCAGTACTCAAGCTTAGTTTTGAGACATCGGCCGAGCAAGACAATTCAAGGCTAACGTCCGATCCTTAACGACTGATGAGAGTCAGCAATCGACGCTGGCGCCAAAAAGCTTAGCCTTTCCTGTTTTCTCTGCTCTGGCGTGGTATATCATTTCCTTTCACTCATACTCTTAATTTGGCACCTGCGCAAGGCGCTGGGAGAACGCCAAGATAGTTGAATGGGAATGCTAAGATGTTCAGTACCATTGACCTGGTATGTCTTGGGTGAGAAGAGACAGCAACAGAGGCTAATGATATAATACGAGTTATTGTAGAACCCCTAATACATTAGCCAAAACAGGGAAACATTTAGCGAGTTCATCAAATTAGACACCAGAATCGTATCAGTGATAATTGCGAGCGGATACAAGGCGACAGCCACGAACATTGAAAGCAGCTTTGTGAATCTCCTATCTCGTGATGCTACCTACCACGCTTTAGGCTGACTCACTACACTCTAAGATACAGTCAATTTCTATAAACATCGACTGATTGCCACAACTCCGGTTCGACCATATAATTGCAAGCTTTCGAGAAAGCGTCCAGCGTTTCGAGCACTAGGAGCGAGTTGAGATGTATTCGAGAAAAAAATGCCAAAAATGGTGACGATTAAATGTCCCGAACAACAGAGTCCAGTACATTGCTACCAAACGCACTGGCCGACCTCTTCTGTGCCGGCTGCCCAATGCTAATGAGCCAGTACCACTGACAATACACCCAATATCTTCCAGAGGTGCTATGAGCGACGTACCGTACTCTTGCAAGAGTGTCGCTATGTCCTGATCTACCGCATTACCCAGGATCTTGCGTAGATTTCTACTTGTTGTGTTGTGTCACGCGATGGTGCCCAACATACTTCTTCCTCGTTCGTGTTACGCAACTTGGTCGAATTATTCATACGACCGAATGAGAAATCTTGCCATCAACGCAGCGTACAATGACATCGATGCAACGACTGAGACCACGCATCTCCTCCTCCACGACCCCTCCTAGAGCGGCATTTGAGAAAGACAGCGAGCTGCCGACATATACGGGTTTGCTAACTTTCCGTGCTAGAGCAGTGGCCACACGGGTTGCGAAATCTTGTGTAGAAGCGTGAGGGACGAGAGGGGTAGTAAGTGGCAGGGCACGAGGGTTTGATGTCTGTAAAAAGAATGTCAGTCTCTCGATTGTGTCGGCTTGGAATGGTATAACGTACGTTTGGTATGGCGTAGATTAAGCTGCCGAGAGGAGCAGTGCCAGAAGCAGACTCCGTCGTGGAAGTTGTGAGGAAGACCAGCAAAGAGTTCTGGTTGTCCGTGAGGTGAAGATTAACGTGAGTTGTAGGAGCATCTGGTAGAGGAAACGAGAGCTCGATAGGTTTGGCGCCAGAAGCGGACTGAAGGCTTAACCCGTTCATGCTGCCGTTGAGAATGGTGGCCATGGTTTGTTGAGACTGATGCACCTCCGGAGGGAATATACGTGGATCTAGAGGATACGTTGAAGAGATGGGTGAGGTCTGGAGAAGATGTGAAGTTTATGATGAAGTAACTGGAGTAAAATAGTGGAAGATGCTAGATGGGAACCAACGTCATACGGAACCTGGCGGGAGGACAAAAACGGTAGTTCACGAGCCGCTAACCAGCCAAACGCCCTGCAGATCGATCGTGCAGAAGTAATAACAAACGATGTTCACAACACAATTCGGCGTTCTTTAAGACGTCTTTGCTTTGGGCGCGAACAACGATCTGAAGAAAGCACTGTATATGTATAAAGTTACTTATATGAACTGCTGCTAGGATGCAAAATCCATTCCACCCTGTCCCTGTTCAGTGAGGGGCTCGCTCCACCATAGATCACCATCTGATCATCGTCGCTGGACTTTAGCAGTGCAGATCAGAGAACCTTAGGTAAGTCCAGATCACCTACTGGATGCGTCTCGACCTGTCCTTGTCGCTTTCACAATCGCCACGACACATTGCACGCGTCCGTCATGGATCTCCAGATGGCGGATTCTGAGCCTAGCAGCAATGGCAACGACCCAATGCAAGATCCAGAAGAGCAAAAAGTCCTCAAGGCCGCACTGGATTCCTACGAGTGGGTCCTGCCTCGCCCCCGCGACGGTCATCTTCATGCCCGTTACAGTACCAGGCCTGATATTGTCATTTCGTCGCCTCCAGAACCCTTACTCGCCACAAACACGCATACATATCATGTCCTAACACACCGTCGCCAGATCATACAGAAAGAGATCGCATCATCAAGTGACCCACGTCCGCCGCCAGTCATTTTATGCCCTCCCGTCTGCACACTCAACGATTCTCTCCGCGCCCCCTTTCTCCGTTCTCGGGAGCCTCTCCGCCATTGACGATGCCATAGACGCCAACGCTAACATTGCAGACGCTATAGTCCAGGCTGCCAAATCGACTTTTCTACCTCCCACTTTCCCAACTCCATGGACCGGCTACGCGAGCGCATCCGATCATAGTAAAGCTCGGAGCACAATCCGCCAGTTCTACCGCGACTGGAGTGCCGAAGGCGCCACGGAACGCGCCGCATGCTATGACCCGGTACTCTCCGCACTCTGCAACGAATTCGCCAACACCCCTGACGAGTCAAAATCGGCCCTGAATGTCCTTGTCCCTGGTGCCGGTCTCGGGAGGCTCCTCCTTGAGATTGTTCTGCTCGGTTTCAGCGCCGAAGGGAACGAGATCTCGTACCACCAGCTACTGGCCAGCTCATGGGTGCTGAATCACACAAAGCCAGACGCGCCGTTCACACTATATCCATGGGCGCTGGCTTTCTCCAATCATGTCACACGTGCGGATCAACTAGCGAATGTGAGTGTGCCAGACGTGCATCCAGGACTGGCACTGGGTCAGGCCATTGCAGACGGAAAGAGCGGAAAGATGGGATTCTCGACGGGTGATTTCTGCGTTGAATATGGCAGCGAGGATACCAAGAACACGTACGATGCAGTAGCGAGCGTGTTCTTTCTCGACACGGCGCCAAATCCGATAAGATATGTCGAAGCAGTGCGTAATTGTCTAAAATCAGGGGGCATCTGGATCAACCTAGGGCCATTGCTATGGCATTTCGAAAACAATCCACCTGGGGCATTTTACAAGTCCGATGATGACGAAAGTGGAAGTGGAAAGTTCAAATCTGGGTTTGAGGGCGACAGGGGCATCGGAGAGGCTGGTTCAGTAGAGCTCACCAATGAGGAAGTCTTGTCCCTGGTCGGCCAGTCCGGGTTCACGATCGAAAAGCATGAATTCGGCGCCTTAACTAGTGGGTATATTCAAGACCCAAAAAGCATGCTGCAGAACATATATAAGCCGTCCTTTTGGATTGCTAGGAAGCAATGAACCCTACTCCGCCTCAAACATCAGGTTACGAATATCACGCATATAGACAGCCATAGGCAATGATTATTTATATTCACAAATCTTCTCATGACTGTTTATTTCGCGTTTACTCTTGAAATTATCGATCTTCTCGAACGCATGTACTGGTGATCTGACGTAGCATCTTCGTTTCAATCGAGCGTCCTATATCGACTGCTACTTAATGATGAGGACAATAGCTGTTTCTCTGGCAAATGCTAGCTCCACCGTCGTCTTTTTCTCCGGGGCTCGCGATGAGGAAGGCCGAAAGGTTGGCTATGGGAAGGAGAACCGGAGATCTTAACTCCGGGGCAGTACTGGCACTGTTGTGGACCAAGCATGTCCGTAGTATGCCATTGACGTGTAAGAGTCATGCAGTTTAGATTAATCAACTAAAAATGATAAATTACGATTCGGATGCAAATATGGCAAACCGCTTCCGTTCAGATCAAGTATAGACGGCACTAACTTCCTTTATATATTCTAGTGGAACGCCAAATTGGAGTCCCGAGTGAAACATGTCTTAACAGTTTTCCCTAACCTGTAGAGTAGATGACGATTCGTATCCTGACAAATGGCACCATACGCCGTTTTGCGGCTACCCCTATGTCTTCTGGTAGTCGGAATGAAGAATAGAACCGTTGGAAGTGAATCAAAGAAGAACCTGAAGCTGATGAACCTCCATAGACATCCATACAAGATATAGTAAAATTTCCTTGGCAGAGTGCAGTCATGCCTTTGTGCCACCGTGAGGCACCCGAACACTCGAACTCATTACGGCTTCTCTGCCACGGTGATAGTGACTGCAAAATTACTGCCCATTCTCTCGCATTCAGATCGCATGTCAGCCCTCATCCAGAACCAAGACTGTACTCCAAAATCCTCGGTCCATTGTCCAAACGCCGTTTGATACAGGTATTGGCCTAAGACAGTCATCAAACTTGCTGTATTTTGCACAGGCCCACTTATTGTTCTGGGTACGACGACAGGAAGTGCAATGCGAACTTGTTTAGGCGTGTACAAAGCTCCAAAGGTAAGAGCATGCCGTATTTGTTCTGTTGGATCTGTTGAGTAGCCATTCCTTTGTAGTGGGGTCATGATATGATCGTCAATCCAGACCGAAGTAAAAGGTCCACTTCGCATCAAGTTTGCTTCCACCGAGACTATCTCAAGTCGACAACCGGGCTTTAGAACACGCATGCAATCTCTGAGGCACCGCGATAGGTCTCCATGTGTGACAGCTGTTAGCATTGTCCGCGATACAACGCTGTCGAAGTAACAATCTGGAAAGGGGAAGTTCGTTGCTGACGGAGAAATGTACAGAGAATGGTGATTCGAAGGTGGTGAGTGAGTCGGCGGAGTTGGTGTTGAATTCGCTGAGCAAAGAGTATAGACGTTGCAATTGGGATATTTAGCAGCAAGAACCCATCCAGTAGCTAGATGGCCATCAATAAGCAAGAACTGTAAGCAATGATTTATGCAAGGACATACCCAAGTCTCCATTCACAAGCAATATCTTCCTCCCCTCTGAGCGACCACTGCTCAGGAGCAACTCATGTGTTGGACTTTGTATTTGTTTGCCTTGTGTTAGCCACGAATACGCTGTCAGTGCCCAAAGTTTCTTTTCAAACTCAATCTCGTGATAGTCCTTGTGGTACCTATCAAAATCCCACTCTTCACTCAACCTAGTGGCTATTATCTTCAGCCCAGCGGTTTCCATGCGAGACAAAGTCCGTGAGACGCTTGATTCAACTGCGTCATCCCGATGAGGGACTCTCGATCCCAGGGAACCATTGGTGGTGTAACTGCGACCTCTTGGCCATTCGCCCTGTAATACTCGTTTGTGCATCGAGTCATTTGGTGAGGGAAATTCTCGTTCGCGATGATATCGTTCAGTATCAGAATAAGCTGAGATGGGAGAAATTTCTTTCGAATCTTCGGAATAGATGGGGTCAAACACTGCACTTGCTCCAGACTTTGACGTTGCGTCCGAGGTTCCGGACCGTATTGACGGCCCTCGTCTCGGCACATCATTATATATTTGTCGGTTGAGACCTAGGCGTCCGGCTGATTCATGTTGGTTGCCGAGAGGAGCAGCTGATGAACCATTCGGCTTAGTGCCTGGGATTGGAGGAAGGCGCCTCGATGATGGTAGTTGTTTTTGTGCTGGCAATTTTCCGGTTCGATTGATGGCATATATCTCTCGTTCATCTTCCGACGAGACGTCTGGGTCGAGCCGGAGTGTCTCGAGGGATTGTCGTAAAGCTTCTTGCTCCACTCGACCTGTTGGACGAAACTCAGACCGAAACTCAGAGCAGAACTCAGGTAGAGGCTTGGTCTCGTGGTCTGGCGTTCGGAAGTCCTTTAGACTTTGCGCACGCTTCTCTCTCGACTTCAGGAAACCTGCAAAGCCGGAGCTCTTTTCGGCCTTCTTCTTTCCTGTTGATAGGCCTGGAAGGAACGAGTGTTGTCCAGCAGCAGCGCCGCTTGTACTACTGGAGGTACTCAGCGAGGAGCCTCCAGTCGAGGATCTCTTTGCATTCTTCTCTATACTTCTCTTCCTTCTGTGTTGACCTATTGTCTGCACCTGTGGATGATCAAAAGTTGGGAACATGGTCCGCAAGCAAGGTTGCAATATGGAGGCATGAGTGGGGCGAAAGTGTATGGCTAGAAAAGTACATATGGGAAACTGGGTTAACAGGGCGGCGTAGGTGCGAGCGAGGATCAATCACAACAGTATTACTCTAGTGGTGTTTGTTATCTGCCACGAGGCAGCCAATTTCAAGGTTGACCCTGACATTACCTTGGATACTGCATGAGCACCGCATGGCGTGGACAACATGTGGCAAGGGGACGACTACAGGTCCATACAGGTGATTGGAACTGAAAGACGAATCAGGCGTAGGATTATATGCAAATAATAGGTCTAACCTAGAACGGCACCATCCCACATTCTGGACCCCAACACTCAAGCCTATTCAAGTATATAAGTGGAGTCTCAACTAATCTTGGTATAAGAATAAGGTAGTTCAACTATTCTTCTAAGTAGCTAATGAATTTAGTAAGCCACCACTATGCTTAAGAAACGATACTGCCACGCCAAGGGACCTATGGATACACTGAAAGTCGCCTTGACATGGGTAAAAATGACTCTACATCAAGTACCGAAATAGGTAAGGTCAGACGCGGTCCAGGATTTAGGTTATTGCAGTCCTACGTTAGACCTCAAGTAATATGCAACAGATGGAACTGGAACAGACTACCTAGGTACAAGGCATTGACCGGGGTTGGTTATGACTCGTTTCGCCAATTTGCCCAAGCGGTTTCAATATTACTTTGTACTAGTCTGTTCAGGTAGCATCTCCAAAACACTCTCACCTCGCCTACAAGCGAGCAACTCTCTTCTTCTTGTCCATCTCCCTTGGTGCTTTCTAGTTCAGTGTAAGAATCAATCGGCATAATTCTCTCCCTCTTAGATGTCGTGAAGATTGTTGTGTTTGTCTTGCTCGTGCGTGCACATACCATCAGTACAGCTCACACGGAACTAACTATCTTTGATTATCTGGATCCCACAACGATCCTGGCGATCGAGGTCGGCCTCGGCCATTCCGAGCACGTTCATCTGAACGTTCACCCCAATCTTCATCTCAATGCTCATCTCAGTGATAGTAGATATACGCTCTGGAATGTCACTGATCCATACACCCCTACCGAGCCAAGAACATCATGCCACCTCAATTGGCCATAAATGAGCGCCGAGCCGTCTCAGGCCTCGTTGAGGCAGGTATATAGCTCGCTTCGATATACGACCCCCTATATCTCTGGCAAGTCGAGAATGACGTCTGAGTGGTTCATCTGACTCTGTTCTACATATCACCGCGAGGAGTAATTGCCCTCAATTTCGCATATCCAGGTTATTCTCAACATGGGGTTACGGGAGTGGATTGAAAGTCTCAATGATGTAGTGGCGCAGTCACCTGTAGGCCACTACTTCCACCTATCAGGCTCAAGCCATGTAAGTCCCAGCGAGTGCATGCAGATATTGTGACTGACGAAGATGATGCAGCCACATCCAATTCCTGGGTCTCGATTTAGTACAGAGATACGAGCTGGACTCACAACTTTCTTCACCATGGCGTACATTATTGCTGTCAATGCCGATATTATCACAGATAGTGGCGCAACTTGTGTATGCAATGGTGGGGCAGATGATCCTATGTGCGACAAAAACGACGAATATGACCTTTGCCTACTTGGTGTCCAGCGAGATATTGTCACGGCGACTGCTGCTATCAGTGCTTTTGCCTCGCTCCTTATGGGCCTCGCATCAAATCTACCAGTAGGTGTAGCACCTGCTATGGTAAGAATACCCGCAATGCAATACAAGCACTGGTCGTTGACGTTCTTGTAGTCGTTGAACGCATACCTAGCATATCAAGTGGTTGGCTATCATGGATCTGGTGAGTCTGATATAGAAATTGGCCATCAAAATCGATATATAAGTGCTTTGGCCGACATAAATTAGGTCAGATCAGCTATCAGATGGCCATGACAGCTGTCTTCGTCGAAGGTTTCATCTTTATCGCACTGTCTCTTCTCGGTCTCCGCCAGTGGCTTGCTCGAATCATCCCTGGGTCTATCAAGGTAGCAACCGCTGCGGGGATTGGACTGTTCTTGACCCTGATCGGACTGTCACACTCAGCTGGCATCGGCGCCATCACAGGTGATAGAACCACACCTCTCGCTCTTGGTGGGTGTCCAGAGGAGTACTTGAGTCCTGACACCGGGGCTTGCATGAGCCACAAAGCTACCAGCTCAACTCTCTGGCTGGGTTTCATGCTTGGTGGAGCACTTACTGCCGTTCTCATGACCTTTAGAGTGCATGGTGCGATGATTATGGGTATAATATTAGTGTCCATCTTCTCATGGCCTCGTGATACTAGTTTCACGTATTTCCCACGCACTGTTGCTGGGGATTCGCGTTTTGAATTCTTCAAGAAAGTAGTTGGTACGTTACGCGACTTTTGGGCGAGATGTTGGACACTAACCATGATTAGCTTTCCATCCAATCGAGAAAACTCTTGCCGTCCAAGACTGGAATATCGGTGGTGCACATGGGTCGCACTTCTTCCTCGCCATCATTACCATGCTCTACGTAGACATCCTAGATTGCACAGGTATGCTAGCATTCTTGCTTGTATCGCATACACACTGATTGATATATATCAAGGTACACTCTACTCCATGGCCCGATTCAGTGGTGTGGTAGATCCTGACACAGGCGATTTTCCTCGATCTACCCTGGCCTACTGCTCAGACGCGCTTAGTATCAGTATCGGTTCTCTGTTCGGTACATCCCCAGTGACTGTATTCGTCGAGTCGGGCGCTGGAATTCAAGAAGGAGGTCGAACTGGCTTGACCGCAATTGTCACGGGCTTGTGTTTCTTCATGTCGATATTTCTGGCACCTATCTTCGCTTCGATCCCGCCATGGGCTACAGGTAAGCTTTTTTACGCAACATTAGGAATGCCTACCAACTCTTAATACAGGTGGCGCACTAATACTCGTCGGGTGTATGCTGATGAAAGGAGTCCTCGCCATAAACTGGAACTACTCCGGTGACGCGATTCCTGCATTCGTCACACTAATCTTCATGCCCTTCTCCTATTCGATCGCTTACGGCCTGATTGCAGGCATAATTACCTACATTGTAGTAAATGGCACGATCTGGGTTGTACGTACCTTGTCTTGCGGCAAACTTGAACCAGCAGACTACGAGGAGAAGGAATATTGGTCTCGTAAGCGTTTGACCGAATTGGTTGTTTTGCCGCAACTGCTAATCTAAATATTGTAGTCCGAAACGACAATCGAGGTGTTCAGCCTTGGTTCATTCGCGCTGCCAAAGGCGACTCTAAACTGTGGCGAAACAAGGATGATGTAATTCAGCTGCAGACCCAGGATCCATACCTGAAGGGTGGTCAAGTGTGAATGTATGACCAGCGCTGTGAGTTCGATCCAGGGGCGCTTGTTGTTCGATGGATATGGATTTAGAGATCGCCGCGCACATGGCTGCTGTGAGCATCCTACATGGTTATGGCCATGTTATCTCCCAATCCTCGATGAGAAATATCTTGACGGAGAAGGAGGCAGGTATGAGCTGAGATACAGCCAATCAAGTCATGCCTGTGTCAGAGTTCCTGTAGTACCATGTCAAACTTGCTATGCCTGTTAGCTTAGTGCTTCGGTTTACAGGCATACCTTGTTTCTCGGTAGGTACAGTACAGCGCCACTATGCTAGGACCTCAAACATCTTGTCGTCGTATCTACACCTGACGCAGTGCTAACGTCAGATACGGGACTGTAATACTGCAAGTGACTGCCTGAACAGCTTTAAGTACATGGCTTATATTACACCACCTAGCCATACCTAATGATGATGTGGTAGACCAAACACTTCTGCGTAGCGAAGAGCTTTCAAACTGACTTCGCGCGGAATCTGGCGCGCTTTGTCGAAAAAACTTGAAAGGAAGATACCCTCCAGCTTCAGCTAGGCCACTTTGATCGTTGCGCCCGACCAAGGGAAACTGATGCTCAGTCAAAGCCGAGATTAGATCTTCCTCGCACTTCCCAGCCTTCTGAATGACAATGCCTTGTGTTAGAGATACTGACGACTTGCCCTGTCCCTGGAGCGTTGTGACCTTCGAAGTTTCGCAAGATACCTGTAACGTTAAGGCTGAACTAGCCTATTACCCGCTGCCCATGGAGTCTCTATTTCTTCAAAAACTATCATATTAGTTCTGGTGACACTTCACTTTCATTCGTGTCACATTAGACGACACTTAAATATATATTACGTATGTCCGAGGAGTCCACGAGCAGAGATCAGTCATGTCTCAAGACATACTGCGCCTCCGAGCCTGATCATTGTCACTACCACAATCGTCGTCTTCTGGGCACCGACCACGATGGTAATAGGGATTTTAATAATACTGCCGTTGTAGACGCATGCTTTAGAAGAGCCAGGAAGTAGAGCCAGAGCTATCATCTCTTAAAATGATCGCAGCTTTAACAGCAAAACCATGAGGAAGAGCGTAAGTGCTCGGCGCTTTATTCTCTGTCGGTCATCTAATTAAACTCTTCGTTCATTGTTACCGTACTTATACTCTACTAGAGTCATTCAATGCCTAAAGGTAATACGGCGAGGCCTGAAGGAGTGGGCTTTCTACCTCGTTTTACTTGATATTGGACTGAGATAAGGCTATCGCGAGACTGGCTGGGGCGTCCATCATCGATTCGACATCATCGTTGCTACGAGCGCGATCATCTATATGTCTACATTAGACCGACATGGGGAAGCCAGACACTGCCAAGGGGATTGATTGTTTAGCACCGGTTGATTTGTGATTGAGCAGCTAGCTCAAAATCCTTCCTCCTCTCAGTGAGTCCAGTGTCGACGCCTCTCAATGGATAAGACAGTCTTTAAAGGTATATCAGCAAAGAAGATGCTTGTTCTCACATATGGAAATAGCTCAATGCCAACGATATATATAGGAATTCGAAATGTCTCTGATGAGAACAGGAAAAGCCTCAGCCTGTCAGAGCACCTGATGGATCCACGGGTATGCACGGACGTCATCGCTCGGACAGGATAGCCCAGCCCGAGATAACCCGATCCGACAAAGCTCTCTCTGCGACTCCGTTCCTACTTGTCAAATCTTTTTGCTCCACCTCCCGTCAACGCTTCTTCCTGCATCCCAACCTCATCGTCGCAAAGTCGATTCGTTTCGCATCTGTCCATACTCTCCACTCCATTCATACCGGCTCAGTCGTCTGATATCCACCATAATGTCGGCGCCGTCATCCTCAACCGGCTCTACCAAGCTCGACGCCATCAAGCAGAATGTTCAAGCAGCCACTCCCGAAAAGTTGAGCGGCATCGCTCTATACTCGAGATTTGCCCTTGCTGGTGCCGTCTGCTGTTCCGTCACTCACGGGGCCCTCACACCCGTCGATGTGTAAGCCTCAATTCCCTTATCAGTGCACTGCAAGCCTGGAGAGCAACCTGCACTGAGGCAATGCTCTTCAGTATCATCGAGTCCTAATTGTGTCAACGAAATGAACCATCAACTGACGTATCTCATCATGTAGCGTTAAAACGAGGATACAACTCGACCCGGCCACCTACAACCGTGGTATGATCGGCGGTTTCCGCCAGGTCATCGCAAAGGAGGGTGCTGGTGCTTTGTTGACAGGTTTCGGTCCAACTGCTGCTGGTTACTTCCTCCAGGGTGCCTTCAAGTTCGGAGGTTACGAATTCTTCAAACAGCAGAGCATTGGTATCCTCGGATACGAGACCGCTGCCAACAACCGTACCGCTGTGTATCTCGTTTCTTCTGGTCTAGCCGAGTTCTTTGCGGATATTGCCCTATGCCCTCTTGAGGCCACCCGTATTCGTCTAGTGTCAGAGCCAACATTCGCCAGCGGTCTCGTTTCTGGTTTTGGCAAGATTGCGAAGACTGAGGGCATTGGTGCCTTCTACTCAGGTTTTGGACCGATCTTGTTCAAGCAGTACGTCGCAAGACTCACAATACCAATAGATGTGCTAATAATTTTTTAGAGTACCATATACCATGTCCAAATTCGTTGTCTTTGAGAAGGTCTCCGAAATTGTTGCCTCAGCTTTCGACACGAAAAACAAGTCCTCGTCTGTGCAAACTGTCGCTAACCTTGGCTCTGGTTTGATCGCCGGTTTCGCTGCTGCCATCGTGTCCCAGCCCGCCGACACCATGCTTTCCAAGATCAACAAGACCAAGGGTCTTCCAGGTGAGGGCACTACCTCGCGTCTCATCAAAATTGCCAAGGAGCTTGGTCTCCGTGGCTCATTTGGTGGTCTGCCGGCCCGTCTCTTCATGGTTGGTACTCTTACAGCCGGTCAATTCGCCATCTATGGCGACTTAAAGAAGGCTATGGGTGCTGTTGGCGGTGTTGAGATCTCCAAATAGATGGACCAGAAGAAGTGGAGAATAAAAATGGGACGTCAAAATTTGTTGCAAATCCCGAGCAGCCCAGTTGAGCATTTTCAAGAGCGATAGAAACATGCTTGTGAGGATGATAGATACTTAGGGATCGATTCCTTGGGATTACATACGCGCCACAGGGATTTATGTTGATAGAGTCCGAATTCTTTGCATCTGGGTTGTATGACTAATCATGTAGGCTTGCGTTTCCATCTTGAGGGGTTTGAAAGTAATAGATCTTCAATTGTGCAATATACTCCGCTCACATATATTTGAAGGTTCATCCTGTGTGTCGTTCTCACGATCTGCGTGACAGTGGGAGACAAGTAATTTACTAATTCTATTATACATGCTCTTATACGACTATTTCTTGAAGTCAGTAGTTGGATATCTTGGTTCACTAGCTGGAGCCTTCGACAGATCCAGTCATTCGCCTGGTCACTGCTATTTGTTAGATTGCGGCTTGCCGTTTTCCACGGGCGCTGCTCGCCGGAGCATCTTTGTACCCGTTTTCCAATCCTTAATGATATCATTCACCTGATAAACCTCTCCTTCCTTTCTGGGCGCCTCGCCTCTACACATTATATCAAGAATTATACTGGCACTTTGCTCTCCTGTCACGGGTAGTCGCTTGACGCCTTTCTTCTTCAACGCCGGCGGGACATTGTTTGGATTCAGCAGCCCTACTTGTACGAGTACGGACGCTTGGTCCCAGTACATCCGCTCACACCAGATCTTGCCTGCGCGGAGGGTCACAATGCAGACAATGATGACGTCGACGTCTCTGCCTGTGGGCGCAACTTCAGGCAGTATCCACGGCATAACGACCTTGTGCGTGAACCGCACATGTAGCTCGTCGACTACGCTGTCTGTGCCAATGGTTCGACTGAGTAGTAATACCTCAAGCCCGATCTCTGCCTTCTCATCCACGTCGCATGGTACGAAGTAGTCTTCGTAGAAGCACCGCATATCGTCTGCTCCCACACCACCTGTAAGTGTCGGCGCATGTACCACATACGGCTCTGGCTCGGTGCAGAATGCGCTGAGTGACTTTGCGAGGTTGGGTTTCTGCCATGTTGCGTCGAAGCTCTCTTCCCACTGCCGCTCGAGCTCGACTTCAGCTCCGAAAGCGCGCCTGATAGTGGACAGGGACCGAGTAAAGGCTGTGCCGTCTGCGACACCGTCGTATTCGTCTAGGTCGCGCTCTGCGAAGCCTACGTCGACGCCGGTATACGTGTAGCAGCGATAGCTCATATGCAACTGGAGACCCCCGGACCCTGCTCCTGGCGTGACTGCCTTTTGAACTGTCTTCCGCTTGCCTTGGATGCCTAGGATTTCAGACGGTCGAGTAACTCCAATGGTATCGGGGGTATCGCCAGTGCCAGAGGGCAGGTGAACGAGTACGCGCATATGCGACGGGAATTTGGTCGTTGGTGCAGGCACAGTGGTCGGATAGTATGCAACCAAAGAGCAAAGACGGGAAGACCAAGCGTGTGGACTAAGATGAGCTTCGAGACAGAAGGAGGCAGCGGCACCGAAGGCGATGATCGCATATTTCTCTCTAGCAAACGTTAGCTGTGATGCTTATTCAACATGAAATGGTTTACGATAGAGACTGCTAATTGGCAGTAGTTTGGCCCAGAATCACTCACCCAACTCCCAATCCACGTCCTAGACTTTCGAGCTTCTCACGATACGCTCTTCCTCCGTTGCCCATGGGCAGATATTCAACCATGAAGCCTTCCTTCTTCCATGCTTCCAAGACACTTAGGTCGAACTCCACATCTTCCGACGTGATATATAGTCTTGGGCTGGATGAGTTGAATGAAAGCCAACCTGATTGGTTGATAAAGTTCTGTGTCATGTTGGCAATAGTTAGCCAACAGCGCCGTAGCAGCAGGTGGCCGAAGAAGTCATGAATTGGGTAGATAATCACTGAGATAGGTCGACGAAAAGGATGACCTGCAATGGCCGCACCCAAGTCGTGTTCCTTGATTACGTATCATCCTTGCAAACCTTGGAGAGTCTTCGTCGACCGGTACAGGGCAATAAGATCACGGCGGGGATGTTGTACAGGGGCAGAAAGAGTCGGACGACGTCATTTGAACTTCCTGCCTGAGGCACCAATGGGTCCGCTGGCTATGTTGAAGCTTCCATGACAGCCATATTAAATGTTGTGTCCACTGCTGAAGAAATCAATGCTATCACAACGGTTTGTGAGAGATTGTCTCGGAAAATGCTGCGAATTTAGCAGAATGACTGGATCAATTAGTCCGCCACCAACGAAAAGGAGAAAGGTACGAGCGGAATGTGGAAACTTGACAGACTTCGGGGCAACGTTGGAAACATCTACCACTACTGCTGCATCAGATCCATCAGATCAACCTGTTCATATAATCTCCTGGAACATCAACGGCATCACCCCTTTCGTCCGACACCACCTGACCAAGCCAATCACCAACTATTTCTCAAAATCCCCAAAATCAGTACGCATACCAAGCTCACAATCTGGACTTTCGCAGCCACCTTCTCTCAGAGCATTCCTGTGCCGCCATAACTACCCACACCTGCTCTTCCTCCAAGAAGTCAAGATCAACAGCAAAGACGAAGCAACGCAACGCGCCGTCCAAGCAGCCATCAATACTCCCGAATCATCCGAAACCGCTCAGCTACCACCGACCTACACGGCCCACTTTACACTTCCCTGCGACCCGCATAACGCTCGTGGCTTTGGTGGCAGGATTTACGGCGTCGTTAGCATAATTCGGGATGACTTCGCGGACAGATGCGTTTCTGCCGTCAGAACTGTGGACTGGGACGTCGAGGGTCGAGTCAGCATCGTCGAGATCACCTCTCCACAACCGCGTCACCCAATACCATCACCACTACCACCGTCAGCCAAACCCAGCGCTCCCAGGCCCGCAAGCAGTCATGATGACAAGCCCTCTACAGCCCATCCCTCAAACATAGCAGTCTTCAACATCTACGCCGTCAACGGCACAAACAACGCATACAAGGACCCAAAAACAGGCACCACGTGCGGCACGCGCCACGACCGCAAACTCGCCTTCCACAAGCTACTCATGGAGGAGAGTCTGCGCTACGAGGCCCGCGGCTGGGCGGTCATCCTCGGCGGCGACATGAACGTTGCACCTGCACGAATCGACGGGTATCCGAATCTGAGGACGTATCCGCGCGAGCACATTGTCAATCGCGCGGACTTCAATACTAGATTTCTGCTAGGAGAGGACATGAAAGCGTTGGGTGGTAACGAGGATGGCGAGCATGTGTTTCAAGGTATCGATATCTGGCGCACACTTCACGGTCCAGAAGCATCGGGCTATACGTATTACCCGCGTGGAACGGCATGGGGCGCGAGTTGTGATCGGGTGGACTATTTCGTGATTAGCAAGGGATTATATGAAGAAGGTAAGGTTGTAGAGGCTGAGATCCACGCGAATGCGCTAGAGAGAGGGCCTAGCGATCATGTACCCATCTCGATGGTGCTGAGTTTGAGATAGTTACGGACGGTCCTGAAGTAGTAGACATTTGTGTTTTTGATTCGAAAGTTCTTGTTATGTATTGCAGCGTGAAAGGCACGAGAGTTGTCTCCATGCAGCGCATCGGGCACGAGAAGGGTGACAAGAGTGCAGCTGGACGAGACGAAAGAAAAGACAGGAGCTGGCGTAAATCGTAAGGGGATCCAAACGCCTGACCTAGTGTGTGATGCTTGTACAGGTGAAAGAGAGAAGGAAAAACCACCGCACTGTGCAATGCTTGTACAGTCTAATTTCGATTCATGCGATTATTCTCAGGCATTTGGCCTTTTCAGGATGTCCGAAAAATTCACATTTTCATCTCTTGGATCTGTTGTACCCAGACCCTCTTCCTTTCCGACTTGTTCATCCTTCGCCTCGTCTGTCTCGATGTCTGACGCGGGAGGGCTCGGGAGCGCACATTCTCCATCTTCCTTCGCGGTGCTCTTCTCTTTCTTGAACACATTCTCCACCCTGTCTAAGTCACTGCCGCTCGGATCAGTTGGGGACGTCTCGCCCACGCTCTGTCTCCGCAGCACTGTCTGTGTATCATCATTGGGGATCTGGGAAAGATGGTCGTCAATACTGCGCTTCTCGTTCGATATGGCGTTCATCTCACTTTTGCGGGCGTTGATTGTGCCGTTTGTTTTGGCACCGTTGGCTATCCCATTGGCTGTCCCGTTGGTTGCACCGTTGGCGACACCATTAGCGATACCGTTGATTTCGAGTCTCTTGCCAACTTTGTCAGTCTCGCGGTTTACACCCTTCGCTGCATCGTGGGCGGAGTTTGCAATCTCTTTCGCGCCTTTCTTGGCAGCATCCTTGTCACCGCGAGAGATGGGGGCGATGCGTCGCATATACGACTTGACAAAGAATCGTACAAATAATGCACTGCAGCATGTGAGCATGGTACGTCGCCTGGCAAGGAAAACTTACGTGAGAGGAGCCAGATACATTAAGTTCAGCCACACGGCAAAACTTTGTCCAGTGGTGTCGATGCACTGCACCCATTGATATTCATTCCTAAATCGAGTCTCGTAACCTGGCGCTGTGTGACCGGTGAGATTTTCAAACTTTGCGGCAATTTGATCCTTCAACACATGAGGACGTTCACCCATGTTTTCAGCAAGACCTTCCTCTCCAGCGGCACGAAGTGCAAGCTTTTTGATGTACGAACCAAACCCTGCTACAGCTGATGCAGCAGTAGCCTCTGAAGCAACGGATGAAAGAGCGGATGATGCAGTGGAGACAGCTACTTGAGCTGCTTTGGCGATCCTGTATGGGGTGGAGACTGGGACCGTGTACTGTATGCAGAGATGCAGTATAGCGAATGAGCCACCAACAACAAATTGGGTGATTTGCATGGTAGTCAAACTGCGTTTGACAGCCTGAGGGACGCGGACACCTAGGGCGGAAAGGGTGTAGTAGGTGTACTGTGAACTTGTCAGATTCGAGTCTTTAGCATCAAGTATGAGACATGACGTACCATCATTGCATGGATAGCAGAGTTAACCTGCACGAACATCCAGATAGGGGGCGCCATGTACCTAATGCCGGCCCACATACACATCATTGCACCAGCATGGTGGTAGGTCTGCAAAGTAGTGCTTCGCTTTCCCTTGGCAAGAATTATGGCTGTGTCGAGGACTTCGTAGAATTTGCTAAGATAGAACCACCAACCCCAGAATGCAAGTCCCTCGTTCCACAATCGACCGACGTCCGTGGAATCGGGCAGGCCACTGCTAAGATGAATTAGCTGATTCTTGACTTCCCATTCCTCCAAGACCGGATTATATGTTGCAGCGTCGCCTAACCCGCGCGGTCCATGCATCTTGCAAAGTGAGTCCACCGCTCCCACAATGCCGTGTTGACCAGTCCAGCCTGCCCAAGTATTGTAGAGACTTTGAATCATAGCGTAGGAGGTCACGGCAGAGTAGACGGCGAGGAAGACGTTGTGGAAGATAACGAACGCGAAAAAGGGACGCGTCTTGCTAATGGCCCAGGCCTTGTTGCCATGCTTGCGATTGTAGGCATTAACAGTGCTGACAGTGGTCGCGTAGAGAGCAGCGATGGTCAACGGTACGGCGGGGTGTAGAGTAGCCTGAAAGATTGAATCCGGTATTGGGAAAGGACTGGCGATGAAGTTTATGTGATCTGAGGGCGGAGGTATCGCTGGTGGAGCCTCGTCGGGAGGAAATTTGAATAGGGAGCGTGGAGGAAGACTCAGATGGAGTGACGGGCCAGACATGATTGCGACTGGTGATGTGAGGCCTTTAATAACCGGTGTAGGAATTGTTGAGAGATGTTGAGGAGCTTTATCAGAGCTTTGTGGGCGTTAAGGATAGGTGATACAGCTCTAGTTGTAGGTATTTCGAGCCATAACTCGGAGGGCGAAGGATTAACTAAAAGTGACGAGAGGCGACGACAGGAAGCTAGGAGAGGGTAATGGCGGAGTTCAAGTAGTCGGGGACTTGTTCGCGTGGTGTCTTCGTATAGAGAACGTGGAACGCGACTGTCTTTTTTTGTTGGCCGCTCCGAAATTCTGTGCATGACGTTCAACCGCGGCATATGGGGCTGTTAGCGCGGTGCCATTTAAAGAGCCTGTTGTGATTGGGTGAAATTGACTTCGACGCCAAGGCCAAGCCAGCATTTCAGGCACACGAGCATGACAAGGCATCTATTTGCCCTGCAGACACTCTAGGGCTACAACAGTAACACAACACAGAAGCGAAGACCCTGATGGAAACCTGCTTTGATGCAATCTTTGTTGGACGTTGTGGCAAAAAGTCCAGCATCTACACTTGAATTTGCCGTTTCGTATGCTCACATCTATCGTACCACTCCTCACTACTATCGTCGCTTTTCGTGTCCGTATAGCTAAGTAACATGATACGCAATGATGAATTGATGATGGGCTGATGTCACATGCACGACTATGGACCCTTCTTGCCCAGCAAACAAGATAATATGAGCATGAGCATGAACTTTAGCATTCTCTAGCGCCGAGATGTGACAAGGAGCCCGCCCTTCTGCACGTGAAATCCTCAACAATTTTTTGGTGCCCAGTTGCTGTGAGAGTGGCAATCCCGGGTCTCATTGCGCGATAGGCAATCTTAGTCCGGTCATACATCCGAGCTGCCAAACAGGTCTGTCTTGGCCGGAGTGCATCATGAGCCCCGTACCCGTGTCTATACCATTGCACATTCCATCTACACACTCCATCAGACCAGCTGGTCGGAACCTGTTGCAATACAGTAGCATTCTGCGGAAAGTGTTCCATTTTTGATATTATTTTTTCTAGGCGTGGAAACAGCTTCTCGAAAAGTCTTAGACCCATGTACCATGAAATCGTCTGATCGTGCTTTCGCAGGATCGAAAGTCTGTTACACATTTGGTCCAATGCCTAGAAATGGTATTGGCGCCCGGACCTGGCCTAGGCCTGGGTCATATCATGTCATATCAGTCCGCACGCGTGCGACGGATGTAGCCGTATCCATAGGGCTGGTTCGCTACGTAATCCGCCTTCCCCCTTGCCCCCGACCCGGCACCTTTCCATCTTGCCGACGTTCGGAAGCTTTGTTTTGCGGTTAGATGCCACAAGTAAACATGGACAAAGCAACAGGCATCTTCAAGAATGGATGGCACCCAGAGAAGAAAGAAAGCTGGCGTGGCGACAACAAAGGCCTTAACCAAGTGGTGAGCTATTCCGCACGATACTCTCGCACGATGCTCCCGCACTGTACCCCATGGCTAACATGAGAGACTTAGGCAGGATGGATGGGCAAAGGGAAGCAAGGAGGCTCGAGCGCATCCGCATTAGAGCGCGCCAACAATCATCAATCTGCTCCACTATCAACCCTCAAGGATCCTTCGTCGTTCGGTCCTCCGCCAAAGCACCAACACTACCACGGTGCTGCTGCTGCTCAAGATAATACTACACCAGATAGGAATGGATGGGGAGCACCCGTGCCCCCGAGTACGATACAGGCACAGCAAGAAGAGCAAAGGAGGCAAGAGACAAATTCAAATAAACCCAAACCACCACCAAGACCCTATCAGAGAGATACTACCGGATTGAGCACAGTGCATCTACCAAAACCTCCAAAATTTGGTGAACCTGCTACAGCTTCGACTCAGAATGCGGTAACAAAACCAAAACCGCCGAGCCTACCTGCTCGCCCGCCCCTACCTCCTCGACAGAACAGTAATCCAGACGAATTCACACCTGCACCACCTCCATCGTACACAGCAGCGACCGCAAAATTAACCCCACCAGCCCCTGTAGAACCATACCTAAACCAAGGAGCCCTGAACAGACTCGGGAAAGCGGGTGTGAGTGTACAAGGCTTCAACATTGGACGAAATGTCTCTCCTCCCTCAACAATCCCAGCCTCCGCATCTTCAGATGCACCGCAGTCAACCCCTGGCCGCGGTCCACAACTTAATGAACTTTCATCACGCTTCTCAAAGATGACTACTTCGCCGAGCCCGACTGCCGGAAGTTCACAAGGCACTACATTCGCCGAGAAACAAGCAGCCGTCAGAACAGCAAATGCATTTCGGAACGACCCTTCATCTGTGTCCTTCTCTGACGCACGAAGCGCGGCTTCAACGGCAAACAATGTCCGCGAAAGACACGGTGAGCAGATTGCTGCGGGGTGGAAGACTGCAAACGGACTGAACCAGAAGTACGGGGTCATGAACAGGGTCAATGGGATGACAGGAAGAGAGTCTGGATCATCGTCTGCGCAGGCTGGTGTGTTGCCTGAGGCATCGTCTATTACGGCAGGCATTGGGAAGAAAGCACCTCCTCCACCACCAAAGAAGAAGGAACTTGGGGGCGCCCCGCCGCCGGTGCCGTTGAGTAGTAAGCCAAAACCGCAGGGGTGATTGGGGTTGTGATGTGTGCAGTATAGCATCAGTATGGATCAATAGTAAAAGGTCCATCTCCGGGACTAATTGGTGTCTGGACTACCCTTTTCACATGAGCATGCAACGGAATATGGCAGTCGAGTTGACTGTCCTATAGTCATGCTACTGGCCGTCAGTCATAGACGCTATTGAAGAGTCGACTCCTTTCAAGTCAGCCATACGAGCAATCCCGATGGACAGCATTGGATGAACCACTAATCATGTACGTCAGGACTTGGACATCAAAGCATTGCTAGCATCTGCGTTCGGACAGTTTCACTCGACAATGAAGACAGCATTTGGTAATTTCGGCTGCGCCTCGAATTCGATATCTCGTTAGAGCTTGCGCATGTAGCGTATCACTCAATGCTATACATAAGGGTATCAGACATCATTAGCCACCATTATTTCGCTCCAGCTGAAACCTCGGCCCAGAAAAGCCACCGAGTTGCCACCACTGTAGCAGACTCATTTTCAATCCCGTGCACGTCAACTCCCTCGTAACCGCCAACTCTCGTGCCTTCGCCGAAACGCCCACCGGGAGAGCCTCCGACGCCGGCCTTTCATAAACCAACCCCGGCGACATGCCTTGCACCGTCTCGTGCATATCAAGCAGTGTCTGCGCCCCGACCGGGCGCCTCATGAACGACCAGTACATCACGCTCCACGGCTGCCGCTCCTTGTAGAACTCGACATCAAAGGAATGGTCGTCCTGTATGCTGCGTCTCAGCACGCTCATGTACGTCTTCATCAGCCTCCGCACATCATTCAACTGGCAGTCCGCCCACTGGTTCTTGCTCCGCCACGTCATAGTCTGATGATATACATGATTGATCTCGCGGAGGTTGCCGTAGTCGCCGAGCAGCCAGTGCGTGGCGTTGGCAATATATACATTATCCGGCTTGATATCGTCGTGACAGTATCCGGCGTCGTGGAGAGTTGCAAGGGTCGAAAGTAGCTTGTTGAAGCTGGGACGCCAGGCCTGGTCGAGGCTTGCCAAACTTACGAAATTTCGCGATCCTGCTACCTGGCTGAGGTTGACAAGCGTGCCATGCTGGATATAAGGGGTGACATAGTGCCATTTTGGGCTCGAGAAATAAGATCCTGTGTGGGCGAGGAAGTAGTCGAGCATGGGTACGTGGCTCCACGTCTGCGAGTCTGGTGAGGGTACAACGGTGAATATGGCAGACATGAGTAGACCTGCTGGGATTTCCGTCGGCCATGAAGTGATTTTGTGCAAAAAGCAGTCTGATAGACTGTCGGGAAGTTGGTCCCGAAAGCGGTTGGAATAATAGGTCTTGATCACTACGTATTCGCCAGTGTCCTTGCTTTCATACAGCCGTGCACTTCCCTCGTAACCATATCCTAGCTCTCGTTTGAAGATGTAAACACCGTCAATGTCCAAGTCATGGTCACCACTATATCGACGAATAGGCTGATCTGAATGAGTCCATTCCAGGGATTGCCGGCCATGATCAAGCAGTGGCCTTAGGAAGTCAGTCTGGATGTTCTGGGGTCGTACACCGTGCAGCTTCCAAAACAAGGAAAGGTACAAGTAAATCACGAGACCAATGAGGAGGAGGCGTGTATAGGTGCGGCGAAACAAACTGGGTAGACCAGAAGAGATCGACGTACAACTAAGTTCGAGACATCCTGACATCCGCATAATCAATGTGGAGTGAGTTGACGCAAGGGTCGACAGATCAAAAGAGTTCTTGTACAGTCCACAACTATACTAGAGACGGAGCATGCCAAGTTACCACCGCGCCAGTAGAAATGGCTGCGCCGAGTGTACCGACAAGTCGAGCGCCAAACGGTGCATCTCACGAGCTATTGACTAGGCGCTCCAATAAGGACCTAGTAACAGTCACTTCGAAGACTTGTTCAACCGGAGCGAAGCACACAGCCGCCGTCGTTAATGTTGGGGTCTTCACTTGGCCGCTACACAGCCCAGCTCGAAAACCAAGAAACGGTACATGTTTATGCGTGATAAGCAGGTTCTCACTGCTCTGTCAGGCTTGCCTGGAACACCAAGAGAAGCTATGGTGATACAGCTGCATATGCAGCGAGTAGGACAAGAAGCTGGTTTGGGATGAAGCTGCGACTATGAAGGCGCTGTCCTAATACGCAAAAGAGGCAGATGTGTCGCTGGCCTAGAAATAGTAAGTAAGATAGAAGATCTACATTTCACGACCGAGCAGAGTGAAACTCACTATAGTATGTCCTCCCCACTGTCAACAACACATGTGACATGACTGTTGGCGATCGGTTCGAAATGTAAGGGGCGAAAGGAGGGACGAAAGTCTTTCGTGGATACTTCTACATTACGAAGCGCTGATGGGTTGGTGTAGGGTATGCGACATGGTCAGAAACTGTAGTTGAGACCACTGCATTGATGGCTGATTTTCTGTTTGCCTAGCTCTGACATTTGTGGTTGCCCCACGAGCATCAACCGAAATACATCTGCCCACCAAATAAAGCGGGACCGCCGCCTACGCGATTGGCTCCTCCATGTCAGCACTGCCTCACGACCAACCTGGGCACGAAACACCGCTTTCTCACTGTTCGTTCTGGGTATCAACAATCTTTCCTACCTGTCGCCGTGGTCTCGTGGTGAGGCTTCACTAAACCTGACCTGAGCTGAACCATCGCCACTATCATCCACCACTATCACCGTCGGTCGCTGCCACCCTTTCTGACCCGCGGTCAATTGGTCGCTCGGAAAAACGAACACCACTCTCGCGAGCGTTAGGGGGCCGTAGTACCGAACACTTGAGAGTCGCCGAATCTGTTACAGTGGTCCAAATGGCCCGACAGAACGTCGAGCAAGAGGTTCAGATCATTCGCAGGTACACAAAGCGAGGCATGTAAAGAAGTGTATGGTATAGCTAATAGTAACTAGGGACAATCCAGTCGGCCTTTCTCCGTCGAATCCCGTCAACATTATTCCGAGTCCCAACACCAACGACGCGATCTACGAACACCAGGCCGATATTGATGAAATATTCGAGATAATTTACGGAGGCGCATCCTATTACCCCAATGTTCAAGCATGTCTTGACCAGACGTATCATGACGTTCGTTGCTACCGCATACAGTATGGCAATCCGTCAACTCCTAGTCCGACAAACGCAGGTTCAGGCACACGACCGACGCAAGCCGTGCAAAGTAGCCAGACTCCCTTCGAGACATACCCAGGGAAGGTGCAGGAGACCCAGTTATCGACAACACCTATAGTGTCGACTGGCGCAAACAAGTACCCTGAACAAAATGGCCAGACTATTACATCTATTCCTACGCCAACGTCATACGACGACCCCCCTGGCGATAACTTTTCCACTGGCCAACTCGCTGCCGCAATCATGCTTCCCATGCTATTCATTTTGGTTCTGGGTCTTCTAGCAGTATTCTTTTACCGACGACGGAGTAGACGAGATAGAGCATCTGCTGGATCTCGGGCGATGAAAGTCAATCAAGATGCCAACTACGCGCCTATGACCTATACTACCCAACAAGGGCCTCCACTTATGATGACCCGGCCACCTCACTTACATCCTCATCCACCACATCCCGCAGTCACGAACATCCCCCGCGTTCCGTACCCAAGGCCTCAGTCTACTCAGCCAATAATTCTCGGGCCGATGAGTCAGTCCAATTCAGGCAACTATCACACCGGACTAGATACAGATGTTCTTTCGATATCCGAGTCTACGATACAACGAAACGGGGGCTTTCCTATAGAGGATCCGGACGAGCCACCTCCACCATATCGACCTAGAAGTGTAGTAACATTTGTCTCACGAGAAGCCAGCACGCGGTCGGGATCCTTGCGACCCGATGCGCAGGTTGACGGCTCTACCGATCATCTTATCCATGGTGCGCTGGCGCACCCAGGAAGATCTCCTTTTGCGGATCCTGACGACGATGACGCTGTCTCAATCATTTCTGAGCCCGAGAGACACGGGGGCATGCGGCAGGGGCGCGATATAATGTCTGATGTATCCGATCTGTCATATCAGAACAGCTTTAGACGACCATGATGGTTTTGACAGGAGCTCTCATTTCATCCTAGTATTTTCATGTATTTATGAATCGCACATTCATCATCTTGCAGGGTGCTCTGGCGTTTTGGACATGAGAATCAAACTTCTCATGCATGAGGCCTCAGCGCAACGCATTATCATACTATCTACTGGTATCAAGCACTCAAGGTCAACCCTAGTGATCTTCATGCTTCCGCTATTCTTACAGCGGGCAATATAAGTTTTTTGGGAGAGAATTTAGATTCGTCAATATTGCTCCGTCGATGGCAATGGGCCCTTAAACCGCCTTTCAATAAGGAATACTCGACATACAGCGGAGTGACCCTTGTTTGCATAGTCGTGAAATAATAAAGGTTCCCAGGCTCCTAGGACCAATGGGGCAATTGAGGCACGCAGGATGTTGTTACTCGGCCTTACCAATCACTATCACGGTGCAGCAACTCATTCAAAAAGGCTTGGACGGTAAGCAGTCAAGATGAGGAAGGGGGTTTTCCCTGAACTCGATGACAATTAAAAGGAGATTGGCTCAAAATGGCATTGTCAATAGACAGGAAAGCAAGGGGACAAGGATTGGGATTCGGGAGGGGATGCATATCGAGGGAGTTTAATTTCAACAGATGTTTCTAAATCCCAGATGTTGCCACGTGGGTGGTCTGCAATGAATCACCATGGTGCAGGCACAGGCAGGACGTCAATGATGCGAAATAGCCGATCTGCATTCTTCCTTATGGACTATACTAGAGCGTGTACGCATATCCATACATATCATGCCACACCGTCTGGATGGATGGATGGATGGTCGTGGCCAGCTAGGCACCAGGCACCAGGCACCAGCGCCGGACAGAACTACTGCAGACGACGGCGTAACCCGCAATCCAGCCACAAATCAGCGAGCATTGCGCAAAAGTGGCAGCCAACCGCGCAGTTCAAGGCATTCCCTGCCCGCAACAAAGGACTGACTTAAGTAGGGTATGGCGGCATTCTTGACTCCTGACCAATTGCGGGGCTTGCTGGCCTGTTTCTACTTCCTTTGCCTTCAACCACTCGGGCTGGAGGTTTGGGGAAAGACGGCAGAGGGTGGCCAGATAATGGGCCGGCCATAGCCTATTATCACTGTCTTTCCCAATGGTGCTGAGCTGGCAAAATGCCTAGTTCAGTTTAAAAGACCACTCCTGCTGCTGCTGCCTCTTGCTTTGTTGCTGTGCGTGGAGGTCCTCTTCTTCTGAGCCCTTTGCAGCAGCTATCAACGTCAACACAACTGCAACACATGTCCTTCCGGATCATTCACTGTATCAGCAACGGAAGGTCAAAACTGGTACAGTCTGACAATCACTAGTTACGACAGCGTGTTGATCGACTAACTTAGCCTGAGGAAGTGAGATGAGATCAGATTGACCATCCGACGGACTATCCGAGCGAGTGGGTATCTTGCATCTCACATGCACACTGCCATCATAGCATAGCGTCTACAAACGGCATTGTGGAAGCCATGGAAGCCCTACCGGGCACGGCGCTGACCCAAAAATAAGACATGTCTACATGGATGGACCTCGTAGTTCTGGCCGCGCATGATCCAAAGGCCGGGATGTGCATGGTGTTTAGACTTTAGTGCCCACTTGCGGTATCTAGCGACGTGCAGCAAGAGACGAAACCTGAAAGAGAGGAGATAGAGAGTGTGTGTTATCCAGAAAAGAAACATAGGCAGCATATCACTTGTTGCTTGTTTATTGTTTGTCCTCTTTCAAGGATATCCAGTCCGTAGTTGGTAATATAGTAGTGTCTGCTCGAGGCGCCATCTCCAGCCAGCCCAGCTAGCGCTCTCTCCCCAGCATCCCCCCAGCTCCAGCCTAAACCTACCCCCAAAAGTTCCCCCACCACTCACTGTCAAGCAGTACAAGTTGCAGTACAGTATTTTGGTTGTTGTAACGGGTGCCTAGCTAGCTAATGATTCGGTAGTCAAGCCACAGGTAACAGGCACAACTGGTGCACTGAGCGCATACAGAGCGTAGAGCACTGCACACGGCACTCTGCACTCAGCATCTCCACTCCACTTCCTCTCACGCTTTCACTAATACACTAATACCGTCACTGTCACTTTCACTATCACTTGCACTTGCACACCTCCTGCTGAAACTGCGTTGGATGTCAGTCCGTGCTGCTGCAAAGGCTTCGTTTCAACCAGGGCTGCGGCGTGTTAGATACATAACTTTGCTTTGGCCTGTGGTTGCCTACTACGTTTGCCGGCCAGGTCCCAGAGATTCGTCCTGCCTTTCCGCTGCTTCACAGCTTCATGTCGACGCCATCTCACCTCGCCTGAACCCGTCTCACCAATGATGCTTCCTTCACGTCCGCGCCGTTTACTGTAGGCCACTCACACACCCTCAGCTCTGCCCTCTCGCCTCTGTCCTCCTTCCGTCACTCCGCAAAGATCCTGCGACCTGTGTGGCCGTGCGAAATCTCCGCTGCAGCTCATCCCTTGCCCGTCAGACCTCTCTCCGTGCTCAACTACTACTCCCATTGGCATATGGTATGACCTCCTTACACTCTCAAACCCCCCCAGAAGAGAACTCTATACATTCATTCATTGTACTTCTGAAGCCATTTCTTCATTCGTTCAACTGTCCTGACTCTATCAATCAGCTCTGACCCCTCCTTTTTACTTGCAGGAAATCGCCAGCCTCACACTGCCCAACCTTGAACCGTCCTCCACCACGAGCTACGCCTACCACAACCTCACTTCACTCTTGAATTTTTTTTGTATATTCGCCTCGCAGTCTTCTCTAGCATTTTACATTTCGTCTTTGGTTCACTCTTCAGCAGCGCATCACCACTACGAATAAATCGACCTTTGCTGCAACTCGCTGCACCATTCCACAAGAGCAGGCCTATTCTCCTCTACCAACCTCGAACCATACATAATTTCTTGATACAGTTGCAAGAGCCTGGAAGCTTAGGGAATACTACAATCATCTTTTACTGCTACTAAGAAGAAAGTCGGCCCTTTGAACTGCTATGACTGTGGAGCAAACCCCATTTCGGTATGACGCCCAATGAACGTGCATCGTCACCTTTTCTTTCAATTACGAAATGTCAACCGCTTCCCCGAATCTCTCCCCGCAGCCCAGACCGACACAAATTTTTTCTTCATCTTAATTCTCTTGCAAGAATTGGTGCTGTATAGCAATGCTATCGTGTTTACCTTGACACTTTGTTTAAGCTACAGCTGCATATCATTGGCCCATCCATAGGCTACAGCCTTCTTGTGTCCAGTCATGTCGTTCGGCACAAATATCGACTTCAATACGCTGACAATGTTCAACAGCACACAGGATTGGCGCCTTCCGAGTCCTTCCTCAACTCCAACATCTCCAAGCATCCAAGATCACCTATTGCTGACTCCCAAGACTGCCCCCTCGCACTCTCACTTTCTGGATGCATTTACTACTCCTGATGTCAATGCTGCCAGCACACCACACCTGACACCGTTGTTCACATTCGACTCTCCCGTCTTCAGTCATAGCAAGAACAGACTTCGTAGCCCAGAGGATCCGAGCTTTCATGTCAACCACTTCTCGCAAGACCTCACACTGCTCCCAGTCGAGCCTTCCCGCCGATTGACATCCTCACCAAACCCATCCTCTACCCCAGTCAAGCAGCGGGAGGTGCACCACAGATCCAAGATTACGTCAAAATTGCCCTCGAACTCAGAGATGGACCCTTCCCAAATCCAGACCCCTCCTCCTACACGAGATTCTTCCTCTCGCAAGAAACATGGTCAGCCACAAAGCGTGTACCGTAATATAACTCCTGCGACTACTGGTCACAGATCAACTCAAGTCTCAACCCCAGTGAACCAAAATGCTTTCAATTCGACTCCAGTGCAATTCCCTTCACTCCGGTCATCCACAAGCGGAACCCCAATCTTCGATGCTGGACCCTTGACCACTCCTATCTATTCCCAGCGGCTTTTCTGGGAGGATGACTCTGTGCAGCAAGATATGGGGATGAATGTAAACCTGTCCGTAGATCCGTTCGGACCTACACCAGGGCGGAACAATACACCCTTTGGCTGGCCTTTAGTCGATTCGGGCAACCAAATGCAATTCAACGACCTCTCGCAGCATAACACAACGAATGCGTCGGACACAAGTTTACCATTCACTTCCACCAGCGGTGATGGCCTGACCACTAGCAGTTTTACAACCGGGTCATTCGCGGCTACCTCAGGGGTAGATCCGTCAATGCTGTTCAGTTTTGGTGGGCCTTTCGATATGAGCGGATCGAATAAAGACCTTACAGATAACCAACCTGTCGTCGACCATCTGGGGCGGCGGCCTTACGAACAACAAACAAGAGAGTTTGAACAAGAGCGCCAGCAGCGTGAGCTAGCAAAACAGCGCAAACAGCAGCAACATTCCCGTACTAATACAACTTCATCGTCAGGATCCAGTGGCCAGCCCTCTCGACCCCTGATTCAGAGAAGTAGAACAGAAAGTACGATATGGCGCGACTCCAACACTGCTTTTGCACAATCCCGAACGCCCACGTCGAGCAGCCAATTGGAACACATACCTCGCAGGTCATCCCCGTTGAAACGCCTTAGCAGTCAAGGAGGCCTCAGTGCGATTGCTGAGACGAACCGCAGCCGGCCACGGACACGTCTAGTCATTGATGAGTCTGGTCGTGCCAGGACCGAGACAGACCCTTATGTTCAAGCCCGGCAAGAAAAGACACCACAACCCAAGTACCGGACGCAGTATCCAGGTCATTGGGACACTGACGACAGCAGTGAAGAAGACGAGGATCGGCCTGTGTCTAGTCGCACAAACTCTTTCGCTTTCCCTGCTTCATCTACAAGACCCTCTTCTAAACATGCACGTGATAGCCTAGGCAAGTCTGGCAGTGCAAAGAAGGCTCGTCCCACATCATTCATTTCCCTGACCAAGGCGTTCGAGAAGCCCGGTCCAGACGAAATCAGCGATAGTCTGAGAAGATATAGCATGTCCAGCTTCAACGATTCTCTAGGCCTGTCGAGTGTGAGTGCCACCGAGCCAGGCGACGCCCAACACGCTTTGAAAGCGATACGTCAAGGTCGTGAAGGGCGTATTAGGACCCAACGTATGTTAGTAATTTTTGGTTTATGCCTTGACGCTAACGTTACTGTAGAACGAGCGGCACAGAACACACTGAACGCGCACAACAAACGATGGTCGCAGGCTGCTGCCGTGGACATTATGAAGCTCTCTTATGCGGATCCCTTCACATCATCACCCACAAATCGCACCGCTGACCAGTCCCTTGATTTCGCGACGCCAAGCACAGATCGTAGTAGTGCATCAGCGGACAGTACACGCTGCGTTTGCATGTCTCTCGAGGGAGAAGGGCTTATGATACAATGCGAATCGTGCACCAAATGGCTCCATGCCACCTGCGTTGGTGTACATCCACAGAACGTTCCATCCGTCTACTTATGTACTTTCTGCACCGGTAGTACCCCAGCAGCACGAGGAGGCAGAGCAAGAGAGCCAATGATGCGAGCTCCAGTGAACGCATACGCCAATACAAGTCCATTAAAGCACAAGTCAACATACCGACGATAGTGGACCATGTCGGCCTCGACTGTTACGGGTCACTACCTCACCTGTGACATCACACACTCCTGTACCTTCACTGGCTTTACTTGTTGCATAGCACTTCATTTGTACAGCATATACTCCGGATGATCCTGATCAGTGCATCATTTCTCTGCACATCGTAGATGACCTCATCAACCCATAATTTTCACCTTCTAATACTCGGTAACAATTTTACAGGCGCCACAGCACACCTTCATACACCCTTTTCATTCACACTTTCCTTGATGACACATTACGCGGCCGCGATTTCATGTTTTGACGTTTACATCACGGCCGTACACATTGGAGATGACGTTGGAGTTGGATGTACTATGCTTCAAAAGTTCTCAGTCTTTGGGGGATGCGTCGCCTTAAGGACATAGCTTAGCTGGTCTAAGCTGCTCATGGAATCAAAGTTCATTCTTGGGCGAAGTCGAATAAGGTACTTCATTATTTGGCAGGCGAGTTTAATAAGGACAAGAGAAATGCTTGGTGCGCGTCGTACCGCTCAGCAAATGTTTCCATTCAGAGTCTGTAATATAGAGGAGTGAGTATTACTCGCCCTGATCAGTGAGGGAGTGTTTTGTCTTTAGCGAACGCATTTATTCGTTCGTCGATTTTGTACGGTGCATAAACACAACCTGGGCACACAGGCAGCCATTATATATGTAAATACAGCCAGCACAGGTTAAGATTTTTTTGTCAGGACAATGGAACTTATCACTTTGATCAACGCCGTTATCCTTGAGAGAGACTAGATGCAGTGCCATGTCTTTTGTATAACAGGTTCTTCATGTGCAGTACGTGCGTGCCCACACTCCTTGCGCCGTGCCTTGGGTATCTCATGCTACTCTATGCTCATGGCGTCGCGCTCCAATATCGAACTGTCCTCGCCCTCCATCATGGTTATCAGATCCACGCACTAACTGGCTCAACGCAAATCTGGTCCGTCACCCCAGTCGCCTAGCCCACCCAATACACTCTTCTTCGTCCGCATCGCCAGTTCCTTTACCGGACTTCCACCCATTCTCCCCACTCCTCCTCCTCCTCCACCCCCCCTCGTCAGTCCCACAGGCGTGCTGCTGCTGCCGCCATGCACCGCCACATTTGGCACTCTCACCCGGGGCTCCTCCCTCCTCGTCCGATCCCGCGCGAAGATCTGCAGGCCGCGCAGATGCGTATCCTTGCCGTTCTGGTGATTCTCCATGATCTTGACCTGCAGCAGATGCGCGCGAAGCGTCGGTGCGCGGCGGCGGCGCCGTCGGCGTCTACGATGTGTAGATTTCGTTCTTGTGCTGGTGTGTTCGCGCGGAAGGGGGCTCTTGCTGCCGTCGCGCGAGACGGGCGGCGATGGGGACGTGCTCGGCGTGCTGAGTGGGAATGCGTCGTCCGAGTCCGCGTCTTCGTCGTCGTCGTCATCATCTGAGTCTGCAGCATCGCTGTGGTCGTCTGCGTCGTCGCTGTCGTCTAGATACTCGTATCTTCCTACGTTGCTCATGTCCACGCTGCACCAGCCGCGCGGCTGCTCCAGGCGCATCTCCGCCCACTCGACGAGATCGTTGTAGCCCGTGCCGGCGAGGAAGACGATGCGTGTCGGGGTGTAGGACTCGTCGGCGTCGAAGTCGAGGAAGAGCCGGACGCCGGCGATGCTGACGCGCTTGAAGAAGTGTATGTTGAGGTAGTGCGGTTGCGGTCCGTCGGATTGCCAGAAGGCGGATGTGCTGGGTGAGCGCAGCTGGGCGATTGAGCAGCCGGGTTTGCTGCTGGAGACGGTCCAGGAGGCGAGGGAGGAGATTTCGCGGAGGTGGGCGGGGAGAGGGGGGTGTTGGGTTGGGGAGGTGGGTGGGAGGTCTGGGAGAGGTGGTTAGCTGGGGTGGTGTGTTTTGCGATGTGATGTGATGTGGTGCTTGGTGAGGGGCGTGATGAGGATGTTTACATTTGGTTGTGGTTGAATGAAGCAATTGAGAGGTTGTTGGATTCACGGTGATTGAGACGTACCGTGTGCCTCGTCTTCGTCTTCATCGTCGTCTTCTTCGACTTCGACTTCCTCTTCGTTGCCTTCTTCTACGTCTTCCATGGCATCTCCATCTTCGTCGATATCCTCGTCCTCGAAGCCGTCGTCTTCCAGGTCCTCATCGTTATCGGTGTAGCGCTGTTGATGGGGCGGGGCTCTCGAGAAACGCGCGGACGGAGGCATTGTTGTGTTGGTTGAGAAGACGTTGATAGCCAGGTTCGTCTCTTAAGTTGCAGCTACGGGCAACCTCCAAAGCTTGGGGGGGTCCTTGGTAGCTCCCCAACGCTTCGGCTATAATTACCATTTGATACAGAAACCAATTGTCTTCCTGGCCTGGTCTACTTTTTCCGGCACGTACTTCGACCAGGACTAAAAAGGGAGATGATTTACCTTACGTCAGGGCCAAATTGTTCAATAATGTTTGAAGCGTTCGCTGCAAAGATAACAGACAGATTAAGCACGCACCAGCCGCCGTAAGCTATGGATGGTGCGGGGCTACAGTACTGTACCTAATTATAGTGGCCGTTATCTGTTGTTACGCGATCACCTCATCAAGCTGTCCCATTGACAGAACTAAGAACAAGAGCTATTTAAGTAGCCTGGCTTGTCCAATTGATCAACCAGCGCTTTAATCTTAGAACTTACTCTGTCAGTATGTCAAAGGATTACGATACGTTCCATCTGGGAAATTTCAAGCTCAAGTCTGGAGGAGAAATACCAGAGGCATTTATCGCCTACAAGACGTTCGGAACGCCGGGTAATCCTCTGATCATATACCCAGTAGATAACCTTTTACTCGTGAAAGAACAGGGCTAACAATGCCAGACATGGTACTCTGGACTTATAGCCAACAATGAATGGCTAATTGGTACAGACAAAACGTTGAACCCAGACAAGTACTTCATTGTGGTGACAGCACTCTTCGGCAATGGCCAGTCTTCATCACCATCAAACACACCTTCTCTGAAACCTTTCCCAGAGGTTCTTTTCTATGATAACGTAAAAGCACAGTACAGGCTTGTTACCGAACATTTCGGTATCAAACGTGCTAGAGCAGTTCTTGGATGGTCCATGGGGGCTGGCCAGACGTATCAATGGGCCTGCCAATATCCCGACTTCATGGACTTGATCGTTCCATTTTGCGGAGCGGCTAAGACGTCTCTCCATAATCAGGTCTTCCTCGAGGGGGTGAAATCTGCTCTACTGTCTGCCAAAGGAACTCATTCAGGTGGCATTGCGAAGGGAGAGGCAACTGAACCGAAAGACTACCGTAATTGGACAAGTGAAGAAAAGACCATTGGTTTGAAGGCTCTCGCTAGAGTGTATGCCGGCTGGGGACTCAGCCAGGCTTTCTACAGGGAGAAGTTATACGAGAGCTACTTGGGTTTCAAGAATCTCGAGCACTTTATGGTAGACTGGTGGGAAGCGTGGGCGCTCTCAAAAGGTAAATATAGTACTGCTGTCATGATCAGTAGACTATGTCCAGAAAGTAATGCTGATGAGTATCAGATCCGGAAAACATGCTCGTGATGCTGCAAACGTGGCAGGCCGGCGATTGTTCGGACCAGGAGCCATACAACGGCGATTTCGCGAAGGCAATGCAAGCTATCAAAGCCAAAGCATTGGTTGTACCAGCCAAAACTGATCTATATTTCCCGTGAGCGATGCACACTTCATACGCAAGGAGACCATACTGAGCGGTGATACAGGCCCGAGGATTCTGAGATCGAGGTCCAGAATATGTCGCCAGGAATTGGTCAACTAGAGGTAATTTTCATACTGCACAGCAAAGAGACGGTACGTTTACTAATTGAAACAGGTATTTCCAACCATCTGGGGCCATTGGGCTGGAGGGCCAGGAGATAGCAAGGAGGACGTACAGTGGCTAGATGAGAAGTTGCGGGCGTTTTTTGGAAACTGATAATTAGGGTCCTGTCGGTGCTTGAGGCTGGGTGAAATGGTTGGTACGACTTGACCGTATGCGGACTAGATAGTACGGCTTGGCGTTTCCCAGTCGAGCGCGAAGTCTCTCAAATCTTACACATTTCCCATGATGTTTCACTGCTGCCGCCTGAATGAAAAGATATCTGGCATCCCTCGAGCCATGTTCCGAAGGTCAATGCACATGATCCGTAAAGCGGCTTAAATCATCATCGCCCGTGGTCGCGAGACGCGCTTCTTACCTTTAGCCAGCGCGCTTCACCAAGGCTACCACGAACATCGACTCTACCTCTTTATAAGTCCTCATCACAGCCATCGCCATGGCCGCTCCAGAAATACGACAATGGGGACAGAATCCCCCGATTTCTACCGCTTTACCTACAGAGCAAGAGAACCAGCTCAACGCTGCTCTTATTGACGAGCTGAAGCGGGAAAACAATTTTGAGAGACCGGAAGAGACGGAAAAGAGAGTGGAGATATTGAACACGTTCCAAAAAGTCACAGAAGAGTTTGTTAAACTTGTAGGCAGAAACAAAGGCTTGGCTCAATCTGCCATCGACAATGCTGGAGGCAAAGTGTTCACGTATGGGAGCTACAGACTCGGTGTCTACGGTCCAGGTCAGTTCAATCCGTTCTGACGACAGAAATATATGAACTCAGATACTATCTTTGAGCTGTGCTTAATTTTCTCTCAGGTTCTGATATTGATACCCTCATCGTTGCACCTAAGCATTGCACTCGCGATGACTTCTTCCAGCTCTTCCCCGAGCTGCTCGCGAAGATGTCTCGCGCGGATGCCATCGACGAAATGACACCTGTACCCGATGCTCACGTTCCAGTTATCAGTCTCGAGTACTGTGGGATAAGTATAGATTTGATTTTCGCACCGTTGGCGATATCCTCCGTGCCCATGAGCCTAGACCTCAAGGATAAGAATTTGTTGAAAGGGCTGAGCGATACAGATCTCCGCAGTGTCAATGGATCGCGTGTTACGGATGAAATTCTGACCCTTGTACCCCAAGTCAAGACATTTCGACATGCTCTGCGAGCAGTGAAGCTGTGGGCGCAACGTATGTTCATTGAAGCCGAGGTGGTTACGTCCATGCTAACAGCTAGCAGGGCGTGCAGTCTATGCAAACGTCATGGGTTTCCCTGGTGGAGTCGCATGGGCCATGATGGTTGCTCGTGTTTGCCAGTTGTATCCCATGGCCCCTGGCTCTGTGCTTGTTTCCAAGTTCTTCAACCTCATGAAATCGTGGCCGTGGCCCCGGCCAATCATGCTAAAAGACATGGACGACGGTCCTATCCAGCAGAAAGTCTGGAATCCACAGGTACATATCTCGTGGCGCAAGTCGAAGATTATAAACTCATGGTATGCAGATCTATCCAGGCGACAGACGGCATCTGATGCCTGTTATTACCCCCGCTTTCCCTTCCATGTGCGCTACACACAACATCACTCCCTCGACGCAAAAGATTATTCTGAGAGAGCTTAGTCGCGCCAGTGATATTACGAACGAGATATTCATGGGCCGGAAGGCTTGGAAAGATCTGTTTCGCCGGCATACCTTCTTTACAGAGGGGTACAAATATTATCTCAGCATAGTTGCCGCAAGTAGAACGAAAGATGCTCAGTCCATATGGTCTGGTCTTGTTCAGTCGCGACTACGAAGATTAGTCACGGGCATCGAAGTTTCGGATGCAAGCGTGGAGCTCGCTCATCCGTTTAACAAAGGATTTGAGCGTGTTCATCAGTGCAAAACTGACGAAGAGGTGGAAATGACGTTACAAGGGAGCTTGAAGTTTCAGGTCAAAGAAGTAAAGACTGAGACAACTGAAGATACTAAAGATATCAAGCAAGCAGTTGTTGCCGAAGGTAGCACAGAGAACGTTGAAATGCCTAACAAGACACTTGGAGAAGTGAACAGTGATGGAGTTCGGACGATTTATTCGACAACATTCTATGTTGGGATAGAGCTTGAAGAAGGTAAGATCGCACAACCTACGTGCCCTACCTTGATTCTGACTTTCTCAGGCGCCAAATCCCTGGATATCTCGTATCCCGTCGGTGAGTTCAAGAGGAACTGCACAGACTGGCCACAGTACAACGACGAGCTCAATTCTCTGAGAATAGTGCATACACGGAAGTAGGTCGGGGACATGATTGAAATTTGTGTTGCAGATTTTAACAGCTATAGTTACGACTTGCCCGATGATGTTTTCGAGCCCGGTGAGGTTCGACCAAGCAGAAAGAAGAAAGCGACATCACGCAGCAATGGCCAGAGTGCGTCCAAGCGAAACGTTGGAGAAGCAGGACTAGACGTGCGTGACAATCCTTGGACTCTGATTTCCTTTGCTTCCGTTTTGCGGCTAGTACTAACACGATTCGGCATGAGAGTGCCAAGCGCCAGCATGATCGAAGCTAACGTCTTATCTTTGGGTATCTAGGGTACAAATGGACATCCAGCAAAACGTCAACAATCGTCGACGGGAGTTTCGACGGCGGCAGGGTGATTGGTGACACTCGATAATCTACTTTCTTTGTGTTTCCGTCGTTGCTCCCATTAAGGTTTATCCCTCGAAGAAGCCAAATGGATCTGACATGCCCTGACGGGTCTAGGATATAAGGATCAGTAACGCCCTCATGGCTAAGTCCGCATGCAGCGCCAAGTGAGACTGTATTCGACATAGTATCGAGGCATGACACCAAGGTGTAGACGCAGTGCCGCGTAGGCAAACCTCAAGGTCTGTTTTGCAAATTCCCTTTGATCAAGAGTCTCCTTTTCGCGGGACAAGTACGGGTGGTTGGTTCGGTGTGTCTATACTCTCACAAAGTCACAGTATTCGAAGAGTCAAGATGCATGGGCACACAGGAGTTTCTCGGCATTACAAAGAGTTGGGCGTCTCATTACGTCAAGACGTGCGCAGTTTAAGATTTCAAGACTTCACAAGGGAAGCACAGGAGGTGAGAGTACTTTGTACATAGCACATAGTTGAATTTACGTCCTTTTCGAGGTCTACGGACCTCTACCATCTAACACGAGGATCTTGATGGTTGATGCCGATATTGGGTGGTATCATAGTATGTACATGCAGCACTATTCTGGCGCGAGGACGTGCCCACGGCCCCAGGCCCCATCAGATGGGTTGAGCGCCCAGACAAACGGGCCACGTTCGCGCTGCACGCTGCAGCACGCGAGCCGCACGCGGCTAAGCCACGCTCTACCACAGTACCTAGGTGTACAGCTACCAATACGCCTGATATCTTATATCCTACAGGGAAGATGGGATAGCTTATGGTAAAGTAGGATACTTACATTGCATGCCGATACACAGGATCCGATATCCGTAGACTCAACAGCAATTTTATGGATCCATGTTGCATACATGATAAATTAGTGAGTGATAGGATGCTTGTGCAGGATTGTGGCGCAGGTGGGTTGCTGCCTGAGCGGCTTGGCATCAGGCCCCCATCAGGCCCTATCAGGCTTCCCGTGCGGCGGCGGCGGCGTCCTCGTCGAAACCGTCACGCCGTCACCAAAACCAACAGAACTAACCTCATGTTTTGCTAGTCGGGAAACAAGGGTTAGGGTTACGGCTTTTCTAGCAATACAAGACTTTTCCTCTCCAGACGACGTGATCTCTGTTCTTCCAGTCTCTGGTTTCTGTTCGATCCCGCACCTTGCTTACTGCTGCGCCCAGAAGAAGCCTTTCTCCCTCCTCCCCTGGTCTTTTTGGTGTTCAGCCTTGTCCGACTAAAAGCTACTACCCTGAAGTCTCTCTCCGTTCCAGTCCTTCTTCGTCCCAGTCCAGTGCCCTCTTTTCTGCGCCCTCGTCATTCAGCTGAGCTGTGCTGTGCTGTATGTGCTGTATATGCTGTGTGCTGTGAGGGGCATACGTTCGTTCCATCACAGTCAGTGCAGAAGCAAGTGGTCGGGTTTTTCCATTCTCTGCCTCGGCTCCAGACTTGCTCACGACCAAGACGAATCTACTCCCAAGTCAATTTTGGGGTCTACTACTGCGTCGCAGAATCACCAGCTTCTTTCTCACGACTCTAGCTAGGGCTGAGAGTTCAGCTTGAGCAAGGCCACCAGTTACAGTCGAGTCTCAGCTCTCCTACACAACACACACACACAGACAGGCCAGCCCGTCGCAGCGCTCGTCTGCTCCACACTACACACCAGTGACACCACGCACCGCCCAACCAGCCAGTAACCAGCTACCAACAGCCAACTGAGCCAACCGACCCGACCGTCGTCCCTCCCAGGCCCTCTGCTCCACCCACTCTCTCCCCCCCTCCCGTCCTCTGCTCTCTTTTTACAACGTCTTCGCTGACCGTTCCCCCGTCGAGGTTGTTTTCATGTCATCCATGAACGCTCGCTTCAAAAATCTCGTGGGCTCGAGACGCAAATCCTCAAACACTGTTGCTGCCTCAAACCCAAGCACCCCGCCCCCAGCCAACTCCAGCTCGCTCTCCCCTCCTTCCAATCCCAGCTCCTCCACCACTTCTCTCCAGATGAATCCCCAAAACCCTCTCGGTCGTCCTCCTTCCTACACCTACGCTCCTCCTGGTGGCAACCTCGGTGCTCCTCAGCAACACGGTCGTTCGAGTAGTCCAATGCCCCCGCCGCCCATAAACACTGGTGCACAAGGCCACGGATATCCACCCCAACCGCAAGGCCAGATGTATGGTCAAGGTCCTCCTCCTCCGGGGCCTCCGGGTTATCCTCCCGCTCAACAACCTCAGTATGGTGGTTATGGTGCTCCGGCTCCGGCTCCTCCAGGGCCACAAGCGTACAACAGGCCCCCACCAGCTGTCGAGGCTGATGCCGGGAATCGGAGTAAAGCTCAATTGATTGTTGGGATTGATTTTGTAAGTCCGAGTCTCTTAGCAGTCATACGGCGAGTTTGCGCTAACTATACGCTAGGGAACCACCTTTTCCGGTGTAGCGTTTGCGTTTGCGACAAATACTGAGGCAAAGGAAGACATCATCACTGAGTGGCCGGGCGCAGGGAATCAAACAAAACAAAAGGTCAGCAAGAATAACATGAGACACCAGAGTCGCTTTTCTAACGTTTATCGTAGATTCCGACCGTTCTATACTATGATCAATACCAAAAAGTCGTCGGATGGGGTCCAGATATTGCTGAGGCGCTAGCTCCGACTGGATACCCCAAGGCTGGCGTGCAGAAAGTCGAATGGTTCAAGCTGCAGCTGATGCTGTCTGGAAACACATATATTGACCCAATCAACCTTCCCCCACTACCGCCAGGCAAGTCGGAAATCGACGTAGCCGCTGATTATCTATTCCACCTAAGACAGGCCATGCGAAACCAGCTGCAAAAAACCCTCGGAGAAGTATTCAATCGTGAAGAGAGAAATATTCGATACTACCTCACAGTACCTGCTATCTGGAACGATGCTGGGAAGGCAGCTACTCGTGCTGCAGCCATTCAGGCCGGCTTCCTTCGGGACGAGAACGACAATCGGCTGACACTGATCACTGAGCCAGAGGCAGCTGCCATGTTCTGTTCGAAGACAGGCTTACTTAATCTCAAAGTACACGATGCTCTTCTGATCGTTGATTGCGGTGGTGGCACCGTCGATTTGATCGCTTATGAAGTCGAAGAGGAGAACCCATTCTCTGTCGCAGAATGTACTGCAGGTTCTGGTGACTCTTGCGGCTCTACCGCATTGAATCGTAACTTTAGCAACATTCTTCGTGCCAAGATCCGAAAGATGAAGCTTCCAGACGGCTCCAAGACTGCAGGCAAGGTTTATGCCAAGTGCATCATGGATTTCGAAAACCGAATCAAAGCAGACTTCCGCAACAACGGTCAGGTATGTGCTGTCACGTCTCTTGGGCTGACTTATGCTAACCAGCTTCACAACAGAAATGGGCCGTTGACGTTGGTATTGAAGCCGAGTTCCCTGAAGCAGGCATTGAAGAGGGCTACATGACGTTTACGAACGAGGAGATTCTTCAGTGCTTCGAACCAGTCGTTAATCGTATTCTGGAACTTGTACGGAACCAAATTATTGCCATCCAAGCGCAAAATAGGGCACTGCAGGTTTGTGAATCATCTAGTGATGCCTTACACATTTGCTAACTTCTTCTAGAACGTTCTCGTTGTTGGTGGTTTTGGTGCATCCGAATACCTTTTCCAGCAAATCAAGCTTCACGTTCCTCCACAGTTCCAGTCCAAGGTCGTCCGGCCTATGGATTCAGTAGCAGCTATTGTGAAGGGTGCTGTCACAGCTGGTATTACTGAGCGTATTGTAACTCATCGTGTGTCCCGTCGTCACTATCTGATGGCTACCTTGCAGCCTTTCAAGGAGGGTCACCATCCTGAGCAGTATCGTGTCCCGTCCCTGGATGGCAAGGATCGCTGCAAATACACTCGCCAAATATTTGTGCAAAAGGGTCAGCGTGTCAAGATTGGCGAGCCAGTCAAGGTCTCCTTCTTTCGACAAGTGGCACCAGGGGCTACGCTCATGTACGAAGATATCTTGTATGCTTGTGACGATGATGTCTGCCCAGAGTATACCAAAGATCCTCGTAAGTTCCGCTCCACTTAATGTTATTCAAGGACGGACCTAACATGGTAATTAGGCATCAAGGAAGTCGTTACTTTAACCTCAGATCTCTCACGCAAGAATCTCGAGAAAGATTTCGAGCGCATGGACACACCGCAGGGCACGTTCTACCGGGTGTACTTTGACATCTACCTCACGCTAGACGGGTCCGAGTTCAATGCAGAACTCGTCTGCCAGGGCGAAGTCATGGGCCGCTGCTCTGCGCGCTTCCGATAAATGTCTCAAAACCTTCCGGACACGAAATGCGGACCCTTTACGAACATCCCTTCATACACATCTCCGGGTACTGGGATGGGATTCTCATTTGGCTATGGAGTTTGACTATAAAACAATTTTTTTTCTCGCTCCTCTTCTCTCCCTTTGTTTGTCGCTGTTGCGTTTCTCTCGATTGTTTTTTGTGTGATGTCTGTCGCGTCTGCATACCCCCCTCCCAATATTCAGTTCAGGCCTTGTTCTCGGTTGCAATGCGCACGCACACATACAAACACACATCTGTTACACACAAATTTCGGCCGCACAGCGCAGCAGATTACGCATATTATGAGTGAAGTGGGGAAAGGGGGGGGCCAGGTTTCGGTAGTGAGTGTGGACCGGGTTTTTACCTGATCTGTCACGAGATGAATATGATGATGATGATAAGGCGACCAGGAGGAAGCCAGGACTTTGGGGAATGGATGGATGGATGGATGCTCATGGGGGATTATTGTGCGAACGTCTTTTTTGGTGGGGGCTTGGGCGAGGTGGGGGCGATGTTGGGATTGCTGTTAGCGAAATGATAGGAGCGACGTAGTTGGTTGGTAGTAGTGAGTGATAGTAGCTAGGTAGTAGGTAGTAGGTAGTAGACATTCTTACATGTTATATGGAGGCTTGAATATATAATGAATGGCGTCCAAGTATCCTGGTCGAGCCCCCACCGTTTTGTATCAGCCCCACCATCTCACGCATATTCTTCGACTACATACGGATCACGATGGTCTGCTATAATGTGTTATCGTCAAGGATCGGCTTATGTTCGTTCCTCTATGGCCATATGAGCGCGCAATCATTGCTATTGGATTCAGGACAATTCATTGTGAATTACGTTACTATAGTCATTGCACCATGCCACTGTGCCTCTCCTATGTTGTATCTACGTTCCCAGGGTATTATTATCATCGGAAGTGAGTCAACGCTGTGCTACAAATTACAACCCCATGCTTCTCTGCTGTCGACATTGCCGTTCGCCTCCTGCACTACAGCATGCTCGCGGTAGCCATTTCAACGTCAACTCATGATCGCCATCATACCATCTGTTCGCCTCGTGCATATCCGCCACCAACAGGTCGACGTTCAATACCTGAATTACGACGGTGGCCAGTAGAGTTGACCGTGTCATTCGCAACGCCATGGCCAACGCCGCTGTGATCTCCATTGTCAACGAGCCCATTCTGATGTCCATTATCAACAACTCCATTATGGTGGCTGCGTCCAGCATTCACATTCGATCCCTTGCCCCAACCTGCCTTGCGCGTAAAGACACCAGTCCCAAAGCCTTCCAGCGCGCTCGCAGCCCGATCATATGCAAACGGTGTTCCACGAATAAGCGGGACGTGGTTGAAACGGAAGTCCCACACCGCAGCATAGACCATCCTATATGCTGCGAATGCGAACATGGTTCCAATGATAGCACCAGCAACTACGTCATACCAATTGTGGTACTCATCAATGGTGAGGGCACCGCCGATGAGGACTGCTCCGAGGATGGGTGCAAAGACGAGAATCAGTGCCCACATTGGCGTATGGTGGTTGCTGAAGAGCTTGAGCTTAGCATTAAGGTAGAGGGAGAGGAAGACGAAGCCAGCGAAGGCGGCTGTGGTGTGGCCCGAGGGAAAGGATTCGAGGGCATCATCGATTTCTGGTCACGGTCAGTGCCTGGCTTTTCAGTGGAAGTCGATACCACTACGGTACTTACGGTCGTTGTCTCCTGTACAGATAGATCTATCGAACATGATACCACCAAGTCCATTGCCGGTCAAGGGTGAGCCACTCGGGTCGGCGTTTGGATCGGTCGCTATGGCGATCATTGCAGGGGTGATATTGGGCTTGCAGACAGCCAGGAAGTGCGGTCTCAGACCACCGATGAGGCACTTCAGAAACACCTGGAAGACGGCAGCAGTGATAAGTGAGTATAAGAGACCAAGAGTCTAAACAACATGTGTTAGCATACTTCTCCCAAACGGAGTGCACCATGGCTGAACATACAGCATTGTTCACATCCCAGAAACTCCTGACACGGATCTGCGCGATCAAGAACACAGAAATCGGTACCAACGCAGCGAGTAGTGCAGCGGCCCAGATGGGGATGATCTCGTTGCGAAGTGGGTACGCGAACTGAGGGTACACAATCTCACCATCAGCGAAGTAGATAGGGAACGAGCGGGAGGGTGCTGGTGGAGCTTCGTAAACCTGGACACAACATTAGCAATTACACCCAACACGAGTGTGTTCTTCCTCCAACCCATGAAGCCATGGAAAGGATTGTAAACTTGAAAATCAATGAACATACACCAAGACCAATCACACCCATTATGACCATAGTCAAGATATCTGCCCAAGTAAGTTTGAACCACTGTCCAAACGTCGGCCTCGAGTAAAGCGAGTGCGTATTCCCATGGTTGCGGGCATTGATAACGCCGCCAGTGTGACCGGTCGCGTTGCTGCGATGATCACGATTGAACATGCCACCGAGTGCAGACTTTTTCTCTGGATGAGTACCTGTAGCAGTGGTGGTGTCTGCAGCAACCGGTTGCGTACGGCGATTGAAAAAACCCATCTCGATGCTGGCTGAATTCTGAAGCGATTGAAACAATAGCAGCTAGGAACAACTGAATGAGCTGGGAATGGATGTAAGATGGATGTAGCGTGCAAGTCGCGTGAGATAGAGGGACGGAAGAGGATGACGCAAGACGGCGGAGTCTGAACAAGGCAGGCGCGATCTGGTCCTGGAGACGGGAAAGTCAACAAATTTCCAGGACGTGCGCAGCTTAAAAGGGCAATGACTCTATAGTGGACTTCCCTGTTTTCGACGCGCATGCACACCGAGAAGTTGAGATTGCCATGACGTCTCATCTCCACATTACTCAAGGTAATATTGTTGTTCTTCACTTCACTAGCCACAGAGAATGCTCGACACGACATGGCACTACGCGGCACGGTGCGACGGAGAAGTCGCACTTGTGTAGACTGTGTGGAGCATCTTGTAGTTGGCCTTGACACCTCGACTTGATACCTCCGATGTACTGTACTACTGGAGTCTGTAGCGCGTTATGCTCCGACAGTTGGCAGAAGCTTGTCAAAAGCTTGGTCTGGTACTACTGTAGCATAACCCTTAACATTGGTTCGCTTGCTGCGTGACCCGACTTTAGCGGCCGCTGCGTGGAGCATGATGCGATGACGTTTCGCATGGATTGACCGTATTTGGTCGATTCTATTGGTCGTGTTCACGAAGGTGTTTGCAATGGTCAAAGAGGGGTGTACAGACGTATAAATCCTTGCTAGAAATTCAAATGGGTATATAACAGAAAGATTGACCATAAATATCCGCCGACGAAGCACAGCCGTGTTCGAACCAGTTGCACCACATTTAATACAATATACATGACCATACACGTTCCACCACATATCCGCCACATTCGCATGTCTTTCATGTTCTTTTGATTCTCAACTCGACAAGCAGCGACGCTCCAGCAACAGCTTTGCGTGCATCTAGCTGCATCATGATCATTCTTGGCCAGTACTGTCTCCCAGCGCACATGTGAAGTCCCAGAGTCCCAGGGCCGAGCTTTTTTGGACCGATCCAGCTCTGACCTTCATAACCCAGCCGAGTTAGAAGCACCTAGGGCTGTCACTGTTACAAGTCCTCGCTCGTGTTTGTCCCATGCCTCTTGTGTGGTGGATCGTGGTGGACCGCAGGTATTTCTCGAGGTCGAGACCTGCGTCACATCGACCACATGCTTTTGGTCAAATTGTTGGTTGAAGATATCGTTGACGGATGAGCCGGTGTTGTATGTGTGCGCAAAGTATTGTAGCTCTCAATCATTCATAGGATCACTCTGAATCTGCAGTAAGAAGAAAGATGCATTCTAGATCTGCGTAATTTGCGAAAAGAATAATGAGCTATGCTTCTGCTTGGTAGGAGAAACGCAAGGAAATCTCATCTGTGCAGTCTGTGGTGGGGAGGGGCGAGGAGAGCAGGTAAGTGAAGAGAGGAGCAGGTCATGGATCGATATAATCAATGTCATTGAAAAGATCCATGACCACTTTCAGCATGGGTTCGCAGAGGCTTACTTCGTCCCCGGTCTCGCCTCCGAAAAGGCGAAGCCGTTGAGCTTCCATTGCATCTTCGTCATCCTGCATCTGCCATGCCGAGTAGAGCTCTTCGAAAAAGGGAGAAGATTGGTAATGAGGGAGTGGAGGAGCAGGCTCTATGTTTCGATCTTTGGACGAGGAAACGGATGATGTCCGAGAATGATTTTGCTGCGTATGCGAACGGTGGCGAGGTCGACTTCGGGTTCGTTTACGGTTGTGTCGTTGGCCCATTGTGCGTTATCAATCAGCAGTCACGGAGACCCTGGCGGTAGAACAAAGATTGTAGAGTGGTAATGAGTGGCAAGCATGGAGGTCATAGATATATATATATACACTTCCGATGTTGACTAGAGGCAGCGATGCCGTGCCGCGTGCATGAGAATGACAGAGTCATGCATGTGATGACTCAAACCGATTGAGGCGGGTTCTGCTGACTCATGATTGGCCAGGCTGTGGACACTAACTTGATTAGGTACAAAGCACAGCCACGGCTAGGCAGGGAACATGGTAGAGCCTTCTCGATGCGTCAAACACGAGAGGCTCAACCGAAACATGTCTCTACTGCATTCGTCATCTGCTTTTTCAGACTTGGAAGCAGCAATGTCACACCACTATGGTCCCATCTTACGAATCCGCGCGACACTCATACATGTCCTCGATTTCGCATAACACGTAATAGACCACCTCACTGTTGCGTACTAGATACTAGGTCGGGCTTCATTCTACCACTGGCATATTTTCGGAGCTGGCTTGCCTCTGCCATGCATCTTTGACGCCGATGTCGGTGCGACGTGTCTCCTGAGTCACAAAGCATAGATGAGGAGCTCTGTCGCCTATTTTGCGATGACTACGAGCAATCTAGAGGATATATGTCTGACTAAAAGATTCGCGACTTGCCAAGTATCGCGACAAGCACGCTGCAGTTGCCTACGAGGCTTCACTCAAGTGCCAGCGCATCCGACGGGGCGGTGGCCAGGCACGTAGAATTCGAGCACTAGCCCACCCGTGTCAGATGTGGCCGTAGAGATTCAACTTTATCGCAACAAAGTTTGTCTTTTCGATACGTATCGTTATGGGAGATAGTGTGGTAGGTTACAAGACACATGACTTGGTGCGTTCCTCTTGCTTGCATAATGTGTGGCATAGAACAACCTTGAACTACCTTTTAATGCGACTACCTTTCTTTGGTGGGATTAGTGACTACCTTTCACGATTCAAAAGTCAAGTCGAAGAAGCAGGTATGGGTCTGATACAGCACGTACATGATGTAGTACATAGCGTTTCACTTTGCAGCCCTGGCCCCTGATACATCATCGTGGGGTGAAAAGATTTATAGTCTTGACATCTCCACAGCTCCACAAACACTCGAGCCTCCTCCCCACGTCTCTCGACAGCAGCCTTGTAACTGATTCTTCGTGGCGTAAGCCATCCGTTTCAATATCCTCAGACCCACTTCCCGTGCTCTTATACACGGAAATTGTTTCTCCGTTCGCACTACCATACGCGCCGGAATCACTGCTAAACGTGCCGGAATCACAATTCCAATCTATTCGAAGCCAAGATAAGTCAAGCCTTGGGACAAAATGCTTGTATATGGAATGATTCCACAGATGGGATATTGAGTCGCAAACTGACTTTGCGATACGTATATTTCGATCCACTTATGATCCTCGACAGTCAAATGAAGTGGCGGACGAATGATAACCGTCATATTAAGGGCTGTAACATAGATTGGGGGACGCGTATCTTGTGCGTACATGTTGACGTCGACGAAAGAATGCTGTAGGCTTTGGTGTATAAAAAGACTCACCAAGGAGATAGAGAGCATACGACACGATCTTTCCACTTTCATCACTTCCTTTCTGCTCCATTCTACTTCAATACTTCTAAAAATGAAGCTCTTTTTCTATGCCTTATCCATAGTCCTGGCGACTGTTGGCTGTGCCGACGCAAAATCCACAGCTGTAAAGAGTTCCAAGACGGCTACATCTTGCACTGTGACGGAGTATGCCTCTGTGTCTGCAGCAGTAGCGTCCTGCACAGCGATAACCCTTAAGAGTATCACGGTTCCAGCTGGTGATACGTTGGATCTGACGAAGTTGAAGGCTGGATCGAAGGTCACCTTCTCAGGCACCACGGTTAGTCCTCTAAACTTGCGACAGGATATCATGCTAGCGACGCCTCTATAGTGAGAATTGCTAGAAGTGTGGCTAGATTGATATCCTGTCACTGCGTTTTTAGATCGAAAACCGTCTAATAAGAATCGAAAAGACTTTTGAATATGTAGCCGAGGACTTTGATCCCGTCAAGATCACTGGCTCAGGAGTCGAGATCACCGGTGATTCCTCCCATGTCATTGATGGCAACGGCTCGGCGTGGTGGGACGGACAAGGTTCGAATGGCGGTACAACGAAGTAAACAACTTCTTGTCGATCTTGTGACCTTATCGCTGACGCCAATAGACCGGATCACTTCATTGTCTTGAGTAAACTTGTTGCCAACTCGCATGTCCACGGACTGAACATCAAGAACTGGCCGACCCATTGCTTCCAGATCACCGGCGCCAAAGACTTGATCATCGAGAATATTTATCTAGACAACTCCGCTGGTGATGCCCCAAACAGCAAGTCTGGTGGGAAGGCAGCTGCTCACAACTCAGATGGCTTCGATATAAGCTCCAGCACCAATGTAGTTCTGAGGAATTCAATCGTGAAGAACCAGGACGACTGTGTTGCTGTGACCAGTGGGACAAACATTACTGTCTCTGGGCTGACCTGTAGTGGTGGCCACGGTTTGAGCATTGGGAGTGTCGGTGGCAAAAGTAGTAAGTCGACTTCCATGCGAATGTCCTTATTTGTGATCCTGACTCGGTCGTTAGACAACACCGTATCTGGGATTACCTTCTCTGACAGTACGATATCCAATTCTGAGAATGGGGCGCGAATCAAGACCAACTCTGGTACCACGGGAAGTGTCGAGAATATAGTGTACACGAACATCAAGTTGTCCAATATCTCTGATTATGGCATCGACATCCAGCAGGACTACCTGAATGGGGGCCCAACCGGTGTCCCTACCAACGGAGTTACGATCAAGGGTGTTACGATGTCCAACATTACCGGCACAGCGACGAGCGATGCGAAGAATTATTATATTCTTTGCGGCAGCGGGTCATGCTCCGACTTTACCTTTAATGGTATTAGTATCACTGGTGGGACTGGCGACAGCTGTAACTATAGTCCGGCCGGTGACTTCAAATGCGCTTGAATTCTAGGCGATGCAAGCTGGATGAGGTTTAGAAGTACTTTCTTGTATATATCATTCATATTTGGTACCTTGACTTGTTCGGTGACCCATGGTTCTGATGTAACAGACCGTGCAATACAATAGCGCGATAATGTTGCTGATACAGCTTTAGCGCATAATGACTTGTCTTTCCAAACGAGCCCCTCATGTTCATCTCATTTGCCTTAGTATGTACAGGTTTGCGAACGTGGCCATGGGCTTAATCACTATCGCAGATGCTCGGAATGCGCCAAAACTCCTCGCTTGGCTAGGCTATCCATAAAAAGAGGCCCAATACGAGTCAAAGGCCTCATCTGTCGACATCCTTGATTCATATCTTCCTAAGAGTCATTGCTGACCTGCAGGAAGTTTCCAATTGTTCACACGCCACCACCAGCGTCGTACCCTCGCTCCTACATGGCGTCCACTTAGTCTCGATGCGGAATTCCAATGTCTCCAACCAGAAAGAATCAATTGCCAGCCCAGGCCTTGTACAAGAGGTAGAAGTACCTGACGTCTGCTGTTAGCTTACACTTGGATCTCTGGGCGTCTTCCGTATATACCTGATCTCGTATCGTGATGTATGTGACACCCTGCCATCCTTGCGCTTGTTCAATGCTTTTCAGATAGCTCTGCTCGAATCTCATATCCGGAAGTGGAGGGAGCGCGGGCCGCCGCGGGCGAAGATCGAGGATCGATACAGGAATCTCGTCGTCGGCGGCATCTGCAACTGCATCGAGTTCGGAGGGAGTGGGTGACGAGGACACGCGAACAGGCTCTCGCTTGTCTGCCGCCGTTGACGGTGCTATATCATGGCTTGGCGATGGTCTCCGATTGATCGAGGCCGATTGTATGGCGGATGTGAGCTCCGAGACTACGTTGTGAGACATGCTGGGTGTGTAGTCTGAAGTCGACGACGAAAGCTTGGCTAATTATTGGTTTAGAAGCTGTGACCGCGGCTCATCCCCGGTGAGAAAGACCCCCGCTGTAGCGACCTGAACCAGCACGGAGCCCTGAGATCTAGCGTGGCGCATCGCATCAGCTAGTCAGCCTTTCTCTGAATACATCTTTGACATCACTCCCTTTTACGAAGCCGTTACTTCGGCCATAAAATACCCGCACTACAACGAATATGGGGAACGCAAACAGCAACATGCTTGAGACCATTGTCCAGGGTTCAAATTGTAAGACAACATATGCCACATTGTCGAAGCCATGCAGAGGGGTACAGAGAGGGGTCAACGGACACACTTAAGGGGCGGGCTAATTGTATACGCTTATAGTCGACCATGAAGAAGTGGACAGACTGAGGAAGCGTTTCATGAAGCTAGACAAGGTAAGCCAGAACCATGCCTATGCAGCGAAGCCTCTTACAATGATGCTGAGGACCACTACAGGACAATTCAGGCACTATTGAGCGCGAAGAGTTCCTCGCCCTTCCACAAGTATCGTCGAATCCTCTAGCTACCCGCATGATTGCCATCTTTGACGAGGACGGTGGTGGCGATGTTGACTTCCAGGAGTTCGTATCAGGCCTGAGCGCCTTTAGCTCGAAAGGCAACAAGGATGAGAAGCTCAAGTTTGCGTTCAAAGTCTACGACATTGATAGAGATGGGTACATAAGCAACGGCGAGCTGTTTATTGTGCTAAAGATGATGGTTGGAAGCAATTTGAAAGACCAACAGCTGCAACAGGTGCGCACTCTGCAAGTGTCGAAGTATATTGCTGCGCGAGGCTGACCAGGCTTTAGATTGTGGACAAGACCATCATGGAGGCAGATCTTGACCAGGATGGAAAGATCAGTTTTGAAGAGTTCACAAAAATGGTCGAGAGTACCGATATTTCTATGAGCATGACGTTAGGTAAGTGGCTGTCTGGCGTTTTGCTCTACCGACGCTGACATGTTGTAGATCAATTTTGATAATACCCATGAGGGGCTAGCCTCAGGCTCAGGAGCATGGCGTTTCGGACTACTGCTTGTGGCAAAGGAGAATGTTTTAAGAGTTACTATTAATGGACTTGTTGAACATTCACTATGAGACAGCTCACGTGGCCTCCATATTCTGGGAGAGCCGCTAAGACAGGTGAACTTTAGGCCTTGAACCCACAGTGTCCAGACTTCGCAGTGAACCTTCGGTCGACTATAACATAAAAGTCTGAAGCACTTTTAAAGACAAAACGAATGCTTCACGTAACTGACTCTGCTCAACTCTGCTAGCGTACGACTTAGTAGCATGCGACTTATCTGAAGCGCCACAATTTGAAATGTCTTTGTTTGACGGTTTAATCGACAGCCACCGGTGAAATATGCGGCTTAGAGCCTTACAAACATGTCGAAGCGATTGGGAGTTGAGCCGGCACTGGCTTCGAAGCAGTTGAGATGCTCCTTGAACGAACCACAGCCATGATTGTAGGAACACCACGCTCGGGATCCAGCCTGGGAATTGAGGAGAAATCAAGGACAATCACCGCATTTAATATATCGAGAAACCTACCTGGTACTCTCGTAGGTTGTTTCTGGAGAGAATACGGAGTTGCCAAGCCTCCACGCAAGGACCCTGATAAAGCTAGCGTGGCGTGATTTCCTGGTCCCCTTTCCGGGACGCCGGGGAGCTCGGGCTCCGGGGACTAAAACTACAAAATTCCCAAGGCATATAACATCTATCAATCACAGTACCACCATCTGCCAACAACAAGAAAAATGACCCCAATGCGCGCTGCAATCGCAGTCGCCATCGCCGCCCTCGCCTATGGCATCTACCTCTGGGCCGACGCAGTCAAGGTAAACCCTCCTTCTAATCGAGCTCCTGTCGTCTCAGCACCTCTAACATGCGCCTCCCCCCTTATAGTCCCAATGGTACATCTTCTCCGCACCCGCCATGCACGCCCTCACCCTCGAAGCCCTCGCGCTCTACCCGAACTCCACCGCCGGCGCCGTCCACCACATCGTCAGCTCCCTCCGCACCACCCACGGCGCCGCCCACATCACCGTGAGCCCATTCCCAGATCACCCGCTCGCACCCTCAAGCATAGACGACGATGCACCGGCCCCGATGCCCTGGGATCCCAGCGCGCAGGTCTCTCCCTATGAGAGCGAGTGGGTGTTCAATAATGCGGGTGGCGCAATGGGCAGCATGTACATTATCCACGCCAGCATCACGGAGTATCTGATTGTGTTCGGCACGCCGCTTGGCACGGAGGGACATACGGGCAGGCATACGGCGGATGATTACTTTCATATCTTGGAGGGCGAGCAGTGGGCGGCGCCGGCGCATAGTCTTGTTATGGAGCGGTGAGTTTTCTCCTTATTCTCTATCAGATTATGGACGTGCAATTTGCTGATGATTTGGATTTGCTGTTATAGATACCCGAAAGGTACGGTGCATCACCTGAGGCGCGGCACGGTGAAGCAGTACAAGATGCACGAGGGCTGTTGGGCGTTGGAGCTGGCGCAGGGCTGGATCCCGCTCATGCTGCCGTTCGGGTTTGGGGATACGCTTTCGAGTACGCTTGATTTACCGACGCTTTGGCATACAGTGCGTATCACGGGCCGGGAGATGATTAGGAATCTTCTTGCTGGGAAAATATAAGAGGGGCCCTTCTTCGCGGTGGTGGCTGTAATAGCATCAAAGGCCGGGGTAATAGATCTGGAAAAGACTGTATTATACTATATCGATGGCTGTGGGACTCTGTAAGACTATTATACGGGATACATGGCTGGGCTCGAATGAGCTTCCACGTTGTACACCTCTCTAAACAAAAAGGCGTAAATGCGATCCCCGCGTCTTGCACACCCATCCATCTATTTGAATCCCAGTCTATTATACCTCCACAAATCATCCGTCCACACGGCAGCTAACCGAACGAAACCAAACACCCGCACCACGAGATAAGTTAACTGGAGCATTCCCTTATCTGATAATTTGATATTGTAGTACAGACAAAGGTGAAGAAACAAGAGATGGGCAGGTAGAAAGAAAGGAATGGTGTGATTTAGCTTGGGTGGTTTTTTGGTTGGTTTATAGGAGCTAGAGAGGAGGGGGTTGGGAAGGAGCGAAGGAGCGAAGGAGCGAAGGAGTGAGTCGCAAAGGACCTAGTGAGTGGGTAAGCTATGAGTTGATGGTGTATAACGAGGAGGTGGTGAGCGAATATGTTTGTGAGTGTTACGTAGGTATAGATAGATATACGTACATGTGGTCTATCGTATGAAGAGCCCTGTATCAGATACACTTATTAATAGGGGTTCAGAAAGCACAGTCTGTTCTCCATGGCGCAGCATGATGTCAAACATCCAAGCACGTGATGCAGGCAAGCAAGTAAGTAAAGGCGAAGTGTGAAAATATAACTTATGATATTGGTTTATTGTGCGTCCGCATGCTACGGAACAAGTATATTAATCTGCCCACTTCATCACCGCGTCCAAGGTCTGATCAGACCGGTATATATCCAATCCATCGTGTCCCACGTCCAACCACCCATCATCGCACTGACGTTCAAGGAAACTGGAATTCGCCGACTGAGGCTGATCAAGGTATTTAAAGAGAGTTGTGCGTCAAAAACAGAAACCACAATGCGAATAGCGCGCGATTGACGCGCCCGCTCTAGTGGGTGAGATCATGTACAAAGGTGTGGTATATATAAGAGGTGTGGTTGCCCAAGTTCCAAGGTGTCCTTTTCACTCCAGTCCCATGCATATCCAGAGAGATTCGTGAGATATCAACCCGGATGAAACGTCAAAAACAGAAAACGTCGCTAAATGTCAAATTCGGTTCGCCACCGGCTTACGCAAATCGTGGCGTGGGTTCACTATTCGCCAAAGTCGAATTAATGCGTGGCCGATGGTGCAAAGCCTGGGCTTGCTGGGCTGACATAGGCGCCGGGTATAGGTACGGCGGCGTATTGCTGTTCGCCTGGTGCGGCGGGGACGTGGTCGTATTGTCTTTGTGCGAGGGTGGGTGAGGTTGGTATGGAGCCGGGCGTTCCTGATTGCTCGAAGCCATCCTGTGATAGCTTGGGTGTGGCGCCTTGCACCTTGATCGGAGGTGCTTGTAGCTGGAATGGTCTGGGTTGAGCAACACCGCGTGGATATTGAACTGCATCAGATTCACCATTCTCGGCAGCAGAGAGCGGGTCGACATAGAGGGGATGGCCTGGTGGTGGGCGCCAGCCGCCGGATCGAGGAGACATTGGACCGAATCCTGGCGTATTGGGGGCTGATTGCGACTTCAACTGAGCAAGGTAAAGGTCAGAGCGGGCACGGTCACGTGTAGCCATTGACTTTCTGAGCTTGCGCTTGCTCCAGTAGCGGTAGAAGACGATGCCGTAGATGACGATGCAGAAGACCTCGACGACTACTTCGATAATGCAGCACACCAACGACCAGTCCTGGAGACGGCAGACGAGAGCGTAAGAGACGTCATCTTCGAAGAGCTTGCGGCGCTTGTTGTCCTTGCATGACCAGCCCCAGAGATCTTGACCATTACCGTTGGCCTTGCTCTGGTTCAACACACCAGCACCGACAGCCCACATGACAATACTGAAGATGAAGAAGATGACGGCGAAGGTGGTATAGTAAACAGCGACTTTCTCAGCTCGCTTGTGGCCACCACGGAAGTACGCAGTCAGAATGACGACGGACATGAAGAGCGACACGCATGCGATGACTAGGAGCAGGATCTGAGGCCAGGTCTGGGTTTTGGCAGCCCATGGTGGTAGACTGCTTCTCGCAGGGAGATTTCTTGTGGCATTGAAAATTGAAAAAACGGTTGCAAGCATGGCAAGAACGATAAGACTGCAGGCGAAGTTGACACCTCGGAGAACCATCTTTGCCATGCGTACACGGGTTTTGACTTTCTGTGAGGTGTTAGCGGAAATAGGGTGGATTGGTGTGTATGGTAAGTACCAAGTCTTTTGCTTGTTCCTTCTCTGTGAACTCTTCCTGCTTCTCAAGGATCTGCTCTTCCTTGAAGGTAGGGCTGAGCACATTGTTGTAGTACTCGCGTGGTGGAGCTCCAGGAGACTTGAGAGCACTCTTGAGAGGAGTCTTCGGAGTGGCTGGTGGCAGATACTGTCTGTCGGTCTCCTCGACCTCTACCACCGAAGTGGAGCCAATGTAGCCGAAGCCAACATCTGAGGGCTGTGGTTGAGGCATGTAATGGTTTGTCGGAGGGTCCAGGAATGGGTTCTGCTTCCTTGATGGCTCGACCGGAGAGATGATGGTGGTGGCTTCGGCGAAGCGTGCTGTCCGTGGAGACTTGAGCGAGGGAGCGAGAGAGCCGTTCGAGTCTCGACGATCGAGAGACACGACAGTCTGTTTTTGGTTGGTAGCCATTCTATAGACGGACGACGAAAGTGAGGTGGTTGATGACGGAGAGAAAGAAGAGAAGGCTTAGAGCAAGCACGCTTTGGTCGAGGCCAGCTTGACAAAGCTCAAAGAGGAGGATATGAAGGTACGAGAGATGGAAAGACCAGCGTTCGAAGGAGAGAAGAGAAGAGTAGAAGAAGTGGAGGAGATGAGTTGCCTTTTGTCTAGGCAAGCGCTTAGAGAGACATGGTATGCGTAGTGACAGGGAGCGAGCAGACAGCGCGGGCGTCAAGAAGGATGGAATGAATATCATCAAGCTATTGGCGGACACTTACCAAGGCCTGACCAGCAGGACGACGAAGCAGATTGGTGCAGAGGTAGAGAGGAGCAGGGTGATAGTGTGGAAAATAGACGCCCGGGACGATAGAGGCTGGACTGAGGTGGATTAGCAGATGCAGCAAGACGAATGGACACGACATATGAAGCTCACCTGTATTTCCCACCCTTCGCTCTCCCACGAGTCACAGGAAAGCGCTGAACAGGACACTAACGGAGAACTGGAGGCAGCGCAATGCAACGTCTTGATATGAGGTTTGCTCCTTGCTTGCACGAAGGAGAATTTGCACTTTTGTGACGGTGGATATCAAGAATGAGAGGAAGAAGTCGAGACGTGCAGTGGGCAGAATGTCGAGCATGAGAAGAGGTCAAAAGAAACTAAGAGCAAGAGGAGGATAGTGATGCGGCGTGGAGGCATGATGTTGGACGTTGAATGGATCGTCTTTCTGTCTGTAGCCGCCAGCCCAAGTATGTTGCAGTGCGTGCAGAACGAGGCTATGAAGCCTGATTGGCCAGGGGTTTTCATCTCGCGCATTAGCTTCGGACGACTGGTCAATCAGCGGTCAGGGTCCACTTTCAGCCAGGAGCAGATGCCTGTCCATATCGGCGAATCAGCGTCAGGACAACAGAGTAGATTCGATGCAGCATTATTAGCTCGCAACGAACAAGCCTGCAATGCTTCGTTTGCCGTGCTCGTCCGCGCAAGGACAGGCATTTCCTTGCAGTTATTTGAGCGCCATGCATACTATCAAGTCTGCTCAGAGTCGGTTAGAGCAACACCTCTTCTGAAACTATGTAGTATGTAGTCTGTACCTGGGCAATAGATATGTACGGGCACCTGTATGAGGCACATCAGATAATACCCACCTGCATTTACCCAGTTACCCCGCCTTCCCGTCCAGGCCCCGACACCCGCGTCGTCCCTTCCCTTATTGAAGTGCGCACGGTCCTCTGTGAAACTATACCTAGGTTAGGTAGGGACGATTGACTCCCACGTACTCACGCCACTGCCGCTGCTTCCTCCCTCGGCCTGATTGCGCCTCAATATAGCTAGATACCTAATATCAGTGTATTAGTCACTCACTAAGATATCCATTTGACCCGTACATTCCATACTAGCATATATGGACATGGACGCGAATGGGTTCAGCCTCATTTGCATTACTGCCACTGCCACACTCACGAGAATCCAGGTAATTACTCCTTGACTACGTAGTGCATACTGAGTCACTCCGCTGCCATACCCAATCGCTACATCACTGCTACAGCGCTATCACTTTCGGCTTGTCCAGCACTCGTCTCTACCTTGCATATTGACCCTCGTGTCCTGGCCTGCATCGCCATCACGCGAACCCCTGTTCAGCGGCCCACGTCTCCCGCCCGCAAACTATTTGGACGGGGCGCAGTCCACTTGACCTCGAACACTCCTGCGACCCAGGCTTCAGCCCAGTGCCGACTAAGCACCGTGTTTACCTAGGTAGGTTTGTGATCTGGCCATTCTGTGTCCATCTATGCGCCGGCTTGTGACTTGTGATTGTCGTCATTCTCGTACTATGGTTAACTAATATCAATGCTTGACTTCGATATCTAAAAATATACACAGAAGACAGCACTAAGGATAACTTCGGCCTGTCCCGGTTGGACCCATAGTTTGGACCACGTCTCGTGTATGCTGTGCGTGCTGTATACTCAATGTCTCGTTTGAAACTTCTCGCTTCTACCCGACGAAACATTTTTAGACATTCTGGGAAACTTGTGCAACGTTTGCTACGAAACTGACGGCGAGATGCGAGTTCTGACAGATAATGTGTTGTGCAGCGCCGTTTTTTGCCTTTTGGCTTGCGCACTGCTAGTAACCGTGTAGTGACGTTTCTATCTGGGCAGACTCATCTTGGCATACTTCTTATTCGAGAAATATATACCTTATCATCAAGAGGGTTATTGACACCACCACGGAACTGATGTTGTCAACCGGATGAATTGACTGAATTGCATGGTAGATCGATGTGATGATGCCTGAGGCCGCGATATTCGCACCCTTCCCAAATGCACTCTGAAAATTGAGCGTTCATCGACTGTCTTCCAAAGCTAATAATTCCGTACCACCTATTCCAAGATGGCAATCTTTACTTCCTCTACGATCATCCGCCTCACCTCCATCCTGCATCTCACAATTGCGTACTACCTGCTTGTGTCGCCAAAGACAGTCGCTGACCAGAATTTTGTGTACATGTTAGGGGAAGCTATGGGCATCGTAAGTGACCCTTAAGGTCTACGATTCGTGACCTTGCTGACTCTAGTAGCCCCAAGTCACTGCCTTCAACAAGGCATCCCCTGTTACAGCTCTTCTTGCCGTTCTATTCGCGTTCCTCGGGCTCTCCGATTTCGTAGCCGCGTCCATCAACGAAGAAGCTTCCGTCGCATACTGGAGCGCACAAACGCCTGTTCGACTGATATTCCTGTTCATCATCTCGGGATACACATATCTGTTCAAGAGGGGTGGTATTTTGAGTGCCAAAGGCGTCTCATATCGAGCAGGAGCAGGAGATGAGCTGAAGAACAGCGTGGTGTTCGGCTGGGCTTTTGTGGAGATCACGGCTTGGTTCTGGGTAAGAAAGACATGACTTTGGCTCATGAGAACTTACTGATCTCCGCTCTAGGTCTTTGCAACTATGAAAGAGGAACGGAGGCAGACCGCTGTGCGCGCCGAGGAAAGAAAGAAGAGGGAAGAAAATATGCTGTAGTGAGGCTTCCGGCTATCTGTCGTTGTTTCAGTCCGCTACCTACAGGACGTTATCGTTGCGCTTGCAAATCGTACCCACGGCTCTCACAATTGCGACCACCCATTACCCACCCACCCGCACGAGGCAAGAAGAGGTTGGGCCTAGATTGATATCAAACACCTACTCAGCAGGCGGTCCTGCTGTTAGGGAATTGAGGCCTATCTGGCTTCTCCCAAGTGGTTGTGGAAATCTTGTTCGGATAAAACAAACACGAAGTTTTCTGAACACCTGGGCTGAAATTCGCATCCTCCCACACTCATACCTTGCGAGCACGACGATTTCGGGTAGCACCAATAACGAACCAGGTGCAAAACCAACGCTGAAGCGGCAAGCATTGACAATAAACATCAATCCAGCTGTGGTGCAATAGCACATTGAAGAAGACAGGTCAAATGATAGCAGTCTACAACTAGCTCCCTACTGAGCGTCAGTACTTCAACACATGTACTCAAAGTGTGAGAATGTGTATATACATGAGAGATGAGATAGAGGATGTCAGCCTCACTGTATCAACATGCGGTCAATAACCCAATCTTATGAATATGCGATACTACATATACGACGGTATAAAGGCAGATATGTACGTGTCGTTTTCTAGGCTTAATCGTATCATTACAGGGCAGACAAAAGGATGGCCGATGTGGGTACGTGAGTTGTACTCATAGATGTCTTACAACGTAGACTCGTATTCTTATTCCACAAAGTAAGATGTTAAATAAGTATAAACAAAGATGAACTTATTCACGATTTAGCCTGTGGAACAGACCCACTTAGGGCAATTGTCGATAAAAATAAAGGGATCTGCATGTGGACCGCGGCCCCCTAGGGGTGGGAGGGGAGCTAGAGCCTAGCTCGCCTAGATCCATGTCAAGGGTCAAGGGTGAAGGATGAAGAATGCTCAGGCAGGATCCTGGCCTCTATTGAACTCAGCCCCAAAGTGCTGCTCGTATTCTACTCTCAACCCCAACCGCAACTCCTGAACGCATCCGTCCCTTCAACATGGCCTCCTAACAGAGCTGATATACGGACAAGTCACATCCTTTCGTGTCAGGTAGCCTACAGCATCCTTTGTGCGCACATGAGCCATGAATCAATACGGATATCAGACCTATGGCTCAGGCCCTCCTCCGAACCAGAATCAAAATTGGCAACAAAACCAGAGTACGCAATGGCAACATACCGCACAAGATCAGGTACAACAACAACATCAGCAGCAGCAGCTACCACAATCTGGCTACAACCCGGGGACCTATGGAGTCATGCCTGGCGCGCAACAGAACGGAGCGCCTGTGCCCCAAATACCGGTACGTGTCGAGACTTCGGCTTCATCTGAGCCAACCTAGCTCGAAGCTAACTTGTGCCAGCCCAGAGATTCAAGCCAGCAATATTCACAATATAATCAAAATGCTCCTCCTCCTCCACCGAAACTTCCTGGCGTATATCAGTCGAACTCACAACAACATACCTATAGTGCTCCAACTCAACCGCAAAACTCGTATGGCCAAAGCAATGTGCCATACCAGGTACCCCAACCACCTGTCCCACAGCCTTACTATCCCCCTCCGTCAACGACACAGACTCCCGTGCAGTATGGCTCCACGCAGGGTAGCTTCTCCGCGCCCTCACCTCCGGTTCCGTCATCGAGCATGCCGGGAATGAGTGAGAGTAGACCTGCTTATATACCGCCTTCTCTATCAGGCCAAGGCGTTGCGTCGTATATGCCGAGCAATACAAATCCTCTACCAGGTGTCTACGTTCCTCCTCCTCCAGATGTTCCGGCCTGGACCCAGGCCAGTCAAATTGCCCCAAAGAACAAATTCAAATATACGCCTCCAGTCGTACATCCCAACTACCAGAATAGCACTCCAGATTACGGCACGAATCCAGCAGGAGTACACTCATACCAACAACCTGGTGTCCCATCCTCAGGACAGCATATGCCACCACAGAACCAACAGCAATGGGAAAGCCAGGGACAGCCGCAGCAATACGCCCATACTGCCCAAGGCCAGTCTGAGTACACGAACCCCACTCCAAATCATACTCAGCAGAATCTGTATCAACAGCCGACCCAACAAACACAGAGTTGGAGTGGCCCTCAAGAGCCGAATCCACAGCATGTATACAGCAATCAGCCACAGTCGCAGCCACAAACGCAAAATAATTGGCAGCAGCAAAGCATGAGTCAAGACAGCAACTTTCACACTTACCCACAACCTCAAAATCAGCCAGATCATCGCCCGTCTATTCCTATTTCTCAGGATTCGTATTCATCTGTCTCTTCGCCTCATAATGAGCCCATATCACCCCTTTCACACAGGCAAAGTATGGACTTTGGTAGAAGCAATCTACCCATAAGGAGAGCGGACTCCCTTGGTCTAGGTCGTAAACCTGTAGGGTCATCTGCAAGCTCAATCAAGGAAGAGGCTGTGCCACCAACAGCCCAAGCTCACACTATCTCTCCTGCGACACCGGCTGCGACCGGAGCATCTGCTCTTGGGTTCGGGGGGCCCTCGGATTGGGAACATTTCGGCGCGGGCGTCGAAGAGGTTGATGACACCGCAAGCTTTGATGCGAAGGTCACTCAGGGACCACCGTCACCTAAAGAACATATCAGCGAACTTCCAAGCAACCCTTCACCTCCGCCACATTCCGCATCCACCCAGGAGGTGGACCATCGCCCCGGACCTGCCACCGAAGGCTGGCCTACTCCACCAGCGCCTGCGCCTGCGACGTTAGACATGCCTCCTCCGGGTCTCCCTACTGGGTACGACCCGATTCCGCCACCAGAAGCCACACATAGTTCGAACGCCAGTGTCGTCTCCATTGAGCAAGGACGGAGCGGGACTCCAGCCCAGCAACAGTGGGACCGACGGTCTGCTCCAAGTTCTCGACCATCTTCCATAGCCAGCTTAAGACAGCCATGGCAAAGGCCAACCGTCCCTCCAAATAAGATATCGGAGACGACTAGTACCTCCATGTCAAATGACGGTGGCTTCGTGTCTCCTAGTCAACATTCCAACCAGATACATCAATCTCTCGGGCCTTCGTCTAACGAGAATCAAGGAGCATCAGCAGCGCAGCAACAGCACGACCCTCATGATCACTCTGTAATGCATGCTGCGCATGTATCTCCTGTGCTTGAACCGAACAACGATATCAATAGCGGTAATAAACCAGACGAAATTGCCTCTCGCTTTGGTATCGATGACGGATCACTGACCATGGAGAGCAAGCAAGCCCCGGTGGAGCGCCAGGATACTCCAAAACCCGGAACGCCACCAAAACCAAGAGATCTTATTCCTGATCTTGACCCGTGGTACGCTGGCTCTTTGGAACGGTACATTGAGATGCTTCGGCAAGAAGCTGCGGCTCTAGCCGTTGAAGATAAAATAAGTATCTTCAAAGGGTTCTTAGCTGCTGAATCCCAAGCCCGCGGTATACCTTACTACCACGACCTACCTGTTGGCCCAGTAATCGCTGCAATATCGGATACAGCGGATGCACAGCTGAAAGACGAGCATGAGGGGGCCGTGATCGAGTCGAAACCAAGTCTGGATGTGACTAGACCGAAGGTATCTACTACCGTCGATGATTTTGTCCTTGTGAGCACCGAAGAGCAGTACAGTCCTGGTGGTCGACCGGTCATGATTGGTCGGTCTCAAGATCAAGATACACCAGCTTCAGACGTTCGTGAAAATGACAGTAGCCGGCCACCGACGAGGGAATCTCCGGATGACCAGACAAAGTCTTTTGTATCGCGTGAGAACCCAGATCCAGCGCGGAAGGGGAGCCCGAGTAATGCATACACGCCATATCGCCACAATTTGACGACCAGTGACTCCAACCAGTCTGCTAAATTGACATCTTCAGCTCCAGTCCCAGATGACACCAGCCCACCAAGTACACAACCTACACAAGATATGCCCCCTCCGGGCTTCAAACCATACACCCCTACGGAAGTACTTACCAGTGTGTCGATGGTTGCTTCGCCTCACTTGTTTAGTCCGACTGCAGAGGGTCATAGATTTACGAGCTCCAATTCGAGACAGGAGCATGATCTGTTCTTCAATAAAGAGCCACCCAAACCGGAAGCAAAACTTATTCCCTCGACTTCGATCAGCCCCGCGACGCCAGTGGATCGTAAGCCCGATTCGCCTCCCATTGACGTCCCTAAGGGAAACCCGCCACAGAGTCTACCGACGAATCCTGAGCCATCACATGTGTCGACGTCCGTCCCAAATAAACAAGCCGATGTGCATAACCTCAAGTCGAAGTTGCCGTCACGAATACCTTCTGTAGCCCCGTCCCATCCCCACCTAGCCATGATACTGGACGATCTCCCTAAACGCTTTCCATCGAACTTTGCATTCATCTCCGAGTTGACCAAGTCGTTCGAGGCCACCGCCATGGTGCTGCGTCAGAAGAATGAGAAAGAGCGCCAACAGCGACAAGAAGCCGAGGAGGCGCGTACGAACAGCTTATTTGATAACAATGAAATCAGCTACGCGGATATTGGTGTCCTTGAAGACAAGTTCAAGGCTGATGAAGCGCAGCACAAGGCACAGGAAGACCAGGCAGAGTACAACAAGTACAACGAAGCTGTCTTCAACGAAGTGTACCTACGTCTGCAAAAGGAGATCGGCGAGCTTATGGAGTCCTGGCAAGAGACAATATCTCACCTCGAGCATGGCCTTGCTGGCAAAGCCGCCATCGAAGGCGGCTCCACGGAAGGCGAGCCCGGGACCACTTTTCAAGCTGTTCAAACGATCCGCGCGCTGCACAGGGCTCTGGAAGAGCGTCATGATCGTGTTGCGGGTGCTATTTCGGAACGCGATAAGAAATATAAGAAGACACAAGTGCAGCCGCTGTATGCAGCAGGCAATATCAAGAAACTGAAGGAAATGGAGCGACACTTTGACGCCGCAGAGAAGAATGCGAGCCTACAACACCGCGAGCAACGCGCTATGCGGCTCAAGGAGTTGTTTGATATTGTTGAGTATAATGTGCAGCGTGCTGTAGAGCAGAACTTTTCATACCGCAAAGAGATTCTAGACGCTCTGCCTGCGGAAAGCGATCCTGAAGTTCGTAAAACGGCCAAGGATACATTACGTCTCTTGTCGGATAGCTCGATGGATCTCATGCAGGCGTTGGGTGAGATCGAGCGTGAGCTGTGTAATGCAGAATTCGATGTCGAAGTCGGACGTACGCGTGCAAGGCCCGAGGCTGTGGACGATGCTGTCATCAAGAAGGTGGAGACGCAAGGGGCCAAGGAAGTAGAACGAGTGGAGCAAGATGTCAGAGAACGTCTCGCGGTACTCGAAGATGCATGGAAGGAGGTCGAAAAGGCCTTTGAACAGTCTGAACAGCCATCACCACCCACTGACGATGGGCTAGATGACAGAGCTCGAGCTCAAAAGAGAGCTCTCGAGGAGGCGAAGAGGAGGAATGGGGATCTTTGACTGGCATAATATGTGAGAGAGATCTGAGTTGGAAAATTGCGATTTGAGGATTTTGCGCACATATCACGACCTTTCGGCATTGCTCGCATGGTGTAAGGCGCATCTCTATCTAGGATACCATCTAAAGTTGGTGTTTGGTTCGCGTCACAATGTTCCTCTTGCGAGAAGGCTACTGTATATGTATATAGCTCTATAGAAAGGGTGTTTGCAGTACCAAATTCAGACCCAGCATTCTGTATGAGGCCCCGAGATAGACATCGCTATATTACATGATGCATCTGTTCTTGATTGGCGCCGATTCAAGGGGCCTGAAGCTTCTACCAGTCCATGGTCACCAGATCCAGTTCCTCGTTCCAGTTTCGAATGAGCAAGAGATCAGGTTTTTTTTTGGAAGGTTCGTCGACATAAATCATCTGAGGTTCAGGATTCAAAGGAAAACCACCCATACTGTAACCTGTCATCTTCGGATGATCAAGGCTTAATGGATCGAGGAGTGTGCGCGAAAGGCGCATACTCGTTTCAATTTCCCCTTTTCTCATTTGTAATACCTTTTTGCGCTCACCACTATAACCTCTTCATCGCAGGCATCCCTTTACCCGGTCTGCCACTCTAGCGACGACCAGACGAGTCTGTGGTCCACGACACAAGATAGATGCGTGCGGCACGGAGTTCAAGATACAATATCTCACGCCATGCACGCATGGGTATGCCGTGGACAGATATCACAACTCTAACGACCGCCTATCTCCCATACGCCAAACACCTTCCATCTTGTCCATTTAGTATCGCCGCGAAGCATACCCGCCCCCCCAAAAAAATAAAACCACTCAAGCGCTCATTTCCGCTGCGTCAGCTCTGCCAATTGCGCCTCTAGCGCAGCGACCTGGCCTGTCGTACATCAGCATCATCGTTTGCTCTACGTCAAGAAACGACTGAAAACACACAAGGGCCGGGGGGAGAACGGGGAATGGAGGGGGGACAAGGAGAAGGCTATGCATAGACTCACCTTTCAGATCCCTGGCCAATTCAATGTTCTCGAGCTTCAGCCATGCGAAGAGCAGGAGCTCGTATGTGAAGAGGGCGCCGAGGAAGACTTTGAGTACGGGGGAGCCGAATGTGTAGTAGAACTCGCGCTATCAGGGATTTTGTTAGCTTTCTCTCCCTCTATATATATATATATATATGTGTGTGTGTGTATGTGTGGTGTGTGATGTGGGTGTGTAAATTGGACGAGGGTTACGTACGTGCGGGTTCGACTTTGGAGGCGTGGGAGGGTGTGGTTGTTGTGGTTGAGGAGGTTGGTATGCGGGTTCTGAGATGCAGCGCCGGGAGGTCAGTGTTGTGGTTGCGATTGGGGGCCAGGAGGGTGTGAGGCGGGAGTGAGAGAGTGCGGAGCGACGAGGAGGAGCGGCGAGTCGGGCGAGACGGGTGGTGAGTTGGAGTCTTGAGGTGTTCATCGTGGAATTGGAGCGGAAGTCCTGTCTCTTTCGCGACGGAGAGGTTTGCAGCTTGTAGGGGAGGTAAGTAGTAGTTGACGTTGGTGGAAAGGCGAAGCTTGCTTTAAAGAGCTCTATGCATACTTTGTAGATGGATCTCACAAGCCGACAGGGATCATCCCGCGCGTGAACCTAGCGGCGCCAAGAACTGGGGATGGGATTAGGACAGGTTGTCAGCAAGTAAGCGGCCTGCTTTGAATAACGAATTAACATCTGTACTCTTCTTTTTCTCCTCTACAAACCGAGCCGATATAACACGGCACCATCCTCCTCGTTCTACCTAATTCTCCCAAACCAACCGTCTCCCGTGCGCTGTACTACACTCTACGTTCTTCCTCACCCTCGGCTCCATACGTACAAACATATACATACACTCAACAATGGTCTGTCGTTGAGAATGCTGCCCGGGAAGATGCATAGCCCTGACATGTTACCCTCCAGGCACAAACACCTCAGCAGCGTATGGCTAACGCCAAATACGCCAAGCGCGAAGAGGCAAAGCATGGCAAGCCTCAAGCGGCCCTGCAAAAGAAGGAGGTTCACAAGAGTCCCATCAGCAAGGGCTGGATTAGTGAGTTCTCGAAACACTCCGGAGAAGAGAGTCATCGTATTACAGAACATAAATGGCTGACACAATGTCAACCTTAGTCCTCCTTGCCTTCGTTGTTTGCGGTGGATTGATTGTCGAGCTTTTGAGGTTCTTCTTCTAAGCATATAAAGCACAAAATGAGAAGAGATTATGCTGCTGCTCAAAGAATAGTACTTGTCTGGTTGTACATCTCATGCATCGCTATGGTGTCTACATATTGGAGTTCATGGAATATCCACGGTCACGGCTGGAGAGAGTTTACGATTAAAAGTGTGGGTTGCTTCTTTGTTCATATGCTATAGCCTATACAATGCAGTGTACAGATCTCATCTAAGACCCTGAGGGCTCATCAAGAGATATCAATCTCCGTTTCTTCTTCTTTTTGGGCTTCGCGTCTGGTTCTCCATCCGCTGCCCCCTCAACTAAAGCGTCAGTCCCTTCGACAGGTTTCTTCGCCTTCTTTTTCTTCTTAACGACAATGGCTTCTCCGCCTTCATCTACCGTTGGGGTATCATTCCCTTCAACCTTGGCTTTCGGCTTCTTCTTCTTTCTTTTCACGACCGTGCCTTCAGGAGGTAGATGCTTGGCCTCTATCCTCTCGTTGGCGCGCTGCATCTCCAGCCGCATGCGTTCGACTTCTTTGATTGCTTTTGCCATTTCTGCTTCCTCTTGTTCCCGTCGCTCGATGTCAAGTTTGCTTACATGATCCCCATCCTCGTCGAGTGATAGGCTACCAAGACCTGAGGAGTCGAGTTGCAGCAATGCCTTCTTACCCTTCGCCGAGGACCTTGGTAAGACCAGCTCAGGACGCGCGGATTCCAAAGACGATACGTCTTCACTACCAAGATTCTCATCAGTCAGTATCTCGAAGTTTCGCCTCGTTTTTTGTTTTGGGGGCGCTGGTCCTGGACTCCTGTCACGAATTTGACCAGCTTGTGAGAGATCGAGATCCATGATCGGAATGGAATCGATATCAACCTCTTCTCCGTTGTTCGTTCTCAGTACGTTCGGAGTTGACGTACCGGATCCTTCAGCAGGTATATAAAAGGGGTCGTCCTTGTGTCGTTCTCTACGTTCTGCCTTCCTTCTCGCGACGATGTCCGGATCAAGATACTCTTCTTCTGCACTCCTCTGGTAGGATGTATACTCTGATTTTGGCTGCTCTAAGCGATCTGCTGCAGCCACAGGCTCTGGTCGCGTACTTGGCTTCTCGTAGTAGGCTCTCGAAACCTCGTCTTCGACATCGGATCCTAGAGCAGAATCATACTCCGCTTGCCGTAGTAGAGATTGTAGACTATTATTAATAGGAGCATCCAGATCTAGCTGATCGGGAGGAGTGACACGTTTCTGCGCACCGGGAGCCACAGGATTTAGTTCCATACCCATGAAAAGAGACGGTATAGCTTGTGTAAGCAATAATGGCGGGTCAGCAAAGTCTCCATGGGTGTCTCCTGTCTCCTGTGCGGACGCTGCTTCGGATGAAAGTCTCATGAGCTCAAGATATTCAACAGCTCGTTCTTGCACTTCCAAGTCTGGGTGCATGGCTAGAGGTTCCAAAAAATGAATCACTCTGGCTACCAAGAGAGACACAATTGTCTTACGCTCTGGGGTCCATGAGATGCTATCGCTCCCTGATAGATGTGCGAATACCTTGGGCACAGCCTGAATGAAGGTGGCGAGCGTTTGATTAGGTAAGTTTATGGTCGAAGGGTGTAGCAACGATGTCATGACAGCTTGAGGGTTCGTAGCCAGGTTTGCATATTCTCCCACGATCCAGGCGGCAGCCTCTAATACCCCTTGTCCACCATTGCCTGATACTGTGAACATCTTGTCTCTGGTATCCACAAGTACTAATGATTGAGCCGCTTCGGTGACCTCTGGCCGAACACTTTTGACCCTCACAGCTACATTACGTAGCTCGCGACCGATATCGTAGGATATATCGTCAGAAGTGAGACTATGGCCACCTCCTGTGTACTCCATGGCTCCCGTAGTACCCTTTACCGATGGACAAACCCGCACCAATTGGACCAAAACGTCGATATACCAGTCGAAGTCGTTGATATTCGCATATGTGTCGCGAGCACACATTTCTATGATTCTTCTAATCACGTTTATCCGGTAATCTTCTGGCAAAGGCGGTGCTTGGTCTGAACGAATCTCGGCAGGGCGTAACGATTCTTCGGCCTCTGAGTCATCTGAGTCTGCATAGGGTACCACACCGCCATGATATCCTCTATCGTTCTCCGGATCGGCTAGAGCGGACTCAATTGGCGCATTACGTAGCTGTCGCATCAATCGAGCGATTATTGAGACGAGGTTGTCGGGAGATACCAGACCCACGACCAGGTCGAGGGCTCGTGTTCGTATTGATATATCTGGGTCGTCAATACATTCAAGGATCACATCTTGGTGTAACGAGACCAGTTGTGGATGCGATGAAACAATGCTCTCAAATGCAAGTAAGGAGACGTATTTGACTGCAAACGTAAGTAGGGGCGTAAACCCTTTCTGGAAAACTCACGATTGGGGTCGCCCTCGATGACCAGCATGCTTCGTAATTTGCCAACGCATAGCTTCGCTATTTCGTCACCTTCCACGGTTCCTTCTATGCTTGCTAAGATACCACCTTGTATAATGCCGTGGATACATTCGTACAAGAGAGACATAGCAGGGGTCGTCTTGATGATATTTGTCAAGGGTGGTAGAAGCTTCTTCACGAGACGTGGTTCAAGGGGCGTCAGAGTTGCAAACTAGACACAGTAAGTCAAACGTCGTCGGGGGATCTTCCCATTGCCATACAAGTTTTATGATCTTGATAGCCATCCAATTATTTCCACCTTGAACTAGCAAGTCGAACAATCGCGGGGCCAAAGGGAGGAAGTCCTGAGGTCGCCGCCATCCCAGCTCGCAGATTACGTTCACGACAGCAGCAGTAACGCTGGGGTTTTCGTTCTCATCTTGTAGGCGCTCTTTAATCCTGGGCCAAGCGGGACGCAAGGTTTCTGGGTACACTAATGCCAACCGATATAACGTTACAATCGTCTTCTTCCTTATGAGGGGGCTCGAGTGTGTGAGTCGCGGAAGTATGTCTGAAAGCAGCGAGTTGGCCATGGAAGGATTGATCACATGTGGGACAGCTATAAGAGGGAGCGATATCGTAGTCAAGCTCGGAGATGTCAGGTCCTAGACCAGCGTCAGAGCATCTTTTTACGCAGGCCTTGAAGGGTGGTACACACCTTCTTCAATTGGTTTTCCGCCAACATGAGAACCTCAGTATCTTGTCTGAAGCTTTGGACTGCCGCCAGGTATCCAACCCTTTTCTGAGCAAACTTCTGCGACGATATCACCTCCAGTACGTGGAACGAGGCCCATGACATGTCGTGACCAAACATTTCGAGATACGTGAGCTTTAAAAGCGCGGTCGCCTTGAGGTCTGAGAGTATTCCTTAGCACTGAGCACCTGGGATCTGACTTTGATTTCCTCTGACCCATATCGGACCCTCTGATTTCCTTCCTGCATTCTCGTATGCTCTCTTGTATGTATTCCCTCTCGCCGCCCTTGTGGTTCCGCAGGCCACGGATGAGGTCATATAGAGACTTCTCAAACCTAAGTAGACGTTTTAGCTTGACGTGGGATCTTATGTCCCATAGACCTACATTTTAGCGGTCTGAGGCTCAAGCCTGCGGCAACGTCCAGGTTGCCTATTATTGAGCGATGGTGGTGGGGTAGCGGTCGGTCAAGTGTGACGAGTGCCCGAGAGACATAGTCGAGAAAGTGACACTCGTTAAAGTCTATAGGAAGTACATGAGCTTCACTTCAATTTAAGATTCGGAGAGTGTATGTGTAATATGTGTGCTCTATAGTTATAAGAATGGGCGCATGTCCAGTATATCAAGACGACCGCGTTCCGAACTAAGGCCGCTAAAGCTTCATCCATCAACAGTATCTCGTAACAAGCATCTAACCTGCCAACCTCCAGCCAATTCTTCCAGGTTCGAATATAACAACTTCTAGACATGGCTTTCCCTGATCTGCTGCACCCGCCCTCGCACACATCGCAGTCCTCCGCTCTCCGCCTCTCACAGGAAGCTCCGCGCATCCTTGCCAAAGCACCGACAAGCTCTCTCCCATACCCGCTCTCCCTTCTCTCCTCCTCCGAAACCGAAGAGACATGGACCATATACGAAAACCTCTTCCTCTCATGTCTAAGGACAGGAGACAATGTCTCCGCACGGAAATGCATCGACCACCTCACAGCCCGGTTCGGCGCGGTCAACGAGCGCATAATGGCACTGACGGGCATATACAAGGAGGCTGCGGCGGCAGACACGGCAGCTCTAGTGAAGGTACTAGACAAGTACAATGAGGCAATCCAAGCAGATCCAACGAATATGGTAATCCCAAGCATGCCATTTCGAACGCCAATCACTGACTGAGCCTAGCCTGTCCGGAAACGCAAAGTTGCAACCCTCAAAGCTCTCAATCGCCCTGCGGATGCCATTGCTTCTCTTGTAGAGCTCCTCGATCTCTCGCCCACAGATGCAGAAGCCTGGTCGGAGCTCTCAGACCTATACCTTGCACAAAGCATGTTCTCTCAGGCAATATACAGTCTCGAAGAGGTCCTGCTGATCTTTCCAAATGCCTGGGCCGTATGTTCACCTTAACATCAACCACGACAAACTACAGCGCTAACATTAATGCAAGATGCAAGCTCGCATGGGCGAACTCCTCTACCTCTCCTATCTCTCATCTCCCGCCGACCCCTCCACGCTCAGCGAAGCTCTGCGCCGGTATTGTCGCAGTCTTGAGCTTTGTGACGACTATTTACGCGGCTACTACGGGCTCAAAATTACATGTCAGAAGATTCTTGAAAATGCACCCAAGACTAGCTCCAAAGCAGTAGCCGCTTCAGAGGACTTACCGCCCCCGAGTCCTGCAAAAGTAGAGAAACTCCACGAATTGGCAACAAAGAAGCTAGCGGAAATTGTGCGAAGAGCCAGTCAGCAAGAGCCAGGTTGGGATGGCTATGATGAGGCGGAACTGATAGCGGCAAGAGCACTACTAGATAGAGACGCAGAAGTTATAGTGAGGTGAAAATACAGAGTGTCAACGAGCTTTGCACCATACTAGGGATCAGCACGTTTGCTGTGTGAACGGAGGCGTGTATTGAAAGAATTTAGGAATAGGTGTGCTATCGTCACTATGCTAAGGTTGCTAATGTGCTGATCTGCTACGTCTATATAGAGGCACACCCTATGCGGACTCCACAAGGTTGAGGAGAGACAAAAAGTGCCGAAAAGGATGAACAGGAATGAGAATGAGGGGATATCGCAAACCTCGCTATGCCAGTGCACCAAATCATTTAGTCATTACCATGTGCCCAACAGCACCAACTGATGTAAGCTGGCCCCTATGTTGGGCGCCATGCATACCGCATGTTTCAAAATCATTGCCCATATGCCACTATTCTATCGTTAGTAGATGTCTCAAAAAGAACATAACATGGATACCTACAGGCAGGGATCACAATCGGACCAAACTTGAGTGACGTATTGTACTGCCCATCCCCTTGGACCATAAAATCGACCGCGATGCTCAGTCTCCCAGCTGAGCCTCCATTAGCTTGCTGTCCTGTGAAGTTTCCATGTACAACATCCGGATCATAAGCGACGCATGCCACGTAATTGCGCCGGCCCATAAGGCGTTTCATTTCTCGTGGTTGGCCATTCACATCCTGAGTGAATATCTCCATCATGTCCTCTTTTGTATCAGATACGACATTTGTGCTACGATGGCCGTTGGCAGGGACGTAGAGCTGTTTGTTATTGTGTAGGAGGCGAAGTACGTATGAAGAAGGTGGAGTGTTGACGATCGAGGACGATATGATCTGATACATGGACTTGTGATCCTGTGGCTTGGACGGGTCGTGAAGAAGGCCAGCACCGCAGCAGTTGACATCTGTGTACGTCGTCAGCTCTATTGAGGTTGAGATCAAAGATAAAATATTACCCCCGGAAAGGAAAGTCATGCGGAGAGACTTGTTGTGTGCGATGCCTTGTAATGTGCGGATGAGATAGGTTCGCTCGAGATCCTACATGTCATGGTCAAAATAAGCCGAATTCCTGACCTTCCTCGAACTGACCTTTGAATCATGTGTCCACTGATCTCGGAGCTCGTCAAGCATGTCAATATCGCCGAATGGACTGAGGATTCCGCTCATTAGGCCGGACTTTCCAACCGCTTTCTTTACTGAGCTGAACCCATCTCCGACCATACTCTTCGCTCCTACCACCCCAGCCATCGAACTGGTAACTTTACCTAGCATGTTGAAAGTACCAGTCACGGCCTTCTTGCCAGTTGCCATAGTGCTAGCTAAGTGCTCTACGGATTCGAGTCTAGGGTAAACAATCGGGACCGGAATCATCCATATACAATGCTGTACGCTATGTGGAAGCATCGCAATCTTTGGAAAGAGCCCCTGATACGTTGGACCAGCCATGACCTGATGTGGATTTCGCTCCGAACGGCAGTCTGGGCCGACTACGACAACAGCAGGTCCCAGGTATTTTACAAAGTGCCAACCAGTTCCTGTAATGGTGAAGAGATCTTGATCACCACTAACATTACGGAGAATTTCGAGTGTAGTATGATGCTGGAACAGCAAGTACATTTCGATGCCTATCCTCCCAATGTTCTTAAACATGTTAGAGAATTGCATATACTCAGGGTACGAGCCAAAACCATCAAAACTAGGTAAGAGTCAGTACTTACTCCTACAGATAACCTGCCAGTGTACACTTACATATCATGGTCATCTAGGGTCAGAATGTGAGGTATCTGAGCGAAAGCTTCTCGTAGCTGTGGTTGATCAAAGTGGCTAGTATAATAGTGAAAGTAGGCGTGTGTGACGTCTTCTTCATGCTTTGCTGTCCAAGGGGCATTTTTGCGTATCTCTTTGCCACTCGTCGCCGTCCATTGCTTGAGAAGAGGAATTTCCTTCCATATTCGATCAGCATAAATTTGGTCTCCGAGGCCTAATTGAACGTGGAAACCTCCACATTCAGCATGTTTCTGCAGAATATCTTTCCACATGAATCCTACGCCACCAAGCTTAGCGCGCTCATTCTGATTCACATTCAAGGCAAAGTCGTTGCCTGAGTGCGCAACGAATCGCCAGCTAGTCTCATAACGCCCCGCGACCAAGAATTCATATCGCGTACAGCCGAGATGAGATGTAATGGCATACGTCCATTTCGCCGCATGATCATCCTCCATTTTCAAATCGATGTCATATCTGTAGAACATCCATCGTTGGTGAGTGTATATAGGATTGGCTTTCAATTGACGAGGGTTGGGGGAAAGATCAATACTCTGGTGAATATGAATGGTAGGCGGTTGGGGAGCATCAGTGACGAGTAGAATTGAGCCAAGCCAGAGTCCACGCTCAATATCCATATTGGTGTAGCGCAGGTATGGCCCAAAGTACACACCATTCGTAGGTGCAACCTTAAACATGTCAATACCTGCTGTGGGGGGTGGACCTGTAAACCCTGTAGTCGTAGGGGTGGCCAGGCCAGCCATGCTCATCATATTTTCTTGGTACGTCGCATGTTGAGTAGTAATACCTGGAGAAAGCAGAGGCTTGCTAAATGAGCTAGTACTAGGAGACGTCAGGGGATTCACAAAGGTACCAACTGGTGACATGGGCTCGTTGAGGTTGAGCGGAGTTGGCCCTTTTGGAAATTCCCATTGTGTCGACTGTGTTGGAAGGTGTATATAATAGTACTGCCCAGAGTTCTGATCCAGATGCGCGATCCACCCTTCTGGTAGAGGAGGAGGAGATGCAGGCCCAGGACCAGGGGCTGGAGAAGAATTTACCTGGGCATACTGTACTGGTGTAGAACCAGGTTGTAAATTGGAAGGACCAGCCTGTTGCCGGGGATCATTGGCGAATGCAGGATGTGATTGCATGCTTGGATCCGCTGGAGCAGTGCTCGGAGTTGGTTGAGTCACCACTGGGCGCGGTTTCTCGTTAGGATAACCTTGGGCTGTACTGGTCCCACCTCCAATGCTCGAGTATGCGGGTGGTGGTTCCTCGTGAATATTGAGCCGGTTCATTTCCTGTTCGATAGGGTGTTCTGGGTGTATTACAGGTGCTTGAATGCCACCTTGCCCACTGCTATGCTGCTGTAACGGTATTGGTGCCTGACTTGGCGGGGACGATCCTGTTGCAGCGGGCGAAGATCCTCTGACTTCTGTAGGCCCTTGGTATACCATCGGTGGTCCATGAGGCTGACTCCCTGGCTGCTCAGTCGGTGTCCACGGCCGTCTTGGAGGCTGCTGCTGTTGTTGAATTTGAGGCGGCGGCGTGGGTTGCTGGACGGGTTGTCCCCCACCGACATTCGTCCTAATTGGGGGCGGACTTCCGTATTGATTCTGTCTTTGGGAAGCAGCTGCGCTTTGTGCTTGTATGTTACTGAGAGTTGATGTTCCGGCAATGCCTGCAGCTGCATAGCGTGCTTCGATATCACCATCTGGAGGCCCGACTATTGGGGTTTCTGGAGGTGGAGGAGAACCACGTTGTGCTTTCGTGGTGGCGTTCGAGGCTGTCGAACTCAGGCGGTTGACGCCTCCGGGATTTGGTATTTTGAGACCCGAGCCTTTAGAGCCACCTCCATTGGGTGGAGGCCAGTATTGCTGGTGGTATTCTGGGTACGGATTTGCGTTTGCAGCATCCCCCGGTACCCCTGGAGGACGGGGTGCCTTCTGGAACAGATCTTCCTTGTCAGGCGTCTCTGGTCCTGGAGATTGTGGCAAAGGTTTCGGAGCGGTCCCTCTCCTCTCGCCGAGGGACTGCTTTGGCGCAGCCTGCTGCTGCGCATAGCCTGATAATGTTGGTCGGTTCGGATCGTTCGCATCGAATTTGACTCTGGTTGAAGGGGAACCAGAAGTTTGGCTGGTATTCGATCGACGTCTTCCACTTTCCACTGCTGTCGGATTCTTCGAGCTTCGTTCTCTTTCTGAAGACATTGGGCTGTATACTGGCCGCGCGGCCGGGCGATCGTCAGGATATGGTAGAGGAGCAGTGGGGGCTTTGGTAGGAGGTGGGAAAGCTTGTTGCGCCGCCCGACCATAAGCTGCTGAGGCACTGTCTGCGGATCCGGTACGCTGGGCGGGCGAGACTGGTGAGTTGTCCTTCTTTTGAATCCTTAGAGGGCCCACGGTAGGAGTCTCTGGGTCATTTGAGGCTGGAGGGCGCATAAAAAGCTCCTCGTCGGCTCGTCCTTGGCGCCGTTGGCCATCCATAACTTCAAGAAGCAAGCACACGTCTGGTATTCTTTATGCGCTTCCGAATCTGCTGTGGCGTTGCTCCGTGTACGTTGTTGTCGTCCGTTGCGGGGTCGTGGGATATAAATGCGGGGTCCTTGTGAGCGACTCGTATGATGCGCAGGTAGGAAGAAGAGTCAGGAGCTTTGAAGGAGAGAGGAGTTTGAAGTATGAGGCAGTGAAGAGCCCGAACACTAGGCAGATGATTCTGTGACGTTGTCGTATCACAGGCCCCAACCTGGGCTTGCAGCAATGAGGATGGACTGGGCAGCAAGGAGGGTGATGATGATATGATTGGCCGACGAGCCGCGCGCGTTCCAAATCGTCACGCCAAGCGTACTCCACCGCCCTTGCTTGCATCCCATCATCCATGACAAGCTTGACGAGGTCTCCATTTGGGTCCGCAACTTATCTAAACGAAACGGGCGGTTTTAATATCATTATAGATATCACGAAATCGTTGTATACTAGATCTGGTCTTAATAGGATTGAGTAAAATTGATAGGATATCCGACATGTAGGATGACTTCATATATTCACCTCGTGCGTTATGTGGAAGAATGGTTTGGTTACCAGCATAGTAGTATTTGTGAGCTATCTCATCCTTTGATTATCAGTGCAGATGTCACCTCCAATCTGCTTTCATCCTTGCAAATGTTGCTATCCGTGAAATCCTTGCTGTCGCTCCTCTCGGGCAGATAGAAAGTATAAATCTATCTACCTCGACCATGTGCAATGCCCAAGGAGCTTCTCAGATAGCCCGGCCAACACGCATTTTACTTTTGAAACGCCTGAAGTGCTTACGATCACGACTTTTGAGCCGTCACTGCGATGAGACATTCGCGAAACCAAAAACATTCATGTGTCTTGGCCATACACGCAAAGATAAAAAACCAGGATGAAGTCGCTTTTATAGTAGGAGGATCGACAATATCGAAGAACCGTAGAGCCGATGGAGAGCAGAAAAGCAAGATAACCTCAGCGGACCGAATTAGAGCATAAAGCCGCGAAGCCCGAAAGTGAGATCTATCAGTGGAACCCCTCCGTTACTGAAGTAGGGAACTCGGTAAACGTGAACAGTCGTAACGCATATCGTATCGGGGTTGTCTAGGCAGGCAAGCAAACTTCCTCTTTTGCTCGCTCGCTAAGACAATATCGTATCCATCGGCGTGATGGAGCATGCGACCGTTCGCGTATGCGTTCAAGCTCCAGTATGCAAGTGAGCCCCAGCAGTGTAAGGCAAAGAATCTCGACGCTGTCTATATGCTGTTGGGTATGATCGCGAAGTTCCGGGCTTGCTGGTGAGTCCAGAGGTATCGAAAGGAGATAAATCAAAGGCAAACTCTAAACGTTGGAAAAGAAACAGGGAAAGTACTCGATAGTCGAGTGTGCTCGTCGGGTGATGTCGATAAGCAATAGAGCATATCAAGAGCCGCGGGGCCGTGACGAGTTGAGGCCGGCGATGCGAGTAGATTACCACCAACTGTTTCCTCCGGCAGGTCCGCCAGATGGATTTCCGTAGCCTCCCCCGAAGCCACCACCTCCGCCCATGTTGCCGCCAGAAAAGCCGCCAGGAGGTGGGCCAGAGAAATTTCCTGGACCTCCACCGTAGCCACCTGCTTGTTGGCCGCCCCAGTTTCCGCCGCCGAAACCACTGCCCTGGGCACCGCCACCGCCACCGCCTCCACCGTAACGACGAACATCACGAGTAGCACCAGCGCCGCGACCACGGCCGCCTGAGCGACCTCCTCGACCACCACCAAAACCACTGCTCTCACGAGCAATAGCCTCGAGGAACTGAGGAACTTCTTGATTGGCTTCCTTCAAAAGCTCGAGAAGATCACGAACAACACCACGATTTCCGCGATTGAAGAACGCAGTTGAGATACCAGTGTTTCCAGCACGGCCGGTACGACCAATACGATGGACGTAGTCGTCGATATCGGTGGGTAAATCGTAGTTGACGACATGCTTAACGTTTGGAATATCGAGCTACACTCATTGTCAGTTGAATCCGTTACCGAATAGAGGTCTTATTGAAAAGTTGTGGTGGTAATAATGATGACGGTGTCAAAGATTGAACAAGGTTGGTAGGTCTTGGGCTTGGTGAGGAGTGGTCGACCACCAGAATTTCAGAACCAGTAACATCTACTCGCAAGACACTGGCTGTCTCGAGTGGTAAATTTTGCTGATGTTGAATACTCTGTGGCGTATGACTGTCGAAACGGTTTGATCCGTTGTTGTGCGGCTACGAAGCTTACATTCACAGTACTAGGGAGGACAAATGCAGGAGCGTAATAGATGACTTACACCACGGGCAGCAACAGCTGTTGCCACAAGAATTGGGAAGCGACCGGTGCGGAACATTTCCAAGGCCTTCTCACGTTCGCGTTGAGTACGGTCGCCATGGATGGAGGTAGCTGGAAACCCTTGATTAATGAGGAAGTCGGAAAGGGAGTCGGCCATGCGTTTAGTTTCGACGAAGATCAGAGTAAGCCCAGCCCCATGTGTGTGGAGAATATCCAAAAGTACAGAACGCTTGTCGATGTCTTCGACATACTCGACCTTCTGGGTAATATTTTCGGACGTAGAACCGACACGACCAACCGACAAGAAAATGTAGTCCTTCAAGAAATCGCGCGCGAGCATCTGAATGTCACGAGGGAAAGTGGCCGAGAACATGAGAGTTTGACGGCCTGCCGTTGGAGGCATGTCTTCTCCTTCCACAATGCGTCGAATTTGAGGCTCGAAACCCATATCAAGCATACGATCAGCCTCATCGAGGACAAGGTATTTGATGTTTTGCAAAGAGATACGGCCACGTTCAATCAAGTCGACTAGACGTCCAGGAGTAGCGACGAGAAGATCACAGCCACGCTCGATCTGGCGAAGCTGAGACCCAATGTCGGCACCGCCGTAGACCACACATGGTCGGACCCATGAACGATAAGCAAACTTCCTCGCCTCATCAAAGATCTGAGAAACGAGCTCACGAGTTGGAGCTAGGATAAGCGAAGTGGGGAACGCCTTGCGCTGACGACCGTAGCCACCGCCTTGTGCTGGAGGAGCACTTGGACCATGCTGATAGGCTTGCGAAAGAATGGGGAATAGGAAACCACCGGTCTTTCCGGAACCTGTCTGGGCACAAGCCATCAAGTCACGGCCACCCATGACAATTGGAATAGAGTATTTCTGAACAGGAGTTGGAACCTTGTAGCCGGCCAGCTCGATGTTACCAATAAGGTGGTCATCTAGCGGTGGGTTGGTGAAAGTAGTGACTGGTTCAGGTACACCAGTTCCAGATGCCTCAACGGGAATGTCGTCGTACTTCTCAAAGTTGATACCAGTCTGCTGCTTAGATGGGTCGTTTGGAACGCCGAAGAGCTCACGCTCTACCCGCTGGTTTGCGGGGCCCGGAACGTGCTTCCCGTCCTGCCATCGGCCATCGCCAGAGCCCTGGGCACGAGCACCACCACCTTGACCTCCACTAGGCTTTCCGTATGCATTTGGGTCGAAGGCAGCTTTATTACCGTATCCACCGCCTTGATGGCCATTCTCGCGAGGAGTGAAGTTAGGAGCGTTAGCCCAGTTGCCACCAGGAGCAGGTCCACCGAAACGTCTGGGATTACGTTAGTCAAATGGGAATTTGATAGTATAGGATCGAACTTGTGTCCATTTCACGTACCCGCCTTGTTGGTTATTTGCCCACGCACTACCGTTCATGCCGTTGTCACCACCGTTCATCATCGGTGGTGGGCCAGGTGCTGGTCCTGAGTTGATCGAGTTTGGTCGAGGTCCGTTGGATCGACCCCGAAGGTGAGGAGGTATATAGGCAGACCGTTCATGGATTCCACCGTTTTGACCGGGGGCATGCTGAGACTCATTGAGACTGAGCCCGCCCATATTGAGTTGTGATGGATCAGACATCGTGACAAGTCTAGGAAGTCGCGGAACGATTTCAGGAGGTAGCCTTGTGTAGGTTCGCGGTGAGCTGAATATAGTATTAAGTCGTGATGTTAAGCGTAACAACAGTGGCCCTACAGATCCGATGAAGGAATGTGTAGAGTACGGCCGTGTAAACGTTAAGATCAAGAAGTGGCAGAGAGTGAAACCTTGTGCCGGAAGTTGAAAACTAAAAGCTCTGTAATGACCTCTTCTTCAGGGAAAGACCGAAGAAACGAAAGAAGTCAAAAGAGAGAGCCTTAAAGAAACTGTGGCAAGGGAAACAAATTTAGTATCCGGGGGAGAATATTGGAGAGGTGGGTTGTGTGTAGAGAGAAGGAGTTGGTGGTCGAGAATTTGAGAAAGCAGATTTTGCGGCGAGGAGGCGACGCAGACCCGCAACGCTAGCGCGAAGTAGCCAGACCGCCATTACATCCTTGCAAGATCTACACCTGCGTCACAGTAAGCGCTGCGACCCTACGAGTCTACTATCTATGACTATCTAGATCGCAGTGTCGCAGGATTTAATGACCACACTGCTCTTAATAGATAGCAAGAGATGCGTCCACCGAGATCTAGTTGCCTCATAGCACGGGGAATGTGCTTTCGCCGTTATCAAGATCACGCTCTACGATTTCCGAGGCTGAAGAACCTGCGAGGTGCTTGATTCCAACGCAGACCGGCGAAGGCTTCCAGTATTTTATTATGCACTCTGTATCTCGTGATATTTTTGAACCAATGACCAGACCTTCTTGAAGATACAGTCAGGACGGCATAGAAATCAACCTAAGCTTACGATCAACCTGTTTCGTTTAGACGAGATTGGTGATTTTCACACGTCTCTGGTCAATTTCTTGTAGTTTGAGACCGCAGTATACACGGACCGAACGTAATAATGGTAATATCTAAGCAATGTGTAGAGTATGCGTGACAAAATGAATGCTTAGGGTGCTTATCATGCCTGAGGCTGCAAAGTCCTGATTCGCTAAGTGGTTGAAGCTTACGTTCCAGCCGCGTCGCAATGACCTGAGTTAACGGGCGCCGATGAATTCACCTGCACCTCGTCTACCTCTACTCTACCTGCGCATCTCAACGTTTCATCTTCATTAAGTCTGTCCAAACACACGATCCGCTTCCAAGTATACCACTCTCATGAAAGCCATCTCAATTCTCAACTTGCTTGCGGTGCCCTTACCGGAATAGTAATATGGACATCAAAGACATGGTGGACACACCAGCGGACAGTCCGAGTCCGCGGCGTGACAGTCAAGCCGTCACCACCGCTGAACCGTCCGGCGAATCGCGCCCTCACCCCAGGTCTGTCAAGACTGAGGCTGCTGGACAGTTGGATGAAGACATGGACGATGATGTAGAGAAGACAGGTTCCGCTAAGGGCGATGATGCACCAATGTACACAGCAACGACAACGACGACGCGTCGCAATGCGAACGGTAGCGTATCATCCGTATATTCCGGCAATAAGATTAGACATTTGAAGAAGGAGGACGGCGTACCACTTTGGAGGAAAGATATTCAATACGATTTCCTTCGCCTCGTCTTTGAGGATGACAAGAGAGTCTTTCACAAAGCGTCGGATGGTAGTGGTGGCCACACTTTCGCCGATATCTATCTGGACGCCATGGCCAAGAGCAGCAAATGTAGCAAGATACTCAAGGACAAGCTCTTGACCGAGAGAGGCGCAGCAATCAACATGGCCATGGTCTGCTTACTGGTCAACGTAGGCAGGATGAACACAACCCTGAATTGTAAAGTCACAGACGATGTGTGAGAGCGTAAGCTGACCTCCTATAGTCTTTCCTGAAATGCGCGCGCAACTCAGAACCTACCATGCGATTCCTTCATTGCAAGCACATCAAGACCCGAACGCGTACAAACAACTACAAGATGCTCCACGCCTCAAATCAATACTCAAGGGAGCGACAGAGGATACAGAGCAACCAAGCACTGTCGAAGACATCAAGTCGCACCGAATCCCCCGCACGAACCCTGTTAATCTAATATTTGTTCTTGCGCAGTATGCCCCGAAGATCTCTGAACTCCATTTTGTTCCTCCTCGGGATTTCTTCGATTTGGTCATGAGAGAGACACTGAGCAGTCGCAGTAGAGCCACAGCGTTCTTGTGGCTGATGTGGTGGTATCTCGAGAGCAATTTTAGCAAAGAAGATGCAGAAAACAATCCGTTTGGTCCAGGATTACCAGGATCAGACGGAGATTCTACAAATGGCCTCCCGATCAAGTGCCCAGCTTTTGTAACAATGACCCCTGAAGAAGTGGAGCAAGAGAACGTGGACACACAAGAAGAAAAGGACTTTGGCTGGCGTAAGAAGGAAGAACGGAAGCGTGAGTTGCCTTTAAAACACTGTGCACATCGTTGCTGATAACAGATAGAAATTCTCGCGAGTGACATGGCTCCCGTTGTAACCGGCCCTAAGAGAGCTAATAAGAAAGGTAATTATGATTTCTATCCTGCTTTTGTAACGTTGCTCGCGCAAGCGAGAGTGTATGCAGAGCTCATGCCGCTCAGATGGGGCTACCGTATTGTATCACAACCTTGCGAGATATCATGCGCTTCGATTTGATGTCGCTCCAGGTCTATGCGAGCTGCTGGCTGAAGGAGCTCCTACCCAGCAAGCGCTTCAGCTATTTCAACATTTCTGTTTCTGCGAGTGTGGCACGGTCTACTAACACGCTTCCGTAGTATACAATCAAAATCCTGTCTTCTCAGTCAACGATGCCGAAACAGCTTCCCCAGGTCGAGAATTCCAGTCGCCGATACCGAACAGTAAGTATATCTGTCACAATATGACATCCGATTGTGTGCTAACGAGGTCGCAGGTCGTGGATCGCGTCTCAAAATACATAAACTTGCCCCCGACTACAACTCTGACACGGACCGGACGCGATCTGTTAGCCCTCCAGCTTCCCACTCGAAGTCTCAGCAGAACATGAACATTAACACGCTCCTCAACGATGACACCCCGGCTGCCACGCCTCCGACTGTTCCAGCGAGGAAAGGGCCCGGACGTGGCAATTGGGCCCGCAATCGGAACCCCAACATGGAGAAGAATCGCGGGTACGACCCTCACAATCGTACGTTCAAATCGCGAAATCTTCCACAGGACTCTGACAGTACAGCTATGGGCGGACCACATGGGTTCTACCTGCCATTGAACGGGGCTGAGCCGGCGACGAAGCGATCGCGGCCCATCACAGCGCATCAAGCGGCGGTAGAGAAGTATCGTAAAGAACGTGTTGCGTACATTCTCGACACTCGATTGCGGAAACACTACGCTCTCGCGCGCAAGCATCGATCTAGGGATGGTGCTATGGCGCGTGCATGGTTGCGGTGCAAGATGATGACGGAGGGCTACGACACAGACGACGACATGGTGGCACAATCGGAACGTGAACGAGCGGAACTACAGTCCATGGACCGGAACGAGCCGTCAGGAGGGCGTGTTCGTGCACCACCGCCAACGTTTGTGGGGCTACTCCCAATGCCCCTTGAACCGGATGATTACGGTGAGGAAGCACACTCTAGACTCAGCGTGATGCGCAAAGCAGGTCGCCGCATGGAACGCTGGGAAGAGGGTCTGGATGTGCCCACGCACAAGCAAGCATCTCGACGGCTCGAGGCAGAGAGACGACACGAAGAGGAGATGGAAGAATATGGTGACGACGATGGAGTAGGTCGACCCCGTGCTGGAGCTTATGACAGAAGCAGTCCGGTCAGAGACGAGATGGACGAAGACGGAGGCGACGATGAGGCGGACGAGGAGCTTGACGATGAGGACCGCGAGATGCTTGGCGAGATTGACGATGTTGGCAGCAGTGACGAGGATGAGGAAGCGGATGTAGACGAGGGAGAGACGATGGTTGGCGTGGAAGTTACAGGCTGATGGCTGGCGTCTCTTGCGTACGAGATTTGAAACTCATGGTCATGGTGGGTCGGTCACTGGAGGCATCGGTATTCACATGAGGTATTCGCGACGATAAGATGGATGCTTGGTTAGGGCTGGGGCTCCTGTTCTAGGTAGGCAGAGGTGGTTGTATCAACATCTTGTGCGATGTGCATCGTGCAACTTTTCTCGAAGAGGTGCTAGCGTCCTAAACTCTCCATAGCAACGGATATCCCATCTCGTCCGAGAGTTGGGCCTTGAAGCCAGCAATAAATTGATGAACGGACTCGGACGAATGCGCGGACCGGGCTGGCCGGTTTGTAGGATGAATAACCTTGGAGGAGGCTTGCAGCGGACGACAAGCCCGGTCACGTGCGATGCTATGCCTGATGCCTGATGCATGATGCACCCTGCCTGCTTGCCCGGTCTGAAACTATCGGCGTGCAGGGCGGGCCGATCTACCGACAGCAAGCGAGGTAGGGCTCGCCAATATTCCACAACTAGTTAGCTGCTGTTCGAGCCCCTTTATCCGTGCACCTATGTGGTCGATTTGACTCGGCCGAGTACCGCCGAGGGTCACCTAATCATTTTAGTTGTCGACTTATTAGGTGGCATGTCCAAATATGCCCATGTGGCTCTCTATACTTTGTGAAAGAATTGCCTATATGTTGTACTTGGACCACGCCACAACCACGGTTGCAACAACACACAGAGCGTGCTCGCATCATGGCACTGGATTTGTATTAGTTCAAGTGCGGGTGAGTCATGAGAGCTACATACCTGGTACCTAATCAGGTAACTATTTATTCCAATGACGCGTCGGCGCCTTTTCCATCAGCCTTGCGGAAACTTGACGAAGCCCCGTGTGGCTTTTGTCAAAGGCTGCCGAAACGGTGCAATTTGGCCGTGCGTGCGGCAACTTTACTATTGTTATGCAGCGTGTTATTGGCTTTTTCTGCAATCGCGTGGTGCTGGATGTGTTTGATCCGACCGGATTCTACTCGCGCGCTCAAAACCCGCCCGGGCTGGTCTAAGACTCTCTGGCTGAATGGTGAATGCTTGCTGATGGTCTACAACTAGGTAGTGGCAGTTGGATCTAATGTGCCCTCGCTGTTTGCTCCAATCGTATCCATGACTTACTCGGGTAAGAATGGAGACGTAGCCAATGCCCGTCCCGCTTATCTTCGTCCGGAATCATGAATCATCGTCCATCGTGTATGGGCCATGGTCCATCATCCATCGTGCGTGCGGCGATATGCATAGCGAACGAACCACAGGCATCGCCTGGAGGATCGCGTGCGGACCTGGAGGAGATCTGACAAGACCCTTTTCCATTCCGGAACCCACATAACAATAACGGCAGCGTTGTATTCGTGCGTCGCCGTGTTGCAGGCTCGATCCTAAAATTGCAACTGCGACTGCTCACTAGTTCTCTTTTTTCCCGTGTCTCGTCCATACGGAGTGTATATAGTCTCCTGGCCCTGCGCGCTGATGCTGCCTGGCTCTGTTTCGATTCACTCCAGCCAAGCTTCTCTCTCAAGCCTTTAAGCTCTTAAGCTCTATAGCTCCGAACCCAGCGTCGTGCTAGATTGCTCTCAAGGGTCTCTGCACCCTCAATCTGGATCCCGGTCACTATCACGACTATCCCACCCAGGGCTCGCTCCCCGTCGCAAAAATGTCAAACAATCTTGCCCCCTCCGCAAGCACCCACTCCAACGACGAAGCTGCCACCGACTGCGAGAAGTCTGCCGTCAACTCAGTCTTCGATCAGAAAGATGTCCCATCCGAAAACGCATCGAACCATGCCGTCGAGGAAAAGTTGGCTGCCGAAGCAATCACCGGTGTCTCGGCCGATGCCTTGACTGAGGACGATATGGTATATCCAAAGGCATGGAAACTGGTCCTGATCTCCATTGCTCTGTGTCTAGCCGTCTTCTGCATGGCCCTCGACAACACTATCATATCCACCGCAATTCCTCGAATAACCGTTCAATTCGATTCACTTGGCGACGTCGGCTGGTACGGCAGTGCCTATCTTCTCACAACATGTTGTTTCCAGCTCATGTTTGGCAAGCTTGTAAGTACTCTACTCTTGCAATGACCGTACCATCTGCTCACAATATGCTCAGTATACCTTCTACTCCGTCAAATGGGTCTTCATGATTGCTCTATTCATCTTCGAACTCGGTTCGCTGATATGTGGTGTGGCTCCCAGCAGTGTGGCCCTGATTGTTGGTCGCGCAATTGCTGGAATCGGATCTGCTGGCCTCTTCTCGGGCGCAATCTTGATCATTGCCATCAGTGTACCCTTGAGGCAACGTGCAGCCTACACTGGTCTAATAGGAGCTATGTATGGTCTGGCATCCGTTGCCGGTCCTCTGCTCGGTGGTGCATTCACCGACCATCTGAGCTGGAGATGGTGCTTCTACATCAATCTTCCCTTTGGAGGCGTCACCGCACTATTCCTGCTCATCTTCTACACTGAGCCAAAACGCCCCAAGGTGGCTGCTGGAAGCGGTATCATGGCCAAGATCAACCAAATGGATCCAATCGGTTTTGCCTTCTTCGCACCCGGCATCATCTGTGTACTCCTCGCTCTGCAATGGGGTGGCTCAAAATACGAATGGAGCAACGGCAGAATCATTGCCTTGTTCGTACTGTTTGGCGTCCTCATCATCGGCTTCATTGTCGTGCAGTTTTGGAAACAAGACAGAGCCACCGTGCCCCCTAGAATCCTCAAAGACCGCAATGTGTGGGGTAGCGCAGTGTTCGGTGCCTGTCTAGGTGCCGCTTTCTTTGTCATGGTATACTGGATTCCTATCTGGTTCCAGGCAGTCAAAGGCTCTTCTGCCACTCGCTCTGGAATCATGAACATCCCAATGGTCCTCGGTGTCGTCGCCATGAGCCTAATCTGCGGTGGCCTCGTCACCGCCACCGGCTACTACACCCCCTTCATCTATGCCTCCGTCGTCTTCATGTCAGTTGGTGCCGGCCTACTCACAACCTTCGAGGTTGACACCGGCTCCTCCAAATGGATCGGATATCAAGTCATATTCGGCTTCGGCGTCGGCATGGGCATGCAAATGACCCTCATGTGCGTGCAAACCGCGCTCCCTCTCGAGGACGTCCCAATCGGCACCGCCATCGTCATGTTCACCCAGATTCTCGGCGGCGCCCTCTTCATCGCCGTCGCCCAAAACGTCTTCAACAACCAGCTCGTCAAGAATCTCCTCACCATCGTCCCCGACGTCAATCCTGCTGATGTCATCAGTGCTGGCGCGACTGGTCTCAAGGACAACGCTGTTCTTGCTCCTTACCTCGATGGCGTTCTCGTCGCGTATAATGATGCTCTGACGCAGACGTTTTATGTCCCCGTTGCTATGGCTTGCTTGTCTGTTGTCGGTGCTGCTGTCATTCAGTGGAAGTCGATGAAGGGCAAGCCCATGGGTGCCGCGCATGCTGTCTGAGCTGCTGGGCGCTGTGGTTTGGTGTCCGATTCGCGTATATACCCAGTATAAATACTTCGTAATGATGGCACGGCCGTGAAAAAATCGTTTGGATAGACCCGCTGTTATAATTGTAGTATATATAGACTACCGATACAATGGTATACCTTCTCTCCAACATTGTTTATGTGTGTGAACGGTTTAGATCATTGTGACACATTCGAAATGGTTCCATTAAGTAGTGCCTCTCACGTGGTAAAAACAGCGAGTGTAGTAATATGGTGTAAAGTTGGTTGCGTAACCACGCAGTCCGAGAACCGGCAGTGAGGTGTACTTATGTAAATGGCTCGACCCAATGTATATATAACTCTTGATTTTGTCTAAAGGTCCAAGACTATCTACGCAAGGCTCTTCTCCTTCAAACCATCCGGAGACTGAGATTCCTTCCTCGTCTTGACAAACATGACGACAACAGCCACGACGCCGCCAAGGAAAAGGAGTTTCTGAAGCGTAGAGAGTCCGCTAGTAAGACTCGAGGAGCTGCCGGTAAGCTTGTCGAGACTGTCAGACAGGGAGTCTGCATCGAGCGTCGAATCGGCGGCCTTGTCGGCAAGATCTTGAAAGAAAACAAGGCAGCATCAGCATTTCCCCACACAACCACACACACGCACACAGACGACTCGCGGAGAAAGAGGAGGACAGGTAAGTAGCAGAGAGAGAGACAGAGAGAGAAGACTGCGGTGTGCGGAAAATTTTTGTTTGAGTTTTTCACAACTCCTTGTGGATACCTTCGTCTGGTACTTCCAACTCGCCACTCTTCTTGATCTTGACCGTCTTGGCGGGCTTGTCGCCGGCGCCCTTCTCGACGTTCTCGATCTTCTCGACTATCTCGTAGCCCTCGAGCACCTCGCCGAACACGACGTGGCGTCCGTCGAGCCAGGATGTCACCACTGTCGTGATGAAGAACTGGCTGCCGTTGGTGTCTTTGCCGGCGTTGGCCATGCCTGTGTATCGTGTTAGTCGCTGGTGCTAACATCCTCCTGGCGCGAAAAGGGGAGGTGGGCAGCGAGATAACTTACTGAGAAGACCCTTGCGGGTGTGCTTTAGCTTGAAGTTCTCGTCGGCGAACTTCTCGCCGTAAATGGACTTGCCACCGGTGCCTGTGCGGATATTAATATTGCGGCAAAATGCAACACATGGGGACGTGGGCATGTCATCGTACCATCGCCCTTTGTGAAGTCTCCACCTTGGATCATGAATTGCTTGATGACACGGTGGAACGTCGAGCCCTCATATCCATAACCCTTCTCACCAGTAGCCAGGGCGCTGTTGTATAACGTCAGATGAATGTCGTCGAAGAAAGAATGTTGGAATGTTTACCGGAAGTTCTCTGCTGTCTGCACATGCGTGTTAGCTGGTGAAAATAGAAGCCTGCATCGTCTTCACTACGTACCTTGGGGACAGTCTTGCCGTAAAGACCAATTACAACGCGGCCAAGATCTTCCTCGCCATGCTGGATGTCGAAGTAAACCTGCGTCTTGTTAGAAACATGCCTGCGTAGCAGTGTGGAAGAGCTTTGTGTGTCTGTGTACCTTGTGGGTGATCTTAGGACCCTTGGTAGCTTCAGCAGTCTGCGCAAAGAACACAAATGCAAAGGTCAAAATGACCATAAGCGAGATCGCGATCCTCTGTATGGTATTCATGGTGATCTACAGAGTCTGTTGTAAAACGAGTTGGGGAAAGACTTCGAGTATTCGCAGACGTCTGCGGTTGAAGGCGTGGGCCGCTTAAAGCCATGGTGGCAGGATGGTTGGCTGTCGGAGGCCCTAGCTTCAGTCCCATCCCGCACGTGCATCTATGGCGGTCCGGATTTCTCGCGACGTCGGTGGAAGTTAAAGCCCATTGAGGACACCACTCTGGATGTACCACGGCCTAGACAGTAACAAGTCCCCTGCCTCAAGATGGTGAGTGAGAGGTTCGCATGCTGAGAACAATGATGCTGACTACAATAGGTGTTGCTCGCAGGCATCAACATGGACGGCGCGCAGCTCGCCAAGGTACGACTTCTGCACTCCAATGCCAAAATAAAGTGCATCGCTAAAGCCACGCAGCTAGCTCTCCAATCATTCTATGGCATCGGGCCCTCGGTATCGCAGAAACTGCTCGCGCGAAACTACATCCATCCATTGGCAAAGCTATCCTCTCTGCAGGACAAGCAGCTCGAGAGCCTGAACAACGCACTCGCCAGCATGAAGATCGAGAACGACTTGAGGCGTGAGATACGAGGCAATATAGCGCGGCTAAGAGATCTGGGCACGTATAGAGGCAGGAGACATGCTATGGGTCTACCGGTGAGAGGACAAAGGACGCGGTGCCAGGTATGTGGACGATCCGGCGGTGGATTTTTTGACATACGCTAAATGTCACGATAGAATTCAAGTGCTACGAAGCTCAACAAGGTTGATCGTAGAGGCTAAATACAGAAATGCGTCTGTAATGGTTGAATGTAGACAAGGAACAGGGAACCTATACGTATTCCATGCTGTGGAATATCGCATACATATATCGGGCGTTCTGTAAAATGTGATGTACAATACTGTATGCTTATACGAAGGGCTGATATTACCCACGAGGCAATAAAAGCTTATGGAGGACGGGACGCTGAAGTCCGGGCTGTTGAATAAGTTGGAAGGTCAGTTTGACTGTTAGAGAGCCAGCTTCTCGGATGGACCATGGGCACAGAATTGGTACTGGCCAAAGTTCGATATTTAAATAGTATGTATTTTCCAGCGAATACGTGCATGTTGGCTGCCATGTCACGCACCTATGCGATGTCCGAGTGATTCATCACTCTTGTAGTCTTTGATTGGTATCCTCTCGTCCCTCCCACTGGGTTTCAGCTGGATTATGCAATTGCCCATCTTGTCCTCCAGCTCTGTGCGTATATTTTGTGTGTGTCTCCCCCATATTCCTTGTTCCGATTAACGTCAAGTTGTGCAATATTGGTAGCCGTTAAGATCACGAGTCGGCAGAGATGTACATGACTGTATTTGTCAGTGTCTCGTGCAAGCACATTCTTCTCATGGTTGCCCACCGTTGTTGCCTCTCAAAAATGCGTCGCCATAATTGCGCCGAGGTTTGCCATCGACTATTTCCTTGCACTGCTCGAGCGCGATGTTCATATAGCCATCGACAGATTGAAGGTCACCTGTCTGGTATGAGCCAATGTTCCAAACTGACATCAGGCTAACCTGGCATAGCTACTGACCTTTGTAGACGATGCCAGAATTCAGCTTAACCGTGACTGGAGCGCCAAGCATACTGCTCAAAAAGGTGGAGGGGTCGGTCTGGGGATCAGCGCCGTTTTCCATGGTCGTAGAGTGCTTGAATGGAGAGGTCAGATAAATGTCGCGTGGCTGCTAGTGTTCCTGTTGTTGATATTGCGGAGAGCGGAGCGGAGGTACCAATGTGGGGTTACTCGTAGTAGACAGGTTTAGGCGACTTTTATTGTATCCCAAGCTCTGAATTGCACGCAAGGTCGCGAGCTTCTGGCCACAAACAAAGGCACGTACTTGGGTTCTAATATGGATATGACGAGCGCGAGTCTTTTAAAGCTGCCTCACCGTACTAAACATCAGTAGCGACCTTTCATGATGCCTGAAGAACCCCCGAAACCGCGAAAACGCATCTTTATCAAGAAGTCAAGCCTGCAAAATGCAGCAAAGAAGCACACCGATATACCAAAGAATCCCAGTCGCCACGATGGCACTTGTAGTGCTATCGCAGAAGAATCAATAAGCAAAGGTGAAGAGCAGGAAGCGCTCGCAAAGCTCGAGAATTTGGAGAGCGAACGCGTAGCGAAGAGAAAACAAGTGAGCGCTGAGCCTCAATCGCCGGCAGCAAACAAAAGAGCAACTCCGTGCGTGTGACTCCCTGTACCCAGTATCAACAGAACACTGACACATTTCAGAAGTAGCATTGATAGCCCTAGTCGGAACACAAGGAGCAGCACTCGAGTGACACCGACACTATCTCCTGGGAAACATAAGCTCTCTACCCATCCGAAGTCACCTTCTCCACGATATAACGCTTTGTTGAATCAAGGGAGTCATTCCGCAAAACCTGCTCCCGAGATAGTGACCCTTGATGATTCTTCATCCTCCCACAACGACGATGATAATGACGATGGCGATGGCGACATGGATGTACATAACCATAGGCCTTCAAAGACCCCAAGAGACACTTCGAACCTACAGGGAAGTAGAGCAATCTTGGCACAGGATCAACGGCAACGCGCAGACAGCTATTCGTGGACGAATAGACTTGACGGCGACCACAGCGACGACAGTGATGCTGGTCCAGTGATCAAAGATGATGCCAAGAACATTTCTCAGGATAGCGCGAAGTACCCATCGCCAACAAGACCGTATGTGTTAGAGGAGCCGCAACCTCCTCTACCTGATCCAATAGTTGAGGTTCTGGTCGAGTGTCACATACCTAACTTTGAGCAGCGCGTGCCAGCGTTTGACGGCATACCTGTGAATTTCAAAATCCGATATTCCATGCCATTCAGAAAAGTGCGCGAAAAGTGGATTGCCATGTACAATGTCCCTCCAGAGATTGTTGACGATCTTATATTGTCTCATAATAATGTGAAGCTTTGGAATGCAACCACCGCGAGATCTCTTGGGGTCACGCTTGAGAACGTTGAAGACTGGGGCAAAATTGCACTTGAAATGACCACGCAGGACCTTTTGCGGAAAGCCGAAGAAGATAGGCTCAGGCCGGATGTGCACGCTCCAGCTGCGCCCAAGGCCCGCCAACCATCGATCAATTTGACTCTACAAGGAAAGGGATATGAAGATGTCAAATTAAAGGTGTACAACGTAGGTCGAACGACTATGAAGTCTATGTGACGACTGCTTACTCCATGCATAGGATACTCTAGTTGCTAAAATCATTGGGGCATGTCGAAGACGATGGCAAATTCCAGCCGACAAGGAAATCACAATCATGCTTGATGGCGAGCCTCTCTCGCCTCAAGTCGTGGTTAAGGATACAGAGATTGAAGGTCCAGAGCAGCAATTGGACGTGTATATCAAGTAGTTCGAGGGACTCGAGAAGGTCTCGGTGTTTGCATGCGGGCGGCGCGTACCTTTGGGAGGGGTTTTGAGCTTCTAGTAAGTTGGGTCCAAGCTGATTGATTGATATCTTCACGAGCGAGGCGTCCTGGTTTATCAAGGAGGTTGGCATCACTTGCACGTGTTGCCAGTTATGTTGTAACCGATGTAGATTTACATAAAGTGCTCTTTAACTGTATGAGATAAGAGACTTTCAAGTTTGATCGAAAATCTAGATGTGCGTCAAAAAAAAGTCCTAACGCGTCCACAAAGAAGAACGGCAGGGTGGAGAAGACGTAGGCTCTGCTAAAAACCCTTTAACTTGCTCTTCCACTGTTTGATCAATGATCAAGACTGCCATTCTGGTTGTTGAAGAGCCAGAACGCAGGTTTGCCGTGGTGATAACGATAGAGAAAAAAAATTGCTTCGAAATCCAACAAGATCTGATACATATTGTTCTGCCGGCGGAGGCAGGACGATTTTCCGGGCCGTGACTAAGCAATACCCGATCTCCGAGGTCTACCTAGAAACCTGCTGCAGCTTCGTTTACAATTCTTCTCTCTACACACACTTTTGACTCATATAAATCAACCGCCATTCACCAATCCTCGTAGTTTGAACGGTCAGATTGGGTCGCCATATTAATTTATACAAAAGGCACATTTAGACTTGCGAACTTTGCTCGCCATAGTTCTAGCATAGCCACCTGCGTGCCTTACAACCCGATGGGAAAGTCATCAAATAGTACTAAAATAAGCCTGTAGTTAGTATCAGGTGGACTTGATGTATGCATCTTCACTGTTGTGTGGTAGTTGAAGAGAACGCAAGCCGTTTAGGATCATATCAAGCTATAGATAATAATAGAGACGGCCCCTTTCCCATGCATCCCAGGCTGGATTGAAACGCACCTGTTTCGCGGGCCGTGTGGACTGTGGACAGGACAGGGGCATTTCCAGCGCGGATCCGGATGCACCGACCTCTCCTGTATGAGAACCATCAGCTTTTGGCCGAAGGTATAATGATGCAGTCCTCTAGAATGCGCCAATAGCCGCACTCACGCTGTAAGCAACAGTAGCAACTTATGGGTTGGAGGTCTATCGGAACGCGCCCATTTATACCCTTGTAGTAAGCTTTTCCCTGGTCGCCAGCGCCAGCTCATGCGACCCGTCTACCTCAACAGAGGTCGCCGTCCTACGTCTCACTACCTCCCCGCCATGCCGCATCTTCATTGACATTGTATCGGTTATCATCTTTGGAATTGCTACTGCTGTACACGTTCCTGGAAGTACCTACCCCTCCTTCCATAGCGCGCTCGATTTGGACCTACTCGCGCCTGCAGAAGCATTTCAAAGCCTCAGACTGTCTATTTCCCCGGACTACAACTTGGGTACACCATGGTGGCTTCATTGACGAAGCGCCAGGCACAGCGTAATGAGCTCGCGCTTCAGAATTTGCTCAAAAATATACCAGGAAACAACGAGTGTGCAGACTGCCGAGCGCGAAACCCAGGTAAGCCTGTCCACAGGAGAACTATTTTACCACGCCCCCAATACGATGGTATCCGCTGACATTGAATCGATAGGATGGGCGAGCTGGAGTGTAAGTCCTCAAGTGCCCTCGATCCCCCCTCGCGAGCATAGACCATTCCTCTTCGACCTCAGCCTGTCTTTACAGACCCTTGCCTACCGTCGAACACAACATCTGCTAACAAGTTTGGCTACAGCTTGGAATATTCCTCTGTTTACGGTGTGCTACTTTGCATCGCAAACTAGGGACGCATTTGTCGAAAGTCAAGTCAATTAGTATGGACCAATGGGGCAATGAACATGTTGAGGTTCGTTTTGGTGTTGCCAAGCAAAGAGTCGCAAATTCTAACAACCTGGTAGGCAATGAAAAAATATGGGAATGTAGAGTCGAACAAGAAGTATAATCCTCAGAACGTCAAACCTGACATACCGATTGACGTCGATGAAGTTAATGGGGCGATGGAACGCTTTATTCGACAAAAGTATGAGAAAAAGAGCCTCATGGACGCCTCTAGACCGGGAACAAGACAAAACACAGGCAGTACAAGCTCGGTCGAGGGCAAGCCGCCGCCATTGCCGCCAAAACCGACCAAGCGCTTCGGTTTGGGTCTTCGATCAACGTCATACCAGCAGTCAGTCTCACGGGCCGACAGCCACTCCGCAACAGGGACGCCCCCTGAATCCAGACATGATCGAGATGCATCACCACCACGGGTCACTAAGGCGTCTAAAGTTTTCGGCTCTGATGTGGACAGATCTCAAGACCCATATGCAAACCAGATGCAGGCTTTGCGATCACGGGGTTTTGTTGACGAGACACGCAACGCCACGGTCCTCAGGAGTATGAACGGTAATCTAGAACGCTCCATTGACGTTCTACAGAGGCTTTCCCCAAATCCACAGCCTCCAAATCCCCCGGTACCTGAGAAAGCAGGAAATACGAATGGTATATCGATTCAGCAGAATACAGACCCTTTCCAGGCCCTAGACAGCATACCTCAACAGCCCACAATTCAACAGCATGGCGGTCAAGTGCATGCACAGCAGCCAGTGCAACCTTCGAATCCATTCCTTCACATGTCGTCCGCAACATCCCTAGAGCAAACCATGCAAAATATGCATATTGCACAGCCTCAGCAGCAGCAACCAGCACTTTTCCCACATAGTACCGGTGGCTACAACCAGACAAATCAATATCAGTCTAATCCTTTCATGAACTCCTTCACACCGCCGCCCATAGTTCAAATGCCACCTCAGTACAATTCTTTCATGGCGCAACAAGCCACTCCTGGGCATCAACAATCCGCGTCTCCGGTCTCTGCCCAATCGTCTGGAAACAATCCGTTCTTACGATCAAGCCAATCGCAACCTTTTACGCCGCATCCATTCAGCGTTCCCAACAATCACGTTAATGCCCAGCATCAGCAACAAGCTCACAACCAAAATTGGACTCCTGCACAAAGCACATCGCCTTTCAATCCATACCAAGGCTATCAGCCTCCACAGACACAGTCACCAAATCCGTTTCTACAGCGTCAACAGCAAGATCAGCAGCAGCAGCAGCAGCAACAACAGCAGCAACAGCAACAGCAACATCAGTACCAGCAACACCAGTACCAGCAACATCAGTACCAGCAAATCACGACGCCTTTTCAGCCATCTCAGGCACAAGAACAGGCCATTCTTTCTCATTATCAGCCGCAGTTTCAAACCCAGCAGCCTCAACAGCCCCAACAGCCATATTTGCCACGGCATGACAAGGCCTCCATTCTATCGCTCTACCGTCAACACCCATCCACTACCTCTCCACAGACCAGCTCACCAAGCACGCCTGGGGACATATCAAGTCCTAACGCCCAACGACGTGCTGCGACCATGCCTGTTTTGACGAGTGCAATTAATGGGGGTAGTGTGCCCTTTCCTGGGGCGGCAGTCCAACAGCAGCAACAACAGACTCCTGACCAAGTACCGATCGCCGTACCCGCTCATAACCCTTTCATGGCAAACCATGGTCGGGGAGGTATGCCCAAGGCTGCCGATCCAAGCCGTGAGAGCGTGGATTTTCGGTCGCTTATGGCTGGCCGGCACAGCCCGGATGCTTTCACCGGTCTGAGCGCGACATACAGATGAGCGCGCGAAAATATAGACTCTCATAAATGTATATATCTGTGCATAAGAGCTGGAATGTGTGACATGGTTTGTATGTGTCTGGACTGTAATGGTTGTTGTTGCGATTGTAGACAGCGGGAAAAGGTTAATGTTATGGTCTTACGAAAAATTGGTCGATCTAATGTTCTGTAAATATGTACCTTTGTAACTCACAGAGCTTAGTTCCGAACAGATACCAGATGCGGTCGTACTTTCTGCCTACTAGGCTAAGATACCATGGTTAAGGTCTAATTACCAAGAGAAGAACGTGTACGATAAAGGCTGGGCAGTGGTTGGGATTGAGGCTGGGCGTGTGCGAAAGACTATATATCGTGCCAGATTCCCTTATGGCTATTTATTTTGAGGTCCTTTTTAGATTCATTCGTCTTGTTCCCTGCTAACCGTCTCCAATCGTTTGCCTCATTACCTGTCTGTGTGAATCTCTGTATCTCCGGTATCCGCGCATGAGTTGACAACCATCGCACCAGCCCGATTAGGTCTACCAATGTTGGATGTGTTGAATCTCCTACATTCACAACTTGTCCAAAAGGCCATGTGTCTCTTTCTTTTCGTATCATTCCAGAGTTGAACTCTATATCATACTGTTTCAATATTTCTAGAACTGACCGATCCTAACTCCAGAATGGCAAATAACGCCAACTTGGCCTTGCTTATTGACGGCGAAAACATATCGCCCAGAATTCTCACCGGTCTCATGGCTGCGGTCGTAGTCAATGGAGACGCGGTTGTAAGACGTATGTACGCAGATTGGACGGATCCTTCCTTCAGTAGCTATAAAGCACACCTCCGCGCTCACTCCATTACCCCAGTCCAACAACACACCTATAAGACCACCAATAAAGCCACCCAAGGTGTCATGGTCACTGAAACAATGATTCTCCTGCGCCTCGGCCGCTTCGCAAGCTTCTGCATCGTCTCAGGCAACACTGACTACACTCTTCTCGCAGCCCACATCCGAAAACAGGGGGTCGCAGTGCATGGCTTCGGAGCACGCAAGACAAGTTGCGCTTTCATAGCAGCGTGCACAAATTTCACGTATTTCGATGCGCTTGACGTGGACATGGATAAGTCGCCGGAGCAGCAGCAGCAAGTACTTCCCCCTTCGACGGTCCGTCCCAGCTTCACACTGGCGTCGCAACAGACTCCTACGCAGGGTCCCGTCAGTGATGCATCCAAGACAGCTTTGACTCCAGTATTAGTCAAATCGCTCAGGCTTATCGTCGTGCAGATCGTCCCGGATTGGAACGAGCCCTATACCAGTGTGGCAGATGTGGCCAAGTATCTCTCGACCATTGCCCCTAATTTTGACGTGCGAACATATGGATTCGAGCATTTAGGCGAGCTGCTGGAGACATCGGGATTGGTGGATGTGAAGAAGATGTCCGTGGTTGGACAGGCTTCGGTCGCCCTTGTCCGGCTGAAAAAGAGAGTTTGAGTTGCAAGCGGAATCACCCAGTGTGCACTTCTCCTCTAGAATAGAGCAAGGGGGCGAGAAGAAAAGAGTTATTCAAGGTTGTAAAGTGAGTGGAGTGGAGTTTCGTATACTACCTACAAATGGATAATTGGCGGTATGGCGTTTATCATCGGACAAGGGGTACACTGACTACTCTCTGGAAGCGGTTTTCATGCGTTTCATATCTATCAATCATTCATTTGTAGCAGAGAAATCAATTCATGTAATGTTTCAATTTATTGATCGTGACTATTATACATTCCCGTACTCCTCCTAATGCTCAGCAAACTCCTAGCGCTTGAAGTACAGATTCAGGACGAAAAATTCAGAGGTCGTCGGTCGTAACTTGACCATTGAAAGGAAGCAGAAGCCCGAGATGGTCATAATGGGGTTTAGAACCCTTCGTCTACTCGATGTTGATCTTCTTGGACATCGGTTTTCCTGCTTTGGGAACGACGACACTGAGGATACCATCCTTCAGACTGGCCTTGACAGCGTCCTGGTCAACTCTCGCAGGAAATGAGAAACTGCGGTGAAATTCGCCGACGGAGCGTTCTGAGACCCAAAACTTGGGGGTGTCAGTTTTGGGTGTGACCTGGGTGTTGGTGTTGGTCCTGGTGATCTGGCCAGTGATTTCAGTTTTCGGCGTTGAGGACTGTTCTGTGGGGTCTTCTTCGACAGTCGGCTTATGGTATCCAGAGTCGTTTTCTTTGTTGGCGTCTCCAGATTGCTCGATCAGTCCAGCAGCATTTGGACGTGTACCTTCTTCACGAATAGATTCGGTGCGGCCGGAGATGGAGATAGTGTTGCTGTCGGCCCATTCGATGTTGATGTCCTTCTGGGCAATGCCAGGAAGTTCTCCGTGGAGCTGATAAGCTTCCTTGGTCTCGGAAACATTGAACTTGGGTGTGAAGCTAGGCAAGGATGACTGCGTGCGTGCAGTCTGCATTGCGCGGTCATACTCGTCGAAGATACGGAAGAGCGGAGAGAACTCCTGGGTGAAGCCGCGTGGGAAGAGAGACATTGCGCGAGATGGCTGGACTTTGTGGACTTTGGTTGCGAATGGTAGTTTGCGAATAGAGCAGCGAGCAGATTGCATTAAGTGTTTTGAGAGTAGAGTTGCTGTTGATTGTCTGTTTGATCTGATGAAGGTCTGTCGAGACGCAGACCAACGCTGCCTTTATAGTTCATGCAAATACATCTCGAGCATACTGGAAGCCGCTGGAACTTGGTGGCCTGATGACTCTGGACATTGCTAGAAGGCAGGCGATGCTTCTGGCTATCGTGAATTACTGCATTGGGCCGTTTGCGTAAGCATTGTAATTACGAACAATACATGGACGCGATGCTTCAAGAATGTTGGAGAAGCTCGGAGAAGCTCGGAGAATGTTCGGGTGTAGAGTCAAAGTGATTCAGTTACGGGGTAGCTGACTCAGCACTACAGGTCTGCCAGGTGCCCAGGTGGCAATTGGCAATTGTCGATTTTGCCTTTGATCTTTCGGCCATGTTGATAGAAGCGAAAGAATCCTTTCAAGGTATTCAACTGCTCACCATCACTTCGACATATAGATGATTTGGATTCCGGATAGTCAGATTGCGGGTCGTCTCGTGCCCTTGCAGTAAAGACCCAGGCTACGAAGAGCGCTCGTTAGTCTAAGCGACAAAGATTCGGTCGTTACTATGGATTGAGTGGTCAGGGAGCGTAACGTTCGGCATCTGACCTTTGCTGGATCCTGGGTCAACCCAATGAGTGAAGCGAACGGCCCATTTGCAACATACGCCTCCTCATCCCTAAGCCGAGTGCTCCTTGCACCGTGCGACACGTTTAATGAGATACATTTCGGATTCCTGGGTCAGAGTAGATCTCCAGCTGGCGGTGCCCTTTTCGAAGCATGTATTCAATGGAGCCGAAGTCCTTCTTGTTCAAAGACAAATTTTTGCGGAATTCGATCCTAATAACCATCAGCAAAAGTCAACATTACCCCAGTCTCTGAGAAGTCAAGCCCTACCGTGCAAACTCACGGAAGTTTTCCCTGGTCGACTACCAGTGCCACGCTGTCAGTTACTGTACTCGTGACCAATGTTATAGTGACGCGTTAGTTACCTCTGGCTTTGCCCTTACTGCGCGCAAGCATTGTCGATAAAGTGATAATACATCCTTCTGCAGTCCAGAGAGCCTTGCCATATCTCTGTCTCTCTCTCTCTACGACGTCCCTGCTTGAAACGCTAATCTTCGATTTTACTTATAAATACTGAAGACAAAGTGTACAGATGATGGCAAAGAAGCACACAGGGCAGCAACATTGAACAGTCTTGGACAGCTGCCGAGAATGGTCCGAGCGTTTGTGCCTTGCAGCCCTGGCGTCATGGATGGAAACCAAGCCTTGGACTTCGGCCCGAAGCGCAACTCATTCTCTCAACTGTCGCATCTATATTTGATGCCACGTTCGTCTCAATTGCTCTCGATCCTTATTATTCAGTAAGCATCTGACACGTTCACGCTGCACCAACGTTCAATTCGGAGCACGAACATGTCATCATGGACACACTCTGGTCCTACGCCGAGTCCCTGAAGCCAACAAGAAAAGTTATCATGGACGCACAAAGTCTAATCCAATACCACCCAGAAAAGTCGAATGCGTGTTCGCTCGACCTTGCGAACTCTACTTTCTCCTCTACGTAACTTTCTGGTACATATTTTCCTGGGTTCGGACGTGATGGAGACCGCTGGACCTAATTCAATGCATCTCAACTGGAACGACTCTCGGACGCCAGGTTGACTTCTCGTCCGGTACGCCATCAGCCGGCGTGCGACCAGGCCAAAAGCCTGTTGACGCCCATCCATCTATACGCAACGACAACAACACAGTTATGTCGACTCCGCAGGCACTATCAATTTGTGGCCTTTCCAGACTCTCCTTGGGCCATTCGTCAGACGGTACACCTACTTTGAAAGTCTATGATACATCGCATACTGTGGTCGAATTATTCAACAATCAATCCGACTCTGAGATCAGTGTGATATGTTCAGTGGTTCTTCCAAACTGGCCATTAAATCTTTCACCAAGAAACAACAGTTGTATCTCCATCTAGAACTATACTGTGCCGTTTTGAGAGACGATTATATTGGTCCGACATGGCCATACGGCAAAGGATTGTAGCACCAGATCGGGCTTGTCGTCTTACGTGGTCATTTGGACGTTGACTGTTGAATCCGGATTATCGTCAACTCCCTCCAGACTAATGGGCTCAGGAGACCATTCGAAATACATCCGGGGTGATCGGCAGTTCATCATACAACGGCTATCGATACATCGTCGAGTGAGCGCATTGTGTCATAATATCCAGTGTGACGAGACTCTCCAGTGCCGATACAGGGCGCGGATAGTGACAGATGCTCGAGCATGGTCGGTCTATGCTCAAGAAATGGTTGAGAGGCCTACAGACATGCCACGGCAGCTAACATTTGACGACGACAGCCCATGATTTGAAAACACTATAATAACAAAACTATGCAATATCATGTTCATATGGAGTCACTATTAGCACAGATACACATAGCACAGAACCATGTAGGACTAGTATCAGCACCCTTATCGCTTACGATCGGCGAGAGATCTGTCACCAGCGAGTATTACGCATATCTGTGATACATATGCTTTATCATGTCTTCTAGACGTGTAGTAGCTCAATACGGTCCAAAATCTGCAAGCCATCGCCAGACTTGAGAAGAAACGTTGCTACGTGGCTGAGAGTTGCCTACTTAGACTTTTCAAAAATTAGGCGCAAGAGGGCACTGCCCCGCATTGCATATATATGCCTGTACAGCAGGGGATGTCATGGCCTACGTCTCTCTGACGCCACAACATATGGGGCAACGTGGGGAGTTGAGATGCGTTTTGTCTCCATGCTTCGCAGCCATATGGATCTCTATGGCGCATGGTCGACCCATACCACATGCCGCTGCTTAATGCAAGCAGCCGTCGCATGGATAGTGTGTCGCATGACGCTGCGGTATCAGAACGGTAAACGTACAGGTCGTAGTATGGCCATTGCAACTGATCACAGATCCCTAGGAAGCTAAAGACTGTATCTATGTTGGCTACTATTGAACTAGAGCAATCACGTTGTGGTCTCAAGACACTGCATATTACGTCAAGGTAATTGTCTAGAACACCTAGCTGCTCTAACTTTAGCATGAATCTGACTTTCCATCAAACTGTGTGTCTTCACAAGACAAATACTTTTCGCTTCGTTTTACAACAAAACGGAACATTGAGCTCTGGAAATGGTAGGAAATACAAGAAGCTACGAAGAACCGATGTTATGGTAGAGGGGTCTACGATAGTCTCATCTCGGCATTTTGATGACAACTACCAGCACATATAAGGCGTACCGATGTGTTCGTTTGACTATAAGCACTTGGTGGGGAGACCCTCGCGTGTAAGCAGTGGTGACATATGGATCACGGGTAGGGGCGAGCTGAAGTAGGTCTGAGAAAAGTGAACCGAACACCTGAGAGCGAAACGAGTAAGAAAGAGCAAGGGTTTACCAACTGATTTGGGAGTGTGCAGCCTTGCACACTTCGGGCTGGGATGACGACTGCCGACATGCTCGGGCAGAGCGACGGAAAGATGCGCTGCCAATCGGCTGTTCCGACACACCCCGAATGCTTGCAGGCTTGATGGCCGCAAAACCAGTGCCAAAAAATGCCGTGGCAATGCTGGCAATGAACATCAGGCAAACATGTCGAGTACCTAGCGATGCAAGGACAGGAGCCGCGAACCGACGTGCAGGCGATCCGTGCGACACTTTGATTGTGAATGGAACGATTGTGAACGATACCGGACGCAAATTGGTGCACCATCTCCATCATCATCCGTTGTTGTTGTTGTAAGATCTGTCGAACTGAGCCACAGCTCGTTGTGCATTCATCGTGTCATAACGAAAGTATAAAGACCATGGTGGAGAGTACTGCTGCGATTGGTAGGGATCTGCCGGGTGCTGAAGCTGCTGGTCTTCTGTTCCCCGGGATGTCGGTTCAGGGTGATCGACGTTCACATACATCGATGCAGAGGCGAATGAGTACAGACTAGGGCTTCGCTGCGACTGTGCGGCATGTCCCACGGATGAGGCATGCACGCATGTATCAGCGGTATCATTGTTCGTCGACTTGTCATCTGCTTCAGGGCCGTCAGCTTGTTGTCGGAGTTTGGTCTTAAGGGCCGCCTACCTAGATTAAAGGAGGTTTCCTTCAAAGGTCCTCCATTATGAGACGTGACGGGTTGTCGGCCTTGCTGAGGCTGGAGGCATAAGTGAGAAACGCTCTGGTCTTGTGCAACACTTGTCGATGATGCATCAGGTGTGGCGGGTGCGGTGACAATGCCTAGCTAAGGTAAGTCACACGTTGCAGGACAAGATGGAAGGCTCACGATGGACCGTGGATGGACTGAAGCTCTGCCAGTCGATAGATTGCTGATCTGGTGGATTTTCGAACACAACGATCCACGATCCTATCCCGCGAAGATCATGTTCTTGGAGTAACGAGCGATTGGCCCTAGTAGATGATTCTTCATTCCCTGCCATTACGACAGAAATCACCTTTCCCAACGGTGAGGCACCGGCACTGTTACTTGATCGCTACGGTCGAATAAAGCGTCACGATAAGCACGTGGGTGCATAGAAGAGCCGGTCGCGTATAAAAGAGAGAGGGAAACAGAGTCAAGGACTGCGCAGAAATCTGTAATGACACAAGTGTTCCGCTCTGGAAGTGCGTGGCTTGGAGAAGAGTGATTGATATTTGAATAGAAGGAACTCACTCTGGAGAGAAGGGAGACTAATCAAGATGTTTAGTACTGTAGAGATTGCATGCACAACCGTTCGGACTTGATTCAGTGGCGCTGGCATCTTGTTTGCCTGACGAGCAGTAGTTACACTGGCTGGCCAGCCATTACATGGACTGTGGACTATGAACATCAAGCAGTGGTGCGCTGGCAATTGCATCTGCACGGATACTGAACCTCACGCGCCAGTTACACTCACTTCAGCGAAGCATCCTTGCTTGAACGAGAGCTCGGGAGATCTAGGAGATTCATGAGATGTCCGGTAAGCTCAAGCATCATTGCTTGACCGGAAGGTTAGCGCCGTTGATTCTTGCTGCAGCGGTAGTTGATCATCAAGCTGCAGACCCCCTGGTCACAGATTGTGTTCCAAGGTTGCGGAAAGGACTGCTGTCATTGCACGTTCTCCACCACCAAGCTTCACTTGTGAATAGGGGAAAAAAGGCGCATACGAGGGGCAATAAACAGCTATAGCAGGCTCTCCGCCCCCCTGGTACCCTCCCCCTTGCCAGAGACCGCCCATCCGACCCTGTCAGTTCTGCAAGCCACAAGCTGCCTACAGGATCATTATAGGATTGGAGAAACTGGGTGTTGCAGTGGGAATACTAATACTGAACCCAAAGCTGTTCACGCTAATGTCGGTCAGCCCCACCCAACATATGTATACCGCATCATTCGGACGGATTGGGCAAGCGGTACCAGAAAGTAGTCGGCTGGGAGAATTCATTGTCCCAGGATGAGCACAGATCAGGTTGCAATCGTGCAACAGCGTCACGCATCATGGCTGATGAACTATCAGACCATACCCTAGACAATGCGACAAGGGAGCCGCTCCTTCGAATGTGCTGATCGACCACCCAACCATCAGGGCCCACTCGAGCACGACACGTTGACATTATGGCTATACTATCAGACTCAAGATGTCTTGAGCTAGGGCTTGGGGCACAAGCAGCACCGCAACAAGGCAGCTGAAAGCTAGCGTTTGCTTATAGCTCTTTGCGCATAAGATATAGCGGTTGTCGCGATTGGCGGTAGCACTGAAGATTTTGGATCGGCAATCTTGAAGAACAAGCCAGTGTATCAGCTATAATGTGAAGAGACGAAGCTGGTCGTAATGTCTTGAAGATGTTATGCGGACGTAGATGAAAAAGAGACATCCAAGCTTCAAGAAGCATCGCTGGGTCACAGAGCACAGCCCTCCCCCATCTACACCTCTTCGCCTACTAGTTATTTGACGAGAAGTACATGGCTTACGCACAGGAGTAGAGCGATTCCGGGAGCAATATGCGGCTCCCATTCGGCAGAAGATCACCATGATACTGGGACTGGCGCAGCCGTCAAGATGCAGCAACGCTGGGAGCAGTCGCATCAACCCTGCTTTGCCTCCCCCATGAGGTACTGCTGTTACAAATGCAGTCATCACCCCAGCACGGCCGCGTGCCCGACAGGGTTCTTCATCGTAGAGGAAGCCCAAGCCTGCATCTCATCAGTGCCATCCATACTGGCCAGCGACGTCCGAGTCCTGACTCGGCATCAGCTTTGGCATGTAGCGAGTTTCGGTGCGCAGCAAGGGAATCTTAAGCAGACTGCATTGACACCAAAGTCGTCACCGAAGATCATTTGCTGACGTGGTTAGAGCCTCGACCTTGAGTGCGATGTCCCAGCACGGGGAAGCGGGTATCGAGAGTACAACGTTCGGCCTTGCGGTAACGTGAACTATTTTCTTCGTCATTAGACAAGGCCCACGCGGGTGTGGGAGCGTCATTGGGGAAGTGGAACCATGCCTTTTACCCCGTACATGAGGCGTGCGCTGCGTGGGATACCGTGGTGACGGTGGCAGCTCCGAGTCTGGTGCAGAGAATCTTAAGTTGCAGGGGCATTTCCCAGCATCCAGATTACCAGACACACGACGACTACGCATCCTGCGCCTCGCTTGGGTCTACATGGATGGGCGGATATCAGGGCACGTGCTGGGTGCAGTATGCACCCAACACTTCAACAGTCTGGCCTGTTCCTAGTCCTCGGCTGCCTCTCTACAGCATATTTGACCTCACAGGGAAGCGCAATACTTTTCCGCTCAGACTGCACGGCGCTCCCAACACAAATTCACGTGCACCTTAGCATGCAGAGCTGACCAACATGGCTGCTGTTAGAAGCACGGAGAAGAACAGGGGTTCTGGAAGAGGGGGAGGGGGGTCGGTATGCTCGTCCTCTGCTCCACTCATGCTTCGCTGAATGTTACAAGGGAGTACAGAGTTCTTCCTCCTTCGGCCGGGGTAAAGCACTTCTTGGCAACAATGTGTTGCCAAGAGCAGGCTGAGCATGCCCCATGGAAGTTTCAGCCCGTTTGAAGTCCATCCATTGATAGCTCATAGCATACTGTCTCCATCTATTGAATCGTCTGTGACGTGGCAGGACAGCATCGTTTCGGATGTGCGTAGTTCTAAAGACCGGTGAGAGGAGTGAAAGGCGAAAAGGGGATGAAAAGGGAAATGGGTAGGGTGAAAACGGACTGTGAATCTGTGGTTCGCCTTCAGACTTTTGTGGTTCGCCTTCACCTCTTTCTTGTTTGCTTCCATCTCTTTCTTGTATGCCTCGGCGCCTGACTCCGCAGGCGTAGACAAGTCTTGCCTCAGGCATAAAGTGGGGCTCAGCCAGAACAAAAAAAGGCGGAGAGAACGTGCGGGTTGGGTGGAGCCGGAGGGCGCGAGCTTGTGCTTCTACAATGGCGATGTATATACTTTAAGGTAAATTGCGAATGCTTCCTCCGGGCCATCGCATCTTTATATTCTACCGTTACTAGCATGGCATGATACGAAAAAGACTATATGCCTAAGAACACGTGGCTCGTTCCATTACGCACTACAACAAGGATATCGTCCAGGTCGACACTCCATCCAACCATATGTCTCTATACCCAGTGCTTGCTCACTATATCTCCTTCTCATCCTCTTTTAAACGGCCCGTTCACTATAGAATTTCCCTCAATCTCCTCCCCTCAGACTGTCTTCATGCTGTAACCACTCATACGTTTTCCATACACCCACATGTGACACTAAAAACTCCCTCTACATAGTCTGCAGCGCATGCTCTCTCTCTCGCCAATCGCGCATAGTGTTCGGCAAGGTAGAGATATTAAAAGGGACATACTTGGAGCAAATCACTACATGGGCTGATGGATATTATGGGATCAGGCATTATGTCAGGGTAAAAGTAGGGCATGATGTGATGGACAGTCGGGATGCAGAGTGTGTGTACTAGGTAGAATCAGCAGATGACTAGATGGATAGTCAGAGAAGATATCAGCCGAGTGGATAAGAGTAGTACACAATGAGACCGATGCCGGGCCTTACAGTGCTTCGGCCATGGAGAATTGGTTTATACTTAGAAGTCCAGCTGGAAGTGACTTCTTGTATGTACGTAGGATCGACATCTCATGGAATTGAAACTCAAATATTACCTCCTCTGACACAGAGAAAGAGATTAAATCCTGATCGCTAGCTTGGAACAAAGGTCTATGTGTCAGCTAAATTGGTAATTACCAAGATGGACATATGAAAATTGGCTACTTCATAACTCGAGAGAATTGATAAATAGCGAGATGGCTGGCTGACTATGATGTATTTCCAACACCTAGAATTATGAGGCAGTCATCTGGATAGACGGGAATGATGTTCATTGAAGGAAGGGAATCATTACTCAACAGCATAGGCAGTGGAGTACGGTATAAAGTCACAAGCAGCATTAGCAAACAACGAAATTGTGAACGAAAAATGATGTTTATTCGGCGCAAAAAAACTGGTATACAACAAGGAGGCAGCACACGGCCGCCGGTACCAACCAAAATCCCCCCTCCTCCCCATCTCCTCCCAACGCCAGCCTGATCCACCATCCTGGGCCTGATCGCCTGCACAACACACATGTCAATGGAGGTTCTGGTACGACAGGGCGCCGATGTGTTGGCAAGGCGACCAGGCCCGCAAGAAGCTCACTCATGGAGTCCTCGACCTCCCTCCCACGCCGCCCACCTTCTCCGCTGCCACCACCGCCTAGTACGTGTCGAAGGAGCCCCAGTCCTTCAACATGTCGGCAGGGAAAGACGGGGTGGCAGGCTCGTCGCCGGACGTGACCAGGATCTGCTGCGTAATGCGGCACCATCGGACGGTCACGCGACCCGACGCTGAGCCACGGAGACGCGAGAGGATGTGGTGCAGGATCCCAGCGAGTTGCTGGAGCACCTCCTGGTTGTCATCTTCGAAGTCCTTGAGCAACTCCGAGATATCCTGCACGCACGGCCTCTCGTAGACGGGCGACGCTCTGTCACGCCGGGCACGCACCAGCTTGTACGTCTGCGAGATCCACATCTGTGGCCCGATGGCGTTGAAGTCCACGGGTTCGTGGTCGTCGCGGGTCTTGATCTCGACTGCGGTTTCAAGCTGGTGGCCCCAGCCAACATGGCGGACAGTGAGGGAGGTCGTTGGGTTAGTGAAGCACTCCTCGTCAGGTGGCGGGTTCCTGTCTACTACCTGTTTGTTAACGAACGCTTCCAGCACGCCAGCGGAGTCAACGTAGGCATCTATCTCCGAGCGAACGATCATGCTGATGCCGGCGAATTGGTAGCCGACGATCCTCTGGTGGCCTTTGTCATTGTCGATCATTGGAAAGGTGATGGGCTTGTCGAACGGCTTGCCAAAGCCATTGTTCTTGTCGAGCTCGGGGCCATGACGTTCGTAGGGATCGACCCGATGTAAAATTGCCGTCTTACCAACAAGCTCGCCTTGTATCATGAAGCCTAGCTCTTTACCCCTGATCAAGAGGAACAGCCTTTTGATGTTGACGCGGTCAGTGACGAGGTCGACAGTGTTGATATCGAGACATGGTGAGCAGATCTTGAGAGCTCGGAAGAGTGGCTCGGCCGGGCACTTGGGATAGGGGGGTACCACGTCTGGTCCATACGAATGAAAGTTGATGTTATGTAGTGCAGGACGCTTTGCATCTGACTCAAGCCAAAGAGGGGCACATCTAAATAGCGTCAGTATCAACGTTGAGTTTGTTTGGACAGAGGCCTACCCGGGCACGGCGACACACGGTAATGGGGCTTCAAGCCAATTGTAAGATGCAAGTAGCTTGACATTGGTGATCTCGGCTCTCTCTGAATGAGCTTGCTCAAGGAACTCGCTTCTCTTGATTGAGGTACGCATGCTGAATGATCTGTATTGTTGCGTACGTCGAAGGATCTGTGTGACAGATGATGAAATGAGAATTGAAAGGAATAAATCTGTAGCTGGCGGAATCCTGTAGACGAAGATCGTTGATGGTATTGCTGAGAGGAAGAAACTGAGGACAAGTGTGACGACGCCCTTGATGTGGAAGACTCTGTAGTCGAGGGAGCTCCTCTGTTGGATTACTCGAAGATGTGAATGATGAGAGGAAGAGCTGGAAATGGTTGTTTGTGTGAGGAAAATTTGAGTATAGGTGTTTGTGTGAGAAAATTCCTGCGATCAATGAAATTCTTCGATAGGATTACCCAAAGATGTCGAAATACGTGTAGAAGACAGCTCCTTTGATGGGATTCCGAAGATGTGATTGACGAGAGAAAGAGATGAAAATGGAGATTTGTGTGAGAAAAAGATGAGAATGGGTGTTCGTGTAAGGAAACCTCTGCAATCAATGGAGTTCCTCTATGGGATTTCTCGAAGATGTGGTTGCTGAGACAAGGAAGCAGGAAGGAAGTAGTAGTGTGAATATGTGTGCAATCAACCGAGTTTTTCAATTGAGAGAGCTCGAAAAAGTTATTGTTGCCGAGGAAAAGGAAGACAAGAATCGCGGGGGATATTGTTCTTAAATAGAAAATCTGCATTTCCCGCTAGTCCGTATTCTCCAATAAGTGAATCGATACAGCTGGGAAATTGGCCCCACTATCATGAAGAGCCTGCTCGCAATCACTTGGAAAACTCTGTTCTGATAGATATACTAGTCCGTAAGTGGTGGAAGTGATATTGGCATACGCCGTTGAAGGACTTCTATATCCGCTATCGAGACGCGTAGAATCGACATCGAAGATGATTAGAACAGCCATAACCAGATTTTTCGGCCTTCAAAGCCAGAGCTGGCGGTGAAGACCCAGATACTGACTATCGGGCAGCTGGGAGTCGCGGTTCATATGGCCAATGACGTCTTCAGAGATTGGACATGAGCTCATCGGTGAGTCAAAACAATCTGAAACACCAGCCTAGTCCAAGAAGGAACCGAGCTAGCGGGTCCTCATTATCACAGCTCTCACTCCGATGTCGCTTTCAGGTAGCTCTGGCGGTCTGGAAAGGATCTGACTTGATATCAGCTGTAAAAGGGGTCTGACCACTGAGCAGAAGCCCAGTGGTACAGTACTGGTACAGTACTGAGACATTACCTTGGTGATACTTTCGCTAGTAGAAGTTGCTCGTGGTTTCTTTGATTGACCTCCTGGTGTTGTACCGTGTATATAATGCTGGTTCGTCAAAGGTTCTTGACCGCTTCACGAATGGCTCAACTGGAGCGGAAGATAAAAGTCAGTGACATCAAAATCACTATTCGGGCTTCCGAGGCTGCCTCATAGCATGATATCGTCATGAGCAGCTCTTCGGGTGTCCTCCTTGTGGTTATCTGTATGATCAATGAGCTTCTTTCTAGTGCACAGTGTGTGATTTAGTGGCTGTAACTCGTTAGCCACCTCAAGACTTGGCCACTAGACAGTTCCCATACATGGTTATTGCAATGCCTAAGTCTGCTTCTTTTAAGTCATCTTGTCCATGTGACGTTTTGTATTGATTGAGCAGTCAGCATGCGTCTCCCTGATTCACTTCGATGAACCTGCGCAGAATATTTGAGAGCGAACACTCACAGTATGAGACAACACGGGAAGATATACACCAAGGACAGTTATCTGGAAGCTATGAGCCTACTATAACTTGTAACATTCTACGGGCATCATTAACTGCTTCCTTGAAGGTCCAATGCTTTGCATGTCTTTACCTAAAGGTATTCTAGTTATTGGTTCTGTTCTCATGGAATTAACCTGTTCTCTATCACTGACTCGAACGTGCTCAAGTCTCCAGCTATACCTATGTCTTTTTAGCTATATCGTTGAGGAGGCTAGCCACATAACAACGCTTGCAGTTTGGCATTCTGGCCGGGTGGATTGAGGCAGGTCCGGGTACGAACAAGTAGTAGTAGTTGTAGAGCATGTCTTGAGGCAGAAGAGGCCACGTTCCTTTTGTCAGTCGCTTGACCTGAATGATAAAGTTAATAACACCTTGGAGTTGTGAGTCAAGGCCATGCTAGTGGTTGTTGTGTCGACAAGACCGTGGTGTAACGGTGGTGGTTGATGATATAGGGTCAGTACGCGTGACATGATAGGGAGGGTGAATCAAGAGCATGGCTGCATTCCTCTATACATACTCTATATGTCGCGTAATGCTCGTCACACGTTGACTTTTCGGGACTGTCAGCTTCGGAATTTGGAAGCGGACGCATCTGCCTGTCTAGGTACGTGAATAGCGACCATGACAAGATTCATCTCGATTCGCAATAGGTAGGTGCCTTAGCTTCGCCGCTATTTACCCATCCTGCAACGGTCAGGGCTGTCGTGTAAGCCATGACAAGGAAGCCAAATATGACAATCAGTACGTCTGAAACACGTCGCCATGGAGCTTGTGCAATGGCCTTAAGATGGAGGAGAGGCTGGAAGCTATGTCAGATAGATCAACGAAGAGGCAGAGGGTGCACTTACAGGGTATATGTACACAAGCGGTATACATGCAAAGCTTCCTACCAATGCAACAAACTTATCCAAATCACCTGCGCCAGCCCATGCGAGCGTAGCGCAGACCATCACCATAAAGAAGCGGAAAATGTTCTTCTTCCATTTAACATATGGATTGTATTTCCCAGTACGGCTGAACAGCTGCTGAGAGGTAATCTCGATGGCTGGGTAGATCTGGAGTGGGGTGGAAAGCAGAATGGCGAGGGAGTAGATGAACTGCACACCATTGACCATCTTGTTGTCCTGTGGCATATTCAGGATAATGACAGTCTCGGTCTTTGATCCGTATGCAGCGTAAGACAATGCACCCATGCTGAGGAATATTACAGTTATGATAATCATTACTATGCCAAGGACTTTCGGAAATTTTGACGGATGCTTCATGCCGGTCTGAATTGGGATTACGAGGCCAATGCCCTCAAAGGTGAAGATTGCGGTGCCAATGAACAGCGTCCAGTTTTTTGAGTTGAAGTTCCGGATGTCGGCAATGCCTCCCTGGCCGACTATTGTGAGGATGTCGTAGTAGTAGAGATAGATCAGTCCGAGTACTATGAAAATGTCTGCAATCAGAGCCAACTTCTGAATGTTGTTGATGTTGCGATAGAGGGAGAGCGGTAGGAATATGATCATCTGCATGAGTATCATATACTTGATGTCAATGTTAGTCTTGCAGTCGGAGACAGCCAATACAAAGGCTTGAAGATTCTCAGCAACAAAGACGGTGTATGCTGATGAAAAGCCAATCTGACTAAGGACAAGGGAGAAATTTATAAGGTTTTTCATCCATTTGCCGTATAGATGTAAACCCATATCTCCAAATGAGTGTTCGACTTTTAACCGAGTCGTCACGAGAAGGATGAAGCAATAATAGCTGAGTAAAGCGGTGGCAAGCAACACCACATTACTGAAGGCCATACCTCCGTTCAGGTAAGCTCGTGGCAAGAACAGTACTCCAGTACCCACGAATGACTTGAGGAGAAGCATGGCAGCACCGGTGGGCGAACCCTTGCCGGCGATCTTGGTCTTCCTCTTTCTGCGTTTGCCCCCGGGGGTCAAGAGGGCGCTTCGCTCCCCATATTCGTGATCATCATCATCACTCTCAGGTTGGTCCGATGTATACGAAGAGAAATACTCATCGGGGCCGAGCGCTTCATCGTCTTCCTCCAACTCTTCACCGGCAAAGTGTCCATACAGGCTAAGGAACTCCAAGAAGTTACTGGTAAAAGGCTGAGGTAGAGGCTGGCTTTGAACACCAGCGTGGTGGGTCGAGGGCCCTGGAGACGGACTCGCTGCGGCTCTACGAAGGTAGTTTCGCCGAAAACCTCCAGGCTGTTTTATTGTTTCAATATTTAGATGCGTATCGTCCGGCTTTGGGCGCTCCGAGTGAAAACTCTTGCTTCGTTTATACTGACCTCTGGCTTCCGCCTCTTGCTGTTCAGTCCATCTGTAGATCTGACGTGTTATGTCTCCTCCTTGTAGCTGCAAGCTTGAAAATTCCTCTTCATTCTCAAATGTGGCCTTGGTTTTGCCATTGCCGGCATCGCTGCCACGGCCTCTGCGTGGAGATCCGTATACTTCTAATACTGATGTGTTGGATGGTGAGTTGTTCGAGGGTCCAACAAGATGCCGTCGTATGATCTCAGGGTCCTGATAGGGTGCTGGGCTGCTGGTGCGGCGGTGGTCAAAAGATCCGTAGTTGCTAGACGGACCCCGCCCAGGTAGCTCAGCATCTCTGACGGGCGAGAAAGGTCGTAGGGGAGGTGTGGCCATCTGAGGAGGAGTTCCCCCTCCACCAAACGAATCTTTCAGAGCATTCGCTAGAGCAGATTCGCTGGGGCCTGAGACGGAAGACTTGGAAATGTCGAGCTCCGGAAGCGGTGTCTGCGTCTCTGAGGACGCAGCAGATGCAACATGACTTGGTAATGGTATCTGCGGTATCTGCGGAGTGCCAATATGGCTTTGCGAAAGCGATGTTCGCAGAAATGAGCCAGCTGGAGAAGCTCTGCCGCTGATTGCTGGTGAGCTTCTCGAGGCCGGGACCTCTTTAGGTTGGGACGACATGGGCGTGAGCGAAGGAAAGGGTGACGACTATCGTGACGACAGCATATGGTATAATGACATCCAAAAGAACCGAGTCTGAACAAGATGGACAATGGGGACAATGTTGAATGAGGTTGTTAGCTGTTGAAAGTGGTCAGGTCACCAGCTTATTAGTAGCTTAGCAGGTCCCTCGGTCTCGTTGTAGCTAGTTCTACTTGAGAAGGCACAACTTCGGACGCAGATGGATGGAGACGGGATCTCCGACATGACAGGGTTTACGAGGTTATCTATGGATGCTCGAAGGGCATAATACGTCGCGTCTCTGCATCACTTCTGGTCACGCGGGGACGCCTCGAGATAGATAAGCTGATATGTTGCGGCTCATCTGAGCGGCTGACTTGCGTGCAGCGAGTGCACAATTATGCTTTTGTTTGTGCCGCGGTAGAGGGAGTGAACGAACTTGCTGTTCAAGGCTCGAGATATAATTAGTACGCAGCCCATACTGCTACAAGCGTTCCCAAAGTGGTATTTCAGCTATTTCGATGTAATTTCGACATGATCCCTACTTTTAATGACCCCAACGAAACCAGTTCTTTTGATATAATTGTTTTTGTTCCCCTTGCTCACGCAGAAATGCACAGGCAGCCCCCAGCAGCCAGCATCCTGAAGATCTGATCCTTCTACTATCTATTAGAGGCTGCTGCACGCCGCTGCAAGCTGCATCCGTCTTCTGGTCAGTGGTCACGAGCACGAGCACGAGCACAAGCACCCGCCACACAAGCTAAAAGCCACCTTGTTGTTGACATCAGGATTCTGCCCATAGTTGGTTCTTCCTCATTGGCTACGTCCTGCTATATCCTGGTCTCCAACCATCGCATCGTGTTCCACCAAGGAACCATCTCTTATTCTCTCTTGGCGTCCCGACTCTGTCGTTTCAGACCATCTCTCTAGGTGCGGCGTGTCTCTTCGACGCAGAAGCTGGAAAGTCTCGGAAGCTCATGACGCCTGGTGTCGCACTGTACACTCTATAAGATATTGATCTTCGCCCTCGGCGTCCATGCATTCTCACTTGCTCTGGTCAATTGGTGCTGGTCCGAACACGAGTCCCAATCGAATATCTGGGATTGTTCCTCCCACTACATAACATCATTTGGGATTGTTACCTCTACACGTAGGCAGATCTTCGTTGACGGAAGCAAGAAATGGCGTATCCAGATAACCAGTCTCCAAGGAGAATGCCCCCGCGAACACACTCCAATTTTATGGCTCGAACAGCTCTCGACAACGCATCACAGTTGAACCGCCGAGGCTCTGTAGCCGCTCTATCTCCCTCACCAGAAGATGAATCTGGGTCAGCAGAGCAAGATGCTCTCACACTTCGAACTGATGGGTTTGCTCAGCTGAGATCTCATACCGAGAGTCACATGTCTTACTTTTCGTCTTTCTTCAATTGGTCTCGCCAGGAAGCCAGCAGTACACTCAGGCACCGAAGACCTTCAACTCAACCTTTACTCAGACCAGAAATAGGGCACCACAGGCGTAGGCACGATGTTAAGAAAGGTCGCAGTAGCTCTTATCCGAATCCATCAGGAACATCCGCCAAACTAGGGACCTTCGCTGGTGCTTTTGTACCAACGAGTCTGAACGTGCTCAGTATCCTCATGTTTCTTCGTTTTGGGTTCATTACTGGGCAAGCAGGTCTTGTAGGGACCCTTGGTGAGTCCATCTACGCCCGATCAATCATTTGAAACAGTCTTTGGGTTCGGTGCCAACAACCTTGTACACAGTGCATCAACCTGTGCGCTCCTCAGAGGCTCCCTCTGTTATCGCCACGACCGTTGTGGCCATTGTACCATGTAATCACGCGATGATGCTGGAGAGTCTTGTAGACGCGGCCTAGATATTTTGTACCTCCCAGCACAAGTCTAGTTCTAACGTTATCCATATAGGGATGCTTATTGCTTGCTATGCTATCAATCTATTGACGACCATTGCTCTGTCAGCCATTGCGACCAATGGAACAGTCAGAGGAGGGGGAGCATACTATCTTATATCCAGAAGTCTTGGTAAATGTGTTTGAATTTACATAAGAATGTGAACTGACATGAGCTTAGGTCCTGAATTTGGTGGGTCTATAGGGATCGTTTTCTATGCTGGCAACGTTTTTAACTGTGCAATGAACGCTGTGGGTCTCGTTGATTGCTTCGTTGAGAATTTTGGTGCTACTAACGGTAACTGGTCACAATGGATGCCAGACGACTTTTGGTACAGATATATCTGGTCGACAGTGGTGCTAATAATGTGCACGGCCATATGTCTAGCAGGGAGTGGGCTTTTTACCAGAGCTAGTAACGGCCTCCTGTTAATCCTTCTCCTGGCAACTTTCAGTATCCCATTTTCGACTCTGATAGTGGCGCCATTTGAGAATTTGAAGCAGGGCGTAGAATACACTGGCTTGCGTGTTGAAACCCTTCGCCAGAACCTATTCCCACATTTTACAAAGGGTGCTGCTGGGAGCCAGCTCAAAACTCGCGAGACCTGGCAAGATCTGTTTGGCATCTTGTTTCCTGCTACGGGAGGTATATTTGCGTACGTACTAATCAGATATAATTCGGTGTAGAAGCTAATATAGCTATGTAGCGGTGCCAGCATGTCTGGCGATCTCAAACACCCCAGCAAGGCAATACCGAAAGGCACGCTTTACGGACTTCTGCTCACTTTCATATCCTATTTTCTTGTCATTCTGTCGCTCACAGCAACAATCACAAGGGAGTCGCTACGACGCAACACCAATGTCATCCAACTGGTATGTCATGTTCCCTCGAGGAAGTTATTCTCACGCAACATAGACAAACGTATCAGAAGTTCTTGTTTTCCTCGGCGAGATTGCAACAAGTCTTTTCTCATCTCTACTAGGTGTCATTGGATCAGCAAAACTCCTCCAGGCTCTTTCCAGGGATAACCTTCTGCCAGGTCTCGGAGTCTTCAGCCAAGGCACCAAAAAGGCTGACGAGCCAACCTACGCGATTCTGTTCACATACTTGTTGGCACAAGCTACGATGCTATTCGACATCAACCAAATTGCATCGCTCATAACAATGATCTATTTGATGACATTTCTATCGACTAATTTAGCCTGCTTCCTCCTTAAGATAAGCTCAGCGCCAAATTTCAGACCGAGCTTCAGGTATTTCTCATGGCCGACTGCAGCAGCAGGTACATTGATCAGCGGTGCCACTATGTTTTTTGTTGATGGCATTGCTGCGTCTGTCTGTGTGGTGGTGCTTATTACCATTTTCGTTCTCATACACTACACGACTCCCCCAAAGACTTGGGGCGATGTCAGCCAGAGTCTGATCTACCACCAAGGTAAGATAGCAGCTCTGACAATTAGATTACTACCAAAGCTAATCTTTCCCAAGTGCGAAAGTATCTCTTGCGTCTACGACCGGAGCATGTAAAGTTCTGGAGGCCGCAAATCCTCCTCCTCATCAATGACCCTCGGAAACAGTACAAGCTTATTCAATTCTGCAACTCATTAAAGAAAGGAGCCTTGTTTATCTTGGGGCATGTCATCATAACCCCAGACTTCAGTAGCACAGTCCCAGAAGCTCGCCGACAACAGGCGACTTGGACCAAATACATTGACTTTTCTAGGATTAAGGCCTTTGTAAATATTGCGGTTTCCCCTGCTCTGGAATGGGGTGCTCGAAACTTAGTTCTTAGCGCTGGACTCGGTGGTATGCGCCCGAACATCGTAGTCTTGGGCTTCTACAATTTGACCGAGTTGCGAGAGTCTATACCGATAGTCGATCTATATTCCTCACTGTCGACCAGGCCAGGATCCACACAGGAAGATCGCCAATCGAAACATCTATCGAAGAAGGCACATAAGAAACACGATGATAAACTCAGTGGAGTCCTACCTACAGATCTTGACCGTAGAGAACATGCCATCAGCGCATCAAGCTACGTTACTGTTCTGGAGGATCTGCTACTTAGATTGAAAATCAATGTCGCTGTTGCGAAGGGATTCCATGAATTGGAGCTTCCGGGACCGAAACCTTCTACAACAGAACAATTGTTACGATATCTATTTCCGAGCGATCAAGATGAAGGCGAAAGTGCTCAGAGGTATATCGATCTTTGGCCAATTCAAATGTCTGCCACTACAGAAGTCGAAGATGGTACGGAGAATGGAAAGAGTAAACATGACGTTCTGACCACGAACTTCGATACTTATACACTAATCTTACAGCTCGGCTGTATCTTGACTACAGTACCATCATATGCCAGGACTTTTAAGCTACGTGTCATAGTGTTCGTAGAATATGAGAGCGATGTGGAGGAGGAACGCGGACGTGTCGTCACTTTACTGTCGAACTTGCGAATCAACGCCGAAGTATTGGTTCTCTGGCTGGCGTCTGGACAGCTCAAAACCTATGAGGTAAAGTTCTCCTTTCGAGCAGGTGGTCGAATGGTAGCTCACGATACTAGATTATCATCAACGGGAGTACAGATGGGAACAATGCTGATGCTATTCGCTTAGTAGATGATGCTCTGAGCAACGAAGACTGGTGGCAAGATGTCGAGAGACTGCGAGGTCGTCGTGGCTCATTGAGTACCAGCCAAGAGCTAGCTAGTGTGACCGGTATTCTTGACGCGACGCAAAATTGGCCAGATGCATCTTTCCAATATGGTCGGCAGGAGCCCAAGACTTCGAGATTCGATGGTCTACGAAAGATGATACGTCGGGTAAAGGGCAAGTCTTCTGTTGGGCAGATAAGCCATCTCGGTGTCAATCTCGGAATGCGTACGCAGAGACTACCAGCAAGTCTAGTGTCTGCGCATAGTAGTGGGGAAGATTCTAGCCCGAGCGACAGTGATGATTCTACCGTGGAGTGCTCGGACAGTGATGAACATGCTGTTAGCGATGAAGATGTTCCAGACGACAGCAGGTCTGTGTCTCCTCGTCAGCAAATGATCAGTGCTGGCTCCTTGTCCAGTAGGCATGACGGATCACCAAAAACCTCTCATGCTAGGCTTGTAGATGGCAATGGATCACCAAGCCACGAACAGAACGCACATGCGTCGCCCAGTAACTCGATTTTGGGTTCCAGTCTCAAAGGGAATTCTATTAACTCGGGCACTTCAACACCACGTCGATTACAGAACTTGCCGAAATTCACGGCAAAAACTCAGCCCAAAACAAAGCTTAACCCTGATGCCGACGAGGGACCATCCATTATGTTTGACTCACCTTCACCTGATGAAGCACGAAATCCAGGTCCTTCGATCTATGACCGCACTGCTCGCGCCGCCATCGCCACAGTAAGCCCTGCAAATCTTTCAGAATCATCGTCCATGACTGCGGCAGCATCGACCTCAAAGACCAATGCATCTGGCTTCCCTTCGATGCAATCGATTCCCCTTAGTTTCAATGACTTACCGTCTCGAGCACAACATCTGATCCTCAATGAGTTGATCAGTCAGAATTCAGCACAGACAGCTGTTATATTCACGACACTACCCAGCCCAACAGAGGGTACCGGCGAAAGCGAGTTGGATAGTATCAGCTACTTGAGTGACCTGGAGGTCCTGACTCTTGGATTGCCACCAACGTTGTTGGTACACTCGAATAGTTTGACTGTAACTATGAATTTATAAGAGCCTCGAGTATTTCTTGGCTAAAGGGGCATTATCATGTTCTGCGCGGATAAGCACCTAAATGTATGATTATTATGATCACTCTATCTCAGTAGGTTAAGCGTTCGTGTATACAATGAAAGATTTCTGCGCTAGTATGTTGTGTGCATCTTTGAGCATAGCGGTATCATGCCAACTGAGGATCTGAACGTTCGTGGATCCTCCACGGCCGATCCGTGTCCAGGTATCAAGTAGGGCTCAGTACAAGAGTTCATCGTCGCATTACTATCTACGCGTCGGCACTTATAAGTCTCAGTAGCCATGTCAGAAGAAGCAGTAGAGACACAAGCAGTCAAAGTTGCAACAGAAGGTACGTGCTGCTCGCGACTCCTATAAGATCGAATACATTCCTGACTGCAAAAATCCTGTAGCTGCGGAAGCTTTCACAGACGCCTTCTACACTGCACTCCAAGGCTCTCGGCATACACTTGCGGACTACTATATTCCGCATCAGACACTGCCCGATGGCAAGATAGTCCCCAAAATCGCCTGGAACGGCAATGTCCTCCACGACGGACCCGCGGTCCAGACCTTCTTCGAGAACGAAATGCCCTTTACACACTACCAAGTGCATTCGCTCAATTGCCATATCCTCAAAGTTGCTCCCATTCAGCCGCCACCTACGAACCCGCGAGACGTAGAGAGGAATTTTTCCATCATCATAACGGTCAACGGCGATGTAAGACTAGAGGAGGCCACGAAAGGACCATTGAGAGGGTTCGCAGAGAGCTTTGTCATGGTACCGAACACGAATCCGAAAGTTGGGCATAGCTGGGTCATACAGGCGCAGAACTTTAGATATGTTGTCTGAGCGGTCGAATATAGGCAGCACATTGTTTCTGTGGAAAGTCCCGCTGCCTATGGTAAGCACGATTTGGGTGAAATGGTGCTAGGAAGCTGAATTGAGCGCAAAATCGAGGAAAGAGTTGTTTGTTACTGCGAATCATGAGCGAAACTCTTACTGGCAACCACATATGGACTCTCGACACTCTCCTATGCTGATACCCATGAGTCCAACGAACAACATAATATGACCAGGACTATATCATAGAAAGAAGCCAAACTACCCTTGATGAGTCAAGGATGGCACTCAAAGAAACCTGAATATGACGTGAAGGCTATAACGGAGTGTCCGCCCTACCAGTTCAGCCTCCTGCGTAGTTGTTACTCCTGGAAGCTGGCAAGAACTACGTCACGGCCACGCCCTGTTCACTTGAGCCTACGCCGTTCCAGGGAACATCCACAGTTAGGCTGCCCTTGCTTCAGCCTTAAATGGAGAAGCAGCACTTAACATAGAATCTATGAGCGAGGTCTTTTGTCCTGCTGTACCTACAACTCACTGGTATCCGTGGTGAGTTTCCTGGCCTTTTTTTCCCTCAAAGCCACATCCCTGCCAGCACTTCGAGGCTATCAACATGAGATGCTTCGAAGCGGGCTCCGATCGCTCAGCCGAAGTATGGATCGCGGTTAATGGAGAGAAGCGACGTGAGTACAATTCACGCCAAGATGACGAGGATGATGCTCTTTGCTGTTTCGTACCTGTCAACAATTCCGAGAACTTGGCAATTTGCGTCGATTTCACTGGGCCGACCAACGAATACTACGTTGACATCTTCGTGGATGGCCTCTTGCGCAATTGCGTCAAAAAGAAGAAGACGTCTAAAGAGGAACATTATTTCGACGCTGCCACCGCCAAGAAACCCGCCATTCTCTGCTCTTCTGGCTTATCTTGGAATGGGAACCAATTATATGAGTGTCCAATGAAAGTTGTCGCGTTGACCCGGGAGCTTGTCGCCGACATTGATGTGCATGGATCTGAAGACATTGGTGTCATCGAGATACGCTTGTCAGTGCTTCGAAGAGGTGGCGAACGATACAAACTCGACACCGACGAAGTCAGACACGCGTTCCAACGGAGCAAAGCTTCTTGCCCCGAAAGAAAGCCCGTCGCTACAAACAGAGACGACCTGGACCCAACCCACGAGATTGAGTTCACTGCCACTGCTGAGGGGTCAAAGTCGCGCACTTCTAAGAACGGGAAACTTCATGTGAACAAACTTTTGAACAATCATCGTCCGGGGGCTCTCCCATGGGCTATATTCAAGTTCTACTATCGTTCACAGGGTGAGTTGAGGCTCGTGTCCATTGGTCCATCAACTAATCCTTTCGAATCAGACGAGATCGAAAGGACTCTTGATTTCGATGTTGAGGCTGAATCCATAGGCTTTTGCTTGGCCGTAGATCCTGTCAACATTTCTCAAATGTCGCTCCTCAAAACTAATAATGGCAACACATCTAGTATCAGGGCTATGCCAGCTTTGGGTCTATGGACCGATAGCATTCAGCCTCAATATTTAGATGTGACTAAAGAGTCCATTCCCAGTAAGCTAGTTTCACTCGACGCGGCGGCCAACGAGCGTAGCGAAATCCAAGATGGCAGAGCTTCGAGTCAGGCACATTTGAATCAAGACGGTGATAGTCGGAAGGGGGATGAGCCTAGCTCGTTGCGTCACAACTATCCTCTAGCTCACTCGACTGTCATTGTCGAACGTCCTAGTACAACAATCGAAGCTCTGTTAACGCAAGAGACTGCGGTGATAGAAAACATCGTTGGGCCGCCAGCAGCTTGCGCCCCGGTTGCTGTGATGATGCGGACCCACTCGCTCAAGCCGGCACCAGACGGTCTCGATATTTCTCGACAGCGCACAGATGAGGCGGCTCAGCCACTCACGTCACATTTGAAGCGTACCAAATCTGAACTCCTTTCCAGCATACCCAAGCGTACCAGGACCGAAACCTCAGAGTCTGAAAGACGAGCTCACAAGCTTACTGAGAAGCGCCAGCACCTTGCAGAACAGATACGGAAGACTAAGCAGTCGCAAAACTTGGCACAAAAGCGCAAGGAAGCGTACTACAAGAAACAGGAAGAAGTCGATAACAAAGAACTTGCCAAGCTTGACGACCAGCTCAAAGAAGCCCTTGAGGCTCAGGGAGAATACGATCGAGAGATTGCAGGATACGAAGCCTCCTGGAAGGAACTGACTGACTCGGAGATGGAAGCTTAACGTCATTCTGCGGTATGGTATGAGCTACTTCTTTGAACTTATGGGCGCGCGTCTTTATGCTTTTTGGTATCTGGTTATCTGATAAGCCTTAGGTATGGATGCCTCTAGGTTTTACTATATGGGTCGAGGCTCAATTTGAGCAGAATTTAGCGTATCGAAAGCTCAATTAGGAATACATTCATTACGCGACATATGGACTTGAAGTGTTGTGGGAAGTATGAATGTCCCATGTTGGTCCCTTTCATCTTCAATCACAGTCTCGAACTGTGGACATCTCTCGACTCCTATAACGGTACCCTAGTTTTGCACTGGCGGACGCATATTTGCCTCAACCCTAGCCAGAAGCTCTGCGCGTGTCGATGTCTCCCCAGGATAAAGATTGCGCTGCATTAGCGTAAGAATATGTAGTAGACCATCAGCAATGTCAACAGGCTTAGACCTACAGCTTTCAGCCATCGACGCATCTGATCTTCGGTCCAATCTTTGGGATCTGGTCATGGTAAGAGACGGCGTGCTAATCTAGGCTTTCAGTGTCTTGCCACCACTTGGATCTGCCTCAGGAGGGAACATGGGGCCAGATCCCCATATTGTCCATGCACCGACGGCGGCGACGATGCCGGCAAAAGCTGGAACTTAGTTAGTATCACGAAAGACTATAAGTCCTTCGAATAAACCCACCTATAAATGCACTCTGAGGTATACTAGTTAGCCAAGATCATTCTCACTTGTGCTTTCCCGCTTCATACCTTGGATTGAGTTGCTCGATCGAGTGGAGTAGGCATTGTAATGAAAGGGCAATGGCGGACTGCTTTTCAAACGATTGAGTATCTAGAGACAGGTCAGGCTTCAAGCAAACTGTCCTTATTACCACTGGCACCAGGCAACGCCCGAGAACCGTCGTCATTTCTGCCAAGCCCGAATTAACGCCACTGTGGCTCATCAGCTCACTGCACTAGCCTCACTGACTTAGCGAAATTCCGCCCACACATTCTTTTGCCGACCTTTGACGACTCCAGACGACGAAAATCGACATCTACGAATCTCGACCCTCACACTCGCCCACCATGCCTCAAGAAGTCACCGACATCAAGAAATTCCTCGAGATCTGCAGGCGCAAGGATGCTTCCTGTGAGTGTCACCCTCTGGGCCCCAAAATTTCAATCGGCGCATGGTCTCGGTGGAGAAGTGTGAAGAACGCTTAGGAGGACATGTGCAATATTGCGAGCGACAGGACCGTGATAGCTGATTTAGGTCGCTGCATTGGGAGTACTGAGCAAGATTGCTGACAAGTTGCGTGTTCTCAGCTGCCCGGATAAAGAAGAGCAGCAAATCCAACCAGATCAAGTTCAAGGTCCGCTGCCACCGCCACTTGTACACACTCGTCCTCAAGGACAACGAGAAGTCGGAGAAGCTCAAGCAGAGTCTGCCACCTAGTACGCTCCTCTCTACAGCCGATTCGGAGCTACTTCTAACTTCGACACGCAGCCTTACAAATCACCGACATCCAGAAGAAGAACCCTAAGGGCAAACGCGCATGAGGGATGAGTCGGCAAGGCGGTGAAAAGAAATGGGTGCATCCAAGATCCTTGGGTGGGAGTTTGTGGCTTTCCATATACTGCGTGCATGGTATTAACGGATCCGGCATCGAGTGTGTCACGATGCACGCCGATGCGGCTTTGTAGGAATTGCAATTGAAGCCGATTCTTGCATGCATGGACATACTGTATTGTGATTGTGAAGCCTGTGATAAAATACTAAATTGAGTTATTGTTTAAAGGGTCTAGGAATGAAGAGAAAGTACAATGGGTATCCTATTCCGCAAGAGCGCACACGAGAAGAAGAATCAAGCACAACGATTAGATTTTCCCGGCCTGCGGAATACACTCATTACTGAGCTTTCTCACTCCCTCCTGGGATTCACGCGTCCAGCCCGCATCCTCCATCATATTTGTAAACGTTGTGTCTCGCGTTATCGACCGTCCATCTCCTGGGGCAGATAGGCCAGGCACTTGCAAGAACGAAGGCGCCGGCATCAACACATCTATCGTCTCTAAGCTGCCACTTCTTGGCAGCGGGCTGCGCTCTTTCATCGATCTGCGAGATGGTTTCGAGGTGAAGTTTACCAATGGGGGTGGCCGTGGTGAGTCCTGCTGCACCTTCGGCGACCGAGTAAATAAGGAGCGTACCTTTGGCGTACGGAGGATCGTGTTGCGCGGGCGGCTGACACTCGTACCGTTAAGGAGCGTGTTCGTGTCGCCCGTGGAGTTCTTCGTCGACGTCGTTCCGCGGCGAATAAAGTCAACTCGGGTAGCGTGGGCGGAGTCATAGATCGGGTCGCTGATCTGACGACTCACACGTCCGAGGTTTCTGTTCGAACGTGCAGAGCTGAGTGACTGGCGGCGCCTCTTGATGGCCCAAAGCATGGCGAGGGTCAGGAGGACACCCAGGATCATTCCGGGGAAGAATCCTGCAGCTATGGCTCCACCGGGGAAGGCATTGCGTTCTTTTTTGCTGCCAGATTCGGCCGGAATAGCGGTAGGATGAGAATCTGCTGTAGTGGAAGGACCGCTTGTTGGTGAAGGGGTGAGGGACACGGTCCCATTCGGCGAAGACATGGCTATACAAACAGTATCCTGGCATTCAAAACCGAGTGGACAACATGCTTTACCACAAGTCGGAAGCTTGATGCTGAGATCTGAAAGATGGACTTGATTCCCCGGGAAAGCCGTTGCGTTCTGCTGCTGAATATCGCAGGTGATCGGCTGAATGGCCTCACAACCTTGACTGCCCAGTGGGCAGCAGAGGACTGAGGTCGCACCGCCAGAGCTAAACTTATTACATGTTGAACCTTTACTACAGCAGAAGTCCGATGGGAGACCGTTGCCGCATTGCTCGAGGTTGGCGACTCCGTTACATGTTTGTTGATCTTGCCTGTGGAGAAGATTGATGGATCTGGCAGCATTCAAGGCAGTCGTGAGAGCGTGAGTAGATGGTACAACTGTAGAAATTAAACAGATGAAAGACAGCTTCTCGAATGTAGACCGTGGCATGATGGACGCAGCGTTGAAGTGACTGAGAAATGCTGGACTATCGGATATGCTCGCAGAGAAAACAAATGGGGTATCAGGAGAAAACAGCAGAGTCTAAGAACGAATCGTAAGATGCAGAGAAGACTGAAAAGAGCGGCGAAGCGCTTCGATCATATAGCAAAACATTCCCTAGCGTCATGATGGCATGGCGAACGGCACAAGGACGTCAAGCGACGAGGAAGTGAGCCCTAGTCAATAGTGCCAGCGCAATGCTTTGACTAGATACCTACAGGCGCCGGGCAGGCGACAAGTTCGAAACACATTTGGGATCTCTTGGAGGATATGGCCATGCTAAGTCAGCAGCACGACAGGACGAAAGCTCGCGATTGTAATGTAGGGCGAGCGGCTCTACGTTTGAGGTTGTGGTGTTGACCATGCGTCCGGTGCTATGATTGGCCTGTGCAATGGGCAAACCTCGCCTGATCCCTAGAAAGCAGCACTAGCGTGGTGGGTGCGGACTCCCGAACGCGATCCTCGTAAGTTTTGCCAGACGACGTCCGGAAGCTTCAATTGCCTAACAATGCTGATACGACGGTTCGCGCGGCCGCAGGCCTTGTTTCAAACAAAGGGAGGCCTATGTGAGGTATGTCTAGCACCATCAACGATTTCTTGAGTAATGGTGACATTTACTAACGACAACATTACAGAGTTGCGCTCAAGCGGCCCCGTCATGGGCTGCGAAGAAGCGACTCTTTCATCCTAGTCCCTCGCGACTTGCCGTAATGGACATACCCAAGCTGGATAACGAGCTTGATATGCGTGAAAATGGGATCAAAAATCTCTACACACCCGCAGGATTCGCGCTTGCATGGACAGACTACCAGTCAAGAATGCTGCGCATACTGAACAGCCAGATCGCCGGTACGCATTGGCTTAATGCACACAACTCATCTTTGCGCTCGGAGCGACGCTGATGTATTTCTGTGCAGAAACCAGATTGGCAGACAGCACCCCATTCGCTTTAATCCAACAGACCGCTCGCGAGCCTACACTCGCCCACATCTTCAACCATGCCTCTATGTTATGGAACAACCATTTCTACTTTAGCGGTATTTCGACCGAAGACGTTGGAATCGATGATTCCACCCAGGGCAAGATGCCCGAGAGACTGAGAAACGACATTGAAATCAACTTTGGTTCCGTCGACAACTTTGCCACCGCCTTCATCGGCCATGCACAAGCCATGTTCGGCCCTGGTTATGTCTGGCTGGTGCGTAGCCATGACAAGACGGAAATATCGTTCAAGATTCTCACTACGTACGCGGCTGGCTCTCCGCTGAGCAGTGCCCACTATCGACAGCAGTCAATAGAGCCCGGCACGACCTCGTTTGGCGGTGACCCGCGCGCGCCCACTGTGGAGAGCGCGTTAGATCAGCAGAGCGCCGGACACATTGGAAAGTATGCGGGTAATGGAGCAAGAGAAGGCCTTTACGGACAATCTCGGCATGACCCGGTGCTGTGTGTCAGTACTTGGGAGCATTCGTACATTGAAGGGTTCTTGCTAGATAAGGATGCTTTCCTTTTTAGATGGTGGCACCGAATCAACTGGCAAAAGGTCGATCAGAGGACTAGGGGTGCATCTAGTAAATAACGGTAAACCCTATGTTGGCAGGGTGCGATCTGTGGATCTACTCTGTGTAATAGTATGTAGCTTCTTGTACAAAATCAATAGACGTAAGATCAAGGCTATGGCTGTATGTTTCGGGCTTTGCCTAGTGCACATGTAGCAGGAGAGGATGGCTACTAAGACTTGCATTCATTCAGTCCTAGCCTGGTCGGCATAAGGGAATCCGCGGCCTGGGACTAGGCATGCCCTACTAATATAGCTAGAAACAAGACAGAAAATGCTCGCCCAAATGATGGAGTAAGATGTGACAAAGACAATCGGTGGAACAACGGGTATCAAGGACAAACCCTTCCAAGAACAGCACACTCAAGTCCGGCCCAAGAGAACAAAACGCATTCAAAGAGAAGACTGACCTATCAAGTCCGATTAGTACCTCAGACGCCGCAGTCATGCCAAGAAGTTATAGAGATATAAAAATTATGATTATCAGGCCGGCCGCTTCCTCGCCGGCTATTTCGGCGGAACGGATTCATCGCCCACCGGCTCCGCGGCTTGATGCCCCTTATGCGTCGAGCTTCCTCCGGCCAATCCTTTCAAGTGCTCCATCTTACTCTGGCCCTTCATCGCGGCGTCTTTCTTGACGCGAGACAGGAGGTTCTGATCGCGCTCTTCGCCGTCCCTCTCCTGCTGCTCGAGAGCCTCCTCGTCACTGCTACTCGTGCTGCTTGAGCGGCTCAGCTGGGTGAAGACGATGTGGTCACCCTCACGCTTCTTGCGCTCGCGCTGCTCGTCTTTCATGCGCTGCATGCGGTCGGCGTCTTTCTGGCAGTCGAGCGTGACGACGTGCAGGCCGGGGAGGTTGTGGTGCAGGAATTCCTTGAGCTTGGGCAGGGTTGCGGCGTTGGGGCGGTATGTGCCGGAGTCGTTGTCGATGACGAGTTCGTAGTAGGACGGGTCTGTGGGTGGGTCTTCGTCGGGCGGTCCGCCGTCGATGTCGTTGGGTGGGTGAGAGGTGTTCTCGCCGCCTTCTTCAGGTGGCGCACGATTGCGGTGCTTGAGGCGACGAATGAAAAATTCGCCGCTGAAGGCGATGTAGATGCTCACGTCGCTGTGCATGGTGTGCTTGCTAAGCATGTCGACGCCGAACTCCTTGCCGGTTTCGGTGAAGCGAAGGAGGGAGTCGAGAGTGAGAACGTAGGTATATATCCTGCCGCCGTTGTCAAAGTGGACTAACTCGAGGAATTTCTGGGTGATGGATTTTTTATCCGGTAGTATTCCGTATACTGTGGAGCGATCGAAATTGTAGACACGAGCATGCTGATGATGGAGTGCTTTGTTGAAAAGGAAACCCATGAAACCCTTCTTGGTGAAGCCTGACTTTATGAGTGGTCGGAATTCGACATATCTGTGGTATAGCTCATCCGGCACAGGGCCTTCGAGTTGCAATTGATTTGCTTGGAAGCTGTTCCTGTATTAGCACTTTTCAAAAACTCAAGCTGGTTCATGTCGCACTTACTTGTATCTTTGAGCTTTCGGTTTAATGTTATTTTCAGTCAAGTCTCGGGACTCTTTCCGATTGGCTATCCTTCCAAGTAATGGAGAGTAGTGTTTCGTGAACCAGTTAGGACGTAGCGTATAGCACTTCCCACCACTTTCACCTGGCGTCTTGCCTAACATCTCAATGCTTATATAGAGATACCCGTTTATATGTTTCTGCTGGCTTATACATACAGCTATCCAACGTATGAGATATGCACGCTTGCTACCCATGCGCTTCCTAAGCTTGTATCCGTGATCTTTGATACCCTCCCAGTGTTCGTCCAAGGGCGGAATTGTAACATGTACATTTCCGAGCCGGTCGTCATGATCAGCCGGATCCTCGTCGTAGAGGCGAGCCTTCAGTATGGCACCCGATGCAGGTACGTTTGCGACGACCCATTCAAAGTTCCACACTGGGTCGCATTCTTTCCGGACAGTGAAAGAGCGCATACGCAAGGGTGGATCCTCTTTATGGCGTGTCTGCAGCCCGGTATTGAGCTGTGCAAGCACATATGGATCTGAGGAAAAGCTGCTGTAGTCGGCCATGGGGAGATTCTTCGCGCGGTGGAATGTTATCTTAAGGGTGTAGCCTGGCGGCGCATAAGGGACTGGCGTATCATCGAAACCGCCTTCAGGCTGCCCTTCCTCAGAGCTCTTCTTCGCGCTCTCCGACTCTTTCTCGCCTTTGCCATCACCTCCTCCTTGTTGCGACTGCTCTCGGGTTGCGCCATATGGCGCAAGCTTCTCGTTGTCCGCTGCAGACATTGGGCCTATGCAGTAGTCCTACGGCCTTTGTTCGGAGTTCGACGGTTAGAGCGCTGCGGAGCACGGTAGGACAATGTATGGAGTGCGAGGAGATACCAGGAAGACAGTGACACAACACATGCGACACAGTATAAGAGCGCCTGGGGTCTGGAAATTAGGCGCACAACAACTCAGCTCAGAACGAGCCGCAGCAGCAGGAAGCAGGAAGCGGTGGATGAAATGAGGGCTGGGAGCGGCTTATGAGTAACCAAGCATTTCTAGCCCCTTGGCAAAAAGGCTTGTCGAAAATCCGCTCCTTGACGCTTGATGATTGATCGCCTTGATGCATGCACGATACGTAGCTCGATCTGCACGCAATCCATCTCTGGAGCCTATCGTTTGCGAGGAGTCTGCCGACAGGTTTACCGGCGAGTGTACTGCCGAGTCCATACACACATCTGTCTCTTGGCAATGGAGCTCGTGCAATCAACACGCAGGTCCCACCTCATGCCGTCAATCCGTTCCAGTGAGACAAAAGTGAGAAAAGCTATTGAGGTAGAAAGGTCTGTGCGAACGAGGGTATGAGCGTTAAGCTTTCTTCCATACCATGTATCTATTTGACGCGTAAAAACCGGTATATGATAGTCCAAATACTGAGGTAGCCCACCACTTCCAAACACACTAAGTGGAGTAGTATTGACGTAGATTCATACTAATCTGATACTCGTAAGCCGTTTTCTTCCAGGAGAAAGGAGCCTGACTGCTCGTCTATCCTTACCTCTTGTACTTAAGGTCGCTTGGACATGCAGCAACAATCAAGACCGTAGATGCAGAAACGTTTTTGGGCCTATTCATTCACTGTTTCTTGCACCAGCTGACTCGCGAGGATATGCGTAGTGCATTCCCTACAACCTCTTTATTGGTACACTATCAGACCTGACGTACACCCAATGCTAGCGAGGAACGCTTAAGTGGGCTACGCACCGGTGCGATGTTCCGAGAATCGGGTCCAGGTCGCTGCACTATGTATTCCTTTATTATGAAAAGAACGCTTTGATAACAGTAGGATTACTAACAGGAGTCACAAAGATAATATAATAATCTTAGTTTAGCATCCCAGCATCCGAAATCGGTCACAGCAGTTACACATGGATTACCCGATGCGGCCTGCACCTGCACTTGACCCACATATCACCGAACCGAGCCGTTCTCCGTAAGCACTCTGAGGTCAACACGCAATAACAGTCATACACAGCATTTTTGCAAGACCCAAGTTCAGTACAGCACACCAACCAACCCCTCATTACCTGCTATGTGACAATGGGCGCCTTCTTCCAAACCATCCCCAAAAACCTCATATCATGGATCCTAGAGCAGAAAGTCTTCTGGATCGGCTCCGCCCCGCTCTCGGGCGATGGCCACATCAACGTATCGCCCAAGGGCGGCATGTACTTTGGTGTCATTGACGAGAAGACATTCTGGTACTGCGATCTCACCGGCTCCGGCGTCGAGACCACAAGTCACCTGCACGAGCCAGGAAACGGTCGGATCTGCGTGTTATTCAATGCTTTCGATGGGCCCCCAAGAATCGTACGGTTATGGGGCAAAGGTGGGTGCGGACTGTGATTACGACGACCAAGATGCTTTTGTTGATAGAGGCGAGGGTCTGATTGTTTTTGACAGGCAACGTCCTGGAGTACGGCAGCTCTGAATTCAAGGCGTTCGTCGCGAAACACGATGTGAAGACTATCCCAGGCGTGCGATCCATCATTGTTGTTGATATACACCAAGTAAGCCCGAGACTTTCTTCATTTGAACGTTCTCTATCTTTGCGTCGATCTTATTGATCATTCAAGGTCGGATCGTCGTGTGGCTTCTCCGTGCCCACGTACAACTTCAAAGACTTCCGCACCACCTTGAACGAGTTCGCAGAGAAGCGCTTGAAATCCGACGAAGAAGGAAACACTAAAGATGGAATGGAGAGGTATTGGGCTCATAAGAATGCTTACAGTATGGATGGCCTTCCTGGTCTACAACGTGGTTATCAGACCCTCGTTCGTGATAAAGTCGCTCCGATCAAGAAAATGGTTGGTCCATACGCACCAACCGCACCCCGAAGACCTCCAAGAGGGGTACACCCGGTGTGGTTAATCATAGTTGCAATGTTCAGTTTCATCGTCGGCATCTTGATGCCAGTCTGGTTCCCAGTATCGCAGAGGATGGTCTGGAAAAGAGGGGTGTAGTTGGGGGTAGGAGTCTCACTTTCACCTGTTATACTCGACGTAGGACTTGATCACAACCGTTTTCGATGAGCCTACATACCCCTGAGCTCGAATATGTGCTCACTTGGCTGGTTATTGATACTGTCATTACTGACTGAAGTTCGAAAGTTGGACAAATAAAATCTGTATTTTATCCATACATCATGCAAAAACCTACATAAGCGAATATGCCAGCCATCTACGCTGGCAGTAACTAGATCGCAATGCCGCTGCAAATGTCCTACTCTGCTGGGCTGTTCGCTCTCTTACCACCAAGCTCAATCGCCGCAAAAAAAACAATACATCATCGAGGAGTGCGTTATCTAATCGTCCATGGGCTTATCCTCTAGTTGGACACCGATAGGTCGCTGAGAATCATCACCCAAGCTACCTGCGCTATCGCGATTGGCAACACGAGCAAGACCGCCCTGCTTCAAAGAACCAGCACGGGGAAATCGTGTGGAGCGACTGATGGAATCGCGTTTTGACACGCTCGAGTCTTCGGTGGTTGAATTTCCATTAGCTGGAGGCGCAGCTCCGTTCGTGGCAATAGGGGAGGCCTCAACACTTCCGGGTACCTCAAGTGAGTGGCGATGCGCTGCATCTTGACGCCTGCCGACTATAGGGCTTGTCTGGATGGGGAACCTAGTTTCAGGTCCCCCTACGCTCCTGTCACGTCTGTGCGTAGATGGCCTTGAGCCAGGAGCGGGACTGCTAGCACGAGATCGACTTGCAATGGCTCTTTGTCGCTCTTCCATATTGGCACGTCGATTGCTCTCATCTGTACTAGGTCCTCGAGGACGAGTCGTGATAGCTGCTGAGTGTGCTTGAGTCAAAGACGAAGCACGCTTCAGTTCCCCGAATATCGCCTCCTTATGTGCAAAGAGGTCGCGCAGAAGTCTGTACGCGTAGCGCTCATGCATTGTCAAAGGCGATTCTTGTCGCGGCCTCAAAATGCATGGTGCTAGATTCTGAGCAATCATCGAAACATATGTCTCGCCTGCAGACGTGAGCTCGATCAGACGCGTGAAATGGGTGGTGATAGCATCTAGAGTGGCGATATTGGCCAGACGTAGCTGACCCAGTGTTGACTGGATAACAGAGATACGAGTATCTTCCGAGGCATCTGCCGCTGTAGTGGAAGAGTAAATAGTCTTGACAATCTCATAGACGTGGGAAGAAACGAGCGAATCTGGAAATGTTAGAATTTCAGCGACTGACTATTAGGCTGACTCACCAGGTAGTTCGAGCAGATATAACTTAAGAACGCTTGCAACAACTGGGATTTCATAGTTTTCGAGAATTTCGTGGGGGAAAGGCTTCCCAGTGTTGATTTGCGCACGGAGATGGTGAGATGAAGCAAGAGGAACATCGGCAAGCCAGATAGCTCGTCGCGCATCATCACCTTCCAGCTCAGGATAGTGATTGTCTAGGTAGGTCAGAAGCGTTGTGACAATGATGGGAACACGTTTCCTGTCCGATCGTGCTCTCGCTTCAAGATCAACGCCAAAAGTATGTTCGTCGACCGAGTTGTAATAATTCTCGTAGGTCGTGACCTTCGGTACAAATTGCCCGGTTTGGTAGCTTTCGATCAGGTATCGTAAATCGCCGAACGGTTGTACAGTCTCTTGAAAGAGCATCATCTTGTCGACAGTGCTCTGTAGACTTGGGATGACGTTGCTGACAGCCCCTGAGAAGTCTAGAATGACAGACTTGATCGCCTTTAGTCGATCAAGCTCACAGCGTTCCATAAATTTCAGATGGTCGATCATGGCTTCCTCGAGGTTGCAACGTAAGGAATCAAGTTTCCTGACTGAAGCCTTGTATCTCTCATCGGACTCTCGCGCCTCGCGCCGCAGCTTTTCTGACGGTGTTTCGTTTGGATATGGGTTGTTCAGGGGGTTCCATCCTTGGAGATACTCTGAGACCGCACCAACTGGAGAGTCAATGCTGTCTTGCGACATGACGGTGGTAGAACGAGACAATACCTGTTTCCTCTCCGGTATGCCGGTCAGTTGAAACACCTTGGTCTTCCATTGGTAGTTCATTCTAGAGCTGTTTGCAAAGGTGTTACCGACATTGCCAATGAGTCTCAAGAAGCCATTATTGACCATGTCTTGACCAATGCGCTCTGCATAGCTTACACTGCTCGCGTTCATGTGCTTTTGAATGTATTCAGTGATGTCGGCTCCGTTCGAGACATTCTGGTAGGTACCGAGAATGGGGACCTTAACTTCGCCGATCTTGATGTTATCCAGCATATGGGTGAGAATCTTTTTGATATGTTCAGGTACATAGGTCTCATCACCTATCTCCACGGGCTCATCCTCGATTTCTGGCTCCGAAACAGTCAAGGCAGGTGCTTTTAGCTTCGGGCTCGCTGCTTCATTCTTCGGATCCTGAAATGCAAGCTTGTCCTCCTCTTCAAGGTCTTCTACAAGTCGACACTTGTTGTAGTACTGACTGCGAAACTTGCGGACAGATTCAGCTTGTCGATCGTGGAGCTTGGATCTGTTTTGGAGGTCGTCCTGGGAGTTCTGTACGCGCGCGGCATGCGCCTCACACCATCGGCTGAATGGGTTTATAACAAGCTCCCGGATGTTTGATGCGATCTTTTTATGACTTTGAGAAGCAGCTTCCATCTCAGTGCGAACACCCTCGTAAGCCTAGGACGCCACATTAGCATATTCTGACTGCTGTGATACACACTGCCTACATACCTTGCGTACGCTAGCGCCCTCATCTCGTTGAAAGCCGCCGCTTATGTTGTCTGTCGCTGATGTGATCGTACCAAGTTTGTTGCCGTAGAGCTCTTCGGCGTCGGCCCTCAGTCGCGCAATCGTCAAAACCTGTTGATTCTCCTGAACACCTTGTTGAAGCTTCCCAAACAACACTCCAAGGCCTGCAATCCGTTGTCAGCTTCATCATACGCCGCACGCAGCCTGCTCTTCTTACCTCCAGCATAGTCGCCAGACCAGAAAGAACTCGAGAAGCTGGACGCCATTATGAATTACGGCTGTTCACACGTCGCCAGAACGAATGTAAGAGGAAAATTTGGGTAGTAGTTGCAAAAATTCGTGTCGTAGGCCAAAGGAGAGCGTGTTCAGTTCTGGACCCTGGCTGAAGTTGAAGGGGCTGCTGGGCTAGGCAAACGGCAGCTGGAGGGCCTTGTACCACAATCTGTGACAGACTAGCAGCAGCACACGGATGCGAAAGACTATTAGAGTCAGGACGCTCTTCGTTTGATAAGATTCACGACGCTCAAAGGATCATAAAGTAGCTCAGAGAAGTACACGGGTGCCCGTATCATTGGTATTCCCCGGCTCTTACGCAAGCGAGAGGTAGAGACCTTCGCCCAGAATAGACACTTGCTGCTGCGGCTGACCGGGATTATGGTTCAGACCGGAGCCAGCGCTAAACGAAGGAAAGCGCGCGTCCGGCCCCCGCCACGTTCCTGCTTCAAAAGTTGTCGAGTCTATGACAGGCGTACCTGTGATAGCGGATCGAGCTTCGGAGCATTCTTGAACACCTATATACGCCCTATGGGGATTTCTTCCACGACGTTTCCTTTGCACTTCGCGGTGCGATCAACGGGATGGGTAGACCCTCCATGAACCAAGGGCTTGCCTTCGACTTGGGAAACGAGTCCACGTTCAACAAATCTAAGCATGTGCTCTACTGGAAACGATGCCTCAAGACCTTCCTGCCGCAACCGTACACTAGCAATGATTCAAATCGCATGCTGCTTGCCTTCTTCATAATCTCAGCTCTAGATCTACTGGGTGCATGGAACGATACCTCTGCGGAAGAGAAGGAAGGATACGTACAATGGATCTACAACTGCCAGCATCCAGAGGGGGGCTTTCGAGGGTTCCCAGGTACTGATCTTGGGGAACAAACGACAACGGAGAATAAAGTCTGGGATCCCGCGAACTTGCCGGCAACATATCTGGCTATTGCCTCCTTACTGGTCTTAGGAGACGACCTCACTCGAATGAAGAGAAAGGAATGTCTGCAATGGCTCAATAAGCTCCAGAGACCGGACGGAAGCTTTGGAGAGACTTTAGGTGAGAATGGAAAGGTAGAGGGCGGGATGGACACGCGCTTTGGGTACTCAGCAGCTGTAGTGCGCTGGATGCTACGGGGTTGGACTTCAGGTAACGTCCTCGACGTTCCTGACATTCGTGTCCTTCAGCTCGTAGACTGCATACACACTTCGCAGAGCTACGATGGGGGTATATCCGAAGCGCCCTTCCATGAATCGCATGCTGGACTCACGTATTGCGCCATTTCCGCTCTCTACTATCTTGACCACCTCCCTCCAAAGTCGTTCCGTGGTCTTGCAGAGCCCGAGCGAACAATACATTGGCTGGTCTCCAGGCAGACCATGACCCTAGACGAGGAAGACGAATTTGACACGAATAATGATGAAACTGATACCCCTGAGACATGTCATGACGCACACTCTTTCGTAAAGCTACGATCATACCCTTCGACGCAAGGCGAGCTGTCTGCCGCAGGACAGCCAACATCACACTTCCACACGCAATGGGCTGGGTTTAATGGGCGAAGTAACAAGATCGCAGACACATGTTACGCATTCTGGGCGGGCGGGGCATTAGCTGTGCTGGGCAAATTCGACCTCATCGACAAATCCGCCGCCCGAAGGTATTTACTTGACAAGACACAACATATAATCGGTGGGTTTGGGAAGCTTGCAGGCGATCCGCCAGATATATTCCATTCATACATGGGTCTTGCGTTCTTGGCGATTAACGGTAAGGATGGTCTGAAAAGCTTCTCGCCAGCATTATGCGCAAGTCAAGATACAGTGCGTCACCTTGAATCTCTACCGTGGCGGCAGGATATAGTCAATTCCAATACCACTTTATGATGTGGCCATCTCCTTTCATTGCTCACTTTTCGCCATCGTCCTCACTATCTACCCCATTCGTCTCAGCTTCCACAGGACTAGTCCTGGATATGTCGAATACCCATATAGCAGGTTTGCCTCCCGTCTGTTTAGTCCAGCGCCCCAATCTATGCTCCGGACCCACAGCTGCGACGACACACATTCCATCCTTCCCCCTATCACCTCGTTCGAAAACGGACAGGTCGTTGATTATGCCACTGATAGGACCAGTCTGTTCTCCGATAACAGGAACATTTAGGTCGACCTTCCCTATCACGCCAACTGCTTCGATTTTCATGCCTTTCCCACCTCGTTCACCTTCTGTGACCCTCCAGCATCGTATCCATCCATCCCAACTGCCAGTAAGCAGGAGGTCCGAGTACGGTATAGCTCGCATGGCAGTGATGTACCGGGGCTGCGGCTCCGCTTCTACCTTCTGCATACTTTCATCTATCTCGGCAGAAACTTCACCGGGTGTAAGTTTTGGTTCTACACCATGTGCTAACGGTAGCACAAAGATTGGTTTCTTCTTCTGTATCTGCCACAGGGATAAAGATCCATTTGATGAACCGGTGACAAACATGTCATGTGAGAGGAGAGCGACGCGGTCGATTGTGTTCTCGGCATACGATTTGGGCTCATCAATCTCCATCTCCTCAAAGGCAGATCCATTCATTCTGCTTTTATGTTTCCCTTTTTTGGAATCCCGCACGCCAACACCTCTGAAGAGCAGCTGTTGTTCCTCGACAACTTTCCATAACCTTGCAGTACGGTCGCGAGCTCCGACTGTGACACATTTCTCTTCCGCTAAAGCGCCCACGTCAATGACTTCGTCCTGGTGGCCAAACAAGGTCTCGATGTAGGCTAATTCGTCCAGGCTCCACACTTTGACAGACCGGTCTGACGATGCGGAAAAGAGCTGATTCGTGCCTCTCCGGAAAGCCAGGCTGTTGACAGCACCACGATGATGCGTGAAGCATTTCAATGGGTGCATTGTTGCAGTGTCCCATATCACCAATCTATGATCCTTACCACCTGTTGCAAGATATTTGCCGTCAGGGGAGCATGCTGCGCAAAGTATGGCATTCGTGTGGCCTTGATATTTGTGATCCTTGTCTCTTGACCGCTGACCTCTCACGAAATGCCGCTGAATGGGTTTTCGAAGCACAAAGGGCTGTCGCTTCGATTTCGCAGCCCCATTAATCCCGTTGATCTCTTCCTTGTGTATGGTATTGTTTGGAAGCTCCCACTTTACGATCATCATATCTTTGCTGACGGTATACGCCCACTTCCCGTCTGCACTTGTGGCTACACCAGTCAAACTCTTGAATTCCTTCCGTGCTTTTGTATGTTGTGCATTCTCGAAGTCATAGTCTCCGGCGATACGTCGATAGACTTTCCCTTTACCCTCAGCAACGTCTTCCTTCAATCGTGCGTCGACCAAGCCTCTACGTTCCTCAAGCAGCTCTTCATCGATATCTGCAGCATCGAAGCCGACATTCGCAACTTCCTCTTTTATATTCTCAAGATATTGCTCTGCTAACCGCAATCGTTTCTCGGCCGCTGTCTCATTCTCGATCGACGATGTGTCGCTCTCGTTACCATTGTCGCCAGCGGATACGTTTGAGACCTCTGATTCAGCATCTGACACAGAGTCGTCTCGCTCCTTGCGAGACTTCGTCGAGGGGCGAGTTGTAGAAGAAGAGGATATGCGTTTTTTGGGTGCCGGAGCTAGACTGCGATCTTCTCGTTTCCGTTTCCGCTCAGAGGCCGGCTTGGTGAAGAAACTAGACATCTTGCGACTTGAACTAATCAAGTACTGCCACGGGTACCTGTGGCTTCAAGAGAGGGAAAGTGCCGCTGCAGAGGAAAATCACAGCATCGTCCACACACACGAGAAGGCATTCTCTCCCTCCCAAAAAAATGTTGCTGATCTCTAAGAAAACTTGGCGCGCTAGTCTGGCGTGTCCGGCGTTTCGCCGTGCGTTGCATGTCCAAGCTCCATCCATTGCGGAAGGCAGCTCGAGACCGCGTCGACTTCATACCTACCTGCTTGGATATCACATCACATCTGCCCTTTGACTTGACCTTACCATATCCTCCTCATCTACCGCCTACTTCAAAACTTGCCCACCCTTGACCTCTCCTCGCTGTTTCTCCGCACACACACCAGTTCAAAATGTATACTATCATCCTATCCGCCGTAGCTATAAAACAGCAGCAGCAGCAGCATCAAGCTTACAATACTACAGGGAGGTCCTCCTAGGTATTACCGGCAAGGACTTCACCATCATAGCCGCCTCCAAAGGCGCCATGCGAGGCGTCACAATCCTCAAAGCAACCGACGACAAAACCAGAGAGCTCAACAAGCGAACACTAATGGCCTACTCCGGCGAGGCAGGCGACACAGGCAAGTTTTTGCAATCCATCCCAGCCGGGCATGCATGTCCTAACATCCCCGGAAACAGTCCAATTCGCAGAATACATCCAAGCCAACATCCAGCTCTACTCGATGCGCAACGGCATGCACCTCTCGCCCGCCGCAACGGCCGAGTTCGTCCGCGGCGAGCTCGCCCGCGCCCTGCGCTCCCGCCACCCGTACACGGTCAACCTCCTGCTCGGCGGCTACGACGACATCTCGGACCGGCCCACGCTGTACTGGTGCGACTACCTGGCGTCGCTGGCGCCGCTGCCCTACGCGGCGCACGGCTACGCCCAGTACTACTGCCTGTCCATCCTCGACAAGCACCACCACCCGGACATTGACTTTGCAAAGGGCATGCAGATCCTGCGCATGTGCACGGATGAGCTGAAGAGGAGGATGCCGATTGACTTCAAGGGGATGACGGTCAAGGTGATTGCGAAGGATGGCATTCGGGAGGAGGAGTATGTTGATGATAAGCCGGTGCCGTGTGCGTGAGTGGGGAAAGGGGGGGGGGAGGTGCATGTGAGGGGAACGGCATGGCGTGGAGGCAGATAGATGAACGCTGAATGTGTGCGTGTAGCATATATTGAATGTTTGGCAGCACAGGTAGCATCGGCGTCAGTCATATCATGAGCGAACTGGCCAAACCCCCTGAAAAAAAGTGCCCCTGCCCCCACAGTACTTCTCACCCACAATTGCTGACCAGCACATGACCCCATCATCTGTACAACCCGAAGAAAACCGAGAGGAGTATCATGTTTCTTGCTAATCTCATATATAAGCTACAGCGTATTATTATTCGCCATACGGGGTATCCGAATACACCTGGCAAATGCAGCTCCTCGCTCCCATCCATGTAAAAAAATTACGCACTCCGAGATGCAATCCATCAAAGTCAAAGCAGTCCCGTCATCATATCACATCGCGTCATAACTAAAAATTCCCAGCTAAAAAGGGGGAGAGGGGGGGTAGGGGGGGCCCGCTGCTATCTGCCTGCTACTACATGCCCCTGCCATATCTCTGGCCGCCCACCGTGCCGCCCGAATCCCACCCCAGGTACGAATCGAACATGCCATCCTCGCTATCGAAGCTCAGCCCATCAAACCCTCTAGAAACCCTCTCTACCAAGCTTTCACCTTCCTCGCCGTCCGTGCCCTCCTCCTGCACGCCTTCGGACGTGTGTATGGGTCCAAGCAGCGGCGCTGGCTGGTTTGGAAACGGCGCAAAGAGATAGTTCTCGCCAATCAGCCTAGTTTGCGACTGGCTCATGCGCTGGCGCTTTTGGTGGTAGAGGCCAGTCGAGGGCATGGAGAAATGTGGCGCGCCGGGGCGTTTCGACGACGTGCTAGATATGTCGACGGTGGAGGGCGGCGAGGTTGAGTCGTGAGAGGTGGGCGTGCAGCGGGTTCCTGGCTCGCCTGTGGGTGCAGTTCTGTCGGGCTCGGGAACGAGCGCCTCGACGGCGCGTTGTGGGTCGGCTGTGAAGTCGAAGTGGCTCATTTGTGTATCATTTCTGTACAGTGCATTCTCGGCCTCGATGGGAAGGACGATATTCCATTTCTGCACGAGACCCCGAATGATGTTGAGAGAGCCGACGGCCCACTCGTTACGGGTAACAAGATCTTGGAACGAGTTGCAAGCGGCAGTAAGGTATGTTGAGGAAGCAATTGCTGGTATATTGATAATGTGTATGGTGCATGCAGTGAGCAGGCAATGCACTTGAAATGTGTACAGTCCACTGAGACCGTACATGCGCCGGTGCTGTGCAAAAATATCTGATATGTAGTTTGCCGAGCGACGACAGACATCTCGTGGAGACAAATTTGATTCGGTAAAGGTTGCTTTCAGGAACGGGCGAAATAATAGGAGCACTGCGGCGTGATAGTACATGCTGTGAGAAAGTCAATAATGAGGAGTCGATGACGTCTCTTCGAATAGTAACTTACTGCAAGCATAATACATGAGGCGGTGCGTCGTCAATAGAAGAGATGATATCAGGGAGGCGCCGAGACCAATTCACGTATTTCGTGTATTCATCCAAGAGAAGACTCCCACTCAGGACTCGGGTTGGTGCAAAAAACATGCAGAGTGTTGAGTTGACTATTTTGGAAAGAGCAGCACACTGATTGAACGTTGTGGATCTTGCGCCAGGTTTGTCAGGTCCAGGTGTATCGTAGGCATTCCAGGGTTGCTTGTCCAGATCATCGTCGACTGGTGGTAGTTCTATAGTCACAGCACTGGTAGGGATCTGTGGGACTCGGCCAAGGGTGAAACTTGTTACCCTTTTGGCATGTCAGCTCAAGGTCGCGTGTGCGGGCCTGGTCTCACTTACTGGTCGGAGATGAAGCAACCCCAGAAGGCGTGGCGCCTGGCGAATTCTTGTCGTTGAGTCTCGTCGTCCATTTCATTCTCCCTCACTTCTATGCGAAGATGCAAGTTCAAGTCAAGTGCCATACGTGAGCTTTTACCGCTATACATCCACAGGGAGCTTAGGCGGCCCCTGTTCCCTTCGACATGACAGAGGAGAAATAGCGCTGCAGTAGTCGGTATGCTAGAAGCACAGTTATCTGAGTTCAGTAATCGTACTGCCTCTTCATAGAAATCGAGACCCGCAGATCTAGCATCCTCAGGATCTCGTCTAGCTCTTGTTCTTGACGACAACAGACATCCTGCTGCACATATCGCATTCACAAGCGTCGATGAACAAAACTTTGTCTCACCAGAGGCCATGTCACGGCGAAATAGGTTTTCTGGGAAGCTCTGGAAGAACGAGTGCTGCCATGCGAAGTAGACATCCAGAAGATGGTTGACATATTCCAAGTCGTCTGTGACAGTGGTCCATCTGGCACTTTGGCCAAGAGGTGTCTGCGCCTGCGGAGCTGCGCTCTCCTGGTAGGCAGCGCCTTTGACCAGTCCAAACGTGCTGGCACGAGCAGAATAGTCTGCCTCCAATCCAGGTGTCACATTGTCACCACGTTGCGGACGCAACGGATGGAGTAGGTTTTTATGCGCTATATCTCCCAATATCACCGGTACATCTTCCTTCCTTCGTAAGCGTCGTTGGATTTCTTCGAGCTCAGTCGAGTTTGCATGCGTGATGGTCTTGACGAACAGTTCAAGTTGCTCCAGTCTCGATACTTGTCGCGGTCTTTCCTGCGCAGAACTTGCTATAGATGGATATATCAGCAGCTGACAGGAGTATAAGCCCTTAATGACGCACCTTCGGAATGTGAGACCGACTCTGCAGGCGATGCTTGAGCGGCGGCCGTGCGTGCGGCATGGGTCTCACGCGCAATTGCATTGGCATCTCCGCCAGGTGATCGTAGTCGGCGTAGAGTGTGAGAAAGCTGTTCTTCGGGTGCGGACTGTAGGGTGACGATGAGAGACTCGAGCACGTTTTTCTCCTCGGTGACAGATTCGAGGCTTTCGCGAAGGAAGGTAAGTCTTCGAACAGTCAGCACATCTGCGCTCTACCACGCTCTCACTCACCCTTACTTCCGCTGGTTGTCGTCCATATCATATAGGCAAGGTCCTCCCCCTCGAGCAATGCATTGCGAGCATGCAGGGCGGCGTCCATCGCACTGTAGCGGTAATTGTGTCAGAACAAGCCAACAGCTAAACAAGGGAAAGCATACAAGACAGAAGACCTACCTTTGTTTTGCGCCTGCGGCAGGGCACGCAAGCGACGATGGTGATTTTCCCACGTTTTGCGTAGGAAGGCTTGTTTGGGCCGGCACCAGACCCTGGCGGGGGCTGTGATTGGTCCTGGTCGGCGAAAGTGTTTGAAGGAGTATTGATAAAGGTGGGTAGAGGAGGTCTACTCATGGCGACCTTGCAATGGTAGAAGAACAACGTGTGGCGGAGAAGGGTGCAGTGGCAGTGCGATGCAATTCAGAAGATGCAATTTAGAAGAAACCCATGTCCAGATTCAAATTCGCGTTTTCTTGGATCCTCAGGCTAGAACTCGCGAACGTTAGCGGGGTCTAGAGGTGGTGGTGGGTGGGCGGTATTAGTGGTGGTACCTTAGCAGTGGAAGTCGGGTGGCAGTTAGGCAGTTAGGCAGTAAGCGCCGCCCGTCTGCTTCCAATGTCGGGGGGAGCTTTGGCGGGGGGAGAGGCAGAGGCAGAGGCAGCTGAAGGTGGCGGTGATAGCAGCCTACTGTAGCTGGTATTTAGTATTTAGTGCCTATCGGAGCCTTAAGCCAGCAGCACCTCACAACCCTCACTCAACAACCTGAGGCAACAAGCAGTCAGTTAGACCTCGGTCGCTTGTGGTGGCGAAATGCGAATCTCCTCCAATTCCACTAGCCACACCACGGTAAGAATATCGGTTTTTATATCGGTCGCGTCAACTTGAATAATTCAACGAGTTGAGTGAAAGAAGCAAACTGGCGAGAGAAGAGAAGTCTGATGGAGAAAGACAGGTTGACAGCAGGTCTATCGCGCAATTGGAATTGAAGAGAGTAAAAAAGGTAGAGAGAGGCACACTTGCGCGAGACCGAGACCGAGACTGTGGGAAGAAAGTGCGACGACTGTGCTGAGGATGGATGAGGCGTGTGAAGACGGGGGCAGATACAGTAGTTGGGGTTTGGTCTTGAGTTGGACTATTCGGATTCGCCACCGCGTGAGCTAGATGCGACGGGAGATCCATATGGGCCACAATTCCTGTTCCTGATGCTATTTCGCCATCACCTTTCACCTGGCCAAGGTTTGTATATCCGTCTTCTGGCTCTGATCTGCAGGCTGGCCATGGGGTTTGCATGCTTGCATGCCCCCGACATGGCATTCAGCCATTTCTGTGCCCGGTCAGAGAGGCAAATGTCGTCTCGGAGATGGATCCGAAGCATGACTTTTGTCGTGTTCCCGTACCCTCGACGTAGATATCACTAGACTTGCGGGCACGGCCCTGGGAGATCGGCAGCGCCAGAGCCACATCCACTTCTGCCTCTGCTTTGGGCCCTGGGCGCTGCTGGCAACGGCAATTGCGACTACAACACTGCCTCGTTAGCCAGGACTTGTTGCAATATGCTGGGCTGTCTGAACCATCCCATACCTTATCTGAGCTCATGGCTTCGATGGACAGACGGGATTGGAGTGCCAGTGCGAGTGCGAGTAGGAGTGGCAGGAGGAATGAGAATGCCTGGGTGGAGAGAATGTCTGCGCTTACGTCGAGGGTGGATGCGCAGTGAGGTTTGACGTCCAACCCGAGTGGGCCGCTGCCGGGGTGCTTCCGACTTTTCGGCTTCGGAATGCGCCCGCAGTATTCACATCAATCGTCTGTCATCACAAAATCGTTGGATATGATCGAAAAGGTTGGTCGCCATTTCCTTCCCTTCTCCGATGTGATAATATGCTCCTCATCTCTGTCGACATCTCAATAGCCATGTATCTACACTCGACTTCGTCCGTTCAAAGGCGACGAAGTATAAGGCATGCGCACGGGCATGGGCATGGGCATAGAGTCTTACGCGACGCTGATGCTGATGCGTTGGTGCTGTATTGTACCACAGGAACCACAATCATCGCCACTCGGTATTGCATGGTTCAACCGTCCGGTGCTCCACCTGTCGATCCTGTACTCATCTTGCTGTGGCGTTTTGGCGTCGTGTCCACCCTAATGGCTTGTCGTATCTTTGCCACACTGATAACTATACTATGACTCAGAATCGACCTGCTTATGAATTCAGAAAGTTACGTGGACCACCTATGATCATTTGACAAAGGAGCAGGGAAAGGGACTGGTATGACTGCTATGTTGTGTTGCACATAGCCCAATTGCTTAGACAAGGCACCCCTGTCAGGTATTTCTATGAAATATGTACATGAATGGAGGACGCTCACGAAGAGCCGTGAGCGCCCAATGTATGTTCAAACGAGTGTTGAATGCCGCCCGCTATGCTAGGCTCATGATTGGATATCGTCGTTAACGTAAAGGAAAATCAACCAAAGTTCAGGCTTGTCTGTTCAAGTGTAATACTTTTGAATGCAAACGAATTTGCAATGGCAGCTTCATTTGCACATTGCGAAAGAAAAGCCTTGTGGCTGACTGAAAATGAGCTCTGCTCTGAAGAAATGTATGATGTATCGTTCAATGTTCAGGACATCTTACGACTTTACAAGGAAAACTTGCTAGTTTCTTGTGTGTTACGTGGACTTGACGCAGTAACTGTAGCCCAGCCACAAGTTCTTGCAGTCGGCCGTAAGCCCTTTGTTCCAGCTGATCAGCTGGGTCAATGAGATAGAGAACTGCTCGGTGACTTTGTCGCAGTATTCGCCATCGGTGATAGTGTGATACAGCGAACAATTGTCGACTGCTTCCGGGTATTTGTTTGATGGTGTGGTTTCCCCACCACTCACGTCTACGATGGTGGTAACTTGGTGTTGTTCAATATCAGTAGCGTCGTGGTCGTCCTCTCCAGTAGATGGTGTGGTAGTGACAGTCGCTGGTGACTGAGGAGGGTCTACAGTGACAGAGGCTGGTGGAGAAGAAATAGGAGTCGGTGTGGGTGTAGGTGTAGGTGTGAGGGATGAAGTCTCAGCCACGGCAGGAGCTGAAGTAGGTGCTGATTCTGGGGTAGTATCGACGCTCTCTTTCTGTGCATAGTTGCTATCAACTTGGCCATAGCTGCCTTCGCTAGCAGTCAAAGTGCCCACGAGGCCAGCGTCACACTTTGAAGCGTCGGCACACCACCCAAGGAGGCGGTTGGCGATGTCCGAAGCGTAACAATGAGTAGCGATTCCTTGCCCGAGATTTCCGGAGGATGCAATGCTTCCACTGTTGTACATTCTGGCTGCCTTGTAGTACTTGCTAACGTCAGAACCTCCTGACATCTCAACGAGTTGCTTGAGACCGTCGCCATCTGCAGTACCAGCAGCCCCCTATATCGTGTCAGCATTCGGTCGAGCAGGCAATTCTCAGGGGGAACCTTACATCACGAATCATCTGTGTGATGATTTCATCTGGGCATGGGTTCAGCACACCATTTGCGCCATTACAGGAACCTTTGCCATTGTGAGATTGCATCAAGCCGGGGTTGATGACTCCGTTGTCTGTTGTTGGGGCTCGTACGCAACCATTGCTTTCTTGCATGACAATGGAGAAGATGAAACGAGGATCCAGATCAGTTTCGCCAGCCACGGTTGATATGCTCTTCTTCAGAGCCTTAATCTCCTCGTCGCTGTTGTTCTCAACGTTCCATTGGGTGCAAGATTTGGACAGGATATCCTTGTTATCAGAGAACCTAAGCAGATTAGCCTATGACCAGGATATCGACTCCCGCTGTGTTTGCTATCGTGCAAACGCTGTCAGCTTCAACTTACATGTCGTCATAGCTAGAAACCCATTCATTTTCAGCAGGCCAGCCCTGGAGAGGGCTACCATTTCCACCAAAGGTTGTATAAGAGTTCGCATCACGCGACACGAGTTTAGCACGCGGTGCTAGAGAGCTAAACAGCAGAGGAGCAGCAGAAGAGAGAGTGACAAGACCGCTTGCGGCCAGTATGAAAGGAGTGTAGACCATGATGATGGTAGTGGAACCGGCTAGCGGTATAAATGAATGAGAGAATTGAAAGAAAAGACGAAAGCAAAGAATGGAAGCTGAGCTGCTGTGTTCCCACAGAAAAAAGAGTGAGTGTGAGAGAGGAAGGGCAGTATTTAAGAGCAAGTCAATATGACGGACCTCCACACACTGCAGCGCGCACGGGCTGTCCATCTTCGAACGCCGAGAACGATCTAGCCGTGCCCCCGTAAACACGAGCTGACTCGGTAGCCCAATCAGCGACCAGAAAGGCAGTTTGCTGCATCACGAACACAACATGAAACGTCCAGGTCGCTACCTGACAGGGCGCTGCAGCTGAACAAGCCCTACCCGTCGACCTGACCAACCATGAAATCGAAGCTGTACCTTGGTGTGCATCTTGTGTGCCTCAACACTCCCACTCTAGAAGCGCATTTGTGATCCTTTTGGGTTCGTGTTTCACCAGTTACGCCTGGTGTTATCTCCAAGGCTGCGAAGTAGAGTCTTATTTTGATGAAAAGAAGGCGAATGTTGTCAGTTTAGGTACAACAGAGCTAGCTGTATGGAGAGAACAGGCCGAGGAACGATGGTCAATTTGAAACAATCACCTTCCTTTTCCTTAGCTACGACTCTCTCCGGAACAGGGGAGAGGGTTCGGAGGAGGAGAAGAGTATGTATCCAGCATTCCTGGGCAGGGTAAAAGGTTTGTTTGATTTGATGAATGAGCCCTTGGGAGGAGATGTGGCTGTGGTACAGGTGAAGGTATGTCTGACTGTATCAGGGGCAGCCAACCAAACAGGACGGTGGCGGCCTAGCGAAGGTTCTACGCCACGCAAGGGCACAGCCGACGATCTTCTCCCTGCCAGCAGCCCAACAACCGGGTAGGCCAGGGGCGAAACGTGAGGGGATGCACACTCAACCACGGTGGAACACGTCTGCATTACGGCGGTGAGGGCGGGATGGCGTGCGAGAGAAGGGAGAAGGTGAAGATGCGATGAATGATGATATACTGTAGTACCGAAAGGGGTCGAAGGAAGAGGTTGTTTCCCCAGTTCTCTCCACTTTTAAGATCTCACGCTTTGAACCTTAGTTGGTGGTGCGTACCGTGCCCCTTTCCCTCATCCCTGCAATCGATAAGGGGCCGCTCACGGTAACGACAAGGATGACGATAAGTCCATGCTGAAGTGTGCACGGTTACCATCAGCATGAATATAATCATCATAAAAGGGACGACAGCAAGGAATGAGAAAAAGCATTACTAATTCTCTTCTGGAATATATTTTTCGCATCCCAAGGTCAACTGCGTGATTATCTTCTACATGGAATAAATACATCTATCTCTAAGCATAGCGGACCCAGAGACGACGATAGCTCAGCCATGCCCGACATGCCCATATTGCAGGAAACCCATGTTCACCTAGTGTGTGATCTATTCATACTTCAGGAGAGTGCTTTATATCTGCTTGTCAAGAGCTAGCAGTCTTCATTCTATCTGTGGTGAGTTTACTTATATGCCGAATCTCAAGCCGGCCGAGTACCACTGAGTCACCTCATCCGACCCATAGCTTTCATTTGTCAGCGCGTAACTGTCCACCTGTATATCCGTCTAGCTTCATATCCGCGAAACAAGTATTTCCTAGATCTGTCTTCTCACGCCATCTATCTGTTAGCCACTGTGTCACTGTGCTTCCCACACCATGGCCTCTGTCGCCCACATTCGCCTTGCCGTCCTTGACGATTATGCAGAGCTGGCAGAAAAGCACTTCCGTTCTGCAGGCCTCAACCTGGAGAGCTACCATTCCTTTCCCAAAACACTAGATCCAAAGACACCAGACGGCCTCGCTGCACTGACAGCCCAGCTCGAACCATTCAATGTCATTAGCACAATGCGCGAGCGAACGCCCTTCCCGGCAGAGCTCCTAACTTCCCTTCCCAACCTCAAGCTACTCCTTACGACAGGAATGAGGAATGCCTCCCTTGATCTCGAAACCGCCAGACAACGCGGTATCCTGGTCGCGGGCACGCAAGCGAAACCCCCAGCCGACAGCCTGGACTTCCGCCTCCCACCCTCCACACACGACACCACAACCCAACAGGCAATATCTCTCCTTCTCAGCCTAACCTCCCGCATCCCGCACGACCATCGACAGATCACGAATCCAAGCACACCAGATGCATGGCAAAGCGGCTTCAGCATCCCCCTGTACGGCAAGACCCTAGGCGTCATCGGACTCGGCAAGCTGGGCACCAACCTCGCGCGCATCTGCGTGCAAGCATTCGGCATGAAGGTCATCTGCTGGAGCAGCAATCTCGACCAGAGCAAGGCCGACGACGCAGCGGCCGGCGCGGGACTCCCCGCCGGGAGCTTCACGGCCGTTGCAAAACAGGAGCTTCTCCGGACGGCGGACGTTGTCAGTCTCCATCTCGTGCTTTCGGATCGCTCGCGCGGCACGCTGAAGGCGGAGGATCTCGCTCTGCTCAAACCAAGTGCTTTGCTCGTCAATACTGCGAGAGCGGGGTTGATCGAGGAAGATGCTCTGCTACATGTGCTGGAAAAGGGGCGGATCGCAGGAGCTGCTCTTGACGTCTTCTGGAAGGAGCCTTTGCCGGAAGATAGTCTGTGGCGGACAACGAGGTGGGGAGAAGATGGGCATAGTATGGTTGTGTTGAGCCCGCATATGGGCTATGTCAATGAAGTGACTATGCGGTGGTGGTACAAAGAACAGGCTCAGGAGGTGAAGAGATGGTCTGAGGGCGAGTCGCCGCTGAACATTATGAATAATCCGGTCTCGGCGAGCTAGATCGTATTAAATACAGCCAGACAATATGTTCTACCACTCAACGCCCCAGAGACCAGTCTGCACTCTAACTTCACCTTATTCATAACACATAACATCACACGCAAACACACAATCACTCAAACCCCAAAACAGACAACCTTCCCAAGAAACACAAATAACCTCAGAATCTCACTCAGATGAAATTCTCATGAACCAAAAGTGCAAGAACTACATTACGCATAGACATAAATAGACATCACGTGTATAAGTTTGTGGCCCCAATCTTGGAAGACATGCAGCAGCGCATGCGACCTATGCACTCTCCTCGTATGATCCTACGCTTTTCCTAGTTCGGAACAACTCAGAGCAAGACCTCTAGCCCCTGATATACACCAATCAGTATAACATGCCCTGAGAGGTTCTCTGGTGTGCTCCCGAGGGCCGGTAAGTAGCACTGAGTGGAGACAGGAGTGGGAAGCTCCAGATTGCTACCTGAACGACTACTATGAGCAGTTCACGGCAGGCATTGCTAGTAGGAATCATGCAATGGCGGTTCAGAACCATGTGGGTTAAGAGTGGAAGGACAGCAGCATCACTGGACGAAAGTTTGGCAGGAGCGGTCCCATCACGTGGAGCACGCACCCGGAACGATACACGAATACACTTTGAGCAAGTCACACAAGACACAACCTGATTATGATGAGAATTACTGAAGCGTGTACCAAAAACAAAGACGAGAGACTCTCAAACCCCATATTTAACGCTTGCTTCGACGACGCGCCTTGCCATTTGACTTCTTCCCAGCATCGGCATTGCCACTACCTCTTCGAACAGTGTAGCCAGCAGCGTCGTTTTCATTTGGCACAACCTCGACCAATCTTACCCCTTCTTCGGGACTCGGTGTCCTGCTCTCATCAGATATCTCGTGGCCAAGCGAACTATGTCTGTACGTTGAGCCCGGAAGCGCGGGATCAGAGTTCGATGCGGGGAGTCTAGCACCGCCGACGGGCACGCGCCTTGTGATAGGCGCGTAGGCGACGTCGGACGATCCAGAAACTACGCGTCGACTGCCGTTTCCTGTCGGATATGGCGCCTGCGGCTGCAGCGCAGGGTTCTGATGGGTAAACGGATCGTACTGTTGAGCTTGTGGCTGTTGCTGAGCATATGAGTTTGATGACGAGCGAGAACGGTGCATATAGTCAAAGTCCTCAGCGGAAGGTATAGACTGCCGCGAGCCAGGACGTATAGGAGATGAATAGTAACTTCCTGGCACATCGTATGACTGCGGAGGAGTAGTGTTGCGAGTATTGCTGCTAGCAGAGCGCGAATTGGGTCTAGAGTGCGATTCGGAGCGCTTGCGAACAGGACCTGGTGATGCCTGCGCCATACCGTAGCTGATAGGGTAGATTTGATTACCATTCGGCCCTGGAACCACGAAACCCGGCCCAGGAGCTTGCGGCATATCATCGTAGGATGACATTCGGCTTGTTGCCTTCGATTTTGGTCTAGCTGGCGAAGCGCTGAAGATAGAGGCGCGAGAGGAAGTTTTCTTTGATCGCAGACTCCCTGTGGCAACGGATGGCTTAGTTTGCTTGATCGGTGGTCGTTGGTAGGGGGCATCGGCTTGTATTGTTCGCCGGCCCTCAAGCGCAGCCAACTCTTCGTGCGTGAGCTTCACACCAGCTCTACCCTTCGCTGTTGCTTTCCGTATCCGCTCGATGGCTCGTTGGTAAATAATTTCGTCGTCTTCTGCAGGGTTCAATTGAAGTACGACACCTGGTTGGTCTGCGTAATCGTCGTAGTCCTCCTCCGAAGACTCAAAGTTCTCTCCATACGCAGGCCCTTCGTCTTGTCTTGAACTCGCTAAATCATATCCATCAAAATACAAGTGATCTGAAGAATAACGCCCCTTTTGTAACACTGGATCCAATAAAACGCCTTCGGACTCACTGTCCAACTCTTGAAATCTATATACGTCGTTTGGAGGTCTCTCCCATGCCCTTCGTCTCCGACCAAGACCTCCATCTGGTGGTCTTCCCCCGGAAGGGGGCAAAGCATAAGGAGTTCGCGGCCGACCACCTAGACCGCCTCCTCTGAAAAAGCTGACTCGATGGGTTTATCCATAAAGGCAGCGTGACCCAGAATGCTGACACCGCTAGCTCCGATGAGCCAGAGGACAGTTGCTAAGGGCGAAGAAATAAATGCAAGTGGGACGGAAATGCAGATGAGTACGGTGTAGAGCTGCGAAGTCGTAGCACGCACGAAGCCGACATCGAGGTCTTGGCCTTGGAGCTTGCCAATTCCGTACATTCCACCAACCACAAGGAAGATGAGGAATAGGAGTTTGAGGTTCGTTAGAAGGCTGTAGATCGAGAGCATGACAAAGACAACGGCGTAGTTGCTAGAGAAGTATCCCAAGTTGTAATTGACTCTGCTTTGGACTTCGCCGAAATTTTGAGGCTTCGAAACACGCTTCACATCGAGAAATTCGCCAATGGGCTTGAGGTTGGAGAACCGGCTCCCCAAGGACTGGGTGCGAATGCCATCGAAGCGACCGGAGAGGTTCAGACGCGATGTGATGGCGTCGAGAGGGATGTTGATGCGCGACATCGTGAAAGAGGATTAAAATCTAATAACTTTGGTATTATTAGCAGAGGTTCTCGGTAGTGACCATCGCGCAATGTCTCAAGCATGAGACGAGATGGAGGCTGAAAAAGGCACATACGTCTCAAAGAGGATTACAAGAACGACAAACGCGCGAAGACAGAGCAGTGTCGACGCAGGTGAACAACGAGCGACAGGCGACGGCGATGATGGTGCAGTGAAGATGAAAGAAGTGAAGATGGGAATTGATAGGGGTAGCGACAAGTACAAAATTAGAACAGGCGACGGTGCGAAGTTAACGGCGTGGAAAAGTTGTTTTAAGCTTTAGTGAGGAAGGACGCGGATCTCCTGAGCCATCAGACACCTGGCCTGACAGCCTGACAGCCTGACAGCCTTGAAGCCTGAGGGCGATAATCTCCTCACCGTGCTAGGCCGTTTCGGGGTGTAATTGTAAGCACCAGCAGGAACACGAAAACACACGAAATGCTTTCCACGGCGTGACAGACAGAACAGACAGCAGGCTTCATTCAGGATCTGCTCAGTTGTAGAGTGTAATTCAGTGCAGGGTACAAGTATCAAAGTTTGAAGAGACAGTGATGCAACAACACACATACCACGTACCTTGGAGCTGTCGGTGTGTTGTCCTCAGATATGGCTGACCATTGCAGTGTCCTGCCTATGCACCGCAGCGGCGCCGGAGGTCCGAAACGGCGGTAAACACGCTCAATGCAGTGTACTTTGAGCTGCAACCGAGTAAAACAAAGGACGGTGAGGAGGAGAGGTGAAGTTGGCGGTAGACGTCTACGTTCTGGGGGCGCGGCGGCCTTTTTATCACTCTATGTGTACCAAAAGTTGACTTCTGCATACTGTGCGCCTGATTGGGCCACGTTCGGCATCGTCTGGGGATGGTCCTGGAAGTCCTAGGGGTTTTAGCGCAGCCTGCCACCGCCCGGGCCCCGGCTTCTGCTCGCCAAAACTTCACAAGCACAAAGCCTAGAGCCATGTCCACTTTTCCACTCGGCTCGTGAATCGTGTCTTCTATTTTCTCTCGACAGCCACTCATCCTCTCAACGATGAGGTCCTCATTGCTGCCACTGCTGTTGGTAGCCCTTGCGGCGCTCGTCGCTGCTTGGAGCAAGGAAGGTCAGTCAACCTAATTCATCTCAATCGCGATGCACTGGAGTTCAAGAGTCCCTGTGTATCTTGCCAAAATTTCTCGAATCGCAATTGCTTCAAACCATCTCGTCTAAGCTGCAACAAAATACTGACACTGTCTTCCAGACCATGAGATCTTCCGCCTCCACGACGAAGTCACTGCCCACGAAGGCGCAAACACGACCTTCTACTCCTTCATTGGCGTCTCGCCCTCCGCAACCCAGGACGAGCTCAACAAAGCCTACCGCAAGAAGTCGCGCTCACTACACCCGGACAAAGCTGTACGTAGCTGGGAAGCTGAATACGCGCTGAAGCACAAAAAGTCCCAGAAAGGCACCAAGCCTGGCGTCAAGGTTTCGAAGGGACCCTCCAAGAAGGAACTCGAGAAATACCGTGTCGAAGCCTCTGAGCGCTTCGCCCGTCTTGGTCTTGTCGCTGGCGTGCTGCGTGGCCCTGGTCGCGATCGCTACGACCATTTTCTCCGCAATGGCTTCCCGACATGGCGCGGCACCGGGTACTACTACGCACGCTTCCGGCCCGGGCTGGGCAGTGTCTTGTTCGGACTGTTCATTGTCGGCGGCGGTTTCGCGCATTATGGTGCCATGTTACTGAGCTGGAAGCAGCACCGCGAATTTGTGGAGCGCTATGTCCGACACGCGAGACGTACGGCGTGGGGTGACGAGACGGGAATCCAGGGGCTGGACAACATTGGCGAGACGGTCGCTGCACCACCACCAGCGCAGCCACAGCAGAGCGAGGAGGCAGACGGCATGCAGCTGCTAAACCGTCGACAAAAGAGACAGCAGGAAAAGGAGGACAAGAAAGCAAGCAAGAAGCCCGGCGGCAAGAAGAGCGGCAATGGATCGAGCACACCGCGCGGGTCGGGCGTGTCCACGCCCGTGTCTGCGCCCGTCGATGCAACACTCACGTCAGGTCCGGTTGGCGCGAAGAAGCGCGTGCGCGCCGAGAACGGCAAGACTCTCGTCGTCGACTCTGTCGGCAACGTCTATCTCGAGGAAACGACCGAGGACGGCCAGACGCACGAGTATCTGCTCGACCCCGAGGAGATCCCACGTCCGTCCATCTACGACACGCTCGTATTCCAGGCGCCGAAATGGGCGTGGCGGAAGTCTGTAGGGAAATTCTTCACTAGCAGCGACGCTGAGCCCGACTCGCCCGTTGATGAGCCGACTGTCTTGACTCCGACGACGAGCGAGGACGAAGCGGTCGAGAAGCTGAAGGGCGCCATGGCCGCAAACCCGAACAGCGAGGCCAGGAAGCGCAATGTAAAGAACCGCGCGCACAGGAAATAGCGCGCGTGCGAAGGCTCAGTAGAGTCTTTGTATGTGTCACAAAAAAGTGTTTTTGTTTTCGCCCATGTACAGTTTCACCCATAGTGTGTATACATAGAACTTGCCAATTGTATGTATTGCTACAGACAGGTCCTGTGTGCGTGATCTCCGTTATCGTTTCACCCGTCAAAGTACATCAATAATCCCATCCTTCCGCTCGCTAAGAAGAATTCTAGCCATCCGCCATCCATCATCATCATCCTCATCCTCGTCATCATCAATCAATCAAGTAGTACAACAACAACAACAACAACAACGACACAAGCAAGAGCGCTGAATCTGGAATCATAATCTAAACCAAGACTCTTCAAGTATCAAAAGTAAGCATAACAACGAATGAAAATTCCAAAGCACAAGAAAAGAGAAGATCCACACAGTCCCGTTGGATCTTGCATGATAGATAAATAAACGAGCAAACAAGCAAGCAAGCATAGAAGAAAGACATGACGCAAACGACGATAAATAAAGACAACAACGACAACACCGAACAAGGGCAGGCAAAAAAAGGTATCAAACCAGCAAAACAACAGAAAACCGCTTGAAAGTACAGGTTTCATGAGGAAACTGACCATGGTGATGCGATACACGCGGCCAGACAGAGCCCATCCATATCCTACACAGCCAACAACGCGGCCTAAGTGACTCACAGTCTGCGCGGAACGCCTGCCCCTGATAAGGTAAGGTAGACGCTGCGAGGTAAGAACGAAATAAACAACCAAAGCAGACCCAAAACCAAAGAAAAAGGGGGTAACGGGGGAGAGAACGAGTAAGACAGCACAACCGCACACGCCGAGAAAAAAGAAAAAGCACTGCCGAACCCTGTTCAGAAAGCTAGTAACAACAGACTTGATTGCGGAAAAGAGTAAAGGTGGAAAAGGGGTAAGAGGCAACGTCCTCAGACGAAAAGTCTCGCGAGCAAGCGGTCGAAAAACCCAGTCATGTCAGTCCCTTTCTCCGTCTTCCGCTCGCCGAGATACTCTCGCGCGTCAGCGAGGGCGCTGCGCACACCACTCACGAAGCTGGCCTCGGCAGTAGCGCTGTCGTCGACTCTGGCCTGTGGTGCGGACGCTGCGGACAGCGCGATAGGGGCAGGGGCATGGGCGGCTCCCTGCACTAGGTCACCAAACGAGTAGGTGTGTTGGTGGTGAGTAGGGCGGAGGGAATGGAAAGACGAGATTGTTGGGACGAGGGGGGCTGGGTGTACGGGCTGGGCAGGCAAGGCGAGTTTCTCGTGGCAGCCGCCGAAGCAGTTGCGGTAGAAGCGCAGGATGGCGTTGATGGCGCCGTCGTTGATGTCGACGACGCTGCTGTGGGGTGTTGATAGACCAGTTGTGGAGAAGGAGGAGGAGGAGGTCGAGGATGTGGAGATGTTAGATGTGGTGGAGAAGTTACGTCGCATGGCAGGCATTGGGTCGATGTTCTTCCGGTCTTTCATGTGAGCGTGATACTCCTCCTTTGCAGCCTTGTAGTGGATGCTTTCCATGGCCATCAAGAGCACTGCCATCGATGCCAGGACGACGGGCCATTGGTTGCATTGACGGCTGAGTGCAATACGCTCGAGACGGGTGAGCAGGTTTCGAAGAAGTTTGGAGGCAAGGACTGGGACTTCGGCACCAAGCTGGCCACGGACGAAGCAAGGAGTTGGACAAGCCGCGAGGCTGGAGTCAACAGAGTGTAAGGTACCACGAATGATGCTACGGACATTCTGGTCTGAGACCGGGATAACGGCGCCGTCAGCCATGTGTGTGAGCACAAGGAACTTGAGAGCAACTAATAGGATGACAGGCTGTTGCACATATGAGTATACCATCTTGCGAGAGAGAGAGAGAGAGAGAGAGAGAGAGAGAGAGAAAAATATGGAACTGACTCTGCCTATTTGCACATAAAAGTGGTAGATATTGCTCAGCACCTTCAGGGGGCTCTGATATAGAGGAAATGACTGGAAATGCTCGTTGACGAGCAGTGTAAGGTGTGCATCTAACTGCCACTGAGCCCCATCTGTTGAGGCTAGTACGACAGGAAGAACTGCATGGTACAACTCTGTACCATTCGCAGAGGTTGATCCAGGTATTGGAGGCCAAGGGTAGACGATGTGTCGATGGATTAGCTTGTCAAGCTCTAATGGCCACACGACTTTCATCGGGAGATACATAGAAGGACCAAAGCCCAGGCTGAGAGGCAAGATGTAAACATTAGGAGCAACAACATAGGTCCCAGGACCAAGAAACTGATCAAGGCTGCGGTGGCTGGGGTGCCAGGTCAATTGATCTAGTTGCAAGTGGAGTGATCAGCACTAAGCACTGGAACATACGAATAGCGAAGCACATGTCCAGTTTGGTTGGAGATGGAAAATGCTTCGAATGTATCGACAGGACATTAGTCCAGCTACGACTAAAGCAGATCTCTCTACCAGAGCATCGCCAGAGAGCACATCTGACGTCACTTATAGCAGTTCCTTGGTTCTACTGTGTTGCTGGACTATTGTCCTGGACTTCTTCGAAAGAAAATGTGACTGAATAAAGAGAAGGAAAAGAGTCGAATGGAATAGAGTAGACCTACTAGAAAGCAGGACGCCAGCGATGTCCTCAAGGAAACTGCCTCTACAAGGCTGAAGAAGCAGATCGCATTTGAAGTGCTCGACACAGCTCTTACATGGTGTTCCTGGATCGCACTGACAACAAGATAAGTAAGGATAAGTCGACCAAATGAGCTGGAGAGTGACGTTAGGAAGCCCACCTTCTCTTTGCGGCGGCGACATGAGTCGCAGGCTCCGATGATACGCATAGCCGCTGCCTCCTTGCGCGCGATTGGGGAAAGACCACCAGTGCGGCCACGATTTTTCCGGACAACTCCATGGCTATTTGCAGAAAAGGTCACCAGACGTCCAGTCTTGCCCTCGTCGGGCTTGTACTGGATCCATTTCTGGGCTGAGGCGGAGCTGGCACCGAAAGATGTTCGACGACGTCGCTGTTTGGTCTGCGTTGCCCGTGGAATGCTGATCGGGGTGGATTCTGCATGTCTTTCAGCGGGTGTAAATTCAGGCGTCTTGGGACGAGACGGCAGGACCAGTTCGTTGTTATCAAAGGACCCAGGCGCACTGTTCACATTGAAGTAGCCAGGGAATACGCTTTCATCCTCGAGCAGATTCGCGGAATGATATGATGCTTGGTTCGACGTCTGAAACGAACTTGCATTTGTTAACGGAGGAGGCATCGACCATGAGTAAGTCGGCACATCCTCATACGACGAAGCACCAGAGAAGGTGTAGCTCATAGGAAAGCTCGCACCACCAGGACCAGCAGGGAGATGATCTGACAGACCAGAGCTCCCATCGCCAGAGCGGTGTATGTGTGCTTCATTGTCCAAATCGACAAGGCCTTGCCAGTCCGTATCGTCAAGCTGGAAGGTATCGTCGAAGTTGAGTTCGGGATTGGACGGTCTGCTGTCCATAAAGCGACTGGCGTTGAGCTGCCATGTCATTGGTTAGCTTTGGCCTGTTACTATAAGGTAGTAGGGGAGTACAGTGCATGGGGCTAAGTTTTAAGTTGGAGGGGGCGACAAACTCAAGCGATTGGCCGTGAAGGTTAGGGATCCTTGTAAGTGGATAGAGGTGCGTCAGACGTGGGTTAGGTAGCTAATATTGGATCAATAGCAACTAGGAATAACAAAAGTAGGTTGATTTGAGGTTGAAGGTAAGAGATGCGTGCAATGAGACGGTAGCTGGGAAGAGAAATAGAAAGAGAAGAAGCTCATCCCTTATACTGGTCGTGTCACCTTGCAAGTGAGGCGGCATAGGCAGCAATCTGGCGTGCTAAGAGGGGAAGAAGGCATCGGTAAAGGCCGCACAAGCACAGCTCAGCTCGGCTTATCGAAGTCCAGCGTGCGCAACGACAAAATACAACGACAACAACGTGGGATGGACGGCCGGTCTTGACAAGACGAAATCATATAACTAACAACAGATTATGAACGGCGCCGTCGGCCTCTTTCTCGGCTACATGATCCAACACCAACGCTGACCGGTCATGGATCTCGAGTTGACGTAGCCACGGCAGGTTTGACTTTACACCGGAACTGACAGTGGGTTGAAACGAGGTGGCAGGGCTGTAACACCAATCGGCTCCAAGCTTCTGATCATGACATCGCAACGTCTGTTGCCCGTGGCTTTCCGGCTTCTTCCTCCATCCACTAGCCAAAATGCATCCGAGGGAGCAGAGCCTCCTCAAAGACCCCACTCTACAGCCTGGCTCTGGCCTTTCGCAGCACGTAGGGCTAATGGTGGGAACACGAATCCTCTACTGCTAATTGACTCATCTTGCATGTCTAGGGCGCTTCTTGGCTGGGCGGATTGAGCCTTGCGGGATGCAACGGTCTGCGCACGCTGCTGATCGCTCAGTAACTTATCCACCTTGACGAACGGTGTATCCGTGCCCGGGTCCGGATCTGAGCCCATGTCCTCGCGCAGAATCTTCACAGTACTGCAAGCATGTGATTAGTATGGACGGCCGGCTATCAACGGGGTGAACTTACTGCTTGAACGCGCGCCAGAACTCGTATCTGTCCAGGTCGTCTTCCATGTCATCATCGGTATCGACAATGCTGGAATCATCGTCATTGTGCTTATTCGCAATCTCTAGAAGAGTCGTCACAAAAGCCTCCTTCAAGTACGCGAAGCTGAATCCGGCTGTAATCCCAGCAATGGCGCTGCATAGGCTTTTGGGAAACTCCATCTGCTCCTTGAGCTTCTGGTACCAGTAGAGGGAGTACAGACGCCTCTCCTCCTTGTTTGGGAGAGGGAAGAGATATTTCCTGTCGAAGCGGCTAGGTCGCTTTGAAAGTCCAGGATCTAAACGATCCAAGTAATTAGTACTGGCCACCATCAATAGTCCATCATTACTCTCCAACCCGTCTACTTCATTGAAGAAATAGCTGCGAGTTTGCTCGGTGACGATCGTTTCGATGTCTTCAAGTACGAGCAGACATGGTGCGAGCTTCCGGACCATGTTGAAGACGTCGCCGATGTTGTACGTATAAGGTGCTGATTTGACGTATAGTGCCTCGACGCCTCTCTCAATCATCTCTTTCATCATTGCTTTGATCGAGATTGTCTTGCCTGAATCGTGCATCAGTCTGTTGATCTAGATAGGCTCTGAAGTCCGAAGCTTACCGTTTCCCACTGGGCCGTGGAAGATAAGCCCCCGTTTCCAAGGTACCCCGTACCGCTTGTACACATCCTCGTTATCGAAGAATTTCTTTGAGACAGATCTTAGATCCTTCTTCTTCTTTTCATCTAGGATAACATCTTTCCAATCTGCTTTCTGTACCTGCTCCCACAGGCTAGTATCTTTCCTCCAGTAGCCGTCATACACCCAAATCCCATTGGCCTTCTTTGTGACCCATTCTCCTATGGTACGAATGAGTTTATCGGTGATCGACGAATGAGACTGTGCCGTCTCTTCGCGCACGGGTTCCTTCAAGATGAATTGTGTCGTGCCCCCCAACGGATCAGTATAAACCGTGTAGAGAATAAAATATTCATCATTCCACCTGTAGTTGTAGCGAGCGAACAAGTTCGCATCGGCTAGATATCCAGTACCGTCACCTCTAGGTGGCGGCGGAACAAACCCTCTCAAGCGAACGACAGGCTCTACGGCAGAGTCCAAGGTTGCAGTCGCAAACCCTGCTGCGGCAAATTGTAGAAGGTTGACATTAGTCCCCGGAACAGCGGTCACTATGAGATCTGGATGCTTCTGTTGCAAAGCGACTATAAGCTGTACGTCAATGCTGGCGTATGACGATGACCAGCCTTTCTGAAACTCTTTGTATACTTGCGGTTGATGGGAACCCTCGTCCTCGATGATCGTGAATGGCTCCGAGGTCGACATTATATAACGACGACTGCTGGATTCGTATTATGCGCGCTGATGCCAGAGTTCTGTGATGCTAACGAAGGCGTTTAGGCTTACCGATGGTGTTCTTGGCACCGGCGAGTATGATGACGGAGTGAACTCTAGGGGACTCTCACCCATTTATGTTGTCGTCTAATCACGATCAAGCTGCAGCCTAAAGAGAAGGATCAGTTTTCGATTCACATGTGAGTGATGATTGGTCAACTGTGGCGACGTGTTGTTCTAAAGCAGGTTAGCGAACTGGAATGTACAGATGAGGTGGGGATGGGCATCCATCCATGTGGTCTAAGCGTTAACGGCCTCTCCTTCCTCTTTCGGATCACAATCGATAAATTGCAGCATCTAAGAGAATTATGGCAACAATAATGATGCGATTGGGACTGATCGTTCCTTGGTATATGACATCGCCACCAGATACTCGACGCTAAGTCATGCTTTGTATCCAGACATACCGGAGTATGTTCTGTTTGACTGCGACCAAGAAAAATCCTTCCCTCGCTCCGTGCGCCATTAGTAAAGAAGGCATACAAGCCATTTGGTATATTAATCTCATCCATCCAGCATAGGCATTCGCCTATGCCCTGCTCAAGTTCTCACCTTCCTCTTGCTTCTGCAGACCATATTTCTTCAGGCGGATACTTTGGATTCCAATGAATCCAGTAGTATCGACCGGGCTGAAGTTGTCAAGGGAGTCCATAGATGCCTCCTCTGCAGAGTAAAGCTTTTCTGTCTCAGAAGAACGTCCTAGGACGAAGACGTTTCCTTTGTAAAGGCGAAGGCGGACCTCACCGTTGACACGCTTCTGCGCGAAGAGGAGGCTGTTCTCCACGAATTCGCGCTCTGGTGAGAAATACATGCCATTGTAAAGCAGCTCAGACCACTTATGAGTTACAAACTGGTCACGGATGGAACGAACTTGGGCATCAAGTACGAGGCCTAGAGAATATCAGCGAGAGCACCAATGCAAGATCTATACACATACCCTCAAGATCGAGATGAGCCCAACGAAGAATTGTCATCGCAGGGGAGTCGTAGCAGCCACGGCTCTTGAGACCGATGAAACGGTTCTCCACGATGTCAATTCGACCAACCCCATGCTTCTTACCGATCTCATTGAGCTTCTTGAACAAAGTTACGGACTCGGACTCCTCGCCACCTGGGTAAACAATCTTGGTGGGAATGCCTTTCTCGAAACTGATGGTGACATCCTCGTGCTCGTTGGGAGCTTTGAGTGGATCGTCAGTCATTGTCCAGACATGCTCTGGAGGAGTGATTGCCGGATCTTCCAAGATACCAGCCTCATATGAGCAGTGAGCCAGGTTGGCATCCATAGACCAAGGTTTAGCTTTGGTGGATGTGACGGGAATACCCTGTTGGGCAGCATAGTCTAGAAGGGCTTCACGACCAGCAAAGCGTTCAAAGAATTTAGGATCCCTCCATGGAGCGATGACTCGAATGTCGGGACGAATAGTGTAGAAGGCAAGCTCGAAACGAACCTGGTCGTTTCCTTTGCCAGTGCAGCCATGAGAGACGAAGTCACATTTCTAGGGTTCAATCAGCCTGGACCCCCTCGCGCAACAACGGTTTTACGAACCTCACGCTCAGCAGCACGCATCTGGGCCCTAGCAATGACAGGACGAGCAAGACTGGTTCCAAGAAGGTAGCGCCCCTCATATTGAGCGTTACACTGGACAGCTCGGAAGCAAAGCTCGTCGACAAATTCTTTTTGGAGGTCTTCGATAATCATCTTCTTGGCACCAAGCTTGATGGCCTTTTTTTCCACTTCGTCCCATGGCTCATCCTGTCCAACGTTTGCCAGAAATGCGACCACCTCATAACCTTCCTCTTTCTCGAATGTCAGCTTTGTAACAGTGGACGGGGGATCGATTCGTACCGATAAGCCATCTTAGAATACAGCTGGTATCAAGGCCACCTGTCAGCGTAAGGATTAGAGACTATCTCCGGTGAACGTTTAACCTGGCGGACCTACCTGAGTACGCCAAACAGACACGTCCTTTGGCCATTTTGCAAATTCGCTGGATATCAGATGACTGGAATCTAAAGGGTCGCGGCCAGGTGTATGCTTTAAGAGGTACGATTTTGAGCAAAATTTGCGAAAAATTTCAGTCGTGAGCGCTCGATTGTAAGACTACAAGGTCTATACAGGGTGCGGGCTTGCTGAGTGGTTCTGATTGCGGCGTGCGGGGCCAATTGATGAAGTTGGGTCTGCTATGAATGTTTTCACAGAGAAAAATTTAGTTCCGAGTCATCATGGATGCCGCATCACTGGAAGTTGTGGGGTGAGACGGCGAAGCTAGGCTAGTGTCACATAGCTGCATGCACTAAGATAAGGCACCCAAGCAAGGAGCGATTCTTATTACCTTCTTATCGATGGCCATGCTGCCTACGACCTGTTATAGAAGTTGTATATAAACGATTTAGAATGTATTATGGTGTTCCATCATGGAGTTTTACCTTTGCGAGTCAAGCAAAAAGCCTAAAATCCTGGTTTCAAGACTAGTAAACCATATATTTTCGATATCTTGAAGGGACTACCAGGAGGTTCAGACGATGGATATGCATTTCAACCAAGATTTCTACTATAATCCCAACGATGGACGACTGACGAGACGATGACAGCAGATGTATCAAGCCTACAATCTCGAATTGGTGGGTCGGCGAACAAGAACCAGCCAAGCACCAGTAGGTGGACATCGCGAGCTGAACCTTAAACCGGCCTCAACTCAATCTCGGCGTCCAGCAGCCTGCCATCCATTCCCAGACGACGCAGAGCCTGCCATTCCCACTGATCCCAACAAGATCCAGCAGGTTTCTTTCATTATGCATAAGACGCATTGCTCCAGACAAGCTCGCGCCACAATCTCTCGTCAGCCAACCAGAGAGCCCAGCCACCCTTTGACGCAAGCCCTCCGCCCCACTATCCTGCCTCCATCCCGGCTCTCCCCAGCCAGCTTGTTTATGATGTGAGCTGGGATGGCTACAGAGCCCACCGCCTGTCTTTCACACTCCTCGGGTCTGTTTTCAACTGTTACTGCTATTGTTACTGCGATCCTAGTTCTACCCTGTATATACTGACATTTACCTGGTAATTTCGTTTTCATGGCGTCACGACTTTAGGGTTGGTACCAAGCTTCTTGCCTTGTCCCACTGGGACTGTTCATCTCATTTCTGCATTCACTTTCGTTCTTGCCATGAGTATACAGGTAATTCTACAAATCCCCAACTCCGCTGCTGGAGGAGTGCGGCTTGCTTTGCATTGCTAATTCTCCGAAGAATCCTACCACTCCACCATGCCCTCCGCATAGCCCCTCACTGTCTCGCAACAGCCTTCTTCAAGCCATCGACTATTCCAAGATAATATAACCCAAGAGCACCATGGGAAACACATCATCCACACTGGTCACTCCAGTAAAGGTGCAAAACCGGCTTTCCAAGCCAAAGACGAAGTCCAATTCCCCTAACAACCTGCCCACTGGTCAGACACACAAGCTCGACCGTTTGGAAGGATCGCAGAACGAGACAGGGAACGAACCGGCAACACAATCGATCGGAAGCGGTTCTAAAAGCATGTCCAGCGTCCGCGAACACTTGCGAAGAACGCTGTGTGATACAAGAGCCAGTGCCGATACTATGCCCAACCACAACAGCGGCAACGATTGCCTTGGAGATATAGCATATCCTGTACAGGAAAGATTCATGACTCGTTCAAGAGCAGGCTCAACTTCATCTGAAGGCCAGACGAGTCCTACCCGTGATTCGGATTGCCGGACGGTGGCGGTAGGCCACAGCTCTTGTCTCGAGAGTCAGGACGCGCTGGGTATCAGTCGGAACCTTAGCAAAAGCGCTTCACCCAAAGATATGGGATCCCTCCGTACGTTACAGCTGTGTCCTACCAAGGGACTTGTCTGATTACTTTTACTGATATATGTTTCAATCAGGCAAAGCATTAGGGCCGGAAACGGCCCATAGGCAAAGCCCCTCACTGCCAACAAAGCCCGACGATGAACTTACAAAGAGATCGTCTACAGCCCTAATAAGGCGTCGTTCCCTTGCTGCTCCTGGTATTGCCACGCGTGAGACAACGCCGGAGGTTTTGCAGTCAAAGGGTCAACAATCCGAGGGATCTTTGTCAAATGGTAAAGTTTGGGCAATGGAGGAATTTGTACCATCGCCACTTGCGTACCTCGTCAATCTCAATTCGACAAGGTCCGAAACACCTGTTAACCTGGAACCTCCTCAGATTGGAGGCTTAGAGCTAGGATCGCTGCGGATCACCAACGGGACCGCGTCCCCAGCACCAAGCGTATTATCGAGAAATATACCAGCGGCGAACGACTCGGCCGAAGAGCTTCAACAGGACGATGCGTACGCCACGGAATTGGAAGGGACAGCCAGCGTCGAAGGTCTGGCTGCCAACAAGGCAAACCACTCACCAATTCAAAGAGCGTCTCAAGGCCCCAAGAGACGTGGCGCGCGCAAACATTCAAAATCTCTCTCGCGTTTTGACTGTCCGTCGAAGATGCAACGTTGTGAGCCCGCATTGGGGTCTCCGCAGGGCTTTCCAGTCGAGCCGATAGCATCTCCGGATCATCCACGCAGTAAGAGAACGTTAAGTGCCCAGCTTTTTGCAGACGACTACATAGCAGAGATTTCACCCGGCCTGTATCCAGATGGTGTCCCGAGACCCACCATGACTGTTGACCCGCGAAGTCCCCCGGTAGAAATGACTACAACACTCGACAAGGAGCCCAAAGATGGTTTGATCGGGACTGTCACGGGAAAGTCGAGCAATTCTGAACGATATTACAGCAAGTACCGTCACAGTGTTCATTCTGGCTATTCAAGTGGAGCTAGTGTGGCCGGCACTTTGGATAAACCCGGAGCGGAGAAGGATTATTTCCAGCTTCGAAAGCGCCAATATACTGTGGATGCTCCTGGCGTCATGATGTCGCCATTTAGTTTTCAGGAGGATTTCTCCGAATCATCATATGTGCAGGAGAGCAGCTCGAAATTCGCCGGACAAGCTACTCAAAGTACGACTAAGAGTCCGTTGCTGAGGGAATCGAAATCGTGGCGCTCTTCCTCTTTCGGAACGCCTTCGACGATCCCGCCAGACACATTAACTTCAGACGCATCCGAAACCTTTGGATGCAAGAGTCCAGCAATGAATAAAAAATTACAGAAGAAGCGCCCGGGATCCACACAGCCTGAGGTCAACTCACCCAAATCCACAAGCGGTGACAACATTCCTGATGTCCCAAAAAAGCTGGTGGACACTTTCGAGCGTAGGGTGGTAGGGTCTCCTGGCACAAACGACTTGCAGCATACGCCTAGCGCGGGCAGCCATACTGGTACGGACGGCGAAGACGACTCCTCTTCCCCCAGCCCTGCCACTATTGAGTTCTCATCTCTGGGATTGCCAAAAGATGATTTCAAAGATGGAAACCAACACGAAGACGACCGACCACCAACTCCGCCACCTCACCGATATCCTCCTAGTTTGTACAGCTCGACTCGGTATCCTTATGAAGCTCCATTACTAGATGAGACATGCACCACCATCAAAGACTTTGGGACTGTAGCTGATTCACTCGGCGCATCCCCGTACGACATCGCCACTAGCTCTCATCGCACTAGACCTGTGGCATCCCGAACCCGGACGCATCCTCACCAGATTGGCAACGCGATGTCGAGGCCAAAGTCGATGTATAGTATGACTGACGAGGCCGCAGCGGAGTTTGCGCGCATGCGAAGCCTTGACCGTATGAGTACGGACAGTCAAACCCGCAGCAAGTCACGACCACGTACTGAATCCGCTCCGAACACAAACGTTGCCGGACGTTTGTGGCACCTTAAGACTAAGTACGAGGACATTCCTCCTGTGCCTCGCATACCCCCGCACGGGGAGTACAAGGTTCAGTCTCGACATTCACCACCAGTGGTCGCTCACACCAAACCGCTCATGAGGCAGGACTCTGCGCATTCGTCCGCAGAAGATGAAGCACCGCCGTCTGAGCCAAGATCCCAGAGAGAATGGGAGCAGACGCATCGCTCATGGTCAAAACGACGAAAGGCAATCAAGGAAGCCATGAAACTACTTGAAGAGCAGCTGGAAGCCACGAAGATGCCACCAAAGCGACCGGCCAGGAACACGGCTTGGCCAACAAAAGCTAGAGAGCGACCTCTGTCAGAAGGCTCGACGAGATCGGGTGGGTCAGATAGGAATGTTCTTTGCGACAGATACGGCGGCGGTCTACGCTACGGGTACGAGGCAGGGTATGGACTCAGTGGTAGTGCAGGCACAAGGCACAAGCAGAGCGCAGCGAGCAGAAAGAGCGCGCATGTGGCATATACATATGGAGTGGATTTGTCGGATATTCCAGTGTTTGTGCAGGAGATGCGTTGATTTCAGCTCTGATTAATGGTTTTGCATGGCAATGTTTTCATGTTTTTAACAGACGATGAAGATGACGATGACGATGGCGATGACGATGACGACGACGATATATTTGAGCATACACAAGCCAAAGAGCTATGAAAGTGGCGTTATGGGATGATTTACATGATGGTATACGATTATTGGGTATATATTGCTCGCGATTTACTGGAAAGGATAATTGATATAGTAATTGACGTACACTTACATAAGCAAGTCATGCAATGTTTCGGTGACACGCCCTTGTTAGACATGGGACCATTGGATAGCCAAAGACGATATGCTGCACCCATGACCGACAGTGAAGCTCTCCTGTGAAATGAGGTGAGCGATAGAATGACGTTCCGGCAGTAATCAAACAACAACATGTCTCATCTCAACCCCTCGGACAAGTTGCGAGCGTGTTTCAGCAGAGGAATGAGCAAGGATGGATGAATCATAAATAGCTCTCTCCATCCTACCTGGGAGGACGTACCGTACGCAAGGACGAATAGATTGACAGTCAATGCAGTCTGATCGCATGCTGCCATTGGAGGAGGAGCCTTTGATTATGATGATAATAATAAAAGGCATGGTGACGGGGCGAAGCAAGAGTTGCACGGTACGGTACCTAGTAATTAGCTAGGGATCATTAGGGTTCTGCTGGTCCCCCTCCCTAATGATTACCCACACAGGTACCAACATGCTCTACGTAGAGAGAGCCAAGGGGGGGAGTTTAATGGTTGACACTGCGCCCGGATCGAGCCGCTGTTGGCTGGACCTTGTCTACAGTACTGTATGACGCGCCCCACCTGGGCAGTGGGCACCATTCGCCCGACTCTCTCCCCAATAAACGGGCCACCTTTCGTCGCGTCCCCTCATGTTATCCCGTCGTGGGGCTGGCGGACTGGCGGGCTGGCGGGCTGGCGGGCTCGCGGGCTGGGGCGCTGCTGTTTCGGCCAGGTTTCTGCGTTGAGGGGGCTTGCTTGTCCATTATCCCCCCAGGCTCGCTAGGGTTACGGCCACGTTTTGCTTAGACTGGTTGCCAGTCCTGCCCTGTCACCCTGTACTCTTCACCTCCAGAGTGACGAAATCTCACCGGCCACCACTATCACCCTGCACAGGCACAGTACACTTCTGTCTTTCTGTAGGTGCGACCGTAGCTTTCTTTTTGTTTCTATCCTCCCTTCGCCTTAAATCTTCTGTTCTGCTGTCCTCATCCAAATCTTCTCTCCTTTGCGCTCATACAGAGAGCAACATCCCTTCATTCTCCCTGTGAACGTCCGTCTTTCAATACCACCACTTCAGCTACTACTCAGCTATTCATAGCTCGCTTGTGATTGGCGCTCTACTGCGATCCGCCAACCTCATCAACTGCGACAATGTCGACCTTTGTCGTGTCGCTGTGAGTCTACACAATTCAGATTTTGGGCTTGAGTGGCTAATAGTGTCTCTCCTCTCCAGCTTTCTACCCTATACGGTTGATTTCCAGGACATTCCTACTCCCGCACGCCGTGATAGTCCTCCCGCGACCGCTAGACCGCCTACGGGCCACAGTGCGCACGGCCAAAGAGACTCTATCCCCGATTTCTCGGCTCTCGACAAGAAAGCCAGTCTGTTTCACCATCCTACCCCCCCTCGGACGCCTGCCAGCGCCACCCACCAATACGATGACTTCTTCAAACATGCCACCAGCGTAGCTTCTCACTTTCCCAAACCTCACGACCCTCGATCTCTTGTCCGTAGCGACTCGTTCGCTCCAGACTGGGGTAGCAGCTCGTTCTTCAATCAGCCAAAGTCCAGAGCCGGCCCCGCACCGCCAGATACAATTCTTGAGTACGCCAAAGCGCAAGAGCGTGTGAACAGTGCGAGGAATCATCAGCGTCGTAAAACTGGAGAGCGCGGTCCTCCGCGCGAGAAGAGCGGTGAGAGAGGTGCATGGCGAGACAAGTGGACCATAGAGCCAGCGGTACAAGGCAATGGCGGTCTTGCCAATGCTATCAATGCTGCAGTTGAGGCTGGCAGCATGGGTGACGTGATCTGGGTTGGCACTCTGGGCTTCCCGACCGACAGTTTGGAAGAGGCCCAGAAAGACGACATACACGACCGACTTGAATCAGAGTTTGAAGCATTACCGGTCTACGTGAGTGACAGCGATTTCGATGGCCACTATACGCATTACTGCAAGACGATTCTGTGGCCTGTCTTTCACTATCAGATTCCCGACCATCCTAAGAGCAAAGCGTATGAGGATCATTCATGGATATTCTACGTCAACCTCAACAAAGCATTTGCCGAGAAAATCATCAAGAGCTACAAAAGGGGTGATATTGTCTGGATTCATGACTACCATTTACTCCTGGTTCCTAAGCTCGTCCGAGATGCCCTCCCCGACGCGCAAATTGGCTTTTTCCTACACACTGCCTTCCCATCGTCGGAAGTCTTCCGCTGCCTATCTGTACGGAAGGAGCTCCTTGAAGCTATGCTGTCCTCCAATCTAGTAGCATTCCAGACCCGCGAATATGCCCATCATTTCTTGCAGACTTGCAGTCGTCTTCTCGTGGTGGAGGCTACCGAAGAAGGCATCCAGCTCGATAATAGGTTTGTCAACGTCACGTGGTTACCCATGGGTATCAATCCTGAGGGTCTTTCCATTGCGCGTGAAGACGAGTCCGTTGGCGACTGGATCAAGGTCATGGAGGAGAGGTACAAGGGTAAAAAGCTGATTGTCGGGCGTGACAAGATGGACCAAGTTGGAGGAATCCGACAGAAGTTTTTGGCGTATGAGCTGTTCTTGAACAAGTATCCAGAATGGAAAGACAAGGCAAGCATAGCCATATCCTCTGAAAGGTCGTTTCTAATGATACCCAGGTCGTCATGATACAGGTCGCAACATCGACGACGGAGAATCCTGAGCTTGCTGAAACAATCTCGGATATCGTTACTCGCATCGACTCTGTCCACTCTACACTCGCGCATCAACCTTTGGTCTTCTTAAGACAGGACATTGATTTCTCGCAATATCTCGCTCTTCTGTCAGTCGCCGACGTGCTCATGGTCACGAGTCTTCGAGAAGGACTCAACCTTACATGTCATGAGTATGTTTTCTGTCAGGATGGCAAGGCCAGTCCGAATGGTGAGAAGAAGCATGGACCGTTGATTCTGAGTGAGTTCACCGGAAGTGCTGCGGTCTTCAACGGCCAAGAACTGCCTGTGAACCCATGGGACTACAAAAATTGCGCCGAAGCCATCAAGATCGCGCTCGAGATGACACCAGAGGAGAAGGTGCGTCGCTATGGCAAGCTTCGAGATGTTGTCATGCACCACACTGGAGAATTCTGGAGCCGCACACTCATCAAGTCCCTTGCCCGAGTCCACGACGAGCATTATAAGCGCGATACCATGTCCATTCCTCGACTTTCAGCATCTCAGCTCAGCCAGAAATACAAGGAGTCGAGCAACCGCTTGTTCCTTCTTGACTATGAGGGCACGCTTGCAACCTATGGCTCTCCGGCTCGAATGGTTGTCGATTCCCCACAACGAGTCCTTGACACGCTTAGCGAACTCCTGCTTGATCCGAAGAACACTGTCTATGTCATGTCCGGCCGCACCAAGGAGGAACTAGAGTTCCTTTTCAATCGTGTTCCTGGACTCGGCTATATCGCAGAAAATGGCTGCTTTGTTCGCGAGGCTGGTGCTGGAAGTATTGTCGATGATCCCAAAGAATGGACATGCTTTCCTGACCAAGCTCGCATGGAAGAGTGGAAAGAAGCCGTTCATGGAATCCTGCAGTACTACCAGGAGCGTATGGAGGGATCTTGGATCGAACAGCGCTATTGCAGTCTTATCTACCATTACGACAAGGCTGAGGACCTGGAGTCGGCGCAAAAGCACGCAGGTGACTGTGCCAACCATATCAACGACGCTTGCCGCGACCAACGCGTCCACGCCATTCCAGTCAAGGACGCCGTCATCATCGAGCCAATGGACTATGACAAGGCAACGGCGGCCAAGTATGTTCTGGGTCTGATGACGGGCGGAGAGGGATCAAACCTCAAACCCGCGATCGGCAAGCCCGACTTCTTGTGCGTAGCGGGGAATGACCGTGACGATGAGGTGCTGTACCGCTGGGCAAACGAGATGGGCGAGCATGCCGAGATCAAACATGTCACGACCGTCAGTGTCGGCCAGAGGAATACACAGGCGCAGAGCACGCTCACGCAGGGCACAACGGGGTTGTTGAGCGTTTTGCAGCGCCTGAGCAAGGCCGGTGGACCCAATGGCACGAGAGGACGGAGCACTACTGGGAGTAGCCAGTTCCGAAGCATGTCGTAGACCGGTGGAGGAGGTTTCTGCGTTGATGCCCACTGGATTCTTCCCCTTCACTCACGATGATATGATTCCTGCTTGCTTTTTGGCACTAGTATTCGGGCGGTCGAGCGAGCGATTGAGTCGGCTAGTGCTGTTTCTCCTGTACGAGTCTCTTGCACCCCATTACATTGCATCCCCGTGCGCTCTGCATAGCATAAACTGCGAGTTTATTAGAAAAATTACACCACCTTTGGCTATATATGTATACATTTCCCCACTTGCTTGCGTAGCTCTGTGTTCATCACCACTGATTCCTCCATCTCGTCGGGTCTGATTTGGTTTCAGCCATCCCCTTCCTCCGTCCCCATGTAGTAGAAATGTAGAGCTATGCATCTGGCATATCGATGGGGCTGGTTGCCCGTGTGTGGACGACGCAGTGCTTGGGAAGGCGTCGTTGTGGCGCGTGCATGTCGATCGTGGTGCTTCTTTGAGCATGGGTATTGTTAGGACGAGTATATTGGTTTGCTAATATTTAGTGGTGAAGCATTTGAGAAGGGTCCAGTCTGACAGGTACACTAACTCACTATCCGGATTAGGAATATAGAGCTTGGACTTCCCATAAGTGTGGAGCCGGCACGCGAGCAACGCGAGGTGGATTCCGAGGGGCGTGCCATGTGTCAGAAGGAGAGACCGGGCCCGTTGTATGACATGGCTTAAGTGCTGGGTGCCTTCATTCTGACAAGAATATGGGGATATGCTATTTGCTTGATGCGTGCCCTGGCAGTCTTGTATGTATATTGAGGACTGGAAAGTAGGAGTGTTTATGTATTTGTATCGCAGGATCTCTCGACAACTGACGTCATTAAAGCTCGACGAGGCTTAACTGCGATTTACTTTGCGGCTAACTTGATATGGTAATCTAGGACGACGCCATGACTTCTTTGGGTGTAGTAGCCGCGCACTAGTACTTCAAGTCTTCAACCTCGCGCCCGAATGAGAGTTGGCATCGAACTCCTTTTCCTCCTTCTGTTACGGAATGGCGTTCGGGGCGGCTCAGCTGCAGCTTTCCAGACGTCATGTCGTCCGCCCTCATAGACAGATCCTCATCGCGTCAATGTCTTGCTGATTCCATCCTTCATGGACCTGCGACAGCTGCAGCAAGACCAAAGTAGCCAAAGATAGACATGGCCAGCCTACCCGGCGACATCTACACTGGAACCTGGACCAACTGGGGTGAGTCGTGTCTTCACACATATACTACTGCTATACGCGCTCGTTGCTGACTCTGGGGCGAAAAGACAGAGGACGTGTACTTGGATCAACAATCACCATCTCGACACAGCAAGGCTTGTTCCTGACGGCATTCCTAGCGATATGGATCACCTGGACAGGCGCCCATCTATGGGGCATCCTCTGCTTCTGGATGATGCAGCACCAGTCGACACCAGAACCCCGTGACGGCCTTCACCACCAACGCCAGGCTCTCCTTCGCAATTCTGGTGCGCCCGGAGATGCCTTCTGGAGTCTCTCCAAGGTGGCGTGGGCGTGGCGTCGTCGGCCTGAATCCAAGGCGATCAAGCGTTCGATGCCTGCGATTGCGGTCGCGCTCCTGCATATGGCTGCATTCGCCGTCGCTGGTATCTTCTCCTCCAGAGTTACCCAGGCCGGTGCTGAGGTCCTCGTCGCTCCGGGTACGTGCGGGTGGCTATCTACAGATGTTGGGTTCACGTATAATCGCTATGCGGCGCTGCGTTCGACGGCTCGTGAGAGTCTGACGTATGCCCGTTCGTGCTACTCGTCTGGAGAGAGCAGTGACGATAGTAACGACGATGGCGAGGAGCGAGACCGCACATGTCGCCAGTATTCTCGAGTCCAGCTTGGGAACCGGACGATAGACTTTGACGCGAAGTGTCCCTTTGACGCCTCGATGTGTGGCGGTGAGCCTTCCATGTCGCTTGACACCGGATATGTTTCGTCGAGTTCTGATTTCGGCATCAACACCCCTAATGACGAAGAGATGTGGCTTCGCAAGGTAGTGACGTGGAGTCCCCTGAATCTCACTGGGCATGTCGGCGATCCGGTCCCGGCCAGCGACTCGGATCCAAACGAGACCATCTCGTCGTATTACCTGGGAGACAGCATAGTAGACGGCGTTCGCTACAACTTTACCTTCCAACTCTCGAATGCGTACAGGCCTGAGAATGTCCGGCAATACATCCTCACGTAAGATTGCATCCTGTCTTGATATGACGAGCTGACAGAGCATTAGACCTTTCCATGCCTATCTCAATGAATCAGACCAAGACTACTTCCCAATCGTCCAGCTGAACCGCACCGACGCCGACGTGACCGTACTAGAACTGAACAACTTCATGAACTACGAAGCCCCAACCACAGATGCTCTCTACGGCACCGACCAGAACATCAGCTCAAACGGCTACTACACACCACTGAATCGATACACCGCCCTCGCCGCCACAGAGCAATACCAGCTCTGCACCGCCCCTGAACAAGCATCCTGCACCCCTCTCAGCGGCATCCACACCCAACCCCTCTCAACCCTCACCCTCACCCCCAGCCGCACCACACTCGCATCCCACCTCCTCCGCATCATGCGCGAAAGCACAATCGACAGCACAGTCGGCTACCTCGGCAGCCAATCCCTCCTCATCCCCGACCTCGCCCTGACCGAAGGCCGCCTCGTCTCCATCGCCCCGCCGCCCTACCAATGGCTCCTCGACGCCGAACACATCCACAACATCTCCCTCGCCTTTGCCCAGCGCCTCGCCGTCCACTTCGTCGCCCACTCCTCCGCCCCCGTCATCCCCGGCGTCCAGGTCCCTCTCGGCCAGCTCGAACCGCTGTCTACCGACCAGCTCCGTCTGTGCGCCCTCCAGAAGGTCCGCAGCTACACCTTTGCGAGCTTCACGACGCTTGGCGTCGCACTCATTTTCAGCGTCGGCGGCCTCGTCATGCTCGTTAATTGCTGTCTCTCTGACGTTGTCAAAGCGCTGCGTGCGCGTAGGGCGGGTGCTGCTGGAAGCAACGAGAAAAGCGTCGAATGGATCGAGACTGAAGTGCTGCAATTGCAGCGTCTTGCTGTTGAAGGGCGGAATGTGGGTGGTGCGTGGGCGGGGCTGAGGAGTGCGGTGCCGGTGCCGGTTGATGTGAGGCAGGTGTGGAGTTCGAGTGTGTTGGATGGGAAGGATGCTGTGGGTATGGGTGCTGGTGTAGGCGGGAGAGCTGGCGAGTATCAGTCTGTTCGGAAGGATGAGGGGGATGTGGGGGAGGATTAGATGGGATGGATATACAGATGTGGTTTGGAGTAGGTCGTGGTTTAGCATAGTGTGTGTATGTGCAGACGGCGATTGATAGTCAGTAAGTCCAGTCAGTCAGCTCAGTCGTGCATGAAGGAAGCCTCGTCGATCTCAGATTTCGATGCCCCCCCCCCAATTCCACCCAGTTTTGAGGTCGTAAACTACAGTGAATTGTCAAGCGATAAATACACGTCAAACCCACCCACGCACCCAACCCCCCTCTCAGCAAGATCTAAGAATCACCAGTATGTCAAACCCCCCTAACACCCCCTTATTTACAAACACCCTCGCCTCGCAACAGTAAGCACTCCTCTAATCCTCTAACCCCCTAACCCTAGACTAAACCCAAACCAAAAACCAACCAAGAAAAAAAAAAGGTTCTCTAGCCTCATACGTCATCCATACGCTAACTACCCAACAACATATCCAACAACATATCCAACACCCACAAAACCCGACCCAAAAAACCACAAACACGCTATACTTTCTTTCTTTCTTTCTTTCTTTCTTTCCTTCTCCGCCCAATCAAACCCCCACAACTCACTCCCCCACCAAACAACAAGCAGTTACCTCCCAAACCGCCAGCACACCAAAACCCAAACTCCCGGATAGTCCCGGAGGAAACCGGGGTTTTGCCCACTGCTATATCCGGACCCGCCTTCCTCTGCCTCTTGTCGTCGCTGATTAGCTGATTCGCTGATTGGCTGATTGGCTGCAGTGCGAGGAATAGGGAGAAGTAGTGTTGATGACGCGGGCTTGCGAGATGTTGCGAGGCTGTTGATTTTGTTGGGGGGGTTTGAGAGAGAGAGAGAGACGGGGTTAGGTAGTGTGTTTTTTCGGCGGTTATGGGAGAGGGGGGGGGGGAGATAGATTGGGGTTAAGGGGGAGGTTGCGTGTGTGATGTATGATGTATGTGTATGTGTATGTGTATATATAAACTGCTCGTCGCAGGTTCGTGGTTGTTTGCATCACTGTCACCATCACCATCAACACTCTCAGCCTTCATTCTTCATCCTTCATCCTCCATCAACATCAACGACCCAAACTCAAATCTCTCACCCCCAACACCAAGCCCGAACCTCCGTCATCAACTCAAAAACCATGCCCGCCCACTTCCCCGCCCACGTCGGCCAAAACTTCACCCCAACAACCCGCGCCGACATCTACCCACCCACCAACCCGCTCCTATCCGACCTCAGCCAGCCCACAAAAACAGTCCTCATAACAGGCGCATCCCGCAACATCGGCCGCTCCATCGCGCTCCGCTACGCCGAAGCCTCCGTATCACGCATCGTGCTCGTAGCCCGGGGCACGACCGACGGCGTCGCGCGCGAGATCAGCGCCATCAACCCTGCCGTCAAAGTACTCCAAATCACCGCTGACATCAGCGAGCCAGCGGACGTGGAGCGGGCAGGGCGCGAGTTCAGCGCATGGGCAGGCGCGGACGCGAGACTGGATGTTCTGATTAATAATGCGGGGGTGCTGGAGACGCGGGTGCCGCTGTGTGAGAGCGAGCCGGCGGAGTGGTGGAAGACGTGGGAGGTGAGTATCCGGGGGACGTATATGATGCTGCGGACGTTTGTGCCGTTTGTCGTTGCGACGGCGGAGAAGCGGACGGGGGTGCCGGGGACGGTGATTAATATGTCTAGTATCGGGGCGCATGTGGCTGCGCCGAGGATGAGTGCGTATCAGAGCAGTCGGTTTGCGGTTCTGCGGCTGAGTGAGTTTGTGGAGGTGGAGTATGGGGCGAGGGGGGTGAATGTGCATAGTTTGCATCCTGGGGCGGTGGCTACGGATATGACGAGGAAGAGTGCGATGGTGGAGGAGGCGGAGGGTAGGTGTCTTTCCTTGGTGTTTGCGTGGGTTGGGCAACGAGCTGACTGTGGTCGCAGATTTTTTCATTGATACTCCTGAACTTGCTGCTGGTTTCCTGGTGTGGCTCACGCATAAGAATAGGTCCTGGTTGAATGGCCGGTATTTGAACGCTGAGTGGGACGTGGACGAGTTGGAGGGGATGAGAAAGGAGATTGAGGGGACCGACAAGCTGAAGATGCGCATGGTCGTGTGAGGTGTCGGGTCGTCGTTCCGCCTTGCCCGTTCCTCTCACGGCAGGACATCTCATGTAGACGAAATTTAAACAGTCGCTCATCCAGTGTCGTCAACATCATCGGCAGCATCATCTTCCCACTCCTCTTCTTGCGCAGAGCCCGGACTCTCACCGACCCCCTTGCTCATGATCAGATAATCACATCTCTTGACCTTGCCACCCCTGAGCACTCGGTCCCTGGGACTACACCCATCCACCCCAAAGCCCATAGTAGCATAAAACCTCCTCGCACCTTCATTGCTGCGAAAGACCGTCAACATGAGAGCCTCCATACCCGTCTTGACCGCAATGTGCTCCACAACACGCATCAGATGCGCGCCAATGCCCTGCCTCCGCACCGCATCCGCTAGGTGTATCTCATATATATACACCACCGGCCTCGCATCTTCAACCGTGATCATGAAGGACATGAATGCAAGGATAGGTCTCTCTCCCCCCTCGACTTCCTGTGGAGGTGCCGCGCGGACAAGCAGGTAGCGCATGTCCGCTTCGGCCATCTCGCGCCATTTTGCGCGCGGCTTCCAGCCCTTTGTGCTTGCGCGATAGTCCCCTGCGGACGTGTGTTCGACGAGGTCGAAGCAGGTTTTGAGGTCGGACTTGGACATTGAGGCTATTGGATGCAGATGTAGCGTGTACGAGGGCGGGACTGGTGTTGAGATTGAAGGTGTCGGCGTGTATGAGAGGTCCGAGGAGGAAGCTGGGAGGAATTGCTGGGTGAATGCATCGTCGGACAGGGCATTGATGGAGTCGACGCGTTGCATGAATGGCGGAAGCATTGTGGAGGGCGGTGGTGTTAGTTTACAGTCTATGACGGAGCGATACTGTAGCTGAGAGGTAGCTCTGCGAGGTCACAGACATACTTCATGAGAGCAGCATGTTGGCGACATATGAGATGGATCTATCAAATTGTGAAGTCATGCACGGCCACATCCAGCCTAAACAGCTCTATTGCGGCAACCCACAATTATTCTTTTCCCCGCCGCCGCCGCCGCCAAAACTTATTCTCGATCTTCATCCTGCGACGACATCTGCACGCACACACTTCCTCACCGACTCTCTCACACACACGAACCCTCAATTACCTGCCAACGCCGACGTCTCGACCGGATCCCAAGGTTCAATCTACTCAGTCCGAAATATGCCTGCACCCACAGCGCTCCAGCGCGCCCCCGAGACGCTCGTCCCAGAAGCAGAAACACAAGCACAAGCACAAGCAGATCAAAACGCAGAAATGCAGACCGTAGACGGTACACACCCATACCCATACACCATTAAACAACCCTCTAACAAATCCCACAGAATCTTCAGAACCCATCACCCTCGACCCCTCCGCCCTCGCACCCACAACCACCCTCCTCCCCACCCCCTCCACCCCCTCCGACACCATGGAAATCGACCCGGAATCCCGCCCACACTTCGCCCCAGCCAGCACATCCACCACCTCCCCCTCTACCCAATCCCGCGACACGCGCAAAGTCCGCATCCCGCCGCACTCCATGACGCCGCTCAAGAAGCAGTGGGCCGACAAGGTCACCCCGCCGCTCGTCGAGCACCTGAAGCTCCAGGTCCGCATGAACCTGCGCGAGAAGGCGGTGGAGCTGCGCACGTCCAAGGACACGACGGACGCGGGCGCGCTGCAGAAGGGCGAGGACTTTGTCCGGGCGCTGAGTCTGGGGTTTGATGCCGATGATGCGATTGCGCTGCTGCGGCTGGATGACCTGTATATCGAGACGTTTGAGATTAAGGATGTGAAGACGCTGCAGGGGGATCATTGTGCGTTTTTTTTCTTCCTTTCTTTCTGTCTTTCTGTCTTTTGTCACCGACTTGATTGAATGACGGAACAACATGACATGGTGCCATCGATAAGGCGTGCTGACTTGGTATAAATACAGTATCCCGCGCAATCGGCCGCATCGCAGGCAAAGACGGCAAAACCAAATTCGCAATCGAGAACGCGAGCAAGACGCGCGTCGTCCTCGCCGACTCGAAGATCCACATCCTCGGCGGCTTCAAGAACATTCATGTCGCGCGCACGGCGATTGTCAGCCTGATCATGGGCGCGCCGCCGGGCAAGGTGTACGGCAACCTGCGCACCGTCTCGTCGCGGATGAAGGAGCGGTTTTGAGAGGGGGGGGGAAGCAGAGGGGGCAAATCTACAGGACAGGCTGGTGTCTGTCTACGCATGCATGCATGAATCGGCGTTTTAAAAGGGTGTTGGGCCTGTTCGTCATGAGCTCGAAATAAGATATGGGGTGATATTCCTCGGCGTTGCAACGAGGTATCAGAGAGATAGATAGATGGATAGATAGCAAGTCATATAACGATCTATTCTATAAGTATCTAAATGTTGAATCGTACCAATTCTATGCTCTAATTATGCTCTATCCACACTTTTACTCTCTTTCCTCCCCCTTCTTCCCCATCCCCCTTCTCTTCCTCCCCCTCCTTCCCCATCCCCCTTCTTCCCCATCCCCCTTCTCTTCCTCTCGCTTCTCTTCTTCCCCCTTCCCCAATCCCATTTTCACCCTCGTTTCCCCAAATCAAACCCCCCCAATCCTCACGCCCCCACCCGCACACAAACAACCCCACGCAACTCCTCCCCATCAACACCCCAAACCCGCTCACACGGCACTACACAAGCTCCCGTTTCCGCGATCCACTCCCACTCCCGTCCTGTGTATCCCTCTTCTTCTTCTTCTTCTTCTTCTTCTTCAAAGGTATCCGCTAGCCAGGCGGTCCATATCCCCATGTCCATGTCCATTTCCAAGCTTTCATCGCTCCTCTCTGCTTCATCCATGCCTGCTTCACCCATGGCCATGCCTGCTTCGCCCCACCGCCGCCGCCGCTGCTGCTGCTGGATATACCCCCTGACAAACTGCACGATCTTCTGCTCCTCCTTCAGCCCCCCTTTCTGCCCCCCTTTCTGCCCCTCCTTCTGACCCTCCCCCGTACGACCACGCAGCGGAATCCAGAGTACGCACACGTCAGTATCTTGAACTTTGACGATATACGACTCGTCGACACCATCATCATAGCCATGCCCATCTCCATCTCCATCTCCACCTCCATGCCCATCTCCATGCCCATCTCCATGCCCATCTCCATCTCCATCCTCATAGCCATGCCCATCCCCATCTCCACCTCCACCTCCATCTCCATCCCCGTCATCAATACCCTCTTCGCCGTTGACGTGGGTAGCGACAGTGGCGGCAGCGGTGGCGGTGGTGGTGGTCATGGTGGTCATGGAGACACACCCGCCCGCCAACCCGGTGGCAATCCACTCGCACGCGGCGCCGCGCGGAAGGGCGGAGACGAGGACTGTGAAGAGCGGCGGGACTAGTACCGGCGGTCGCGGTGGTGGTGGTTGGGGGGTCTGATGGGTAGTATGTGTTGTTTGAGGGGATGTGGTGGGTGTTGAGTGTGATGTGCGGATGGTGTGCCAGTTAGGTAGGAGGGGGCGGATATCATGCTTCTGCTGGTGGGTCGGTGTTGTGGTATACTTATCAGCGCCGTGGGTGGCGTGCCAGATGTCGAAATTGGGGTCTGTGTCTTCGTCTTCGACTTCGGAGTTATTTGCGTCAGCGTGCATGTGCGGGTGCTGGGCATGGAACGAGGAGGTGTGGATGGTGTGCCATGCGTGTCTGACTGCTGCAGCATGCTTCTCTGCGGATTCTGCTGCTGTTGTTGTAGTTGCAACGGCCGCGACGCCGCCGAGGAAGGTGCCTACGCCCATTGCGCGGCCGATGCGCCAGAGGTGCTGTAGGCTGAGTACGGCCTGGAGGTGTGCGTTGTCGGCGAGATGCATGGTTGCTGGCACGAGGCCGATTTGGCCTGCTATGTGGATGAGCTCGGGGGGTTGTGATGTGGACGTGGTGGTGGTGGTGGTGGAAGGCAGGGGGAGGGCGATGGCTTGGGAGTAAGGTCCGATGTTTGCGGGGGCCCAGTAGCTGTGGCTTTGGACGTGGAGGCCGCGTTTTGGGGCGGTGGGACGGTGGTGGTGGTGGTCGTTGTCATCGTTGTCGTCGTCGGGAACGGCAGGTGGTGTGGGTATGGGAGCGAGTGCGAGCGCTGTGTCAGGGCGCAAGACTGCGAGGGTGCGGTTCAGGACTGCAAGGGTGGACGGCGTGTATAGATGACGAGCACTACGGGCGTCGATGAGCATCGACATTGCAATGTCGGTATTTTCGGGGAGCAAGGGGCCTGCGGCGAGGGTGATGCGTGCCGGAGGGAGGGGCTCGGGGAAGAAGGCGCCGTAGAGAGTGTTTACGGCGGCAAAGGAGGACATGTCGCGGAGGAGGATTGTGGTCTGTATGACGTGTGTTGGGAGAAGGTGGAGGTAGTGGAGGATGCTGGTGAGTCTGGAGAGGATAGGGGGAAGTTGGGGCGATGGGGAGAGTGAAGGGGATGTCATGTTTGAGATGGAGATGGTTGTGCCGGCCTGGGAGATTCGCCATGGGAGGAGAGGGATTGGCGTGCGAGGAGAGCTAGTAGTGTGTGATGATATCGATCGTGAACTTCTTTGTTGTTGAGAGGCCGTAGTATCGACACGATGGGTCGTGTCTGAACTGGGCGCTTCTGTGTTGCTCTGCGACAAGAGAGCTGCAAACTCATCGTCAAGCAACGGCGGTATCCTCAAGTCCTCAAGCGTGTCAACACCATGCTCTTTCTCGACAGTCTTGGCCCCCCTGAGCCGCAACGTCGCACTCCCTCCCTCGCCAACCACGGCATCACCAACATCGACCTCAATCCTCCTCTTCCACAACACGCTGGGCCCATCAAGAGCCAACGTCTCAAACTCCCCACCCTCGCCCAGCACCGCCCCCTCTCCACCGAACCGTCTCACAGCATGCTCAAGCCTACGTATCACCTTGCTATCAGCTACATTGGCCCACAAGACACTCTCGTCCAGACCGCCCGAAGCAACCTTGATGATGCGAGCGTCTTGGCCGACGATGCTCATGTCTTGCAACAGAGACGCGTCTGCATAGGGGAAAAGATAGGGGTACTGCCACAGATACGAGAGAGGAACCAGGCCAAGGCGCAGGGCAACAGATTCAACGCGCGTACGCTGGTATGTGCTCAAGATGGCGCCAGTCGAGATAGCGTTTGCAGAGGGGTGGGCGGCCATGATGGTTTGGAGGAGGGGAATCAGGGACTCCGTCTCATCCGGCTCGTCTGAGGGCGTATCATTTTCGCCGACGACTTCATCTCCTTCTGCAGGAGTGTTGTTTGGCTGTGTTGACGAGGAGCGCTTATGCTCCGAGTGAGACGGCGACCCTGATGTTGATGTTGACACGGAAGCTAGAGGCGATTCATTCAGGCCTATCGTGCTCCGGTGCACTGATGACGGAGGTGCATAATCTCTGCTGCTGTTGACAGCGCTGCCACTAATTGCATGGCGATACAAGGGAATGCCAAGGGCATCCTCATACAACGGAATAATAGAGTGACCAACAGTCTGGTACATGAAGCTGTCGAGATCCTGCTCTACATCCAGCGAGCTCTGCGTCGTCGAGGCACGAGCATTTGCATCAACGCCCGCCAAGTCAGCAGCACGATCAGCACAACGATCTACAGCAGCAGTTCCTGTAAGGCCGGTATGTGCCAGGCCATCATGTGTTCGCGCGTGCAGTGCTGCTGCTGCTGCTGCTGATGATGATGTGCGTGGGCGGCCACGTTCGGACTCCACACCGGGGGGGTGTAGGTTGGCCAAGGCGACGAGATGGTGTCCGTTCGCCAGCACGTGCAGGATAGAGAAGAACGAGTCTTTGCCGCCCGAGATCAGGGCGATGACATGCAGACTGGTAGACGTCATTACCTGCCGGGGTAAAGACTAATGTCCCGGCGTGTGGTGTGCTGTAAGTTTATATCAATGCAGGACGAATGTTGCATGTACGTACATGCAAGATGATGACTCGGATGCACCAAGTGAACCTGCTGAGAGAGGACAGGAGGGGAGGGGAGGGGGAGGGGGAGGGCTCCTCGAAAGTTCCACCCAAGCTCTTTCCGGAGAATTGTATAGCGCAAATCCAAGCAATCTTGGAGGATTATCAAAGAAACCGGGTCCGTAGAGTCGGAACCGTGACCATGACCGTGATCGTGACCGTGACCGTGACCGTGCTGGTGCTGGTGCCCCTCGCGAGGTGCCGATATGTGTTTCTTTCTTCTTTGATCAGAAGCGTGCTTGGGACTCTAGAGGTACCATGGACAGAATCTGTGTGTGTGAGAATGGCCTAGAACGAGGTTGTTTGTGTGTAAAGTGTAAAGTGTGTGGGCCCGTTCCGTCCTAAGGCTGATATGTTAATTAAGTTGACCCCGCCAAAGGCTACAAGCACACACACACACACACACATACACACACACAACACGATCCATTAGTTCGTGCTAAATTAGGGGACAAACGATAATGATAATGATAATGATAATGGCTATCTATGGCGCAAGTGTCGGGGAGGCCTGATTGACGCTACGGGCGGGTTCCAGATCTTTGGATTGGATTTAGACATATCTTCTTAGCGAGGAGATTCTGGCGGTAATTACTGGTGGATTTCATTCGTGTTTTAATAGCACAGTCAGGCTCATGCACAGGATGTGTCAATGTTGAACGGATAATTGGTCAATTCTTCTTTAACTTTGGCATTTGCCCTTCTCTAATGCCGTTGCATGTGCCTGCACACTAGCGTACATTTGAACAGGCCGTAGATGGCCGTCCCAAGATGGATGGTGTGAATATTAAAACAAGATAGCAAAGGGTAGAGAGAACAGACGCTTGTCTGCGCGGGTTGCGATCAACGGCAGGATTACAACAATGCTATGTCGGGGGTGCAATTTGTGAAAATTGTTCAAGAGGGAAACGAATGAAGAAGAAAGTAGTACTAGACATGAAAAAAAAAACTGTCCAGATTGTACAGCTAAACAGCAGGGAAGACCCCCCACGTCAAAAACACCCCCATGTCCCAATTGCCTAGTCTTCACACAAAAAGGCTTCGCTAGCAGTCAAAAAGAAAAAGTGTGCAAGTCGCTAAAAAAATATAAAGAGCAAGTCCTGAGCAGTCTAAATAGTATAGAGAGAGCTGGAAACAAAGAGTATGGTGCGAATCGGAATGGCTTTTGATGTCGGGGAAGAAAAGGTTTTTCCACGCTCGTGATTTCCCTGGCTCCCATCTACCTTTAGCTTCCCAGGCGTAACGACATCAGAAGACGACCGCAGATGATCGCCTGGCATTATGTGACCACATTGCCTGCGAAGGCGGTGGGGGTATTTGTCATGTCTCATGATAAAGTGGAAGGAAAGAAGTCAAAACGCCGCAAACAGCGCGACTTGTCTAGTCTTCCCGCTTGCGCTTCTTCATCTTGTTGTCCCCGGTAGGACTCAGCTCATGGTCGTTGTCTGAGAATCCACTCGATGATGAGTCAGTGTGGACAGCGGCAGTAGCACTGTATAGCAAGTGACCGAGATGCTCGGTGCCGGTGCTATCGTAAGCCTCGTCCATGCCACCGCTGCTGGTGCCACGAAGCATGGAGTCATCAAGAACACCCATCACAATGGCGCCAGTGCCGTGTGTGCGTTGGTGCTGGGACAGGTTGTCGCTGCGCGAGAACTTCTTGCCACAGTCACCACACTCGAACGGCTTGTCGTGGGTGTGAAGGGAGCGGTAGTGGCGCTTGAGGTGTTCCTGGCGACGGAAGCGACGAGAGCAGAGATCGCAGACGAACGTCTTGGAGGGATCTTCAGTGAGCGACTGCTTGCGACCACGGCGGCTGATGGGAGTGGGGTTAGGCATGCTACCATCCTCAGAGCCGAGGGTGCCGTTCTCGTTGGAGTTCTCTGGCTGCTCCGAGTGCTGTTGGTTAGACGACGTGGAATGTGTGCGCTGCTGGTTGCCTGCAGGGCGTCCATAGTCAGAGTCAGAGTCCGTGTCCGAGGCTTTGGCATTCTTCAGCGCCTTCTTGGACTTCTTGGTGACCATGGCGGAAATGTCAAAGTCGCTGCAGAAGGAGGTGTCAGTGTCGCAAGGCGTGGGAAGGCCGTGGGCGACAAACTCTCCCTCAAAGTCTGAAAATGACTCGTCGGCGAAAGCGCTCTCCTCTTCGGGGAAAGTCAGGAGATCAGTGCGCTGACGCTTGGCACCGTGGAACTGGATGTTCTCTGAGGGAGTGAAGTTGGCAAAGTCGTCTTCGGTGTCGAGCTCGAAGAGAGGCTCAAACTGTGGCAGGCCAGACAAAGTGAAGTCGGACGAGGACACAGTGGAGTCGGCGATGGAAGAAGTGAAGTTGTCGGTGGTGCGGAAGATGATCTTGTGATCCTCGTCTTCGGCGGAGATGGTTGGCAGCGAAGGGAGATCGGCGGCGGCGACGGCGTTGTTGACAGGCGTGACGGTGAGGTTGCGTGGATCGCAAAAACTGCTCTCGGCCTCAGATGAGAGGGAGATAGAGGTGCGTGGATGAGGAGATGGAGATGGAGAGAGCGAGGGGCAGGAGGTTGCGCTGAGGAGGTAAGGTGCCTGACTAGCCGGGGCCTGAATAAAAACTGTGGTGCAGCCACGTTAGCTTTTCCGTGCTGCTGGCTTCGTTTTTATTGGCTTGTGTGGCAGTGCCGCACAGCACAATATATATCACACAACATTTCGAGTCCAGCACAACAATGCTCGACACTCGCAGATCGGCTGTTGTTCGCTTTTCCATGCCAGTCCATTCAAGACTGCTCCGCCACGCAAGTATAAAATAAAAAATTAAAAAAAAAAAATGTTGCTTACCTGGCGTCATTGGGGGCGAAGTGGCTCTGCTGAATTCTCCACCGAGAATCTCTGAAAAGACCTCTCCTTCACATCCTTCCTTGATTCCCTCGAGAATGTCAATTGGGTAGCTCGGGCCGTTGACAGGAGTGGGCAGAAACTCGCAGAGGGACGGCGGGCTGCTGATGCTGCTGCCAGAGGACGACAATGGTGGAGTGGAAGGAGAGAAGCGCATGTCGCTGCAGTCGGTGTCCAATGGATACAGGTATGGTGAGTCTTGTTGCTGCACCAGTATGGTTGGCTTGTGGTACATTGGCTGTGGTGAAGCAATGGGAGTCAGGACTGATTGCGAGGTGTATCCGTTGTGTGCAATATATGGAGTCTGCGAAGAAGACGAGTCTGGTCGAGAGTAGCCCATTGGCGCACTGTAGATGGGGAGAGTCTCTGAAGACATTGGCTGACACGTTGGCATCGGCATAGCATGAGGATGTGGCTTGAAGTGTCCATGTTGTCTGTTGTTCTCCGGACCTGGGTTCGGGTCATAGTAAAAAAAGGCCGACTGGCCAAGATGCTGGGTAGTGGTGTTGTCCATGATAGCTGTCAAAGTACTACTACACTGCCATCATCAATCAGCCTTGATCCTCTCTCCGAAAGCACACACTTCCATCCACATACCAAAAAGAACAATGTGTTGTCCGGAGTTATTTATTTCTTATCGGTTGGTTTTTTTTATGGTCGTGGTTTGGCGTAGTCGGTTGATTAATGGTACACGGATGGTACAGCGTGAGGCATACAAGATTTGGACAAGTAAAATGGCGTGTCGAGAGAGCGACTGGGAAACAGCTCGAATGTACTCGAGGGCTGTGTACTACTAAAGATAAAACAAGGTCGTTGCTGATGTTGTTGTCTGGCGAGATGGCAAAGATCGAGCGTGGACCACGGTGGCTTCGACGTTGATAGTGTGTGTGGAGGGACGGACGGACGGAGGAAAGGGCTTTGTCTAAGGAAGGGCTGGAGTCAAACGAACTACTTTTTGTGAAAGGCAGATCGTAATGAAGTTCCGGAACAAAAGAGTCAAATAAGGAAAGAAAGGTTGATTGTATAAAGAAACAGGTTGGGTGCAGACGACAGATTGATAAACCCTAGAACGAAGAGGCCGAGCGAGTGTGTGTGCGTACGGGAAAAGGGCAGTGGATAAGTAGCGCGGCCTTGATCGACGGGCTTCTTCTGGCTCGTCTGGGCAGACTTGAAGAAGAAAAGATGACCAGGCACATCAGCGTGAAGCCCCGGCATTGGTTAGGACTACTGTAGATAGGGAGGGGGGGGAGGGGGGAGGGGGGGGGAAGGATGAGGAAGTGTGTGTGAGCAGGCAGGCGGGAAGACCATTAGAAGGCGCAGCATCCCTCCTCCCCCCCTCGCGGAGTACCTGGCTTTCAAGCCTGTCAACGCCTTCGAGCCGACGGCTCTACTATTACTATGAGCGTGGCAATTGTATGTATGTATGTGAGTGTGTCTGTGTGTCTGTGTGTGTATGTGTGTGTAGTGGTAGGTAGCAAAACGAAGGGTCAGATGAGTGGCTCGAGGAAGAGAAGACTGGCATGTCCCCCTCCCCCCCTCTCTTCCCCCCATCCTTCCATTCCCCTCGTGCACTCAATAATTCCCGAGACCAAGGCCGGCGAGATAATAGCAAAGAAGGGACACAAGAGAAGATCAGTTGAGAAGATACGGATAGACAGACAGGACAGCAGGGCACCGCGCCCTACACCGCACCCGCACAGCAGTTAATGCAGACTACGTAGACTTCGCACTGCACCCTGGCACAGCTACTCCACACTATAGAGGCCCGCCGGCACACACCATACATACACATACACACACGGTCTAGGAAAGGAATATCCACCTCTATGAATCCCCCCCCCAAAGCGGAAAGGACCCTGAAAGTTAAAAAGCTCCCGGAGCCGGACCACAGACTGGAGAGGATCGTCGTGTTGGAGAGAGAGAGAGAGGAGACAGATAGACACACAGGCACAGACATGGACACAGACACAGACGTAGGCACAGACACACAGACACATAGGCACGCAGACACACCCACACCCACACCCACACACACACACGGAAGTCTCCCACAACCAGAAATCGAGGACTGACTCGGTGAGAGGATGGCTATTTAGTGGGGGAGGCTAGAGTGGAGTTTTGTGTGGATGGCGGAAGTTGTGCAAAGCAAGGTGTGACGGTTGTGACGGAGTGTAGAGGAGTTAGTGGACAGATTGGGCGGGAAAGGATGATGAGAGAGGGTAAGACAAGGCCAGCCAGTTGTGTTGGAAGGACATGGCTATGGGTATGGCAGAGAGAGAGAGAGAGAGAGAGAGAGAGAGAGAGAGAGAGAGAGAATAGTGAAAGAGAGAGGTTGCAGGGCGGGCAAAAGCAGTAAGACGCGCGGCATTATGCACGCTGCACTATTTATCGACACACACACACACACATGCACACATAGACATAGACATGGACATGGACAGAATACAAGCACGAGTAATGAAGTGGTGGAATGGGAGTGAGAGGTAGAGTGTGATGGTAAGGGTGTGTGGGAGATATTGAGAGAGACAACAAGAGAGTGAGATTGCGGGCGTGCAACTGGCTGACGGTGTGCCGGCTTGTGCAGGCTTGTGCAGGCTTGTGCATGGTCGTGGGTGATTGTGCATGGTTGTGCATGGATTGTGGGCGCAAGGAGGAGGGCGTGTGCACTAATCCAGCAATTCACTAATTTCACTAATTAAAAGCGAGCAGTGAAATTGCGAGCAGCAGCATGAAAGATGAAAGCAATTCGGGGCTACAGCGACTCCAGCGAGTTCAGCGACTCCAGCACAGCCATCACAGCCAGCAGCACAGCCGTCCAACCAATAATGCATGCACAAGTCCAGAAACGGTCGACACTAACTGACTACTGACTACCTACTCGACGCCCACACACGTCCCGGCATCACCGCACAACTCGGTCATGGTCATGAATTAGTGAAACTCTCTTTTGCTTGTGTGTTTGTTGTGCACTAATTACTGACTGGCCAAGCTAGCAGTTGCACTACTTTTAGCTAGCCACCACTCGCTACCGCCCACCACCTACCCAGCTAAACCCAGCTAACTCAGGCACCTTAGCAGCCAACTAGACCAGCTAGACCAGCTAAACACCCAGCTAAGCCAGCCCAGCCCAGCTAAATTGATAGTTCTGGCTGGTACTCTAGCCCCGTTGACAGCCCATTGACAGCCCCATTTCCAGTCGTGCAGAACAGCCAAGCCAAGCCCGTTTCAAGCTAATTGATAGCCAGGCCAGCTCCTATTAGCAGCCCAATTATACCATCTATTATCATCATTTCCCTTTCCACTCCAGCCCAGCCAGCGCCTACGCCGACCGACCCAGCAAACCGTTGTTGTGCTGCATCATCATCATCACCATCACCATCATGATCATCTTGGTTCCCATTTACCGGTTCCATCCCATCCCATCGCTGCTGAACCTGACTATTCATTCGCTGCCCACCACACCTTGCATCTGCCGTGGCCCAATCACACCACGCCCGCTTCACGGCTTCAGCGACCCGACTGTCTTTCTTTTTTTGTGCGAGAGAGAGAGAGAGAGAGAGTGGCACGCTAGACGACGTCAGATGGTAGCCCGGCCGTCTGTCCATCCCATCCACACGGTACGGTACAGTGCACACACACACACACATACACATACACATACACATACACTACAACGCCAATCGCTACGTAGACTTTGCTTTCCTTTGAGATACCAAACACACTACCACTCTTATCCAGCGCGCCCCCGCCGAAGAGGATCAGACCTTTGCCATGTCCGGTACCGTACCTACCGTACCTACCTACCTACCTACACTACTAACCTCCTACTCCTACTCCTCAATCCTCCACGTCAGACTCGATACCTTCCCGCCCCGCCGCGTCTGTGTCTCACTTGGCAGCCCAAAGAACTGCTCAGTGCTCAGTGCCCAGTGCTCAGTGCTCAGACCAGTGCTCTTACTATCTATCTTAGCTACTGATTAATTAATTTACCTAGTGATTAGCAGAGCAGCATAATACATACATCCTATCTGTTCTTTTACTCCCTACACGCGCCTAAGGTACATAGTAGAGCAGACCATATCACCGTGCCGTAATTACCCCTCTGCTACAACAACAACAACCCGTCCCTCTAGGAAACTTTTTTACCCTGAATGAAGAAACATGCCGAAATTATCAAAGAAAGACACTGATGATTTCGTCATTGTTTGAGGACTGCCAAGCACGTGGAGTCCTGTGCCTGCGTGCGTGCATGCATCCATGCATCCATGCGTATGTCGTGGTTGTTCGATAATTCTCCTCGATCGAAAAAAACGCTGTGGGTAGAATACATACAGATGGATCGTCATGTGGGAAAAATTCGCCTTTTCTTTACTGCTGCTGCACGTTGCAGGGTCATAGTACACTACTACACACTACCTACACTACACTACACGGTATACATAATCATATAATCACCTAGCGTACAAGCGAGCGTGCCCGTGCTCTCTCAACCTAAGTCTTCATTAATCTACGAACGACCTACTATGTGTACTGTGTACCTGCAGATAAGTCCGTCTTTCGACTGGTAGGATGGGTATGGGTACCCCCTCTTCGACCCGACGACGACGACGACGACGACGTGACTACGTCCTGCAGTAGCGGGGCACTCTAGAAGGATTCTTCTATCATGCCGGCTCTTGGATACATACAGACTGCGATATACGAACTTATTACTGTACTGACTACACTAACTGACTACTGTACTGACTACACTAATTAACTACTAACTAACCATCCCGTTCCTTCAATGGTGCGACAACACCAAAAGCCACTCGTTCGTGCAAGCGTGTGCCGTCAAGGTTCGTCAGGCATGAACACATCCGTCCATCCATCCATTGTACTCTTACTTGTTATCCATCCATCCATCCCGTCATGTCTAATCATCTAGCTTTTACTTCCATGTGCGCGGCCGGGGCGGGCTGGCTGGCTTCTGCATCCTAGTCTATCCTATCCACCACATCCATCCATACATTCCATAGTCCATTCCAATCCCTAATCCTACCCGCTCACTCATTCAGTCCAGTCCAGTCCAACCAAGAAAGCAAGCGAGCGTTTCAACCGCGCTTACTGTGCATGTCGATATGCAGCCACCGTCCATACGTTGGGATGGAAGGGGATGGCATGGCATGTCTTCTGCGCAACGGTTAGGCTTATGTTAGCTTAGCTTAGGTGTCAGGTCAGTCAGTCAGGACGAAGGATTCCAACGAGTTTTCCGTTTTGGGCCGGGCGAGGCAACTGAGACATACGTACATCCATACATGTGCGTGAGGTGAGGGGCAGGACAGGGCAGGGTCGTCGTTTATCGATATTGTATCTAAGGTGCTATCTGTAATCTGCGTATCGATATGCAGCCGTGGGTAGGTTTGTCACGCACCCTTGCGTGTGTGAACCGCCGAAAAAGTAAAAAGGTAGAAAGGTTAGTGGTGTAGTGTGATCGTGATCGTGAGTGGGTGGCGGCGCAGGTTCAGGCTCAGGCTCAGGCACATCTAGCTAGTAAGTAAGTAGGGCCCAGGCACAGGCACAGGCTCAGGCTGCCGCTCAGGAACAGGAACAGTGCCTTCCTCTCCCGCCCGTCCTCCCTCCTCGCACACGCTCGCACGGGAACAAGAGTCAAGTCAAGTCAGACAAACCAAGCCAGACAAGTCAAGTCAGGCAAGCCAAGCCAAGGGCCACAAAAGCCACAGTCGCACAGTCAGGATTCAGGATTATTACTACCCTTAACCATTATTATATTTTAACGTTTCTAGCTAAATTCTCACTTATTCGTCCGATTTTTGCCAATTGAACTGGACGGGTTGGTTTGGCTTGCGTTTGTTCGGTTCGGCTCTGTGGTGATCCATCCTGTCGTCGGCTTGTCAGGACTGAACTGACTGTCTGACTGACTGACTGACTGACTGACTGACTTGGGCTCCGTGGATCTAAACTTTGTTGTCTTGATTCACGTTCGAGACGTGCTTTGGCTAGGTGCCAGTTATGGATGGGGTTTTACCACTCGCTTATGGCGGGACACATATACACACATACATACATACACCTCTGAAGAGAAAAAACCTTCACGTGCCGTCATGCAGCCAGAAAGCCAGCCAGCCAGGCACCGTGAGACTCGCGACTCGACTCTATTTTGAGTTGCGCCACCACACACACACACACACACACACAAGCACAAGCACAAACACACCACTGCAAGGAGAGACAGATAGTTCACACCCCTACCGTAGTGGTTGGTAGGTAGTGACCTGGAAATTGTGCATTCCCCTTCCGGCATAGCGTCCTCTCGGCCACTTGCACCCGCTGCAAGTTGTGCAAGCGAGGTGTATGTGCATGTGTGCATGTGTGCATCTGTGCATATTTGTAGTAATTAATTAGGCGTGCGAGAACGACGACTCCACGACGGACGACCACCACGACCACCGCCCTTATCTAGGCCTTGGCTTTCGAGAAGGACTGACGGAATATTCACTCTTCCCATCTCTTTGCCCCCTCCCCCCGGCCTTACCTCTACCCTCTCTCTAACGCAGCCAGTCGGTCGGTCGGTCGGTCGGTCAGTCGGTCAGTCAGTCAGTTCAGACCCAAGTCGTCGGCTCTTCGGCGAATAGTTATTTAGTTACCAGTCAGTACTAAGTAGAGAGACCCTAACTACCTAATAACCAATCGCAATTCCGCATAGCATAAATCCTAGTTCCCTTTTATTTCGATTGGGTGCGGTGTGCTGCTCGAACCGACATATTCCGCTGAATTTTTTAATCTAATCGATGCAGAGTCGAGGGTCCGGTTTTTGGTCGTACGTACTACGTAGGTAGGGTCGTCGTCGTCGTCGATCTAATGCAGGAACGACGCAGGTACAGTACGAAACAACGAACACTTCGATGGATCGGCTGTTTTTTTTGGCTTCGTTTTTCCTATCTGCCGATTAGTTATTTATGCGAACCTCAGGAGGAGTGTGGTATCTAGCTGTTCTCCTAGATTCGTTTGCTGGATGTCGGTCTGCCGAGTCACGTACAGTAGTAGCTTTCTGCATGTGAGGATTGATTGTAAGATGTTGTTGTATCATGTATCATGTAGCATGTTTGCATGTATCATGTATGTATCGTATCAAAAAAACCCACGACTCTACTCCTGGACCCTGGCTTGATGCTTTTCTACCCGCTTTTTCGTCGTCGATAACGGCTTGTTGTATACGCTTGTCTGTACCCAGTAGTCTCAGCAGTCTCAGCAGTCCCAGCAGTACGTGGACCCCCCCTCCCCCCCTCTCCCTCCCAGAATCATCAATCAATCAGACGGCCGGACGCGTGGGTTCTCCTCCAGAATCGCTCAAACAGGACTAGACCACGCCCTCTCTATTGGCTCGAAGCCTTGAAAGCCTTGAACGCCCTGGAAAACAAAAAGAGGACCCCAATTCCTGCCGAAGCCACGGAGCAATGGTGCCATGAAGCTGGAGCATGGCAACAAAAGCGACCACTATCTAGCACGCGGCGCCCCGGGGAACAAAGGAAGCACCACTTCCTTTCCAGAAACGGCGGGGGAGTCTCGCCGGCGTTGTTCATCATCATCACCATCATCATCATCATCATCATCATTATCAAAGCAAGCCAGATTTTCTCTTGCCTTTGCCTTGTCTTTTCTGTTTGTGTGGGTGGGATACGTAGTCTAGACAGACACACGAAACAAATCTGCCGAAGATACCTACACACATACGTCAAAGACACGACAAGACGGACCCAAGAACCTTATGTTGTGGTGGTGATCTTCGTCGACGCAGAAACCTTCCTGGGGCGTGTGCCCAGATCCGCCCGTATACCAACCAACCCACCAACATACTACATTCTACCACTAATTAATTACCAAGCAAATCCGTTTGTCTTCACTTGCTTCGCTCGTGCCTCTGCCGTTCCCTCTCTTTCCCCCGGAATAATATGGCGTATATCCGCTTGACTCGGGGATGGATGGCGTTGGTCCAGACGACCCGATGGATGGATGGATGGATGGATGGATGGATGGATGGATGGAGAAGAGGGTTAGCTAACGGTTAAATCCATTCCTTCCATCCCATCGATTCATGCCATGTCTGGCCGGCCGCCGACATTCTACTACGTTTCGTAGTATATATCTCCGAGTAATTAGTGAAGTTTACCACGGCTTCTGAGAGCGTCGAGACTTCGACACTATCACCATCATCTCATGCATCTCCGATTCTTTGCTCGATTGCTGCTCGATGCTGCTCGATTGCTACTCGAAGCCCGTCCGTTCTAGATTCCGCCTACTGCAGTAGAAAAACCCTTCCGAGTTTCCAAAACGTTAGCTAGTTGCTTAGTTAGTGCTGGCAGGATTGGCCCAGGTGGCCCCCAGGACGTCAGTCGTTGTTTTCAGTTAGTTCTTTATTTTACTTGTATCAGGCGGCGCAGGGCCAAATCTCATCCCATATCCGGGCAGGGAAGAGGGGCTAAAGTAGATAGAACTGACCATGCCAAGCAGCCAGCGCCAGCGCCAGCCTCATGGAAGCCGGAAGCCCATATTAACAGGAACAAGCCTAGTTCCCTGAACGGTCCTTATTACTGCTGCTTTGCTGGAAGAGGAAATCCACCTACTGTACAAAGGAAAAAAAAAACGACACTACAAAACGGTCATACACTACACTACACTACACTACATGCACTGTCCTGCACTCGGCCAATGCGATTGTGTGGGATCCGCCAAGAACCCTTTTCTTGCCATGATTGATGGGAATTAATTTTTTTTTCTCTCTCTCTCTTTCGTTTCCCTTTTCCTGCAGAGGAAGTAAGAAACCGAGAACGAAAAGCCAGCCATGGGGATAAGTTGATTAATTAGACAAAGAGACGATATTACACGCCCACAGCAAACTACCGTGCTCAACGGTGGAGAGACGACCCACTGCAACACACAGTCAGTCCAACAGCCGAGCATATAGCATAGCATATAGCATAGCATACAGTTCTACATACAGTAGCATAATACTGGAGGAGGAGGAGCGTGCTTCTACCATCTGCCTTTGCTTTTTCCTCGGATGGAGTGCTCTTCCATGACTGAACGGTTGCGCTCGGTGGGAGTTGCCGCCCCATCCATCCCATTCCTTCCTCCCGCCGCCGGCGGAAAGGGCCACCGCTGCTTTGACGTGATTGTCTTCTATCAGGGTCGTGCTTGCTTTTCGGAGATGGTGTATCCTTGTCGCGCTTGCCCTGCCTTGCCTTGCGCCAGGGTCATGGGTCATGGGTTATGGTCCTGGTCCTGGTCCTAGTCATTCATGGTCGTTGGAATAGGAATGGGCTAGAAGAATACGTTGAATACGTTGGAATAATTAGGGCAGGGCAGGGCAGGGCAGGCATCACCCTGGTCACGCGTCCTCATGGAATAAATGGATAGGGCAATCATTAAACTTCAGGGCAGAGTAATTAGTAGGGTTGGAAATGCCAGCCAGGAAGGGAGGAGCATTTTCTCATTGGCCGGTTTTGCACTGCCGAAAGAACTGCGCCGCAACGTGTATGTCCCATTGTTTTTCTGTACATATACAGTAGTATACAGTAAACCTAGAACAGGCAGAGTTTAAAAAAAATCAGAGACTTACGGACATATTCCAGCCCAATCACAGGTAGGTCTAATTAGGTCCTCCCTCGCTCTCACCGAATGTGTCCCAGATTTTCTTTTGTACAAAGACATAATTATAAACTCTAAATTCGAACAAAGCAATCGAAATGTCGTCGACGGCAACATCCGCTGTCAGACCTACCCTTCTTCGAGTCGTGGACCAAAATAAAAGCTCGGGGCTTGCTGATGACGATTACTATATACTCATACACATATCATGGTATAGATACAGATGTTCCCGCGGTTTCCGGTGGAGATGCACGGCATTGATGGAGGTCCTCCCTGGGCCCCCCGTCCGTCTGCCCTGTGCGACCGCAATTGCCCTGTGCGAGACGACACCGAGTTTTTTCTGGTTCTCTGAAAGAAAGGGAAAGGATGGAGGGAAGGAACCGTATTCTGGCGTCATGTGTACGGTATGGATGATTTGCATGTTTTCTCATCATCATGTTGTTCCGTCCGTGTTGCTGCTCGCTGTCCCCGGCCGGGGGATCTCCGTCTGCTCGACTCTGGATATTGGAATGCAGAGACCAGGTGTTTACAGCATTGATCTGTCGTCGCCTCACGGTATCCTCCTGGACAGACTGCCTGCTTTTGACGCCAACCAAGCACGCACCCGCGACACCACACGACCGCGGAAGTCCTCGCTGTCATATGTCAAATGTCATTCACGGCAGCTACATCGGCAGCTCTGCAGCATCTACACGAGCGCCATTCAATGAGGTAGGTGGAGTGTATCCTGAAGACAGAGACGGGCGGGTATTTAGCATTTCCACCCAATACAGGCTCAAACGATAGACGCCATGTATGGACGAAGTTTAATATCTGCCGCGTCGAGGCGGGCAGGCAGGCCACACACATGCTACAGGCAGATCGTGGGCTGGGGAGGGGGACTTGTACTACGATGAAGAGACTTTATCAAGAGTGTCCGAGGTTTGTGGGGGATGTGTATTGCTTCAGATTGTATTGAGCTTCATGCATTCCGTGGTGGTGGTGGTTGGGATTCATTCTCAGAGATACCGCTGCGCCCAAGATGAACCAGCATGGTAAACAAGCCAGTCAAACTCTATCCATATGCAACAAGACACAGCATAAACAGCCAACAAGGAACGGTCTACCCTTCCTTCTCAAAAAGTCCTCTCCTCTTCGCAAGTTGATTCCGAATCTCTTCCCAGTCGCACTGAGCCACTGGGCGCAAATCATCCCACCTCCCTCCCAATACCCAGACAAGCCTCAGAAAATACAACAATTTGGAATCAAGCCCAGCCGAAAAAGCCAGGTCATACTCTTCCTATCATATGTTTTAAAACGTTCATCATCGGCCATGTCAAAAGAAGAAGAAGAAGAAGAAGAAAACCCTTCAAACCCACACTGACATTCCAACAAAGAAAAAAAAAAGAGGCCAAAGCGCTCACGCTAACCCCAACCCATCCTAGACCAATCACATCACGTGATACTCCCAGCCCCGAGCTATATAAACTTTTCGCACCGCGCAACAAACCACTTTTCCTCTTTGTGCGGTCGGCGCAGCTATGATTCTCCGTGTTGCTTGCTCATCTACGAATTTTTCTTCGTTCGGTGATGAATACCAAGTGTCTGCTGCGCCCCAGATGAAACATATTGCAAAATTTACCATATTTACACTTTACGCTGGTGGACTGTTTTTCGAGTGTCGCTGGCGTTGGAATAATGGTTGAACATACATACATACCTCCCCCCTCCTTGCGAGATTTAGTTATGACGTGTGCATCTGAGTCGCCTCTGGTCTCGGCGAAGCGTAAAGCATTTATTTTCTGCGGCTTTGGCGGCGGCCTTGGAGATGGATGCATCGTGTCTGTTGTAATCTTGTGCAGTCGTTTGAAATGCGATAGATGATTCGTGAATACTTCAGTCGCGACATGAAAACTTCGTACGGTTGATTGGGCCTTGGTGATCCCGGCAGATATTGTGCCTAAATTCTACTACATACCTTTTATCTATGTGGAAGAGTACAGGAGCATCAGCCTGTCCAACGCTGTGGCTGTGACTGGTATGAAGTGTTCAAATTCCCAAGTTCGACTCCCTCGCCATGCAGGACAGGACGTACATGAACGTTCGCTCCCTCAACTATCCTCATCATCCTGCCTCTCCAGCCTTCAACTATCATCATCACCCTGCTTCTCAAGCTTGCCCATCTCTCGCTTCTCACCGGTCTCTCCGATTATGCGGATCCTATCTAGACGCACCCTCTCACTCTCGCCATCGCCGTCGACAATGAACACGACAAGCGAGGTGACATTCTGGAACTTGACAAATCTCAGCTCCAGACGGGCGGTGCCAGTCTCTTCGTTCCAGTCCTGTTGTTTCAGCTCAATCTCTTGAGTCGGTGTGATGTCGTCGGCCTCGTCGAAGCCGAGATTGTGCGCGCGATTCGAGTAGATTCTGACAGTCTTGGGCCGCATTGGCAGCTCGTCATCCTCATCTTCACCTTCGGGCACTCGTGGCGGACGGGATGTGATCTGTATGGTGTGTATCTTCATGGTCATGTTGAAGGGGATGTACAGCATGAGCTGCTCGTCCGTATCGCTCTCCACCCAGTCAGTCTTCTTCTGGGTATCGGTGGCCTTGCCTTTGCCCTTTGCGCCATCGAGGTCCAGCGCCGAAGGTTTGCCTAGATCGAAGAGGACTCGGGCTTCTCCAAAGTCACTGTCGCGATTCAACAAGTCTAGTCCTTTTGTGTCGACGTGCTCCGTAACATCGCTGTAGCCGCGAGCCAGTTCAGCACCGCGCCAGGTGCCTCCGTTGCCAGTGCCACTGCTTTCTCCTCCAAAGCCGCCGCTCGAGTCTGAGTCGGCCTCGGCCGCGATCTTCTTTATGGTATCCTGTAGAGCCTTGGGGTCGGCACCCCTCACTCTTGAGACCTCCACACCCTTCTTGAAGACGAGGAAGGTAGGCATCCTAGGAGGATATTGTTAGTCTCTGCGCTTGTGAGGAAAGAATATGTGCCTACGCTGTTATCTCATATGTCTCGGCAATGCCAGTCTGGTTGTCGACATTGACTTTTGCGAATGTGACAATCTTCGGTCGTGAGAGCTGTGCAGCAAGTTGCTCGTACACAGGAGCAACGTTCTTGCATGGACCACACCAATCGGCATAGACCAAACTGCTGTTAGACTCTATGTTGGCGATTGACCATCAGAGAAAGACTCACAGTCTACCACTACAACGCGGGAGCTGTCCAGTAGAGAGCTGAACTGGCGTCCAGAGCTGATTTCGACTGGTTTCGCCATGATGACCGGGTTTGAAAAGAGTCGCAAGAAGGTTCTATCGGATGCGCTGTCGAATTAAGCAAGTCCAGAACTCCAGAGTCTATCACGAAGTGAAGAACTGAGGCTTGAGGCTTGTTTGTCGCCTTCGACTGAAGTGGGGTAGTGGGATGATTAGAGCTGTTTTAGCAAAAGCGCATGCATTTGTCGGCCGCGCGAACTTCACAGTTTCTTGAGAGGTCGCGCTTCATAGACGACACCTCGCCAGTTGTATCTATATGGACATTTCTCCAACAAGCTTCTTAGACAATTACTCATCCCAATATGACTTCGCCACCTTCCTAAGTCTTCCTTCGGCTTCGTTATCCGGTCTGACACCAACTCTGAGCATGCGTATGCGCATGGCACAGCCCAGCTTGACGTTGAAAGCAAAAGAACTTCACTTACTTGCTGCCTTGACCTATACGTTCGTGGCATATTCAAGTTTTGGACTGGCCCGAGAAACACTAGACGCTCATCATAAGGACTGTACCCGCGGAAGATTCCGACGGAGACTGCTATACACTGCAGCCATAGCTTCAGGTCTGCAAAGTGTAGTCACAGTATGGCATCTCATGTCGTAGTGGTAGACCCTTCTGCCAGGAGGGCTACGGTCAAGACGCAACCGCAAACATACTTGACCGATGTAAGAGATGAGGCTTGTAAGAAACTTGGCGTGCCTGGAGACCAATTTACCTTAAAGTCAGTCGACTTCGGCGTCCGCTTTGTCCTGAGCTGACCGCATTTCCAAGGTTCAACCAAAAGCAAATAGATCTCTCGCTCACGATTAGACTGTCTGGATTACCGCAAGGCGCAAAACTTGATCTCATACAGCAGTCTCGCTCCCCTACGGTCGTCTCGGTCGCTCTACAGCTCCCCGCATCGGAAGACAATGCTCGTCTCACGCAAAAATTCCCAAGTAATACCTCCCTATGGCAGATTCTCAGAGTGTTCGAAAGCTCCCCAGCACCAAGAAACCCTCGCGGGGCGTACAACTTCACACAACGAGCCGCCACAGACATGAATGACGGCTCTACCTCCGGGGCTGGGCGACTGAACTACGAGGCACCTGTGCTGAATGTGATGGGAAGAGAAAGATCAAGCTTCACAGAATTGCAGCAGACTCTCGCACAGCTGGGTCTCAGCGGAAGCGTGCTTCTAAGACTCAGCTACCGTAATAGTGGGAAGCCATTAGAGGAAGCCATGTCGGAGATATCGCAATTCTTCAAGACGAGCGACAATCTTGCTACGGAAGCGAACGATCCTCCAACGACCACCCATCTTGGCACTGTGATCGAAAAGTCTTCCCCCAAGGATGTGGCAAGTGTTGTGGACACGAAAGAAGTACCAGCTGAGGATAACCTGCCAACACCAATGGAAGACGTTGTATCGACATCTCCTCAAGATTTACAGAAGCAAACGGAAGCAAATGCAACACCTGTCCAGCCTACTACCGGTCCCGGCGATCGCCCCGTAGTAATCTTCTCTCCCCCAAGTACATCCACACCACAGGCCGCATCCCAGCCGCACAACTCCAACGACTACGATCTTTCCGTTGATCAGGCGAGACGCTATCAGACACAACTACAAGATCTAAGTCGTAACAAGCGGCTCCCATCGGACAAGGAGATAGAAGCGGCCGATAAAGCGAAAGCTGAGAAACTGGCAGCTGTCACAGAGGTCAAGATTCGCATCCGAGTGCCCGATCAAACCCAGGTCGAAGTTCACTTTACACGACAGGACACCACGAAAGAACTCTTCGACCTCGTGAGATCAATGCTCGAGCATGGAGACCAACCTTTCTTGTTGCGCTACACGTCACCGAAGGGGGGACTGGCGGTGTTGAAGGAAGGCACGCAGAAACTGGTGTCAGACCTGGGTTTCCATGGCCGTGTTCTAATCACCTGCACCTGGGATGATAGCGTGCCCATACCTGCTAGGAGACCTCCGAGCCTGAAGCAGGAATGGAGGGAAAAGGCACAGGTCCTGAAGGTGGAAACGATCGCTACTCCAGTTCCTGAGCAGAATCCTGGAGGAGGATCATCACTGGCATCTTCCAGCAAGGGCAAGGGAAAGATGACTGATGGGGATAAAGAGTCTAAGCTGAAGGCAATGCTGAACAAAGGACTGTTCAAGAAGAAGTGAACAGGTCCCGATTGTCGATATTTGAATAGAGCATAAGCGGCATTGACAGCGTACTTTAGCTTCTACTACATTCTTTGGATTGGCGATGTCGAGCCGTTAAGCATCCGTCACAAACACTGCATAGAGGTGAATGCTAAATTGATCTTGTAGTTTTTCATTTGAGTGCTCCCATATATGCATCCCGGTTCCGATCAGAACGACCCATAGAAAGAGGCTACAGAGAGAGAGGTTGCTCCACGCTTGTTGTAAAGCAGACCGATTTTTGCTCCGTCCAAGTTAACACACATTGTAAAACCCCCGTTGTCATATGTATGCATCTAGTGACCCGCTCTCCTCGACTCGGCAATGATCTTGGTCATCTCGTCAACCTTCTTCTTGGCGCGGCCGAAAGTGCCGAGCTGTTAATGGTGTTAGTAGGGTATTTCTCTCTTGCATGACGAATGATGCGTTGGGATTTGTTCAAGGGAGTGATGTGAGACGTACTCTCTTCTTAGCCAGCTTGCGCGCACGCTTATCCTTTGAGTTGCGGAGCAGTTCGATAACACGGCGTTCGTAGGGTGCGAGACTGTGACAGAGGCGATCGAGTTAGCCAGCAATTCTCTGAAATCTTCTCTCTCTCTCTAATCCACCACAGATAGTGCCTCAGGTTGTCCACCTCTTCCCTCAAATCCATGCCCATAGATAGTTCCGTTCCAGAAAGATGTGTGCGTGACATACCCAGAGACCTCACGGACGATTTCCCGGACAAACGCAGTCCTCTTGCTCAATCTTCCCTTGCGAGTCGAGATCTTGGGTGCTGGGGTGCGAGGGGTGACTTTCTGTAGTTGGCGACCGGGACGTTAGCTCTCTCTTATTCCTGCTGGCGAGGGCGACGAAGACAGGAGAAGAAGGACTTGGAAGACGTACGTGTCCAGAGTTGAGGCCGACGGCCAAGCCAGACTTCTGCTTGACTTCCTGCGGCATCGTGGTGGTTAGTATTGCCTGGTATGGGGGCGTCGTGGTGTCGGTCGAGAAGTGAGGTCGGGTGCGAGCAAAAGTGGTAGCTGGAAAATGTGCGCAGGCTCTGACTAGGCGAGCCAATCACGTTGGTTTTCGTCCATGTCTTGCTTATGTAAGGGTGTTTCTGACTCCACGAACAAGCATGCTTTCGCTTGATGATTGATTCTCCTCTTCTTGTACGGTTCTGAAGTGTCTTAAGTTCTTGGTCCGTCGCAGTGCGCTGCATTCACGTAGAATGCCAATAACATCACTTTTATAACCACAAGCACACAGAGCTCATATGTATAAATTTTGGTAACAATCCATTCGCCTTGCCAAGGGTATATCTCATCTTCAAAGTCCTAAATCTGGTTCCCAAATTGACATCCAACGACCCTATGCAGCTCGTGACTATTTCTATATACACCCAATGCTCACCAAGTCTCCGGTCCTAACAAATCAGTCTCACCCATTACCACGACCGTACCCAAATTCTTACAATCAAAAACCCATGGCAACATACAATCGCGATGAATCCAACGTATTACAGGCGCCGAGCAAAATGTTGTATGGCCAGTGACCCACATTTCTTGTTGTTGGGTCTAAAACCATGATGCATCACAATACTGCGTTGCAAGATCTGGAGGTTGCCATGTCGGCTTCAAGGCTTCACGCCATTCACACCATTCGTGCCATTCGCGACGCCGTTGTTGTAGCGAGTTTCTGCACCAGCTCCGTTCGTCCTGTCGTAGAACCTGCCGGTAGGCGCAGTAACCGCAGGATCCTCGAGCGCCGCCTGCTGTTCGACCATGCCGATCGTAGTCTCTTCGCTTTCGTGGTGTTTCGTCTTGATCGCTGGGAGGAAGTCAAGGAAAAATGACAAGACGTAGAACGTGTATATCAGTGCAATGATCCACTCCAGGATGGCTGCGGCGTTCCACTGAGCCTGATTCTGCGTCACACCAAATGCTATACTTTCGTATTAGTCATGTGCATGATGGAGTAGTCACCAGGTCTTACCGATTGCAAGTGCCAACTCAAGGAGGATAAAAGACAACTTGATCCAGAAAGAAATGCGTAGTATGCGATGTTCGCGGAAGTGTATTCCAAGGCGCTGGTATTCGATACAGATGAATATGGCTGAGACGATATATCCTGCACTATTTGGTATGTCAGATCCAAAGTCTCAGAATCGAGCGCTCGCAACCCACATGAAGAGAACCAGGAAGATGTTATGCAAACGCGGATGGTGGAGGGTATCGAATATCGACAGTAATATTATGCCCGCAGCACCGACAACTGCTGCAATAATGGAGAGAATGGAACAGATTTTTTGGAACAAAGAAGTATTAGGTGTGAGTCTGCCCTTGTGCCTGAGCCAGCGTTCCGCAATGAACGCAAGATCTAAAGATACGACGGTGACGGCTGACATGGCGATGAATAACGGCTTGAGGCCTTGTGCGCCCACATCGGAAATATATCTGTATCAGTGTAAGTTTGATTGGTATTCTACCATGCTTGAAAGGTGCCCTACGCGATTCTCTGGCTTTGGTTCATGGATGGATAATGCGGTGACCCTTGCACCAGCCATGTTATCAACATGGCCAGCAGCATGGCGAGCCACACGCAGGCCGAGAATATCGGAACCATCCAATACGAGATCACGCCGTGCAACATCTTGGCAGATGGCTGTATTCGAGTTGTGGATAAAGGAATAAGGAAATGCGGATGCAGGAATTATCAATAACAACCCGACGACTACTAGTGCCGTGGACGGCGCGTGTTGAAAATTGGATTTTCGCAAGTCGCGCGACCGACGTACAAGGATACAACCGTGAAAAGGCCTTGTAGTAGATCGCACGAAACCGTGGCAGGAGAGGGATGTCGACGAGGTGGTACGGCGGTGCGATCAAAGAGAAGCCTGCCTTGTGGACGGGAGGAGTATTTGATTCATAGTCCTGTAGGAAGGTAGTTTGGCAAGAAAATGACATCATCGCATTTCTCGGCACCCTGCATCCGGATCTGGTCGGAATCGCGCCTGAGCCACTCACGCAACTTCGCAAGGCGTTATACGATTCGACACGCATCTCTCGCATCTCTCGCAACTCTCGCAAAGGCCGCGTGGCACAATAACGAGGGCTTTGTTCTATTACTGGGCCAGATCATTTCTTGTCTTTTTTGCGCAGCGCGGGAGGCTGCACTGCAGCTTTTAATGGCCGATCATCCTAGTCGCAGATCTTGTGGTGTCGTACCTGTGCAAGACTATTATAGTAACGCCTTTTGTGCTACTGTCTGTCTACTTGCGCAAAATCAGTGTCAGTAATCGCCAGTCGGGACCGAACTCCGGGTTCGGATCTTGTCTGCTATTTCCGACAGGATGACCAAGCATACGCGTTCCGGCAAGGACTTGTTACTACTACTTTGACGATATTAGCTAGAAGGCATGAAGCAGTTCTTTCTTATAGTTCCAACCCGTCTACGTATATGCGTTGATTCGTGGTGAATTTGCAGGCGTTTTGCTGAATAAGTAAATTCTCAATAGCGAAAGGCATTGGTGCATGTTTGGTTCTTCGCAGTCAGGCGTATTCTCTATCTAGACAATTATCTTCTTCTGGACGACTGAACTGCATAACGAATGATATTACATGGGCTGTTGAGAAGGTAGTGCAATGATGGTCACAGATGCCATGGCCACTTTTCAAGAAAAGAGCCAAAGAAAGCGGGTGGAACGTTTTATGCACCCACGCCTTGACCAAGTTAGGTCTAGCTTGACAAGGCTCCACGGAATAATCTACCCCACACGCAAGCGCGTCGCGAATCGCGACAAGGTCCCTATTATCTACTGCTCCTCAGATGAACTCTCTCAGCACTGTTGCATGCAATTCCAACCCTCATCGCCTCACCACCACACATCGCTATATCTGCTTCCCTTATAAATTCCGCTCTTCTAGGTTGAAGACCGCCATGTTTTCTTGCCATGCAAGCGTAAAAATTACACAATGCGATGGCTCCTCCTGTGGCGTTGATGATCATGCCGCAGCGCAATCGCCCCGAAAGCTCACGAACAGCATGCGCAAATTCTACGAACAAGGTGTGAAGGGTCTTGATGTCTGCACCGAGTCTCCTCCTGCGCCTGCTATCAATAAGCGCAAGAGGCGGTTTGTCGCTGGATCTGATTCGGATGACAGTGGTCGGCCGCGTAAGAGAGCACGCTCAAGCACAACAAGTAGCACGGGACAGACGGATGAGATAGAGTCGGACATCGCCACACCTGCTTCCAACCTCGTGCTGGCTGCTGTCACATTTCATATCGTATGTCATCTACGGTAGCTAGTACAAGTCAATCTGCTAATCATACGCCAGGACGAGCCAGGGCAGATACAGCATCACGATCCTGCTTGCGTCCTTCCAGTGAGCCTCGACGACAATATATATCTACAACTTGGAACAGAGGGCTCCAGTCGCAGGTCTGCTGGCCGTCGTAGAATGACTCCTGCACACGCGACCGAGCACGTCGAACTCGATTTCGACTTCTCCATCTCGATCCCGCGCAGCACCGCAGATGCTCCTTGCTCGTCAGAACTCAGAATCTATGGTAGTCACGTAGAAACACATGTCGATGCATATGAGGTATTGAAAGATGTCCAGGTATGCTTGAAACGCTCGCGAAAGGGAAGATCGAATCGGGTTGGGACACAGTGCACACTCTTGCCACCAAGCACGACACGCCGAACGTGGGATCTAGTCATCAGCCTTACGTGGGAGCTCCAGCGGCCTGGTATCGAGGATGAGCGGACGGATGACATTCTGTGGGGGCTGTCTTGCTTGAAGAAGTATACCTGCATCGATGGAGTAGATGCAGCGTCTGGCTCTGCAGCAGCAAACGTATCAGGAAGTCTGACATGGAAGCCAGAAGATTTCTACAATTACGTGCACACAACTTCGCCGGATGATGAGGTTTCCTCTAAAATACAGACGAAGATGCTCGAAAGTGAACTGTATCCCTTTCAGCGAAGAGCAGTAAATTGGCTTCTACGACGAGAAGGTGTTGGCTTTAGCAACGGGGAACTCGTACCGCTGCAGCCTCAATACTCGAGGGACAATTTACCTCCTTCTTTCACCAAGATGCGTGCGAAACATGGGGTGGATACACGTGATGTGTACGTCAGCAAGGAAATGGCAATGGTAACGCTCGACCCGGCAGCCTGTCGTATACCTCAAGAGGTGAAGGGTGGCATACTGGCCGAGGAGATGGGTCTCGGCAAGACTGTTGAGCTGGTCGCACTCATTGCACTTCACAAGAGAGCCCAAAGCGGCAAGCAATGGGACGCATACAGTATGACAGAAGTGACACGTTCCGGCGCAACACTGATAGTCACTCCGTCCTCGCTCATACAGCAGTGGAAGTCGGAAATCAACAGACATGCGCCATCACTCAGGGTGCACGAATTCAAAGGCACGACGACTGCGTCTCACGCACCAAAGGCCAGATACGCTGCCGCATCGACGGAAACTCTGTTGAAGTTCGACATCGTGCTGACCACCTACGCCGTGCTTCGGCGAGAGGTGCACTTCGCACGCCCGCCGCCGGATCGGAGCACGCGGCACGGCACAGCAAAGGAGGCGCGGCGCAGAAGTCCGCTGGTCGAGATCCACTGGTGGAGGGTCTGTCTAGACGAAGCGCAGATGGTAGAGAACGGGGTGAGCAAGGCGGCAGAAGTTGCGCGTCTGATCCCGCGTGTAAACGCCTGGGCAGTCTCGGGCACGCCGCTGCGCAAGAATGTGCAGGATCTGCGCGGCCTGCTGGCGTTCCTGCGCTACGAGCCGTATTGCAGGCACGAGAAGCTGTTTTCGGGCATGGAGAGGCGGGTGTTTAGAGAGCTTTTTGGCAGGATCGCGCTGCGGCATACGAAGGCCGGTGTGCGACATGAGCTCTCGCTACCTCCGCAGAAGCGTGTCGTCATAACGGTGCCGTTCACGCCGGTCGAGGAGCAGAACTATGCCAATCTCTTCGCCGAGATGTGTGGCGCCATTCAGATGACGCCCGAGGGCAACCCGGCCGTCGATGACTGGGATCCCAAAGACTATACCGAGCAGATGAGGCGGTATCTCATTCGGCTGCGGCAAACATGCCTACACCCGCAAGTAGGGGGTCGAAATCGCAAAGCACTCGGACGCAGGAACGTCCCGTTGCGGACGGTGGCAGACGTGCTGGAAGTCATGATTGGGCAGAATGAGACGTCCATTCGCAATGCAGAGTGCGATTTTATCGCCGAAACACTGACTCGTGGGCATATTTACGCGCACGCAAAGGATATACCTCATCGAGCAAAGAAGGCACTCGAGATATATGATAATGCGCTCCAACTAGCTAACGAGTTTGTCGAAGACTGTCGACGGGAGCTTGTCGAGGAGATGGCAAAAGCAAAGGCCAAGGCGAAAGCAGGGTCGGAGGACAAAGAGCACGAGGAAGATTCGCAGGACGAAGAGGGCAAGGACGAGGAACAGGCCGAGAAGGATGATCGGGTTCGTGCAGGCAGGAATATACTACGGCGGGCACTGGAAGCGCAGCATGCTTGCTTGTTTTACACTGGAACGGCGTACTATCAAATGAAGTCCAACGCAGACATAGTTGAGCCCGAGAGCGAAGAATTCCAGCGACTGGAGAAGCTCGAGACTGAGTTTTACGACAGGGCCAAAGTGGTACGGAAGGAGCTTCTGCAGGAAAACCGCACCAGAGCCGAAAAGAGCATGGCAATACTCAACAGGAAGGTCAAAAATCAGGGTCTTGCTCCTCTACAGCCGCTGCAAGATATCGACGATGTCGGGGGGATTGAAAACAGGAAAACACTGGAGCGGATAGACCAGCTCATAGACACACTCAACGAGCAGGGCGAATTGCTCTCCAAATGGCGCGCCAAGGCTGTAGACATCCTACAGCTTCCTCTGGTTGACACGGATGAGACGGAGACTACAGGAGACGAATATGAGAATTCAACTAAGCAGCAGGACGACCTTGTCATTTACATGACGGCTCTCCGCGCCATCCAAGCCGACCGACATTTCACTCTCACCGGACAGGAGAACTTTCGAGTCGACGACGAGATCAGGACGGCGATACGGCAAGCCAGGAATGGGGAAGGTCATGCGCCGCAGCTGATGCTGCAGCTGATGGAACGGAGAAACGCGCTCAAATCGAAGCCGATGGATCCAAATCTGAGAGGGGTCCTTTGCGAACTACGACATCTTGAGACCAGCATTCAGTGGCAAGTTGAAATGGGTAGACCGCGAGCAGCCATGGAGCTTAGTATTATTCAGCAACAAATGAAGCGGCTACAAGGTATCCAGAGTACGGAGACGAAGACATTGAGTTCGTTGGAGTTGGAGCATAACCAATACCACCAGACAATGAATCGACGTATCGCTTTTTACGCGCAGCTACAGCAGATTAGTGACACAGTCGCTCCGTACAAGGAGGAAATGGACGAAAGGCTCGACCGGCAAGCGCTTGGAGAACACGAGAAAAAGGAAGAAAAGATTACTAAACAGCTTGCAAGTCTGAGGACTCGTCGTCGATTTCTGCATCATTTGAAACATGAATCGAACACCGAGGATGGGCCAAGGAGTTGCGCGATATGCACGGGGCTAATAGAGATTGGCTCCCTGACATCCTGTGGGCATGTTTTCTGCAAGGAGTGTTTGCGGATGTGGTACAGAAGTCATAGGAGCTGTCCGCAATGCCGGAAGCACCTGACAATTGAAGACTTTCAAGACATCACATATCGTCCACAAGAACTACAGGCTATACAGGAGGACATGGGACAGTTGGAGCAGGCATCGTCGTCAGCGAGCGGCACGCCAATGTCGAACCTGTCATCACTATACTCGGACATGTCTGGCACGACGATGCAAGAAATCAAGGGCGTGGAGCTGAATGGGTCGTATGGCACCAAAATTGACACCATGTCGAGGCATGTTCTCTGGCTTCGACAGAACGATCCCGGCTCCAAGTGCATCATATTCTCGCAGTACAGCGACTTTTTGGGTGTGTTGGCGGAAGCGTTTACCAAGTTCAAGATTGGACATACGAGCATCACGGCTAGGGACGGGATCGAGAAGTTCAAGAACAGTGCGAGCGTGGAGTGCTTCCTGCTGGACGCGAAGAGCAATGCAAGCGGGCTGAACCTGACGAATGCGACACACGTGTTTCTGGCAGAGCCAATGATCAACTCTGCGCTGGAGCTCCAGGCGATAGCACGAGTGCACCGCATCGGACAGCAGCGCGAGACGGCCGTGTACATGTACCTGGTCAGCGACACGGTGGAGGAAGCAATCTACGACATCAGCGTGAATCGACGGATCAAGCATATGGGCAGCCAGAGCAGCACCGTCACGTCACGGGTGGTGTCGCGCGCGGCGACTCCTGGGGCGGCAGCGCAGGAAAAGGCCATGGATGACGCGAACAACAGGGAGATTGAGAGGGCGCCGCTGTCGATGCTGCTGGACAAGAAGAAGGGCCGGGGCGAGTTTGTTGACGAGGGTGATTTGTGGAATTGTCTGTTCAGCCAGGCCCAGCGCAGGCCGGTGTCGCCAGACCTCCAGCGGACGGTGGATCGTCATCTGCGAGCTGAGGCGGCGCAGCAGAGGTTGTTGCAAGGCTCGGACGAGTCAGATGGCATCAATCCGTGAGCTGCCGGACCAGGAACTTACTGGTATGGCCGCCCTTGTTTCATACGAAGGCAGCATCTGGTAGATTGGTGGTGTACGTACGAATCCTCTGGTGATGATGACGACGATGAAGATGCTGGTGGTGGTCGGCTATGCAAGCCCAGCACCTGCGGAGGGCCAGACTCTGAAGCAAGGCGCAAAGGCGAATGCAAGCCTGTACGAATGAGGAAGCTCATCAGGTTGACGGGCGAAATGCAAGGATTGGACAGTCGAGTGATGTACACGACGTACATGGCTGTAGAGACGACATGACATGGATGGATGGACAGCAGCGTCCGGGAAGGAATGAATATAAGCTTTGACTAAAAGGCTTGATGAGCTTGATCGGTCCCGTAGTTGACCCGTGACTAGGTAGGTACCAGAGTAACAGTCAGTCAAGATATATAAAAAGTAGACAGAGGTAGCCTGACAGTGACAGCAGCCCAGCTCCAGGCCAGCTAAAAACCCCCCGGTGCCAGCTGAAAGGGAGGCCTGATTGGCGGGGGGAGGGGCGGGGCAGGGGTGTGTCAGGCTGCTAGAGACGTGGAGAAGCCTGGCTTGGGGTCTGGACCATTTTTGTGGTCGGCAAGGGTCTTGTCCGGCTGTCCTCTCCAATGCTAGCGGCCCATAAGTCAAGACCAAAATGTATGCAATTGGATCTGATGTGTGTAGGTTGCAGTGCCTTTTGACGATGCGAGATGCATGGCATGGACATGGACATGGACATGGACGTGGACGTGGACGTGGACACGAAAACGAATTCACCACGTAATTATTCATGTACGTCCAGCCAGTGGAAGCGAAAAGCGAAAGCGGAGGGAGACAAACAGGAGACTGTATCAGGTAGGGATAAGAGGTGTCGAGTGTCAATTTGTTGCTTTCAATGTCGCTCTCTTGCTTGCTTGGTTGATGCAGCGTGGATAATATCGCATCGCATCGTATCGAAGGGCGATGCGGCGTAGTGCAGTGCATTGCAGTGGAGTCACCCGGGACACGGACGTGGACAGTAAGTAGTAATTAGCAGGTAGGCAGATGGATTTTATGTGAGGTAGTTATTACTGGAGGTACTTTGATGAACTGTCATGTCAGCAAGCCTGCCTTTTCACGCTGATTCGGTTTCTCTTCTTCTTCTTCTCATCATCCTTCTTTCTCTTACACACGTCTTGCTCAACAGCAGCAACGATAACACTCACCATAACGACGACGACGACGACGACGACGACACTGACGACGAGGAATCCAGCAACAGTACAGCAGTGACTGTCATTCTCATCACAGCGACGAAGACGACCAACCAAGCCTCCTATCCCGTCTCATCCATCCATCCATCCATCCAGCCAGCCAGCCAGCAAGCTACAGTACAAGCAGCAGTCATATACACACACACACAGCAGAACGCTCAACGTCGTTACAACAAGCACAACAAGCACAAAGAAGAAGCAGATCAGCCGTTACCCGTTGGTCTTGGCTGTCTGGGCAGTGGGAGCTTGTACCTTACCTGTACTCGAGCCTGAGCTTGACCAGATTCCTTGTCTTTCATCACTTGTCGCTGTCAGTCAGCGTCAAGCTGTGTCAGTCAGCCTCGTCGCCCCACCAGCGCCCGCCAGCCAGCATCATCCCCTAAAGCGGCGAGCAGCGAGGGTGCAGGTGCAGTACCCGGGCTGTGGGCAGTGAGCAGTGAGCAGCGGGCACCTAGTGGGCTGCAAGTTTGCTTCACCAGCTCCACCAAGTAAGCTTTTCCCCCTCCATCCTCATCCTCCACGCACACACCCTTTCTCTCTCTTCTTATCTTCCTCCACAAATCCTACACAAACACATTCTGGCTATTATTGCATCACCCACAACTGCACCACCACTGCCACAACTCTGCAGGCCACTCAACGTGTCATCACCATGGACAGATGCTCCAAGCTGTATACTACTACCAATGGCTACCAGTTACCAGCTACCAGCTACCAGCAACACGCTTGGGACGACCTAATAGACTGGCCCCACGTTCTCTCCAGCAGAGATACGGCACAGCCCCCAATCGCCGACTCCCGATCCCTCCCAAAGTCCCCTACGGCCCACCATCAAATCACCAGCTCCACCACCTTCACCACATTCACCACCTTTCCGTCATCCGCTCCGCTAATAATGCTAATTAGTTAATTACTCCTCCGGCACTCGCTGGACCTTCTCTCCTTCTCGCCTTCTCTCTCTTTCGCTCTCGCATCCTTCTACCCAACAATCCGACTACACGCAGTCGTACCGTCCCTGTGCACCTCCACAGCCCCTGGCTCGGCGTCATCCCTCTTGCGCGTCACGTCGTCCCAGGACTAAATCCGCCCGACCACTCTGCCGATCACTCGGGCCCTTGCTCAAAGGAATACACTTGAAACTGCCTCGTTCCTCTCTTCTATTCTAAGACCGACACTTCACCTTCCATTCCCCCCTTTGCGCCTCCAACACAAAACCTGCTCCTCTCTCCTGCTTCTCCCGACCTCGTGCCGTGTGTTACGCGACCCGTCACGTCTTCAGGGTCTCGTGGGCCGCCAAATGATGCAACCATAAACTACAGACTATGCCAACCAGTTCGATTCGCAATTCCTCGACCTCCACCTCGTCCCCCGTCTCATCTACTCCGCGCTCCTTCCTCTCCCGCCTTGCGCCCTCGTTTGCCTCCAAGACTCGCTCCTCCGCCGAATTCGATATCCAGCTAGACGATCCACATCGCCAATATGCCCCCGGTGACGCCGTGACAGGGACTGTGACCCTGAAGGTCTTGAAGCCATTGCGCATAACACATCTGGTCATATCGCTACATGGCTATGTGCAGGTGTACAAAAATCCGAATACCCCGGGGGACGGCTACCGGGCCCACAACCCGTCGATAGGCTCCGGCAAGGGTCCGAAGAAGGCGGGATACTACGGGAATGGGTTCGCGACCCTGTTTGAGGAAGAGACTGTCCTGTGTGGCGATGGCAGCATGCAAAAGGGCATCTTCAAGTTCCAATTCTCACTCGACTTTCCCTCCAAAACCTTGCCCAGCAGTATCGATGTAGGTGCTTGTCGCCATTTATATTCTGGGAAACTGTGGTTGCTGATGCTTGGCTAGTTCGAACGTGGGACCATATCATACATGCTGACTGCAACCCTCACACGACCAACAAGCATATCGCCGACCAGCACGAGGGAGCTGAGGGTATTTCTGATTGAGAACATTGATATTGGGCCCATCAGCGAGCCGAAGCCGCGAAAGATATCCCTGGAACCGCGAGCTGCCAAGTCGAAACCAAGGCAGCCTAAGAAAAGACCCCCGGCCGCCAAAGCACCAGAGACTGGAGACGCAGCATCCACTTCAAAGGATAGTCGTGTGGGCGAGTTGAATATTGGTGCGAAAGAAGACCTGGAGTCGCCTCGCAGTCCGGCGGCAAGCGATGTCAGTTTTGAGACCCAGCCAAGCACGACAACAGGCTCAGGGGAAGATCCTGGCACTTCATCTGGCTCCGGGTGGCAGGGCAGTGGGGAGTTGAAGAGTGCAGGACTGACACCTATCAAGAAGCAACCAATCACTGCGACAATCACCTTGCTCAAAGCTGGATTCTTGCGCGGCGATACAATACAACTCACAGTGAACGTGACGCACACAAAATATATGAAGAGTCTCCACGGGATAATCGTGACGCTCTATCGGCAAGCTCGGGTCGACATGCATCCAGCGCTCCCAGTCATCACTACAAAGGACGGCAAGATGAAGGCTGAAGAATACTTTCCGCGTTCAAAGACTGGACTTGGTGGCCTGTCATTGTCGAATTCCGGATCAACTCACGTGTTTCGCAAAGACTTGTCGCAGTCGTTTGCGCCCTTGATCATTGACCCCAAGACTCTGACTGCTGATGTAAAGGCGTCTGTCCGGGTGCCCGAGGAAGCCTTTCCCTCGATAACGAATGTTCCCGGTGCTATGATCACGTTCAAATACTACGTCGAGGTTGTCGTTGATCTACAGGCAAAACTGGCGAGCCTGGGGCGCTTTCTTCCAAACTCGGGAATGATGAATATTCCAAATGGTTACGAGGACAATTCTGGTATCCGGCCCGAGGTCAACGGACCTGGCATGTTCTCTGCTTGGGGTGGGAATTTTATTGATACCACCCAGGTCCGGAGAGACAAGAGCGTCGTGGCCTGTGTGTTTGGGATCATTGTCGGCACAAGGGACAGCGAAAGGAGGAAGAATAAGGGGAAACAGCCCACTGTTCAGCCTCCTGTAGTGGACGGACCACAAGCTCAACCTGTTCAGAATGGCAACGGGTATGAGCAGGGAGAGTATCACCACTATGATGAGTCTCAATATTACGACTACGGGCATCCCCCGGACCGAAACATCGATCATCACGATCACTATTACGGGTTCGAGAATCAGTATGACGGGCACGAGAATCATCAGTATGATGCGCGATATGGTTACTACCCCGAGCACCAATACGACATGTCGCATCCTCACGGGTATCGTCTTCCACATCTTGCTGTACAAGACGAGTCCCACCTTACAGACAAGGAGCGGATACGCAGAGCTGAGCAACGGCTGCTGCCTTCTGAACCGCCAGCGGAAGGTAACGGTGAATCTGCAGCTTGTGCACACGCTCCATCGGCACCGCTTCTGACGGAAGACGAAGACCTCCTTTTTGCGCCTGCCCCTCGTACAAGGTCGCACGCAAACAGTAATGCCTCCACTATCCCACCTCCCTCTCCCTCGTTTCTCAGCGCAGGTCTATCCGCTCCACCCGTGCCGTCGGCACCCCTTCCATCACCACGTCCTTTGCGGGCCCCTGCGCCAGTGTATACGTCGTCACCCGCACATGATGAGGCGTCCTCGTCACGTGTGCTCGCCGCAGGTCCGGCTGCATCAGACGACAAGCAAGAGCTCCAGCGCCGGCGACTACAAGCCGAGCAGAGCGCTCCCCCGGCTTTCGACCCGAACTCGTCCAACGGTCCCGACGCCTCCGCCATGACGGAGGAGGACGAACAGGACGCGATTCCCACTGCACCTGATCTCGCAGACTTGCAGCTCGGGGACGATGCGCATGATACCGGACTACCGTATGGCGAAGGAGCATCGTCACACCACGATCCACGGGCTCATGTGCAGACTACTCCGCTGCTGCCTGCCTACAGGGAGACACGGGCTTCTTGACGCGCCAGATTAGCATTCTGATTTCGCACGCATGCATGCATTGTACAGCATTTGGGACAGGGGGCGAGCGGGCGTTTTGTATATTGATGTACTTGGGGGCGGCAGCATGTGTCTGATGAGCCATGATTGAGAGAATTTGTCAGCGTAGCCTAGCGTGTGCTTTGGAGGGACTTGTTGTGCATCTGAGATAGATGTATACCTGATTTGGCGTGGTCCATGTAATTGAGTCGTCTTTTGTGAGATTGAGAATGATGATGCATGTAGCATATTGTATAGCATAGTGTATAGCGTCGCATATAGCCGCGACAACACGACGACCGAGCCTGAGCTCCGTCGCCGTAGACAGTCGAATGAATATAGAATCTAGGTTCAGTCTAGTAATGCACCGCCTATCTCTATCAACCATCATATTCGCTTCGGGAGAACGTGTGATTGTCGGATAGTTAGTCTACTTAGTATTAGATAGGTATACGATAGGGCAAGAGATGATGATAATAATGATAATGATAATGCCATGGTAGATTATTTATTTTTAGGTGCCCTTATTCTTTCTTACGCATGCCTACCTACTTACCTATCTACCTACCTACCTAACTAACTAACTAACTAAGTTTTAAGAGACTATTATAATTATTAAGAAATTTAAGAGCTATAGTAGAAGAGCTTTAGATAAGTAAATAAGGTCGACCGCGACGCAGTGTATACAAGGACATGAACCCGCGACCGTCCAAGCGTCGCGCATAGTGCCACTGAGGGCAGTGGCGGTCTTTTTTAAAAATCGGGCACTTTGTTACGGCTACGGCAGTAGCAAACAACATGTATAATTAATGTAGGCAGTAGCTACGCACCGGTCGGGTGTATATATACAACCGACCGTACACGTACATAGAAAATGGCATGCTTTTATGACCAATATTACAACTTGAACTGTCAAGGAACTTAATAAAGAGCTTTAAGTAGTTTATTAAACTAATAAAAATAGAAATTCTAATAGCTAGAAGAGCTTTAAATAAATAATAGCTCTTAGAGATATAGAGATTCTAATAGCTAGAAGAGCTTAAAGTAATTTATTAATCTAATAGCTATAGAAGTTTTAATAGCTAGAAGAGCTTTAAATAAGTATTTATGTTAAGGGTGAACCCTGGGTATTCTTGACGTAGGCGCACCTACGCCTGCGCTATCCCTGTTCTACTAAGCGAGGCTAAGCGAGCCCCTTCTTACTAGCGCGCACTCCGCCCTTTACCTTAAGGAAGCCGAGTAGACTTCTACTCCCTCCCTTATCGAACTTACTATATCCTATAAATACTCTTACGTCTGTGTATACGTGCCGCCAAGTTCAATTCAGAAGAGGGACCAGACCTTGCCTTGTAAGCGCATCACACGATGGCGAGGGGCGTACCCCTCGCCATTCTAACTCTGGCACAGCTTCGCATTACAAGCCTTGAAGGATGAACGTAATTGTTAGCCGTATCGTCGCAAGTGGGGCACTTATCTACACTTTATCATCTGCGAGGATCGCGCATTTGTATACGGTGGGCAGTCGGTCGACTTACTACATAGGATCCACGAGCACCATGCGGTACTAGGCCGTCTATAACTGAAAGGGGATACTGGCCGAGAGCCACACTATGCCAAGTGGAGTGAAGCACAGAGTAAACCTGGATTTACGCATTTCTGGGTCGTCATTGCAGTCCAGAAGCTCACAGGATACCACGAAATCGATAGACGCGCCTTGAATGTACTCGAGCATCTAACTATCCTATATGTACAAGGCTACCAACAAACATACCTTGATAAAGACTGGCCAGTTGACATGTCCCGTATCGCGCCATGCGGTCTAAACGTCAAAATCGCCTTAGGGCAGAATCTCTGGCCTACTAATTTTTCGCATATCCCGAAAGAGGCCGACAACGCAAAGTTTCAAGAATGGAAAAGAAACGCAGCTCAAGGTGGGAAGAGCACCGCAGAGAGGAAACGGCAGGCCATTGCAGAAAGGTTCGGATATCACGAACCGGTGAAGCTTGCCGTTAAGTCTGGGCACAACAAGCATACGAAAGTAATGAACCATGCAAGCCTCCGGCTTATATTCTTTACTGCTGAGCATGAAGATCTTGCCAACGAAGAGTTCATTGATGTGTTCTTTGAGACTACAAACCAGGGTGAAGTGCACCCGAATAGCATCGCCCCAAATGCTATAGTAGGCACGGATATCGCTGCTCGTCTAGCGATAAGACTCCCGGATCGAATCCATGATGACGGCACTACGGAAGCTCGATACATCAAAGACAGTAACAGCGGCGAAGCATTTACAAAAACGTGTAATTCTCTCGCAGATATACTGACGGGAGAAGGTGACCCGAGTAAGTATATCGAAGAGAAGGTTCCACGTCGCAGGGTCCCGGCAAACAGACTATTACAAGTCGGGGATTCAACCTACACTAACGATGATGGAAATCTTATACCCAAGGTGGTACAGAATAAGAAGGGCGAAGGTAGAAAGAGAGATAATCTCGTGCTCGCGAGGAAGGAGGAAAAAGAAGCATCTAAGAGTAACACATAGATTGCAATTGAAACGGCTTCATTATGGGAAGGCGCGTATGTGTTTATCTAATGAAGATGCTTTTAAGGCTACAGAATCTACAGTATATATGCACTAGTCTAACATTTTCGCCACCTTTCTACTTGTAACCAATTAATACCTTGTGTACGGGCGACTCGGCCACGACCATCAAGGCATTGTTCGCTATTGTGACGTGCTAGATAATATGATTATCCTATAAGTTATATAAGAAATATCTATCTAGTAATATATCTATTAAGTTAATTAATAGTTCGAAGAAGAGTTGGTCATGAAGCATATTATTTACTATCTAGTCTACGGTTAGTTATCTTATATTAACCGACCGCCTAGTAGCTATCATCTATATTATATATACAGAGTCCTTGTAGTAATCTCAATCTAGGTCACGACCTTCGCGAGCAAATAACAGAGCCCCTTCCTTGCAAGCAACTTCGATCCTGAGTATAGGAATGTTGCCGCTCGGTATATTTGGATGTGAACTTCTTCAAAGAGCAAAACCAAGGTCTTCCAAAGGCTGAGAATGAAGGTCCAGCGACCAGTACGCACCTATTCGAGGTGTTGGACCAGCCTAAGTATGGCTCCGAACTCTTTGTCACCTTACGGTATCAGTACGTCTGGGTGGACGGTGATTGGGAATTTGAGACCCGTCACCACGTTCTCCAGCATTCAATTGAGCCGTGACAATATCATTACTGGAGATGATGGAATTAGCATAGGATACAAAATCGTTGACAATGACAGTTGCGAACAATACACACACATTTATTCCCATCTATACTGGAACTGGTCAGAGCCGAGCAGGCCCATGCGGAAGAAGTGAGGGAAGATACTATATTCAACTACCAAGCGCCTTCAATACATCTTCTTCAAATCGCCTACAACGGCCACTTTTGCGGATACAATGTCATGGTTGATCAGGATTTGAGTCCTGAACATGCACAGCTGAAGGCTCTTCTCAGCGGGCCATGCAAGCTTTACATCCTTAATCTCGGGTTCGAGTTGGACAAAGAACTCCAGAAGATCGATATGGAGCTTGGCCAACGCTTCAACCCCCTTGATGCTTGGTACCCCAATGGAGAAACGCTTGAGGCTGTAGCAATGCAGCATACGATTCCCGAAAACAAATGGCCCAAGTATGTACGGGGCCTATAGCCCATCGTGGAACAACAGATTTGCCAACAATACATTTTTATGGGTTTCGGCTTTGCAGGAGGCTCAGCTGGAAAAACATCAAATCTGAATACGCCGCGGTCCAGCTCTCGATCATCAAACTCTCGGGAGACAGCCACACTTCCTACCTGGGTATCTTGTACCCGTCCAAAACCAATCTCCGATACCTACCCAGTGAACATCTCCGTCTGAAGATGAATCCGGACGAGGTATATCCCGAGAATGATTGGGTATGTGAGGTTTTGGCAATTCCACCAACATTTGTTCCAGTCGCGGCTGTTGCTATTAAACTTATCCGTCCCCCGAATGAACCCGATATAGATGACTTGGCGCTGCATGAACTACTCACTATAGATCTGGACCAAGCGCCAAAGACGGTTGACGATGTTTTTGCAACTGTCGAGCGCTCTATCCAGTCTAATGCATCGTTGCAAAAAGCGTCAATCGAGACCAGAGTAGACGTTAGCGATGGTGTCGGCCAGCAACGCATGCAAAACGGTCCAGAAGTTCACGTTGCGACTTTCACGTTCGAAGGAAATGTTTTTTTCACGCTAGATCCTGATATCGAGCGTCTTATCCTGGGAAAGGATTCGCATAACCTCCGCCCATGAGACGTCTACGACACGCTGACGGAAGATAAGCGCCTTCTCGACGAAATGCTTATCAAGGTTCATGGTAAACTAAGCAAAGAGCAAGCAGACGTTCTAACGCAAAGTCTAAAGGTGCCAGCAGGCCATGTCGTCATCCAGGACTATGTTGGTGCAGGAAAGACATTCCTGTTTCAGATGCTCATGGCTGCCACTCTTGAGATTTCCCGAAAGGTACGGCGCAGCAGTCCCAGCCCATCCACCGAAGCAACGAGTCCCAAACAGAGCATGGGAAGCAAAAGCAACACCGTATGGTGAGGCGCGAACATCAGCACCTCTACGTTGCACCTACCAATGCCTTGGTGGACGACGCCATCAAGTCGACTTACGAGTTCATCGGTTTCCTATCCAGGGGGCACAGAATCAAGCGAGAACCCTGTGTTATCCGCCTGCTCAACCCTAATTACAGATTGCCTTCTTCTTTTACTAACGATCTCTATAATACCAAATGGTATTCCTACTTCACTAAGAGTGTGCTCCGCTTTCCAATTCCATCTCTGGTGGAAGCGAAAATGGAACGCGATGAATGCCATAACTACAGTCCTCAAGCTGCGCCAGCTCCTTAGGATTATTATAAATACGCGGTAGAAGTAGCCGGGAGAACGATTTGAACTTTACTTGGTGCTTCACAGCAGCAGCCTCGAATATTGGAGGATAAAATCCAGTACAACCCCAATCGATTAGCCAAACCTGGTTGCGCGTGTCCAAAATAAGATTTCGAGGGCTAAGATCTCCATGAACGAGGACGAAGTAGGGACACTGTAGTGGTAGAGTATCCGGTAAGGCCTGCTTAAAATATTTACTTAGGCAGAGTTTCCATTTAATCCACTTCTGGAATATTTCTCTCGTCGGAAACGGTCCTGCGCCATAGTCACTAAACACTATGCCACAAGATGCTCCTCCACCAATAACGCCTGGATGGTCATTATGTATGGATTGAAGCTGGTTAATCATAGCCGCAACCTGGTCAACCACACTGTCCTGAAGACCGGAATTGAGTTCGTCCCAACATGTATCCAGGGAGACACCGTCTATGTAGTCCATGACTATGTAGCCTTCGACTCCAGAATCAGAATATGACGAAGGTTGATTAATATCAAAGTAACGGTAAACACGAGGTAGTCTCACGTCCGGAAACTTCGTCGTGACATATCTCATCGTCTCGCCTTCTGAGGCTAGAACAGTGGGCCCAAACTTCATCACCAGCGTTTTAGACAGTCGTACAACTTTCAAACCCCCAAGTGAGTGAAGGACTGGAGCATCTTGGCCATATGCCATGAGTTCCTCCTTTGGCATCAAAGCAATATCAAAAGTTGCGCCATCTAGCGGGCATAGAGTCGAACGACTTCGAGCGGCCGGCTATGTTCTTTAGCGTTTTTTTTTTATCTCAAGCGGTGATCGGGTACTCACATCGACATAGGGAACCCAGGGATCTGGCATTATGCTCGGGCGAGGACTGGACATTGCTCACAGGTATAGAAGTGATAGGAAACTATGACATGGACCGAATTAAATGGAGGCGTTACTACCCACGAGGCAGCTGGCTAGCGAAGCCTTCGGCCCTTCGCCAGGACTTGACAAGGCTGTACACCGAAGTATTAGCGAGCGGCAAAACCGCACAGACCTTGAATCGCCTTCTCGACTACCAGTGCCATGCACTGCGAAGTAGATCTTACGGTATTTCAAATATCTGAGATTGCCTAGACGTTACCTCTGCATTTCCTCTGAGGGAATATGAGGCACAGAGATTGCCTGTGCGACGAACCCTCCCCACTTCGATTGGTAGATACCCAATTAGGTATCTTATACCAGAGTTCCTATAAATTATATATAGCTATCCTATTAGAATAGATAGTAAGTAGGTACTTCTAATAAATATAATAGAACAAAAGAATCCTTCGGAAGTACTTAGAAGTACTTAGAAGTGCTATATCTTTTTTAATGTATATTGTCAGGCACGTGGCCTGCTAGTTGATTCTACATGTGTGCAGCAGTCGTATATAAGCAGTGTGCTCCACCCTTGAAGCAGTAGCTTCAAGATTCGGTCCTTTTGGTGTAGTTGGTTGGTGCGTGGAGCCCGCCTTCTTACATATATTATTTATTAGAAGTAGATATATCTATTACAGTTTCTATATATTTATAGTTAGAGTCTATCTATATCTAGCTTAGGCGGTAGTATTATATTCTATAGCTTATATATTTAGTAGTAAGGGTAAGATTAAGCATAGACCTATCTTTATTCTATTTATACTTTCTCTAAGTAATTTACTCTATATATATAAGAAGATATAGAAAGTTATAGTACTATATATATAGTTCCCTTACTTAGAGTTCTTCTTTTATAATAGTTAGACCTCTCTACTATCTATAGTAGAGGTTAAAGTTACTAAGGAGAATATATTATTCTAGTATTATAGTACTCTTAAGTATATTATCTAGTATTATAGTACTCTTAAGTATATTATCTAGTATAAGTAATTACTATTAGTTATAGATATTATAGATATAAAGAGAATCTATACGTAAGCAGAGATGAAGCGATCTTGTAGCCTTACTAACATGATTCATCGTAGTAGCGATGACCGCTTCGCCCAACCTATGAATGGTAGTATAGACGTTAGAGTCAGAATCAGGGGAACCAGGAGCGATTTGCGTTTGAAAAGGACGATGTGGCGGAAAATGGAGAGCTTATCCGTAGCTACTACAAGGCATTAGTGATAGATGCGGAATCAACGATTCTAAAAATATACCTTCTAGCTTTATGTCTTGGAGCGCTTCACTGATAGTCTCATAATCCTGACTCCAACATTTCAGGATCGTATTACGAAGGGCGGGAATAACTGTCACATCCGGGAAGCGGCTTGCCTCGAAATAGGCACTTATTTGGTCGTCACTCACACTCGCATAAGGCTTCGATCCGGTCATCAACTCATACACCGTAGAGCCAAGGGCGAACAGCTCAGTCTTCGCGGAGATGTCTGTCCCAGGAAGTTCATGACTAGTCTCATAACAGACAAGCGGTGGGCACCCATCAATCGACGAACCAGCAAAGTCGCCTAGCTTGACGTTCAGATTATGGTCGAGGAATACGTTATTACACGAGATGTCGCCATGGAGCACTCCTCTTGAGTGGACATATTGCACAGCATCGAAGATCTGCTCCGCCCATCGAAGCTTCAAGTGAAGCGGAATCCGCGTCTGTCGTCCGATATATTGCCGGATGGATGTTTCTCGTGCAAATTGTAGGACAATCGCATTGTCCAGCACGCCAAAATAGCGAACGATGCCTTGATGGTCGTGGCCGAGTCGCTCGTAGACAAGCTTCTCCCGGTCTAAAAAATGCGAATCCCAGGGTTGGCAGAACTTTATGACGGCATCGAGACGTGCAACGATCGCTGTTGTTCCGGCGCCAACTAAGTCTCCGCCACCGAGACCCCTTGGCCATTGTATATCACACTGTTGCATTTTCTTCCAACAAGGGTTTCACGTAAGATGGATAGGTGAAGGAGGATGGTATCGGTAAATTGTGACAGTGTGCTTGTGGGAGGGAGAGGGGTCGCAAGGAGCGGGAAGTACCCTAGAACCCAACAATCTTGGCGTTTCCCATTTTACGCGTGTATCCTTACCTTTATACAAGAGACTACATATTAGATTACTTATATGGACTTGTAGAGGATAATAAGATATACTAGATCCTAAATACTTTTTAAGCTATAAAATCTCTCATTTAGTCTTCTTATATCGACCAAGTTCACGGACGCAAGGCAATCACCAAGACTTAAAGGACTTGAGAAGCCGTTTCTCTTTCAATCACCAAACTGTTTATCAGTCTGCGATCCTGCGTACCTTTCTTATGCTGACAACATCTTGGTACTGCAAGAACTTTCTTCCCCGCATAATCCCGTGGGTTCACAGGAAACAGGAGCACTTCGTTCGCGTACGTCTCTCCATCAGCAAATGGACCTTCATCTTCCTCAAGCTCGACAATGTTTATTACGAGTACTTCTGGGTCGAGATCGCCGGCAGGAACAAGATGGTCAAACGTCACCCCATAGTAATCGATATACCTGAGCGCCACCGTAGATCAGCCTCAAGCTCCTGAACAAGGTGCTTCCACCCACTCTAGCGGTTTTACCCAAGCTAGGTACTCGTCTCGTACTATCGCAATATCGTCGGTTGCTCCATACAGAGTCTGGTGTGTAAGGTTTGCTAGCGCTAAACCCCCTTGCTGTGGGAAAGGCGTAATTTTTTCCCACGAAGAGCCCGGTAGCAGCTTTTGTATGGATACAAGGACCTTGGATCCGGATTCTCAAAGGCTTTGCAGCGGGGGGCGGATGTAACGGGTGTTGAGGATGGTTGACGCAAGGATGGATATAGAGCTGAAGTGACATTATGTAGTTTAACTCGACAGTCAGGCTATACCCGTACCACGCACTTTAGTAATTGAACAGATCCAAATATACTTAGGAAGGGCGTTTCTATATTTACTTTTAGTACTATTTACTACTTCTATTACTATTATCTCTAATCACTAACCTTTTCTTCTATTTTTTAACTTATTAGCTTCTAGTTTAATAGACTTAGTATAAGAGGCCGGGCACTACGTACTAACTTGCTTATAAAGGACTGAACCACAGGTGAGCCACGTGCCGAGCACGTGACTTCTTACAAATAGTTAGTCAGTTAGTCTAGGAGTAATCTACTTTCTATCTATTATATTAATTATTTTCTTAGCGAGTTTCTTATAAGGCTAGAAACTATAGTTATAAGTAGAGAAGGGGAGGGAGAGTTACTATGCTAAAAAGGGGGTGTTCTTATAGAGGGGGAGGAGAGTTGGATTTAGGGGGGCGGAATTCCAGGGAGGCGGATTTCTTATCTATGATCTGTTTCCTCTATTTCATCTATTTATATATGCTTCTGTACCATGTTACTTATCTATGCTACATAGGTCCTATACAACAGCCAAGCAAAGCAAAACTAAGAGGCATTCAAATGGATCAAAGCTCCGCCAGCCCAGCGATCTGCTGCATATCAAACTCCACCACAGCCCCCGCGCACTTCCGCCCATAGTTTAGCACAGAGAGCGAATGACGGCCGCGAAAAGCCCCACTGCGCAATAAATGCGACATATTCCCGACAACAACGAGGCCGTACTGCGTGCGCGTCGGCGCAACGATGATCCGGCTGTGCTCCTTCATGAAGCCTGGCCGGTCGAATGCGACGATGGTGGTGGCCTGGAGGCGCGGGTCTAGACGCTGGAATGTCTTGCTGGCGAGGGCTTTGTGTGCAGCGTAGGGGCTGATATGCAGGATGTCGGCGGCGCTGATGCCGGTGCTAAAGCCGGCCGTGGTACTGCGGAGGAGGGCTTTGGCAATGGAGAGCTCGATGCGGAGGGAGTCGGTGTTGAGCAGGCTTTTGCTAACGAGTGTCGCGGGGGATGTGGCGGCGTTGATGAAGACGACGTTGTGCGGGCTCGGCAGGTTGAATACGTGCTGAAGGAGGGCGACGTAGCATGGGCCGTTGGGGTCCTTGGGAGGGTCACGCCGGCCAGATGCTTTCATGAGGCCGCCGTAGCAGGCTTTACTGATGGGTTTCACAATGGCTTCGCAGGAGCGTTCGGAGGTAAGGAGTTGAGAGTATGCGAAACCGCAGTCCATGAGGCGGGCCATCATCGAGTGGGCTGCGTTTTCGGCGAAGTTTGCGTTGTCGCGCGTTTGCTTGGTTGAGACGCCTGTCTGGTGCTTGTCGCCGACCATGTAGACAAAGGGCTGCCACTGCGGCGTGAACTAGTTCGCATAGATGCCCATCTGGTCTACTTCGGAGAGCTTGTACCCTTCATCGAGGAATATCATGACGGGGAAGATTGTTTCGGCAACTTTTGGCGTGTTCATGACGTACGGTGTGCCGGCGAGGAACTGGGCGCGGCTCTTGATTTCCATGTATAGGAGGGCGCATCTGTGGTTAAACTCTGCCCAGGAGGCAGGTGTGGCGGTACCAGCTAGGATTTGATTGCGCAAGGCGCAAAGTCTTTCGTGCCTGGTACCGAATTCAGGAGCCTGCCATTCGAATCGGGGTGGTCCATTTGGACAAAGTCCAAGGCTTCAAGAGCGATAAAGTCAATGGTATGCTTGATCATCTTGGCCCGGCATTCCATTGTCTTTAAGCCCAAGGGCCCGCTCTGGCTGTCTTGGAACGCCTTCTCGACCAGATGCCCGCCTTCGCCGAGCAGATAGCGGTACGCCATATCACCGCTAAGTGCAGCCATTGCGAATGAAGCCATTATTGCCGACCTAGATGCCTTTTGTGCCTCCAGTCTTTTCTCGAATTTCTGAAATAGCTAATCTATGGCGATAGAATTCCTTGTCCTTCAGCGCCTTGTCCAAACGCCGCTCGAGATCTACTATAGTTAACTGAGCAGCCTCCACTTCTCTGGAGACAGCATTCAAATTTAATGCAAGTTCCACCTCTCTGCTCGTGATGAGCCTTAGTTAGATTACGGTCGCTGCCATCGAGTAATAGCTTGATGGCATACCAGTTCAAGGCTGTAAGACTGAGGAAAGATTTGTCTTGCCCGATTCTTCCAGTCTACATGTTTCGAAGGTCTGTCGAAAAGTTTGATATATTCCCAGTGCTCAGGATACCAACCGGCATATTCCCAATCAAGCAAGCCTGTAATCTTCCCATTCTTTACTAAAATATTATGCTGTGAGAGGTCGCAATGTGAAAAAACGATGCGATGATCAGTGCGAAGTTGTTGGTGTAATGCTTCGAGCACGGGACTCGGGGTCGTCTGAACAAGGTCACAGTAGAATAGGTTAAAGCTTGCTTCGTCCAAAAAAGGTCCTCCGCTATAATCAGAGTATTGACGTAAATCTCGTGCGGATCCGTCTGAGCAGGATCCAATACGTCTATTAGTCGATGGAGCAGATCGCATTGTCTCAAGGATTTCTCGTAACTGATTACAAATATGATCTTTCTCGCATTCTGTCATACTCGGCCATACAAGGTCAAGTCTATCGCCATGAATGTACTCCATCCATAAGCTAGTTTCTCCTTCCCCAGAATCTTTCTGTGCATTATATACCTGGGGAACAGGTAGGTTAATGTGTGCTGCAAATTCGAGAGCATACTTTTCATCTAATTTAAGTCGTCTGCCCTTCTTTAAAACGACAGATCCAGAATAAAGCGTAACGGTCCGATCTTGTATCGCGTGGAGTATCGAACTCTCTAGAATTGGATTAGATCTGCCACATTCCATAACATTCCTATGACGGACTCACTTTGTCCGCCCACAGCATCATGTCCTTCATCCTGTGCTAGCGCTAGCATATCTTCAACTCAAATTTCCAAGTTTGCGCCGAAATGCCAAATGAATTGGTCAAGGTTCTCAAGTCAGGGTCTCTCAACTGACTACATTGCAATTGGGTGGATACATACGAGGGGAGCTTGATTCGCGGATGACGTGAGACGATTACGTTATCAGCGCCGCTACACTATTTCAGGCAAAACCACCTCTCTGCAACGTGACCTCTGCAAGTGCAGCCCGGTCAAAATACAAGTCAAATTTTACCACTTCGTTATTTGAGACTGCAGGCCAGGGTGAAGTGCACCCAAATAGCATCGCCCCGAATGCAATAGTAGGCACGGATATTACTACTCATTTAGCTATAAGAATCCCGGATCGAATTAATGATGACGGCACTAATACTATGGAGGCTCGATATATTAAGGATAGTAACCGCGGCGAAGCTTTTACGAAAACATATAATTCCCTCGCGGACGTACTAATGAGAGAAGGTACTTAGTTATAATGATGGTCGAAGGAAAGATCCGGGAAAGAGCATGCAGTGAGGAAGGAAGCGAGGGGCTCCTGACAACTCCCCATTGCTACAACGATTTCTATCCAAGTCACCATCCTGGACGAAGCAGTGCTATTCGAATGCAGCAAGATTCCAAACTTCGTTGTATAGGCTCACATGGTATGGCGCTCAACGTGCATCAAATTGTCCTTCGTCCTATCAACCTATAATCATTACCTGAGAGGTTGGTATATAAATAGACATCGTACGCTTTCTGCGGTCTTCTTCCCACCATGAGCTGCGTTCTTCTTCCCACCATGAGCTGCGTTCTTCTTCCCACCATGAGCTGCGTTCTTCTTCCCACCGTGAGCTGCGTTCTTCTTCCCACCGTGAGCTGCGTTCTTCTTCCCACCGTGAGCTGCGTTCTTCTTCCCACCGTGAGCTGCGTTCTTCTTCCATTCTTGAAACTTGGGGTCGTCGGGCTCTTTTGGCATGTGCGGGAAATTGGTGGGCCAGATTCTCTGGCCCAAGGCGATTTTGACGTTCAGCCCGCAGGGTGCGATTTCAAAGCTTGTGATGCGAAGCTGTGCCAGAGTTAGAATGGCGAGGGGTAACACACCATCGTGTGATGCGCTTACAAGGCAAGGTCTGGTCACTCTTCTGAATTGAACTTAGCGGCAATATCCTCTCTGAAATGCTGTATGATCACATTAGGGTCACATTGACCAGGCAAAATTGACCCGTATCGCTATTGAGCAGGTTGAATTTTGTCATGGCGCTTTTGCATGCGAGTAAGCATGTACGTATTGACGTCAACTAGCTTAGGTAGCGCTTTGTCTGGCCAAGGCGGGGTACCCAGTGGAATGTGTGGGTTCATGCTTTGATAATCGAGAAGGTTGGGATTTGGCTTCACGATACCGTCGATTGATACATCAGCTCTTAACTCTTCGAATGTGTCTTCGTCATCATCGGCATGAATTGCCAGAAGCTCTGACGTGGTATTTCCGGTTAGGTATTGGTTAACGGTTAGAGAGCTGTTCGTAATCCGATGTTGGTTGATAGTAGAAGACTGGTCGATAGCAAAACCCGAATTCACATCAGGAGAGCAGGCAGTTGCGGAAAAAGTGGCTGAGTGGAGAGTAGAGGATATATTCGCCGTAGATGTAGCAAAGCTAGACTTGTCTGATTTCTTGAGCCCTGACCTCGTTCGTCATGGTCATCCCCAGAGTTAGGGATTACCCGTCTTTATTCGAAGAAGTGTGAATGATGTATTTGAAGGCATTCAAATGTATTGTAAAGTGTGTAGAGAACTAAGTCTGTGAGACTCAGTCGAAGCTATTTAACCGTGGGGACACTAGTCCCCTTTAGGAAGTCGTGTCCCTCACTGTTAAGGGTGAACCCTGGGTATACTATTGGGTCAATGACCCGGAAGTATCCTCCCGGCGGCAACATGTTCCACCCCTCTCCCTCCCCATACCACAATGTGTGTGGCCAGGCCCCGTCCGCGCCTCCCTCCTCTCCCATCCTTGCGACGTCGAAGGCCTTGAGCGCTATCGACCACACCTTTGTATAGTCCAAGCAACCAGTCGCCCACTCCTCCACCCTAGATATCTTTCCCTGGTCCTCCATCCCCTCCACCATCGATCTCATCGACGGGAATCTCAACGGCTGATGTGCCCAATGGCACCAAACCATGTTCGAGTCTTGTGAGAAAAACGCGAACAGGCCAGCTCCATTGGTGAAAACACCATCGGCGAACAGGAAGGTACCGGCGCCGCTGAGTGCGCGAATCGGCGGAACAATCAGTGGTACTGTTGTGTATGTGACGTGCGTCATGTTGCAGTGCTCTAGGAGCGCAGCACGGAGCTCGGTGTAGGTATGAATGGGATCTGGAGCGGTGTAGACTCGGATTGAAGTTTCCCATTCCATCCAGTGTCTGAGCTCAAGGATATTGTCGGATTCCTCGTCCGTCTCCTCCGACTCAGGGGTGGTAGCCTCCGGAATGGGTAAGGGGCCAGGAACGAAAGGTGCAAACTCAGCTGTGGTGGGCGTTACCGGACGGTTTTCATTTATAGTGAGAGTTGAGAAGCTAAGCCGGGGTGCCGTGGGAGTATCTGGGGTGTCTGTAGCTTCTTCGGGCTGCGAGACCGGCTGATCTGAGCTCGTGTCTGAGGGCTCTACTCTCTGGTTTTGGGGTGGATGCTGGGCCCAGATTGTTCTTGCTTCTGCATGTGATATCGCTTGAACTTGTGGGATAGAGTCGAAGTGTGCGCCTGAGGCTTGAAGAAGAACGAAGAGACGTTGAGCCACCTGTTCAACCTGCATTGCATGCACAAGCCCTGTGGCCCGCAGAAGTGATGCTTGTTGGGTGGCCATATGCCACCGGGTCTGACGCAAATCAACAGCGTCCACTGCTACACGGGGAAAGGGAGGCGGAAATGATCGAACAGGGGCTCCAGATCTTGAATATCTTGAGGACAAGCCGGTTAAAGGTACTGCTTGATTGGGAAACTGTCTGAAAGGAAGTTGGCGATCCATCTTGTGAGAGATTTAGTCGATGAACAACAGTGTCAAAAGTGTTCGAGGTCTCCGATGGTGATATGTGAGCTTAGAAAGTGATGCAGCTTGCGCGAAGCTAAGAGACGGCCGGAGGATTGCGGTTGCGACGTTTTCGCGGAGGTCAGTGTTACGTGAAATCGTTCTCGAGTAAATGTCAATCTAGGAAACCCCCTAGCGGGTCATAGCTCGCAGTTGGAGCTGCATTATATGCGGCTCGTTACTATGCGACCCTGAAGGCATAAATCTATTGCGAGATAGTAGCCTGATAGCTACTTTAAGCTTTTCAACTCTTCGACTTCCTCGATTTTCCAGTCGAATTCATCTAAAAGGGAGGTTCCGACTTTGCGGCTGTGGATGCTAGAAGTCCACTTTGATGGGAAGGGTCTACATGACACGCTTCCTCTCGTCGAAGTAGAAGAATACATACTCAATTTTCACGAAGAACCGTGGATACCTCGATAACATCTAGGCATGACCTTCTAAATGTGAGTTGTAAGATGATAGCCAATAAGTGTCTCCAACTGATGAAAATAGAGGAACTGCAAAGGGATTTTGCACAGAGACTAGAATTGTTCAGAGCTACGAGGGACGTCATTGTCATCCAGATGAAAAGAAGAGTGGATAATAAGCTCAGATAATGAAAGACGAACGTAACAATGAATGAAAAAGACCCTACAAAGAAATGTTCAAGACCAGTGGATCTGCGAATATATTCTCCAAGCAGATATCCCCCAGCCGGAACAACAGTCTTTACCTGCTCACAAGGATAGGCATTGCGAGGGAAGTCAGGAGCAGAAAGACAATATCGTTATGAAACACAGGTGAGACTCGATTCAAGAAAGAAAGGGAAGGCCATTACCAACAGCAGCAAAGTCGACCCGATCTTATCCCAGAAAAAGAATGAAGATATATCTCAGTTCGAAGTACATACAGGCGAAGAGAACACTAGGCATATTTGTACTAGCAATAAGGTACAAGTCGCGCTTTCTATAGCAATAAATCCTCGCACGAAACTGAACTAAGAAATCGAAGACGAGGTTTACTTACGTGGCGACCGTATTCCTCCCAAGGCACGAAAGAAGATGACCGAGGCCATGGTTTTAGCCAAGAGCTAAGAAGGAGAACAGTACGACTTTATGTTCAGCGTCACTGTAGGATGAGATAGCTGAACGATTTGAATACCCAATATGAGTCACTGCTGTCACTCGCACAGCCTACTGTCATACGCGAATATTGCGTTGCGCTGAGCTGGACTCATGCATACAAACGCAACGTTAGGGAATTATAAAACGGGGACGAACGTATCAGAAGAAGGAAATATGGGTATGTTGCGCTTGATAAATTACGAATCCCGCCCTTCAATTCGACGGGCCCGTACTCAAAGATCGTCGCGGTCGCTCTTGTCTCTTACGATCCTGGCCGCAAACGGACAGGTGCATCCAGCTCGAAGTCAACGCATGGAAGCAGGAGACTGAGCGAGGCATGAGACTGCAATTAGTACTTCTCCCAAGATAGAGATATACAAGAAGTGATGTTTCAAGTAAGGTGCTTGTAGGCTGCGAGCTCGAATGAACATATTTAGGTGCTTGTCACCTCACGAAGTAGAGTTGTTTGCTCTAGAGTTTATGAGGCAGTCGATACACATATGGTACGTCTGAACATAGTAATATGAATAATTGACACTTATATCGTGATCTAGTGTGTAAACAAAGGAAAGCATGAAGCTGTTAATCGCGACAAGAGATTTCCATTACAGTGGAGAATTTGAGGCTGAGTCATAACCACGTGATACCGCAATTTACAACGTCCAGAATGCCTCAGGCACTCAAACACAAACATTTTATGACCAATGTCCGACAACTGTCCTCTTCTCCTCAATGAGCAGGCAACCCCCTTGCAACGTTTAGGATCGCTCAGCCATCATATCGACCTGACTCGTCGAGCCGAGTCCATGACTCGTGACGTCGCTGCCTCGTGGACGATTCCTCAGCATACTTAAGCTACGATCGTCTTACATAGGCAAGCAAATGGACCCGGAGCAATAATATAACGAGCGATGTGTAAATTTAGTGCTGAGATGATGCATCATGCATACACACCTAGACAATACGACGCTCAAAGTACCCTGCAAACTCGGATTTCTGGAGAGCAAAATGATCTAAATATGTATGCCTGCATTCTTCAAATATACAGAGCATTCGAGAGGCGTGTTCTAGTTTCTTCCAAGACCATGAAGCGCTCATGCCAACGAAGGTATTATCTTTAGCAGCAGGGGTCCAATTGTGGCGCCATAGTGATTAGGCTATTAGCATAGAATGTATCTTGATCATCGTTGTCGTTGAATGGCCTTAGGAGTGAGCGCTAGGTGACCCGATACTGGCTAGAAGCAACGAGATAGTGTCCAGTGTTATCATAAACCGCATCGAAAACTAGAAAGTAAGCAGTTGTGGGAGATGACAACGACGGAAGTGCATTGGGAAAGAATTGATAGTCCATCAGATCTTACTCTGTTTGGTTATAGATGCGGCGGAGCTAGGCTTGACCAAGGTTCCGTAAATTAGTTTCATGGAAGCTAGGCCTCGAGACGACCTAGAAGCCCTATCGCAACTAGTGAGACAGAAGATTATACACTTATTGTCGTTGTAGTGAAGAAGAGAAGATGTTTCTATACAATGACTAGATTGTGGTTAGAGTTCGGTGTGTTAGGAACAAGTATAGACATGCTAAGCGTTCACTCATGTAGATTTGGCATAAGAAAAGATGAATACATTTTCTTCGAGAATTCTAGTTCTATAGTGTCCTATTTTCCAATCTGTCCAGATCCTTTGCAGCTTCCGACCTATACCAGAAAATATCCATGTATGATGTCCCTGTCAATCCGAATACATCCCTAACGGCATTTCTTAGCGTGCTGACAGGAAGTTCCATCTGAATGATCCCTTGCTTGAGACTTCTGGGCTCCATGGCAGGATCGTGAGCTGGGCGGTGACGTTGCCTATTGGGCACGGACTTCCGTAAAGTGAACAGAGAGTGACGCACACGCACCGATGGCTGCCTGGCACTCAGAAAAGCAGCTAGGCAACAGGGAGAAACCTTGTTCCTGATGATGGAAGCGAAGTGAAGGATCCGTGCCAGCATTTGGACAGCCACGGAGACGATGGTTGAAGCCAAACACTCCTTTAGCAATATAGGTGTAGGTGCAAGCCTAACGAGAGCATACCAGCAATAGGTACGATGAGGAACATGACCGATGGCAGAGCGTGTGTCGCATAGAGGACTGAACCTTAGAGGGTGTGGAAGGAATGATACGCTTGCTACGCTTGAAACTTATGTTCGCTTTGTCTTCGGCGACGACGTCGCTCAGGCTCATCGCCATGCTATATGTGATGTCAACGTCATGAAAGGCCGATATCATCACCATCTTCATCATCATAACCATCGTCGTCATCAAATCCCCCTTCCAGTTCTCCATCATCGCTCAACCCTTCAAAGCGCATGAACTTCTCATCTTTACTCTCTGTCCCCCATTCTACTACAAACCCGTCCTGCACCTCACAATCTTTCAGCACAGTCTTCTCATCAGCCTTTGCAGGCCCGCCCTCGACCTTGCATCTTCGTCCGAGGATACACCCCGTGAGCTGGCAGTTCTCGCCTACCTCAGCCCCATCCATCAGCAAGCATCGCATCAATCGCGCGCCGGACCCGATCTTACACCCGGCACCGATAACGCTCTCTTTGACATTGCATTTCTCTTCGACGGTGACGTTCTCCGCGACAAGACATGTCTCGCGCGCAACTGTGCATCGCTGCGGGATTGCCTCTTCGTGTGCAATCTTGGCGATATGCGCGAAGGGCGACGCGTCCTTACCTGCCTCCGCAATCGAGGGTAGTTTCGCAAGGCGGAGGGAGATGCTGAGGAGTAGGTGCGCAGTGTCTACACGGCGGATCAGGGGCAAAGCGGAGTCTTGCGGCTGAACGTAGGCAAGGATAGGGGGGATTGTTACTGAGGACTTTTGTAGTGTCTGAGGGGCGCCAGAGACGCGGGATGCAAAAGATTTCGGAGCGACAGGGGCGTCTTGGGAAGGGATCCAGGTACTGATGAGGTTCGTGAGGTCGACCTGTTCAGAAATCGGGCCGCCGGCGCCGAAGCTTTCTTCTCCATCAGCGCTGCTGGGACGGTGGAATATGTTGTCCAAACCGAGCTTCTCACTTAGACCATCTTGCCATCCCGCTTTAGCCCACCAGCCGAGAACGTCTTCAGCGATACTGTCAAACTTCTCGTTGTTTTTAATCATTTCAAGGACCCAAAAGGGGAGGAAGTAAATGTGGGCGTCACGGTAGGTCGTGAGCATTCGTGTTTTGGCGTGTTTCTTGACGAGAGCATGCCTTATCGGGAGGCATTTCTTTTCTTCTATAATGTCTTTGAGGGTATCTGTCGGAAGGGTATAGACTAAATTCGCGAGATCTTGCCGGAGAGATGCTGACGGTGATGCTACAAGGGGCTTCGGTAGCGGGGCAGTTGCTATGAAGTCTGTCTCCTCCCCTTTGATGCTTCCTTCTCCTTTAGTGTTATACCATACCCCTAGACCCCCTCTTCTGCCATGTTTCTCACCACCATAGCCCATTGGCATTCCTGACCCTCCAGTCGCGGCGCCTAGTCCGGCCTCTTGGACCATCCATTGCTCCACAAGATCGCTCCCATCAAGCTCACATACCAAGTCGCATGGGAGTACTATGAAGTCGCTTGTTATGGCAGCTTGTACCTCAGGTAGCCGAAACATCTCAGCGGTTCCAGTAGTCAGTGTCAGGTCCTTGGGTGCTAGTATATCGGGCTTATGCGATATGAGAGAGGTGAGGTGAGGGTTTTGCGAAAGAGCCGCGCTTATGGCAGCTTCAGACTCGGGTGGGGTTACAAGAGTGATATCTGAGAATCACGTCAGCGTTCTTCGGCCAGAGAAGTTCTTCAGGTCCATATTGCACCTGTAACCCCCATGCGTATGCACCATTCTATGGAGTACCACACCATGGGCCGATTCGCGACTGGCACCAAGGCCTTGGGAAAGTCTTCTGGACTTGAAGTGAAGGTATTAAGGGAAGCACCTGGTCCGCATAATATCAAAGCCTGGAAGCCCGGCGAGGGCAGAGTCGCATGCGGCATGTCTGCGGACTTGAACTGATGGAAGAGCACTAAGATGTGGTCGGGGAAGTGAGGAGATCTGCTACGCAAACGTAATCTGAGTAATTTACCAGTTATGAATATTGGTACTGAACAGAATGGACCTGCTCACGGTTTGGAGAGTGCTTACACGAAAAAGATGAAGCTTGACTCGAAATTAGAGCCCCACATGAACAGAATGGAGTCATCTAATCTAATCTGATCTAATCTTCTAGGCTTTTAATCGGCGATATTTCGGCTAAATGGCCAGCCACCAACTACCGTCCCTGCAGATAGACAGCCAACAAGCAACAGATATCCCTGACCCTCTTATTCGGATTAGCATGAAACCGCGAACGTCACGAACGCCGAATCGGTCCCAATCATTACATATAGATCCTTTGGGTGCCTGTGCTTCGATAGATCCAGATAGCAGATAGCAAAGGCACTACGGATTCTCCGATCAGAGCTACAGCAGCAACACACAGCGCGCAACGCACTGAATACCTGCAGTCTGATCAATATTTGGTTAATAGGGTGTTCTCAACAGACTGAAACCTACTGCTGTCATGCGGCACAGCAACAGGGGAGGACGCTATATCACTCTCCTGTTCCCGCGCTGCACCCCGCAAAGCCACAGCATCACGACTCGTATTCCCCTAGCATGGAACAATATCCGACCCCAGCTGCGCTCACGAGTCACGTCTTGGGTTTTAGCCAGAGCGTCACGAAGAGTCGGTTTCTCTTGAACGTTGGCTTCGATGTGCTGAACGAATGTAGCAAGATCATGATGAGGAACGATTGTTGTTCTATTGTGTTCTTGGAATACCAACCAACATGTTCCATGACTGCATCCTGCATTACCGCGCCAGGATTACGGGCCGATATTATAGCGGCATTTTCGTGGTTGACATTCACACAATCGGGGTTTGATTGGGCGGGATGTCAGCATTCTTTCGTCTTAGCCGCTTTAGTCGTCAGCGACCGTCAAAAAGGAACCGAAGATATGCTATGAATGGGCTCCGGCTCCAGGTAAATCCACTCAACAGGTCAGGGTAATGTCCACGTGTGGGGAACGGCACTGAACTACCTGGATCGTACGCCAAGGAACAATAAACTCTGCCTTGCTCAACGCTGTATTAAGTCGTCGTTCGTCTCAGCGACTTCATACCGTACGTATCTCGCCTTTCTACCCAGCTACATCTTCTGACGCCATCAACTGTATATCTTGTTGAATAAACCGCAGAGTAATTAATCTTCGTCTGTAGCCAGCCCAGGTGGATTCGCGCCACTATGGCTGCCTCCAACAGCTCACCCATTCTACGAGGGTCGAGCGAAATAGACGGCAAGTTTGTCCAAGAGGTCTCTCACGCAGAAACAGCCATCAAGCCGGACAGAGGCATGGAGGCACCACCACTGGTGCGAGATCTTACCCCAGAAGGCCGCATTGCTCTGGAAAAGAAGCTGAAGCGCAAAATTGATCTTCGTCTCATGCCAATGGCTATTCTCATGTACATCATGAACTATCTCGACCGCAATAACATCGCCGCAGTACGACTTGCAGGCCTGCAGACCGAGCTAAGACTTACCAGTGTTCAATACCAAACAACTGTCAGCATATTGTTTGTGGGTTACATCCTCATGCAGATTCCGTCAAATCTTCTTCTCAATAAGATTGGTCTTCCCGCCGTCTATCTCCCATCTTGCATGGTTGTCTGGGGCATCGTATCGGGCGCTACAGCCGGATGCCATAACTATGGCGGCCTTCTTGCCATTCGTTTCTTCTTGGGTTTCGTCGAGGCCGCGTACTTTCCTGGTTGTCTCTTTTACCTCAGTTCCTGGTACACGCGCAAGGAACTCGGCTTCCGCACTGCAATCTTGTATTCTGGATCCTTGCTATCGGGGGCCTTTGGCGGTCTCATCACTGCCGGCATCACCGGTAACATGGACGGCACCGCTGGTCTCCGGGCCTGGCGCTGGGTGTTTATCATCGAAGGTGCCATCACCGTCGTCATTGCCTCGGCCGCTTTCTTCATCCTACCCAATTTCCCGCGAACAACCAAGTGGCTCACCGAAGAAGAGCGCCAACTCGCCGTCTGGCGCCTACAGGAAGACATTGGGGAGGATGACTGGGTGTCTAGCTCCGATCAAAGCTTCTTCCACGGACTCAAGCTCGCTGTCCTCGACATCAAGGTCTGGATCCTGATGGTCATGCTCCTTGGCACCGTGTCCTCAGCTTCTGTGACGAATTTCTTCCCAACCGTTGTCGCGACTCTCGGCTACGGTCGTGTGGAAACGCTTCTTCTTACATCGCCTCCTTATGTTCTGGCGGTCATCTGTACATTTGTCAACGCGTGGCATGCCGACCGGACCGGCGAGCGATTCTACCACGTTATTCTACCCGCGTTTGTTGGCATCGCAGCGTTCATCATTGCAGCGGCGACTACCAATACCGCTGCTCGATATCTAAGCATGATGCTCATGTTACCTGGTGTATACACAGGATACGTAGTCCAACTGGCATGGATATCGAACTGTATCCCACGACCGCCAGACAAACGTGCTGCATCACTAGCATTGGTCAACGCAGTTTCGAACGCCAGTAGTATCTATGCGAGTTATATGTATCCACAGCCAATGAGTGGCGAGCGTAAGTTATCCGTCTCGTCTTGGTGGCTCGGAGAAGCAAAGTTAATCATATGCACAGCAATTGACCTTGTAGTTCCAATGAGCGTGGACTGCGCGACGCTATTTTTAGCCGTTTGTATGGCAGTGCTACTGAGATTTATCCTTGTTCGGTTGAATAAGAGATTGGATCGCGGGGAACATGTCGAGGGTGCTATCAATTCTGGTGCAGCTATCCCGGGTGAGGCAGCGAGCAAAGGATTCAGATTCTTGCTGTGATCATGTAGATCGAGGTACCGATTCAATTGCACCCGATTGTGATAGGTATAACCATTGTATATACTTTTGAAAGAGCTGGAAAACTGGACATGGTTAGATAATTGATCTCAATAGCACATCGTTCTGTTCCTTCTCAAGACATGTACAGTTTCAGTGTATAAGAGACGCTGTCGAAATCACAAACAAAACTCACAGTCGACCTCCAATTCCGTCTTTTACTGATGCCTCAGGCAGCAACAAGCTTTGACCCATAAACCTCGAAAGCACTTTACGGCCTCACCCATCGAGCTGATCATCTTTGTCGCAATGTAGTATTACACAGCCACTAGCCTAGCCCACTACATCCCCATATATCTCCCTATCGAGGCAGAATGTACCACCTCTTCAAAGGCCTCTACCTCTACGCAACAAGCAAAGAAGGTTAAGCCACTAAACACCACGTCGCATCCCAACCAACCCGCTAACGTCAACCACACCAGAATACTCAATCCTTCTCCTCGGTCTCGATAACGCCGGCAAAACTACCCTACTCGAACAAATCAAAGCGCACCACTCCAACTCCCTGCATCCCAACCTCAAGACCGTCCCGACGGTCGGTCAGAACGTCGCAACCGTGACACGCCCGGAGCTATACCTCAAGATCTGGGACGTCGGCGGGCAGCACTCGCTGCGCGGGCTATGGCAGAGTTACTATTCTTCGTGCCACGCAATCGTGTTCGTCATCGACAGCACCGATGTCGGCGACGCAGACGTCACGAAGCTGGCCTCGCTAAGTCCCGTCGAGGCGGATAGCGAGGCGGTCGGGAGGCTGGACGAGTGTCGGATGGTACTGGAAGATGTGCTACAGAATGAGGATGCAGAGGGGGTGCCGGTGTTAGTGTTGGCGAACAAGCAGGACCGTGAGGACTGTGTCGAGGTGGTGAGGATTAAGGAGGGGCTGGTGAGGAAGGTGTTTGAGGGGGAGAAGGGGGGCAATGTGAGGGATAGTAGGGTATTGCCATGTAGTGCATTGACGGGCACAGGCGTTCAGGAGGCTGTGGAGTGGTTGTGTAGTAGGGTGAAGTGGAATAAAGAGAGTCGGCCGCCGGTTATGAGGTGAGAAGATCATATAGGGAAGCATGGAGTTTCGGCGTGTCTGGACATGGCCATTCAAATGTAAGCGCGCATATCATAAGGTATTTCTGAATCTAATGACTGATGCTCGGAATGAAGATTATATGCTGAACATGTGACGGACCAAATCGCTCAGGCGTAGAATATATTCACGCTTCAGGCTTCTTGGTGGCCATATCGGTAGCTCTCATTCTTCCAGTAATATTAGGTTCACTTAAGCAAGTATTTTGAACAATATACTGACAACAACAGGAAAACGCGAGTACTAATAAGCGAATTAGATGGGTCGGAGTTGATGAATGACCAGTCGGACAAGTGAACAAGGTAATCACCGCCTTCATGTAACATGTCTGCAGCTTTAGTGTCTGTCTTTGACCGCTACCTGTATGTATGAGCACCTGCTTGGTCAGTGGCTTTAGACACTGGGCAAATGAACCTGGCAAGCAGGCCCTTCTCGGCCGTGCCTAGAACATTGAGAGGCAACAGACGTATAAACAAAGCAATTAAAGGACTAAAGCATATTTCATATATCTGCTGTACTTCCACACCGACGACTTATATCTTATATTTGACGCATTCACGATACCTGCTGTTTCATTGATTTCAACCTTTGTCTAATGTAGCCCACAACACGGAGCGCAGTCCGTGGACCTGCCTAGATTGACGCCATCCTTCTCGAGTATTTGAATAGTGGCAGCCACGTGTACATTCACATATAAAGGTTCCGGTCCGCCACGTCTTCAGGGGTCTCCTACATCGACAGCTGAACTGTGTGTGTAAAGCTTTCGAGATCCAGTGCAAGTTGAATGCAGTGCAGCGCATGAGGTCATCTCGGGAGAGGCGATGGCGATCTGGAGCCTCCTTCAATGCACTCGGCCGAGGCATTCCTGGAATGTCAGCTCTTCATGTTTGAGGCTTTTGGCTCAAGCTCGGCGCGATCGATTGTCTTGATGGCTATCAAATGTTGTGAAATGGTGGCCGAGTCGATAAAACACATAGGGGCGGTAAAGACATATATGGCATGCCTATGAATATCAAACATTACTACTTCGGACCGCTAGTAACACTAGTTGCTGGCGCATTTCCCACAAATGGAAAGACATTCTACATTACAACGGCGCTACCGACGATAGATGCCCTGAAGATTGCTACAGAAGTTTAGTGAGAATTAGAGTTGCGATTCGATGCTTGAGGTGCAAGTATGCCAAGCCAAGATTGGGTGGGTACTGAAGGGGTTCGGCCGTCTGCATTGTGATAATAAACCTCTTCCGACTACGCACGCAACAAGCAATGATGTGTTTCGGAGAAAAACCCCATGTGGGTTGATTACTGCCCTGATCTACCAAACGAATCCACAGCGGATGAATGGCTATATCTGGGAAGCCAGTGGGCCTAAATCGTAGGAAGGTTCTGTGGCTTGCCTGGTATTATGTGGATTTGATTGGCTACAACGCTCCCTACCATGGTTTGCCCGAGAGAAAAGTCTAGATTAAAGCCACGGAAAGGAATCTCCGCGCTGAAATGATAGATTTTTCCGGAAGCCACAAAAACAAGACTCCGAATCGCGGGCACTAACTGACGGCTGACGCGCGCTAATGACTCGATGCTCTACAGCGTTCGTGAAAAGGGATCGGAGATCATTCCGCATTTTCCTTGTGCGCGGAGCAACTTGAGGAGGAATGAAAATAAGTGATCCGGGGGCTGGACAATGCCATGAGAGGGCACACTTGTGAACACGTTAGATAACATGCAATACAAGGTCGTATAGGTTTGAAACAAAGCGCAACAATCAAGAAATGGATGAACAAAAACATGAAGTTTCGAACTCAAGGGTCTGAATGATGGCCCAAGTTTTGAGGCTAGGTCGCCCCGAGGAAGCACGAGCATGTTTCCCGAAAGAGAAGGTCGCGGAGAACGAAGGATTGGTTGTTGATAATTCTTTGACCTGACCAGAATATATTCATCTCAAAGGAAAGTGATAATATCACCAGGATCCTTATAGAAAATGCTGCTAGCAAGATCCGTGGCGACGCGTTCTCCGGATTTCGGCAGAGGCGCCGTGGTATTGCGCGTCTTCAGCTTGATATGTTCGGACCCTGTGAGTTAGCAAGGATGTGCACAAGGTACAGATTTCATGGCGGCGTTTCGTAGGAAAATGCGGTTCAATCCTAGATATACTTGATAGTAGGCAGCAGAAAGCCGCCTGGTTGCCGTTGGCTTGCGGCGGTATATTGGATCGCCCATGTGGCGTGAGCGGGAGCTGAATGATCGTGCTGCTAGAACCCGGCTGCTTCACGATAGTCAACAGTCGGTCACGAAGTGGAGGACTGGAGCTGATGCAGTTTACATGATCGATCAATAGTCAGCTGGATCCTGCCCGAAACCGTTCTGTCGGTCCTGGCGGTGGCTTTTGTCTAGACAAGTTCTCTCCCACCAGCATTCGGCTATTCCGTGGGTATAGACGAGATGTCATCAAACGAACGAGTCTGAAAACAAGCAAGGTACACACGAGTAGCGGATTGGACGCACGATGGTGTCGAGGACTTGTGAGGCAATGAGCGTTGTAAACGGGCGCGGGCGAGAAGCATGTTGGATGTAATGGATGTTGGATGTTGGATGTTGATGATCAATTACTAAATTGGAGCATACTGGGTCTCGGTCTCGCCGGAGACGCTAGTAGCTATCAAGTCTAGCCTCGATATATACACCAATGACAGCTGTACGACGCTGGGCCAGATCTGGCTTGGCCATGCACACTTTGCCGACGCTGGGCCCTCTCGCTGCATCAGCATCAGCATCAGCACAACAATCCTATGGCGATCGACATGCCTGTCTCCAAGACGCGTGGTATCCATGTCTCACTTGAGCCAAGCAAAATCCACTGTCTGAAGTCAGGAGTATACCTGCAACTTTCCTCGGTAGGCTTGCCACTACCCGCAGGCACGTCCGCAATGGCTGCTTTGGTGGACCGGGCCATTCTATATGAATGTCCATCGTGTCCAGCTGGGTCTCGATGAGGTGGCGGAGGATGCTCTCTGACTTCATCTTGGATCTTCAAGAAGAGGAGCGTACAAGTAATACGATCATTGCTCCGTCCAATCGTTCAATGCACGCCACTTCGAATCTGACAAGCCACCCCACAGCCGTGGACAGTACGTCCCTTGTGTACTACGACTATCTGAAAAATCTGATTCCTTCTTCGGAGTCTGAAGTGATTATCAAGAAGGAGAAGAGTCACGAATGTCCTGTTTGCCACAAGTCTTTTACACGGAAGGCCATATACCTCGACCACTATCGCAGCCAACACTCCGATGAACGCATTCTTTGCAGTATCTGCAGCAAACCATTTAAGCGACAGAACGACCGCCGAAGGCACGAAAAACTGCATTCCGACGAACGCGCTTTCCGATGTCAAGGAGAGAATGAGAATGCGCATCTTGGTTGTGGCAAGCGCTTTGCTCGCCTGCACTCGCTAAGAGAGCACCAACGGCGAAAACCCGAAACATCTTGCTATGAGCTCATTTCGAAGATACAATCAAGGCGGTCGTCTGCAACTACATCGATTCCATCAGAACCTGATTCGTTAAGCGAAGATGACGGGGACGTCGACGAGGAAGATTTGGTCATGCAGAGTATCGAACCAATCGAAATCATTGATTCGCCCACCGAATACGATATGGAGTATATTGAAGACACGAAACCTGTCACATCGACGCCACCAGTACCTCATATCTCCATCCAATCCGCTCACATATCATGGCCCTCTGTAATAGAGGCCAAGATTCGGCAACAGGCAGGACGTGCTCTCGCCGCTACCCACCACGAGCAGGTCCAACGGAACGTCGACGTCAAGAATTCAGTACCATCGCCATCTAATGGATCGGCATACCACTGCTGGCTATGTCCCAGTAGGTATACGCGGAAAGAGTCGTTCGAATTTCACCTACAGCATCACTTCCACGAATTGGAACAACGGCCGTATCACTGCTCCCAGTGTGGAGGGGATTTCTCTCTCATCGGCCATCTCAATACTCATATGTCAAACTGTACAGCTGCATTTGGCTTATTCCGGTGTAATTACGGCTGTGGTCGTGCCTTTCCATCGAAAGAGGACATGATTCAACATTGTAACGCTCCAGATGATACTGGATGCTTCGAGAAAGTCGGAAGATATGAACAGCATGTGAAGGCAATAATTCTAAATCGCTTGGCACAGCTCAAGGTGTAACAAATGAAGCACACCCAGAGAGCTATTAGACATCATTGATTAGCGCATTTTAGACGGGGTTTGGGCATACACATTATGAAGTCACGAGTTTACGAATAGCTGTTAGATACAAACACAATGGCAAAATTAAAAACCAACTATAATCATTTAACTAGCCCCTTTGACCGTATTAGTCTTGCATTGATGCCAGGTCATGGCCAAATGTATACATTTCGAATGATTCGACATAGTTCAAGGGGATTGATTCGTGCTGTCGATAATCCTATCGTAAGACATAATCTCACATCACATAAGCGGTTTTCACATTGTCATGATCGACCGGTGAACGATAAACGCCAGTCACGGCTCGATCTTGGCATTACTTATATCTCTGGGTTGTCAAATCCTGAGATTCCTTCAGTCTAATACCTTTCGCTAATATGTGCTCTAGACATCGCGGCACAGAAACCTTAATTTCGGCAAACTATGAATACACATGTCACAGGACTTGTTGGGGATTGACATGTAAACGCACATACCGGATTCGGAAAGGTGGTCCTATTGTGGCATTGGGGCGAAAAGGGAGGCAAGAGTGCTCATTCGGAGCTAATCAGCCCGAACTGGCTACCTTTCACCCTGAGCCGAGCCCCGAAGATCCGGAGAACAACCACCCAAAGTCGTTTTGCATATATAACCCGCCCTCGACCTCGGGATACCTACAAACTCTGACCACAGTGCGGATCATGATCATCGCCGCAATGCAAGGCTACGCTATCCGTTAAGAAAAAGGTTTCTTCCACGAGTAAGCTGTGCGCCCGCTCAGACAGGCTGCGTGCAACATTCACCGAGATGTTCTACCCACCGGACGCACGCGTCCGACATTGCCAGGCGCGCGTGGCCCAGGAAGCGTTCTTGATGAGCCTTAGATGAACGGACGAAAGGCATCTCTGCCTCGTGGCACAAGAAAGTCGTTGCGTAATATACTTGCAACCTGTACGCTTCTACACGTGGCTATCTGCTTGTAACACTGCCATGCAAGCTTATATTGCACTCCACTATAGGTGGTATTGTGGGGTACAGTATATGAGTTTATATATGACTTGACAGTAGCGATTTCTTTCTTTTCCGTATCGCTGGGTCGTTTTCTTCTTTTCCCGTCTTCAGGTGAAACTTGTCTCATCAGCAGATATGAGGTCGTCGACGCTTTTCGTTGCAGCCGTCATGGCTCTCGAGTCTCTGGCCGCGCCGGGCGGGTCTCTTGAGAAGCGTGCCCCTGTTGTGTATCTGGCGGGAGACTCGACTATGGCGGAGAATGGCGGTGGTAGCGGCACTCAAGGCTGGGGCCATTACTTACCCTACTCGCTCTCCATATCTGTTGTAAACAGTGCTATTGGCGGTCGGTCTGCGCGTAGCTACACCGTTGAGAGTCGCTTCCAGGCCATTGCCGACAAGGTCAAGTCCGGTGACATTGTCATTATCGGTGCGTATACTATCCGTTCCAGCCATTCAATTCCATTCCTTCATCACTGCGATCAACGACTGTCCACAAATGGGTTGAGGGCATCACTTGTTTTCGCCAATCATCTCGTCTCCAAGTCCTCTACCTCCCTAACCCTACCCACCAGAATTTGGCCACAACGACGGCGGCTCCCTCACCCCAACCGACAACGGCCGCACCGACTGCCCGGGCGCCGGCTCGGAAACATGCACCTCGACCTACAACGGCGCAACCGTCACCGTGCTGACATATCCCGCATACCTCCAGAACGCCGCCAAACTACTCATCTCCAAAGGCGCCAAGGTAATCATCTCGTCTCCCACGCCCAACAACCCCTGGGAAAGTGGCAGCTTCTCCTACAGCGCGAGCCGCTTCACAACATACTCCAAAGCCGCCGCATCGGCGACCAAGAGCAGCTTTGTCGATCACGGCCAGTACACGGCGAATATCTGGCAGAGTCAGGGGAAGAGTGTGGTCGATGCGTTTTTCCCGAACGATCATACTCATACGAGTGGACCGGGGGCGGATACGGTTGCAAAGGCGTTTGTGAAAGGGGTTGCGTGTGTAGGAAGTGCGAATCCATTAGCAGCATATGTGAAGAATTCGACGGCGAGTATTCCGGGGTCGTGTATTTGATATGAATCAAACAATGGACGCCGATTTGTATATATGAGAATTGCAATTCCGAATAAACAATCTATGTTTACAGAACTATCATCTCTTAGCCTGGCGTTGTGGAGTAATTAATCATACATATGTTGAGTAGCGTTGTGCTTGGTAGGTGAGGATTTTGCATCAGTTTAGAAGACAGATGAGACGGTACCAAAGCCCGATGAAAATTTCTGCAAAAGTAATAAATGATAGTTACAAGAAGATAAAAAATTCACCACTGTCGTTCGCCAGGAATCTGACCCCCCCCCTTTCTTTTCTTGCGCCCCCATCTCGAACCCTACCATCTTGAAACCTGACAGTCTCATCGTACCCAATCCTTCTGTTATTCTCCACTCTAACAAGCTGACATCGACTCCTTGTAGATGCAAGCATCACTCGGCCCGTCACTGACCTCCGTCGGCTCATTGCCGGGTGTCGTGCCTTTGTACTCCACGCACACTTTCTTGACACTGCTGACGCAAGTATTTGCGTCGATGGTAGATGTGTCGCCAAAGTTGCTGTTGATGCCGGTGAGCACCTTGCCCGACGTTGCAGAGACATTCTTCAATACGACATGGCGCTCGGCGGACTTCTTGCAGTTGCCACAGCTGCGGTACAGCTTTCCAAAGTCCACGGCCGTGAAGCCGTCGATGGTGACGGTACCGGCGCCATTGTGCTGGATCACCTTGTCCGAGGCTCCGGTTGCGCCGCCGCCGGTGATGGTAGCGTTGCCGTCGCCTTTGAGGGAAAGGGCATCTGTAGACACGGGTGAGTATATAGCTTGGCACGGAAGGATGATGGGAGAGGAGATAGTATGGTAAGGGGGAGAGGGAGGTGTACCTTCACACACGGCCGCCCACCAAACGTTCTCGATAGTGCAGCTGCCCTCGCAGTGCACGCCCTCAATCTGATCGCTGCCGATGATGGCATTCTTGAGTGTGGCCCCGTCGGCGAGGATGAAGACAGCGTCGGAGTCGTCGCCTTCGTCCTGGCCAGTGCAGGTCACGCCGCGGCCATATGTCTTCAGGCCACCATCAAACGTGCCCGAGATCTCCTTAGCCGCATCGTAGGTGACGCTGCCCTTGGAGGCAGGGATGGGGAAGGATGCGCGCTTCTGAAAGACAGAGTGGGTGTTTGCAGTGATGCCGGCTTTGCCAGAAGAGGGGATGGCAAGCACAATGGCAGAAAGGGAGAGAATGAGAGTGGCGAGTCTGGAGTTCATGATGGCTATGTTGGATATAAGATAAGACTTAATGCTTCCTCTGAGTTGAAATGTGAAGTGAAGGATTGGTCAGACCGCTAGGGTACAATAATGAATGAATTGAAGACGAAACTCAATTGAAATGTAGAAAGAGTGTGATGGTTGCTGAGTAGAGAAAAGCGAATGTCACGAAGATCAGAAGCTCCTTTATACTTCGCGATCCTCAGTATGCCACATCATCTCCTTTGTTCCACAAACATGACTTAATCAACAAAAGTGGTCCTTAAACAAAGTAAAAAGATGACGGAGATTCCATGTAGCAGCCACATGGGATGCAAGGAGCCGCACTCCACGGCTGTCTGCAGGCGTCGCAATATCCAAGGCAATAAGGATCAGAGCAGATTCCATCTGTTACCAAGTTAGATGAATGTGGCGTAACAATGAAAACTGGGCTAATCTTTTCACGGCGGAGATATCGCATATATTCGGAAATTCCAGACTCGTGAATCCACTCGAACTAGATTGGTAGAGAGACTCATGACTGTCCATAAGGCTCCATCTGACAGACATCAAAGCAAAGACCGACGACAGTGGCGGAGACAAGAGGTTTTGCCAAGACCGGTAATGCTTCTGCATCAAGGAATTTACCGGAGACACATGAAACAGTCTGGGACCACAACTTCCAAGCCAGATCAATCTATACGAGAACGCCAGCAGCGGCACTGCAGTGGGAACACGATTCGAACAACAGCCGTAGGCAAGAGACTTAGTCCTAAATTTTCCTTGGGTCGAATTGTGAGGTGTACGCACATAGCGACGCAGGATATATTGTCGGACATGCACACTGGCAAGAGTCGTGGAGATGCGACGATAGTGACTGACCAACACGACAACAAGGGCACGTCTTGCAGTGACAAGTGATACCACGAAATCCAGATTCGTGGCCATACGGTGTCTTCACCCCGCAGGTGCAGGTTATTCTTGCTATATTCGATCATAGGCATGTAGCTACAAACAGCTCGGGTGTATCTGTCATAGTTGTAGTGCTTAGTAGTCATCGGGCATTGAATGTTCGAATAAAGCAATATCGATTAGAAGAACCTATGCGTAATGAGCGATCAGAAGTCTGCGCACATGTGTCAGACATAATCAAATAGAGTCGGCAGTGGAGTCGACACTCAAGTCCCGATTCGCGACGGCTAGTGCTCAAATTGTGGGGAGAGTGATACTGGACTCAGATATGTCGTGAGGAGTGGATTCTACGATACAACCACGTACCTCTGGTGCCGGTGCCTTGTGCATTGTGACTCGTGAGTAGAGGATCTGAGTCGCAAAAGCAGAGAACAGTACTTCTACACCAACAACTCGACAACTGTACCTACGCAAGCTATCACGATTGGTGGGATCTTGCGCCCCACGAACCAGGTGCCTGGACCAAGGAATACAATCCCTGATAGGTGCACCTGAAGGGGGTTCCTGGGGGACTAACGATTCATTGAGCTTTGATACTACTTTCTGTAAAGCAGTTCCCACTATCAGAGTGGTGTTCTTAGCTCTGATGATAAGTCACCTCAGTGCCTAGGGGCTGGTCGTGCTTTCAACAGGCACCTGCATGATTGTGTTACCTAATCCGTCAGCTGAGAGGTACGAGGCTCTGTGCATGGACCCCGTTCATTTGTTTCCACTGCGGTCCAAAATTCCCTGTACGTAGGGCTCGGAGAAGCTGCTTCGTCGAGGAGTAGCCGAAACGTGGAATGAGTAGTCATTGGTACCGGAGACATTCAGAGGTACGGTGAAACTTGGAAGTACGTACTTCTCCGGCTTATTTACTTATTCAGATCATAACGCGATAACGATGAGTCGCTCTGCAATGATAGTGGTCGCAGCGCTTGCTTCCACGAGGAAGACTCCAGTAAATCAGTATAAATAGACACAAATATCAAGGTCCAGGCCTCAGTAGCCATCTCCCGGTTTCCACTTCCGACCGGAGTCTAAAGCTCTGGCTTGTGGGTCTTGACCTCTGGTCTTCGCTTCGGCAACTTGTGCCCATACAACTCTGGAGGCCTCCTTGATCTTTCTTTCAAGCTGGTCCTTTACTCCGATTGCCGGTTTGCTCATCTCATCTTTCGATTCTTCAAACTCTTTGGTCCAGGAGCTCAGAGATATCTGCATCAGCCGCATATCATTCCAACGATCGGTGAAATTCTTATATGCTTCATCACCACCAAAGCACACGCCGTAGCCGTCACAGTAACATTTGTCCATGGCCTGACACACTACGGGAGTGTATTCCGTGAATATGTAGTGCCAGAGATATTCCCAAACTCTCCCAGACACCAGATCGTGAAGTGGTGTATTGATGATCCATTGTCGGTAAGCTTCGAGCCTCTCGATGGGAACCTTCAAGACAGCCTCCTTGGACAGAGCGAACTGTGCACAGCATGGTGTCGCTATAGTCTCAGGAACGTCTCTGTTTGGGAATATTTGCTTGAAAGCTAGTGCAAGTTCGCGTTCTTCGGGCTTCGAGATGTCTGTACGATTCGATGGGTCATAGGGATGCATCCAGTCAGGACAACCTGTGGAGGCAACTTAGACGTGTCTTCAGCAATCAAGATGTAATATCAACGCACCTGGATCCCAATGACAGCGCATGTTGAAGTAACCCTGACGCTTTACGTGTGGTGCACTGAGAGCACGGAGCATTTGAGCTGCGTCGGAAGCGAAGAGATCATTGTTATGCCATGCAATCTTGTGTGCATGCATGAATGCCATGACATCCGGTAGATTGTCATAGTTGTCGATCAGGTATGTCAGATAGACCATACCCTCGTGGCCCTTGTTCATGGGAACTGTAAATTCTGCAGTTGGGTCATCGACTTTGTATATCACACTCTTGACATCTGGAACGTCTTTCTCCAGCCAGCTTGTGTCTTCGTCCTTTGTACTTGCTATGACAACGACTTTGGATAGGTTGTCTGGTGGTAGGTTGCTTGGTGGTGCTGGTATACCAGATATGCCTCCTGTAAGCGGGCCATTGGCATTAATAGGAGTCGCAAGAAAGATACGCGTCTGGAAAAGGACGAGGAATATAAAGACAAAGACGACGACAATGACAGGCCGTCTAGATGAGATCATTGCAGATTGGGCAGGATTATCCCGCAGTGTGTAATTATGTAAAAAGACACGGACGCGTTGTTTTCTGAGTTCTCTGGGGATAATGAAACTTGGTGGTCGGGGCTTTCACCGGGAGTTGGTGGGGAAGAGGGAAGAGAAGAGGGAAGAGCCGCAGGAGTCCAGACTGCACGGGCGGACGAACGACGCGCGCTTCGGATCGCCAGCCCCAGCTGGTTGGTTCTAGCGGTCTATTAATTATAGTTTAGGGATCCCTCCATCTTTAAGCAACGAGAAGGATGACTTGGCTGCTAGGCGTCTCTCTGTTGTGCATACGACAAACAAACTCCCCACTGCCATGGTGCTTGTTCAAGAGCTCAGACATGAACACGAACCACCTACTGGGTGAGCAAGGAGAGGAAAAGCTATTTCATGCCTGATTGCCACATCGTCCAATCTTCCATCACTGTCAAGTGCCATCTCACTCTCATTGATCATCAGCAATCTCACCTAAGGCTGCGCATTTGACCTGGATCCTTTTTCCAATTCCCTTCTTTTGCACTCTGCGATGGAAGAGCAGATACACGACTCGTCATCACGCGCGCCTGCTCGATGATCCCTCGTCTTGAAGCCTCAGGCAAACAACTACAAGCAACTGAAACGTCTGTCCGGGAAGAGATTCCTTCGTCCAGGGATTCCAAACAGCGGAAAATGTCAGAAATCATGCCTTTTACAGAATTTGCCAGTCTGTACCAAGGTACGTTTGAGCCCCATGGTGGACAATGGCTATGGAATTATGGCTCTCCGATACTGATCGTCGACTCGCACAGCGGTGGCTGTGTTGATCTTATGAAAAGTGGAAACATTACCCTAATTTGCCTTCAGGCGTTCGCCGTTTTTTTTGGCTCGGTCCCTCATCCTTTGTGACAACACAAGCAGTATTCGAGCAGCGAGTCTTTGAACGTCTCGATCTGATGACACTTGGCTTGAGGCTTCAACACGCTCGTGGCTGTGTCTCTATCTATACTGTGATCGGCTCGCATAACACTGTCCTGGCTGCGCAGAGCAGTAGGGGTCATATGCTAACATATGTCACACCCATTTCAGCCCCAGTCTCGACCACTCATAGTCTAGAGCCTCAACCGTTTGAGTTATAGTATCACTAACTAACAGCCCTCGCGCTCTCTGAGTGGCTGAAATAGACTATGATGCTAGTCTCCGTAGGTCCTCCAAATATGTTTCAAAGCATACAAGCTGGGCATAGAAGGGGGCCAGAAAAGCAATACCAGACTCCCGTCATCCAACATTCCCTTTTATCTCGATTTGCCCCTTCTTCCTCCGCATCACAGCGACATATCAACCAAGCCAATGTTGTTCTGATACAGCAACAGTGGTCACGCCGTAACCACAAGCAATACCAAATTCTCGACCATCCGTCGCTTCCAATCACTTTGCGTCGTTCTTTCCTCTACTGCGATTCTTCATGATCACGATGTATTCGTCACATCTCCCACGGATTTTTGTTCTCTCCCTAACGATCTATGGCGTAGTCTATGGGCAAACATGCTATCGTCCGGATGGTAGTGAGTCTGGAGACACGCCCTGTCAGTCAGGCGACGGCTTGACAGTATTTTGTTGCCCATCTGGCTCAACATGTGTTGCCGACCCAGGACCGATCTGTCTAATGTCAAACGGAGGGTACCTCCGTGGTAGCTGTACGGCGCAAGACTGGACCACTGACGATTCTACTGCGTGCCCGAAGTTCTGCTTAGGTGCGTACCAAGAAAGGACCCATTACCAACAACCTACATGCTAATACACACGCAGCGAAAGATTCAAACCAAGAGGTTGAACGATGTGGATCTTCCAACAACTTCTGCTGTGGTTACGACTCGGACCAGAACCTCTGCGACTGTAATCCCAGAAACAATACGTTCGCTCTCGATTCATACGCACCGATCCAAATCGTCAGCTCGATGACCTTGCATCCAAGTTTCACCTCAGAAGCCCCCTCACAGTCATCGACTCTACCGCCCTCATCAACACCCACTGCAGCCAGCGAAACACCCACCGCAGGGAGCGAAACACCCGGTGCACAAACGACTGGCTCCAGTGCACCTACAGGATCGCCAACACCCGAAGCGTCTGCGTCTTCTGGCCTGAGCACAGGCGCCAAAGTCGGGCTGGGCGTCGGCATTCCGATAGGCGTCGCTTTCATTGCTGTACTCGGCTGGCTTGCCTGGAGACAGCGCAAGAAGACCCACAGCGCACCAATCAGTGAGCTCCAGGGTCAAACCCAACAACCGCAATTCTCTCCGTATCCGGTGGAGCAGAAGCCCGAGTGGATGCAACACCAGGGCGCGTATGGCCAAAACAACTCCTATGCGAAGACAGCGCCGGTGGAGGTAGATGGAAGTTCCGCGCCGCTGCCGTATGGTGCTCAGGGACCGCCGGCGCCGGTGCATGAGATGCCCACGCAGCAGAGGTGAAGAGAGGGACACAACTTTATTGATGTTATAATTAGCGAACATTGCTGTAAAGTTGAACTGGCAAGCCTTTAAGCTATCCTTTCGGCTAAAAGGAACCTTTCTTAGCGTCTTTTGACAGAACTGCCATTGCAGACTTCTCTTTCCTCAATATACCAATCTCACGATACGAAATATGCCGACTGATTTCGTCGACATTGATGTTCTACTTAGCCCTGACAAGTGTTCTCCGGGCGTGTGGCCACGCTCACACTGATTAGTGCTCACATATTGATTATAGTCGATCTCGCCATATGTTTCTTCGTGCCAGTGCCCAACACCTGCGAAGGATGAAGACGCAGCGACTATCAACGAGAAAGCAAATTCAAACATAACCTCTCCCCTAATCATTGCAACCTGTCCACATGTCATATCCTCTCCCAGATAAAAAAACCTCTCTCCATAGTAACGCACTACAACAAACAGCATAGCGAGCTAGCACACTTCAAGCACGGTACATCATCTCTCATAGAAATACAGCTCTGGAACGGCTATACTCTTTAGTCTATAACACTTGATTGACACACACGCGTCTTAGTTGAATTTCCCCGTTTTCAAGACCCTATCAGTTTCTGTAGATAGATGTGCGTGGACCTAGAGATGCTCGAGGAGGTTTCTCGGAGAGCCCGCAGGTGGTCACTATTATATCTCCTTGGGCGGAGAAGGATTTTATTAATCTTGAAAGCATAGAAAGTCGATAGCTAGAAGAGCTTCAAGCTATTTATTATACTAATACATATAAATATTATAACGACTAGACGGATTCTAGTTGATATAGTAAGTAAGTATATACTAGAAGAATGGACTCTTAGAGTGTGTTCACTTCGCTGACTTGAGGTGCAAGTGGCTACGTGACTATTATGCACGTGCATAGTTCAAATCAGCCGCGAAAAAAAATGGAAAAGGAAATGCCAAACAGCGGAATTGAACCGCTGATCTTATCATCTCGTGGTAGTACAAGTGATACGCGTTACCACTGCGCCAGTCTGGCTTTAATTGACAAGATTTGAATTAGATTAAATATACAGTTATGTCAAGCTTGTGATATAAGATTGGAAGAAGACTGCAGAAAGAGTCCTAGCTGGGTATGGTGACTATGGTGACGTAGCGGCCTAGACTACCTAATTGGGACTAGCAGCTGGCCTAGCCGACCCCACTTCTCCTAGTCTCTATTTTATTCCTACGGGTTCTCATAAAAAGATACTAGTCCCCGCTAGCGTCCTCACCAAAACCACGACTAAAAAACCACCTTTTCCCTCATAATAAATTAACCACGCCCTTAATCAAAAATCTGTTCCGATAAATCGTGCTCCTAGCTACGCCGAGTAATTCTATATACTTTTTATAACTTGTAGGCGCGGCGTCGCAGACGAGTTCCAGTTACAAGCCTCTGGTGTCGCGTTTAGTAGCAGCTTGAAAATTCGCACGTCTTAGCCGTGGATTTTCCGGCGTGCCTTAGTGCCTTAGTGCCTTAAATTAAGACTGCACGCAGTCTGCCGGCCGCAGGCCACCCTAGTCTTTCATATATACTTCTACATCCGATCGATGAGCTCACAACTCTAATTATCTAATCTGCAAGAACCATGAAACCGGCACTGCTTGACGTCAAAGTGGAGCATACAACAAGCACAGGAAAACAATGCATTACGCGAGCCTCCGGCTTGTATTCTCTGCTATTAAGCACGATCATCTCACGAGTGAAGAATTCATCGACGTGCTATTTGAAACAGCAGACAAGGGTGGTGATTCAACATACACCGACGACGCGGGCAACTTGATTCTAAAGGTCGCCCAGGAGTCAGAGGATGAGGGGAGAAAGCGGGATAACGATGTACTTGCAATGAACTTTGCGCGAGAACGCTGCACTCGCGAAAGAAGGAGGTGAGACAGCAACAGACATAGACTATTCTGGTTAGGCGGGCGAACAGCTTCAAAATGGCAACTCCTTCGCGCCACATAGCGTCGATCCGGCTCCCACAAGTTCTATACACGTTAGTTACGATCGACACGTCCAAGACACAAGTCTGTATTAGCTACGATCGATAAATGAAAGGCTGGCTGAAAGTTCGACTATTGTCGGCAATCACAACAACAATGACTTCATTACGACGGCAAAGACTATCCTCAGGACAAAACTTTATATCGTTAGCACAGTTGTACCAAGTACTTAATGGAAGGCAGTCTCGCCCCGTAGAAGAGAAGTTTCAACCACGATTTCTACTGAAACGTTGATCAGAACCTCATCCTCCAGATTCTTTCACAATGCAATACCAATCTGTTCTCACGCTCGTCCTCGCTCTTGCATCGCTGGGCGCCGCCCAAGGTGCTATCTGCCCAGATAACCGTGTTCCTCAATGTTGTGCCACTACGATAGTGGATGTCTTGGGAGTCGTAGACCTCGAATGCCAGCAACGTAAGTGGAAACTTCTCAATCTGCATCTGCTGCCTTGCTAAAGTAGTTCAGCACCTGCAACACCGACTAGTGCTGCTGATCTGCAGAGCATGTGTGTCATGAGCGGAAGAAGAGCGAGATGCTGTGCTGTACCTGTTGTAAGTTTCGATATCACAAATTTCGCACTCTCATATAGATAGAAGCTGACCTGACTCTTTTCAGGCGGGGCAAAGTTTGGTTTGCGCAGACCCTTGAGCTCAAGCGTAATAGAACAGTTATACTCTGGGCGGGACATTGTAATTTAGAACAATAGAAAATATTCATTGAATGCGCTTCACACAAGATCAGGGAGATCATGTAAAACTTATCATTCTTTGCAGAACAGGTGGCGGTTGGATCGTTGAACCTTGATAATATTGCATACAATGCGCCATGAGTACTACGCCACACACTGCCATGAATATCTCATGATATCATGATGCTAGAAGAGTTTATTTTCTCTTGTCTCATGTGAGAAGAGCAGGATATGCACCATATACTTTGTTTCGAGCTCCAGCCAATGAGCTTCATTCTGCATAGTAGCCACCCCAACTAATTGGTGGACGGTCACGAGTCTGGGAATCAGATTTTCCGTATCCCCAGGTTTCTCCACATCTGAACTGATCATGTAGCCTCGAATATATTGACCTATGTAATGGCCTGCATAGGTTTTTGAACCATGGAGACGATACTACAGGTCCTTTGTGGGGTATCGGTGGATCCATGACCAGATGGCTGTACTTAGCAGATGATGGCACCCGTTTTAAATGTTCTAGTGGCTTTGCATTTAATATAATGAGGTACAGCGCCGGGAAGAAAGGGCCGTGGAGGACACCTTTTTCCCGCAATGCAGTTGCTTTGGTCGCAAACGTTGCATTGTGCGCTGTTATAGCTGGCGAAATTCCTAAATCTTTGCATGCTATTTGCCCAGATCGAAGAGTTACACCCGCATCAAATCCAACGTGAACTCCAGCATTGACAAGATGAAGTATTCAACCTTCGTGCTACTCGCGACAGCAGCTTGCGGTGCATTGGCAGCACCAACGACGCCTGTACCATCAAAGACTCTCGAGAAGAGAGCAGACTACTGCGGACAATGGGACTCCAAGGTAACAGGGACCTATACGATATACAATGTAAGAGGATGATGAATCAACATTGTGTCGAAGCTAATGTTTTCAAGAACCTCTGGGGCATGAGCGCAGCAACCTCTGGCTCACAGTGTACTGGCGTCGACAGTCTGAGCGGTTCTACAGTCGCTTGGCATACAAAGTGGTCGTGGGCTGGAGGTCCTTACAGCGTCAAATCATATGCCAACGCTGTGGTCAAAATGACAGCTACTCAACTATCAAAGTTGACTTCGTTGGCCACCACATGGAAGTACTCGTACAGCGGTTCCTCACTCATTGCCAACGTAGCGTATGATCTGTTCACCAGTAGCTCGACTGGTGGCTCTGCAGAGTACGAGGTCATGATCTGGCTGAATGCTCTGGGTGGTGCTGGCCCAATCTCGTCGACTGGAACTAATATCGCTACACCCAGCGTTGCCGGTAAAAGCTGGAAGCTCTACTACGGCCTGAACGGGTCAATGAAGGTGTATAGTTTCGTGGCGAGCAGCGCCATTACAAGCTTTTCAGGCGATCTTATGGACTTTATCAAGTATCTGGAAAGCAGCCAGGGTCTTCCAAGCAGCCAGTATCTCCAGAGCATCGGTGCCGGAACTGAGCCTTTCACGTATGTTCACATTTTGTATCATTCATTGTAGCTCGACTAATACGATCTGCAGAGGGTCCAACGGCGTCTTGAGTACAACAGCGTATAGCGTTGTGGTGAAATGAATGGAATTTTTAGTCAAAAGCCCTGTCCAATCGTCGAAGGAGTAGCCTTTTAGTAGTATTAGTATGGTGTGTTTGTGCATTAAGCGATGTATACTTACACACTTCTATAGTTTCTCACATCCAAATCTAAAGAAATGATCAATAAGAACTTGCCTGATAGCCTTGATACAGGAAGACAGATTGACCGAAAAGTGAAGTCTCTTGAAGAATGAATACATTAGACTCAGTTCATTGTACCCTAATCACGTAGGGGGACTTTTCGGGGGAGTAACCTTCATTTTGATCCACGAGGAATGCACCAATAGCAACCATATGAGTCCGTATATATATGTTTCCATCTAGATCGCATCTATTTTTGTATTTTGTCGTACTGGAATAGGCCCTTGCGACCGCGCATTTGTCCAAAAACGTCGTCAGATTCTATGCAAGATCTGTCCAAATAGGACCATGGTTTAACACTAGTTCCGGAGCGGTATTATCAGAAGAAGCTTGTCTGAAGATTTTCCTGCTTCCACAAGTCTTCTAGACGCTATCACTAGCTATATTCGGTAATGTGTATGTCGTAGTAAGCAAGGCTGTCCAGTTTAGTCTCCATAATTTTCAGCGACTTGAGCTGTTGTGGGCTGCTGTGACTAAGCACCTTATCCTTACGTGGCGGCTCTCAAGAAGACTTAGTGACCCTGCGAGACTGTAATTTTGGAACTGATGTCAGCTTTGAAGTGATCCCCTCGTCGAGGTCAGCTTGTCTTCCAGATTACTGCGAGAACGAAGAAAAGCGGACGTAATGCGCGAGACGGGGCCGTATCTTGCCAGTCGTTTGTGATTTATCGGTGATAGGAAGTCATTGCCCGGCTGGGTCACTCCAGTATCTCACGTTAAGACCGGTGACTTTTCAGACCGTCGGGTGAGCCGGAAGTGCAGATGGAAACGAATATTATATCTGGTCAACAGGTGGTTAGTGGGAAATGAGAGTGGGTGGTTGCCAAGTGTTGTGCTTTTCCGTAGTCTTCTCGTCACACTAAGGCGAGTGGAGCTGTTTAAAGCGGATATGAACATTAGTGCGTGATGTCGTCACTGGTAGGCCGTATAAGCGTTGAAAGAAGAAAGTGTGTGTTGGTGGAAAGGAATGGCGAAGAAGCATGCGAGTGGAAGTTCACGGATTCGCTGTGCTTATGCGATCATTGTTCAGTAGCTGGATGCCAGTCCTGTTAAGGTTTAGTACATCTCACTAGCGGCTCGGCCCAATCTCAACACCTCATGGCTTCTATCTACATCTATTTTTGCATATTGGTAAATATCCTGCGTATATTGAACGAAGCGGTGTGAAAGTCAGAGTATCACAAAAGCCTTACCAATCCTTCCGCTACTCAAGATACCTGTTTATCAATAGTACTACATTGGAGTAGTGATCATACTATGTCAGGACTACAGAAGCTGCTGGAATCGCCAACGCAGGTATCTCTTCGAGGTCGAAATGGCTTATATCATCAGGCTCCTCTGCCTATCTCCCAAAGAAGATGATGACTTGATGGGTAGTAAGCAAGACCGTAAAGAGCCCGGGGAAATAGCAGGCTACGAAGCATTAGCTTGCCAAGTTCTAGAGAATATACTTCATGTTCGGAAACGGTCGAATATAGGAGCGCCTAATGACAATTGTCATCTTAAACAACAACTGCGGACCTAATAGAGCGATCTGGACCAGACCTGCATACTCGTTATCGGCAACGCCGTGATGCAGATACACAGGAAACTTATGACATACAATCGGGAAGCAAGTCGTAGCGGAGCCGAAGTATCTGGACCATTCCGAGCATTTTATGACACCTTAGTTGGACTCAAGATTCTGACCTCACCCCAGTTACCATAGCATTACAGACTCATCATCTGAATCCTATGTCTCGTGATATATCGTAAGCAGAGTATCGGCATTCATCTCATTCCTAGTATAAAGAGAGGTTGTCGATCGCTATCAATGATCTCACTAACACTAACATATCAATATCACATCCATTCAATATTCCAAACGCAATACCGATACAGCCCTTCATCCCCGGGTCTCCACTCGATTGACGATACCGTCAAAACGAAGCAGACGCAGCATTCACGTAGTCTTTCAACTGGCCCCGACAGCCGCGAAGATACCGCCCACGAGGGTCTTGTCGAAGATCACCAGTCTCTCACGAAAGCCAACATTCAAACCAGCAACAGAGAGACTAGAGAGTCTGACCAGCAATTAGTTGCATCCCAACACTTCAGAACCCACCAGAATACTCGTGAACCAACGCGAACTCCGTCTCAAAACCAGTCCGAAGAAAAAGGGAAGACAAGTCCTGTGAACACCATTTATCAGAGCACCGAAACTTCGCGCCATACCGGAAAGCAAAATACCAGGAGCAGCATGCCTCAATCATCCTCTTCTTCAGGTTCCTCGGGTAGTTCTTCGTCGAGCCAATACCCGCTACCATATGCTCCATTTCCTTTCCCTATTCCTCCAGGCCAGGGGCAAGGACAACAGGGTGGACAAGGACGCTAGTCTTCTTCCCAGACTCTGTATGTCACGAAATATGTAGGATTATATGGTGTCCATCAATTGGAACACTTTCATGATGCGATAAAAGAATGTTAAAGCATGAATAAGTATTAGAAAGATGCTTGGGCCCACGTCTGTGTATGACTACCGATGAAAAAGAGATGCGTCGATAGGCTCTTATAGTCCTGTCTCATTTTATTACTGTACATTAGATACACTCATTTATAGATAGACTTCCCTTGATATATCTAGTTTGTTAGACAGCTATATCAATACAGCCCACCAGAGCGATGTGACCGATACCTATGACACGATTCTGCTTTTTCTGGTTTTAACCACTTGCCATGAGTCATGGAATACAAAGTTAAATCCTTTCGAACGCCATATACTATTGATACACACGCAAGCTGCTTATATGCTGGGGATACAACTAATAACACATGTCAGTCTAAATTAAGTCTTATTCTCCAAAACTCCATTCTGCTGCGTATGCTGAAGCTATATGTAAATTCGATCCTATCGAAATTGTGCCTAGACTGCGCTGTACCCGCCTCTGCTGCTAGAGAGAGACCCAGTAGCCCGTCGTGCCCAATCTTTCAGAAGGTACGGCAGATCTCGGATCGTGTCACCATGAGGTAACAGATCCCAGCCGCGGGCGCCATAACGGCTGTAGTTTAGCCAAGAGCCAAAGACGAGATATGCGGCGACACTAAGAAATAGGCTGATAGGTCACGTCAGTCGAGGTCAGGCAGTGGCGAAGACGGGTGTTCGATACTTACACCACGATGAACCAAGTGAAGAAGCCCCAAGATCCATTGGACTTCTTAGGCACGTCACGTTCAGCATTTTCGCAGGCATACTTGGTGTGCCACTCAAGACGCAGAACGTCCATCTTTTTTCCCCCTGGCAGCTCTCGCTCGTAGCTCTTGTACTTCAGAGGCCTGCTGTCGTCTTGCTGGTCACCATCGTCGCTATCATCATCCCCGTCGTTGTCGCCGCCATTGTTTTCGTTATCGTTATTGTCGTCGTCGCCCCCATCGTCATCGCGTCTATTTTTCGCCTTGGGTGACTTAAAGTGAGGATCAGTCTCGCCTAAACCGTCGAGGCCGTCAACATCCGGATCGCAGATAAATTCGATCAGAGCTCGTTGGGGTGTGCCTCCGCTTCCTTCCATTGGATGACGACCGCCATTCATTTCCAACCTTAGCCCATCCTTCTTAGAGTCTTCGTGTGAGTCCGAATCTTTTAGTCGTGTCCATTTCGCGTCCTGATGGCCACCGTATGAGCTCGCGAACTGCCCGGCAACAGATACGACTTCGTCTACAATGGCACCTGATGGGTTGATCAGATATTTCACGCCACAAACTAACATTGGTTAGGAAATGGTTCGTCATATATGATTACACTAATAATGGTGACTTACTATTAGCACCCTGTTTGCATTGGCTCAAGTCATCATCGGATTTCTCTTTTATAAGGGGACTGCATAAGTCCAAAGTGAAAGTCTGGTTGTGAATACTTTCGCCTGGGATCTTCTGTTCCCTGAATACAGTATGCGCGCCCTTCAGTGCCGATAGATCGTAGGGAACATCGTTTATACGGATGTTTGGGCAGTCTATGCTACTTGCGGCCGATACAAGGGTCGGAAGAAATAATAGAGCAGATAATGGAAGGTAGTCTTCTCGCGTAAATCGCATAGCTGGCGATGCGATATGGTGAGGCTTGAGAAGAAGCTGGGCAAGTAAGGGTGATCCGGATCAGCCCACGGTGAGGTTAATGGCAGAGGGAGATAGATGTTGGCTTTGAAAGGCTTTGACAGGCTTGAGGACAGTGGCAGGGAAAGCTACGACGATGTAGATGACTCGGAAAGAAATGTAGATGATGTTGCGTGTTTGGCAGGGTACTTACTAGCATTTCATCGTGCGGACGCGCGATTCGACGAGGCTGGTGCCAAGCTTTAGCAGATCTGATGACGCACGGCTACCTAGGTTGGATCTGTTCTCATATCCCACATTTTACGCACGGCATCGAACCAGGCTTATGGTCCTTGCTACGAGCAAACAATCGATGGACCACTCGGCAATTGTTAGATGTGCGTCTTTCATGCTCCCCGTGTGGGCTGTAAATTGGACTATTCATGGTCCATCTTGGATCTGTAGACAAAACAATAGATGCATCATGTCCTTTTGGCCCCAAGCAACCGTTATTGAGATCAAAGGATATGTACAAATACTACTGGATACAATAAATAGAAGTTCGTTCGAGGAAGTAATGTTCAGAGCATCTGCTAGATACCCAATAATTAGGTCTTCTGGGCTGAAGAACTGCTAAAAGAATTCCTGTATACTTTGAAACAAAGCACGCTTATAGTACAGTACCTTCGTACGTTCAAGAAGCCTGAGAGATGGCATGCCTTGGTTAAGCACCTATTCAGTTGTTTATAAACTTGTTGATTATGATGCTGTGTAATTATAGTCACAGGGACAAGCTTCATGGAGATGTCAAAGTAAGCCAGCTGTGTGATAAGTTACCGCACTCTCCGTTGTCGATAATGTATGCAGTATTTGGCATGAAGTACATGGGCACTTGGCTTGGTATCGCGGAGCCTGCAATAGTGAAGCAGATTTCTACGGACGAAAGGTTTGCTGGCGACCTCATTTATCTTCTAAATGTGGGCTTTGCACCGTGCCCGAATCTTAGATTCAGCTTCAGCTTTCTATCTCTTGTCACTTCTACTGGCGTCGTAACTTCGCCAATTTCTTCATCGGCTTCAGAAGAACTTCCTATAACCTCATCATCGGCCTTTGGATCGTGCGACTTGTCTTGTTCATCAGTTCTATCTGCCGCAGTGTCGACCATTCCGTGGTCGCCCTCTGTGTCTGTTGTCTTGGACGCTATAGCAGATTTGGAGGGTTTCAGGCCTTTTGGCAAAAATCCTTTTGGTGTACCCCATTTGATCACCCAGAAGTCATAGTCCCTAGGAAAGTGATGGGCATCGATGACATGTAAGCGGCGCTTTTGTGGCGTTGAACATACGCGAATGCAATTTTCGACCAAGCAACCATACTGCGTGCATGTATTAGAAAGCAGCTCATTCGGGAAGAGGGGGAGCTGATATTCCGGTGATACAGGCCACAATCAAGCTTACATACCGTCTTTTCTCCTCTGTTTCTTTTCTCGTCCATGATGGGATTATGGTGTTCGGAAAAGTGTAGGTTGAGATATAAGTCGGACGGGAAAGTGCGGTTACATTCATTACAATGATGTGAATGTACTTCGTGATGATGTACTTCGTAGTCCTCGTATGAATAGAAGTTATGTGCCTTCTTGTGGGGGGCCAATGTGCATTGAATAATGGGTTGATTCTCGATATCCTGATGTGTGGTCTCTGAATCGCTGTGTTGATATTTTGCCGGACTTGGCTGATCAGCCACGCCGGAAGAGTCGATGGATAATCCAGATACTCCATCCAGAACGTTGTCATCTGAGTATCGTCTTTTCATCATTGTAGATCGAGTGTGTAGATATGTTTCGTATTTACACGTGACAAGTGAAAAGGAGCGTGCGATGTTACTCCATGACAAGTGTGAGATATTATATAGTAAGTGTGGGTGCCTTGCAAGGCACAAATAATTGTGGCCTGACGCATGAGCTCCGCTCCGATGGTACTGGAATGATCACCAACTCCATAGAGTACCACCGTTACATCTTTTCTCCTCCAAAACACGGCACGCGTCGAAGCCGTTCACGCGTAGCTGCCACACGAATCGCTTCTTACGATATACCCTGCCTCGCACTTCTCATTCCTGGGAATCTGCTGCCATCCATGGATCGCAACAGCAGCTTCGGTTGCACGCAGTCCCGCTCGCACGTCTGACGCCCACACGGCCTTGAAAGAACGGCCTAATGAACTTACACGTCGTCTATCATGACAGATTCCCGCGAACCTCCATTTGAGGAGGTGTTTCTGTTAGTAGCTTTCTGGTATAAGCCTTGCACCACTGACCTCTGCTATAGGCTTGTGCGCAATGCCCAAAAGAACCTTGTTACAAAATGCGCCGACCGGACCGTAACGAACTCGGATTTGACGGCTCTGTTATCAAAGTGAGCTCCGCAGTCGGTTTACACTATTGTGTTCTCACTTACGCCTTCAGATATCGCGTCGATTGTGAGAAAATCATATTCAGCAATTTCGTCCTCGCGACCGAATATAATATCGAGGTGCAGCTCTGGAACACACATATCTCGGTCAATGACCGCTTCAGAAAGCAGGTGAAAAGGGTAAGCTAGCTATATACGGGAAACTATGTCGCTCGGCTTATCTACCATCAGCTACGAGAAAGCGGAAACAACCTCATCGTGGAGAGACGTAAACTGCTTAAGGAATATCTGGAATTCATCAAATCCAGCCAGTTGTTCTACCGCTCATACATACTTCGCTTGGACCAGATATATGGTGGCATCCCAGCTATTCGGAAAGAGGCGCAAAACTGGAAGCATGCAGGTGGGGGATTGTCTTGCACTGTGCCCGTTATCAGTCTGCTGACAGTACTTAGATGTCAAGGCTACCTCCCTGGGAGCGCCATCCGCAGAACTCCGAAGATCTTTAAGGAGATCATGTTACTTCACGCTCATACGCCTCGGAGACCTATCCCGGTATCGAGCATCTGACATAGATCAGAAGCCGAACTGGAGCCCAGCTGTTGGATATTATAATTTAGCAATTGAGGTCAACCCTGATGCCCCCAATGCGCACAACCAGCAGGCTATCATATCTCGCTCCGAGAACGACCATTTCAGAACTTTGTATTACCTCTACCGATCTGTATCCACCAAGGATGGTCCCGATGCTGCCGGCAATATGGCTGGCAATCTTACATTAGTTTTCAAAAAATTCCGAACTGCATGGGAAAAAAGGGAGCCGATACATAGTCGAACAACACGAGACGGTAACCCGGCTGTTCGCGCTTTAGTGGCTTGGTTCATCCATTTGCACAGCAAATGTTACGCTGGCGAGGACTTCAATGAACACGATGAGTTAGAGAGTGAAGTGACGAGCCAGCTTGCGGTCCAGATCAAAGAGAGACCGCTAGAGGGCAATTTACACAAAATGGTACTTATTAACATGTCCGCGGAATACTTTGCGACCACAAAACTCAAGGAGTCAAGTCCATCTATCTATAAGGCATATTTTCTGTTTCTTCGACTCAACGTCAAGACCTTCTTCACTCTACTGCAGACACTACAGTCAGAATTAGAACGTCTGAACGAGGGCAGTGGGCGCCAAGACGTCAAGAGTCACAATAGCTCAGGTCAACAGAGGCTATCCGACAGAATCACGGTCGTTGCGAAAAGGATCCTGCCTGCTGTCCGCCTTTATAGCGTATGGTTTCGTCGGAATTGGGCGATCTTAGAAACAAGGATTGCGGACTTTTCTAATTCTACACTGACTGAGGTCGACGTAAGAGAGCTGTTCAAAGCCTACACTAGCACATTGACCCTCTTAACGTCCGCATTCCCGGTCGAGGAGCTGCCCGGCGCTGCAGAAGATTACCTCCTTGAAGAAGACGCCGACACGATTGGATATGCACCTTTGATTTCCACTAAGACCAGCAGAAACTGGTACAAGAACGACGAATTGAAGAAGAAGTGGTCCGATTCAGGGGTTGAGCGACATCATCCAAATCAAGAAATGTTGACAAGGATCCGTGATCTACTTATTGACGGCCTTGAACTGGCACAGGAAAAGGTCAGTATTCTAGCTCTTCTTGATCCTCATTTTCCTCTGCTGCCGTAAATGCTGACAAGAATTTTAGAACGCGCCTATAGATGTCGTCGATCGAAGATTTGTTTACCGTGAGGCTGGTGTTCCCTCAGAACAGCTTGCCAGCCCTCATAGCAAAGCTGCGACTTCCCCTGACATAATGATCGACATCAATGACATTCCGCGACCCTTGGGAGGACCGGTGTTAGCGGACGACCAAGCGTCTCAAAGCGTAGCTCCTTCAGAGACCACTTCCGCGGTTTTGTCAAAAGATACTGCAATGAATCGGATGGTGGATAATCTAGTGGGTAGTGGCGTCGGTGATGATACTCTAGAATCGCTTCAGGAGATTGATGAGAATTTGCCTCCAACCCCACCGGCGCAAACCTTCCAGGACACGTCGCTCGTGAACAGCCATAGTTACGGCATGACGCCAATCACAGCCCGCGATTTAGTAAACACTGGAGACAGTTATTCGCGTCTTCACGCCGGTACCGACCCTGTACAATTGTCGACCATAAAGAAGACACCAGGCTCCCCGTCAGTTCGTCAAGTTCATGCTCTTCCTTCGCTTCCAGACCAGTCTGGAATCTGGAACCCCACCTACCCGATGTCCAATCCTGGCTCTCCGTATCTTGGAAATGCTACTGGTCTTACGTCTCGTAATTCGACGACAAGCTTGAATGCGTTCCACCGTAGTTCGCATTCTCGCAACCCGTCAACGAACTCCAACGCGTACGGCCCTGCTTATGACCCCTGGAGCAGCTCCGTCACTTTACCCCAGACTTCTAGTACTGCGAAGCTAAATGGTGGGAACCAGCAATTTGGCAATTATGCTAATGGCTCCCCAAATCCCCAGTATGATCCTGCTATGGCGAGTTCATTCCTGTTTGGACATTCAGCCTGGAGCAGTCCGGCATCTGGTGCCGAGCGACAGAGAAGATCGCTTGGACGGACACCTCCGAATGGCCAAGGCGGGTGAGAAGCTTCGTATCGAATGTGTGTTGAACATCATAAGCTATATAGCCTCGCGCCGCCATGCTCTCGTGTACTCTGGTTCGACTATCGTGCTCATGACACACCAGCCTGTCGTATCTCCGAGCAACGATTCTATCTGTGGCTGTGTTTTATGGGCCACTTCCAAGACCTACCTCGTGTCTGCGGATTAAATATTCGAGATACTGAAGCTTCGGGGAGCCATTGGCATGCGACGCCGCGATCGAATTTTATGATCGTCCGAGGTCGTTCCTTGGGATATCCGACCATGTCGCAAGCAATCATCGTATTGAACCTAAGGTCAGCCTGTACAGCGGGAATCCTATACTGTCTCACATCAATTTGTCCAAAATAGTTTTTTCACGTCTTCGGTCTGACTACAGCAGTGTCGTGGCATATCAGCCGTTTGCTGCCTGAAGTACACCTCTGGTTTTTTTACTTCATCTTTCACACCGTCTTTCTTCGATGGAGTCGTTAGATATAAGTGCAGGTCTACAAGATCGTGATTATATCATACGAGCCTTCGTAAAGTTAGTCCAATAGAATGCTTTACGCCTGAGCTGATGCATGATGTTTATCGTAAGGTACTGTTTACGTAGTAATACTCAGGCACCTTTCTAGCTTAGTACGAACTACGTCAGCCATCCCCGCGCCATGGATGTCTGTGCACCTTGATCGGCCTCCGAAAGCAAAATTCCGTTCAACCCCGCGAAAAGTGTCTCCCACCATCAATTCACCATTCGAAATCCAGAATCCTCCTTCCTTCGCACCACATAATACCGACAATATGACCACCGGAAACTTCGAATTGCTCTGCTTGGAGAACCCTCTCCTGGATATCCAGGGTGTTGGGTATGTAACGACTATCTACTGATCTGCTGAGCACTATGCTGATGCCACACCAGGGATGAAGAGATGCTCAAGAAATACGACCTCAAGGCAAACGATGCTATTCTTGCCGAAGAGAAGCACATGGGTCTATATGAGGACCTGATCCAGAACCGCAATGCGAAGCTCATCCCCGGTGGTGCCGCGCAGAACACGGCTCGTGGTGCAGCAGTAAGTTTTTGACCCTCGAACACCGATCCGAGCCCGACTGATCGTGGCTCTCAGTACATCCTCCCCAAGGACTCCGTCGTATACATCGGATGTGTAGGCAAGGACAAGTACGCAGAGATTCTCGAGAAGGCCTCGTCAGAGCAAGGCGTCAAGACAGCATACCGCTACGACGAGACCACCCCGACCGGCCGCTGTGGCGTCGTCATCACCGGCCACGACCGCTCCATGTGCACCGATCTCGCCGCCGCAAACCTCTACAAACTCGACCACCTCAAGAGCCCCGAGATCTGGCCGCTCGTCGAGCAGGCCAAGTTCTACTTCGTCGGCGGCTACCACTTGACCGTCTGCGTGCCCGCAATCATGGCCCTCGCAGAGGAAGCAGAGGCCAAGAACAAGCCCTTCACCCTCTCTCTCTCCGCCCCCTTCATCCCGCAGTTCTTCAAGGACCCGCTCGACCAGGTCCTCCCGTACTGCGACTACATCATCGGCAACGAAACCGAAGCCGCCGCCTACGCCGAGTCGCACGGCCTCGACGCAAAGGACATCCCCTCCATCGCAAAGCACATTGCCAACCTCCCCAAGAAAAACACCAAACGGGACCGCACCGTCATCATCACCCAGGGCACCGAGCCCAGCATCGCCGCCACGGGTGGGAGCAGTGAGATCCAAGAATTCCCCGTGCACACGATCGGCAAGGAGCAGATCAACGATACCAACGGTGCCGGCGACGCATTTGCGGGCGGCTTCATGGCCGGCCTGGTGCAGGGGAAGCCGTTCAAGGAGGCGATGCATATGGGCCAGTGGCTGGCTAAGCTGAGCATCCAGGAGCTCGGCCCGTCGTACCCGCAGCCCAAGCAGACTTACTCTGCTTGAGAAGGTGCTATGCTTTATACTGGGTAGCGAGCAAGGTGTTACTCTTTTTTTTTTGTCTTTTCATTTCAGTTCAGTTCAGTTCATTCAACATGCATTAGAAGAGCGATATGGGAAATTCTCCAATACAAGGACGGGAAGGGAAGGGATAAAAAAAAGTTGTACATGATCTATGATGAAGACAGACGATGGTGACGGCCGGAGCCTTTTCAACGAGGAAGAAGGGGGGGCGGAGAGTGGCCATTGTAAGACGATGGAAACGACGAGCAGCAGGGGGCGTAACTTTGTGCCGTTGGTGTAGACACTACCTTCAACAATATCCTCTCTAGCTCTGCTAGGGAGCCCGAACCCAAACAATGCTATCTATTGTAGCAGAGTGGGTTACTATGGAATATATCCAGGACACAAACGTTGATCTGCATGCGGGACGTGATGCACTGTTGACGCTTTGAAAATAGCTTCTGACTGTCGCAGCTCTAAACAACTCTCTAGAAAAGAAGTACACTCACTATCACAAGATCCATATTCTTCTTCATGACGGCCCCGCAGAGTCCCAAGCAACTTTCCGCCTTTGACATGTCCCACCTGATGAGAGATTAGATCATGCGACTTCTTTAGATTGTACAATTCGCTAGACACTTTCCCAAAACTCCAGATGCATACATCCTACGTATTTACATGTTTGTGCAAGCAGCCGCTCCAGGCAGCATGACCTGTTCCGCTTCCACCGCCATTGACGCTCACGATTTACATGTCAGAAATAGTAGCCTTCTCCGCTCGCACTCACAACAAACTCACACCCCAGCGCGTGGCCATGCTCGCGTAGATTCTCTTCGTGTTCGTGCAGTTGCTGTAGGATAATGTCGCCGACAACGGGGCCATCGTCAAGGGTGTCTTTGACGTGGATAATGACGACCTTTACGCCTTTCAATGGCAACTCAGTCAAATTGCGGTCGGCAATGGTGGGGACTTGAGGTTCTAAGGAGGGATTGTCCTTTCGCACTGTCTTTTGGACCAAACTGCGCGGACTCGTCACATCATACATATGATTATCGACATCCGAATTCGTACTACTCTGTGTCGTGCGGCTTTCTCGGCGGCTTTTACTCGCATCCCCGTCATCGCCTGCGTGGTCGATACTAAGAAAGCCAGCGCTTTGACGTTTCCGTTTCCTGCCCTTGCGTGCTTCATCACGTTCTCGGCTCAGTTCGTGCTGGGCCTCACATACCATCGCTGCGAGAGACTTCAATTCAGCAATCAGATGACGGGGTGCAATATGCCCGAACAGCATCTGGTCAGCCTGAGAGTCGGTGTAGGAGCATTCAATGAAGATGCCGGTCAGCATGCCTTGAGCAATCTTGGGTGCAGCCTCAGCCCAGACATTCGCAGTCCGTGGTGATAGAGAGATACTATCAGGCTCAACGTCGCCGAAGATAAGTACCTCACGGGCCGGCGTGGCTGGAGTGGCTTCGGCACGGATGAAGTAAGCAGTAGAATCCACAACGCAGACTGAGGGCTCGGCGGCATATTGGGGAGTTCCTGGCTGAGATGCAACAGAGAAAGACATGGATCTCCCTTCTTTGTAAGCGCTTTCAGCACTAGATAGACTGGTTCCAGTTCGTGATGTTCCTTGAGGATGGGTATGCTGATGCTGGGTGCTTGTCTCCTGCAGGTTGGTAATACTACCTCGATGGACATGGCTGGTTCCACGCATACAATGGCCATGGCTGACCTTGAAACCTTTTGCACCTAGCCCATCACAGACTTCGATAAAGCCTCTACTGGGACCTTCGCCGAGAGCAATGTTACCACCTTCGGCCAGTCGTTGGAAAGTGACAAAGCCCACGCCACCATCTTCGTCGGTGAGATTGGGCCAGATGATGTCATTGAAGAGGTGAGTCTTGATGGCATTAACCGTGAAGGGTAAGGCAGCGAGTCGTTTTGGTCGTGATGTGTTATGGAAAGCGGCAGTGTTGATGACAAAGCCAGACACATGGTCAAGGTGAGGGTGGGTGATGAGATAGGTTGAGACGTGTTCTCGGACCAGGTATGATGCATTCGCGCGCGCCGATGCGTGTGGAAAAGGTAGGCCGGCGAAAGGTCCAGATTCAAGGGTTGTGACCAGATTCTTCCGTGGCTCTGGGGTGGCGGATTCATTGCCGTCATCATCGACCGGAGCATCGGCCGACGGATCGATGTCGTCCTCATGAGGTGTCGATGGAGCAGGATTGGCATCTGCCACGAGTGGAAAGTGGTTTTCCAGAATGTGAGTGATGGCTGCTAGGTGCGAACCAGCATCAACAGCCAGGACTGAGCCCTTGGCCCAGTTTGATGCTATCGATCGGACCAGGAAGCCCGTGACATTGTTCTCGTTGGGACCACCACCTGAGCCCTGGCTGTGTCAGACAAGGATGAAAAAGATGAAACATGAAGAGGTGGAGAGATGCGGATAGGGTGAATGTAGTGGTCGAATCCTAGGTCGGCAGTAAATAAACTTACCAAGCAGATGACTTGGATGGCAGGAGCATCCGTATGTGAAGGCCGACGGCTCTTTCCTGAGGCAACATCGCCGTCTTTCATGAGATCGGTTGCAGTTCCCTGCCCCAGACTAGAGTAAGGGGTTGGAAAGCAAGCTCCCTATGGCTGATATCAGGGGAGCAGATGACAGGACGGCAGGCGATCAAACAGGCCTGGAATTTAGTGAACGAAAAGAAGTAGCAGGGTTGCTCTCATTCGTGCTGGGTTTGGCTTAGCAGACAGGCCGACGGAGTGGAATCAAAGTATATTGATAGTATAGCTGTATGGCCGCAAATGGATAGGTTGTTAAGAGTGAGTGCTTGTTTCTCGCTGGCAGCTCCAGTCTAGGGTTTGTCTAAGAAAGGTAGCTAGTAGCCAGGCTCGCCAGGTGTACAACAGAAGACCAGACACAAGCGTTTCAAGTCTTCTGAATAGATAAACAATTGAAGAGTGCGATAGACACGGCTGATGAGGAAGCAGGGCGCAAGGCAGCAGCAGGCTGTGGGCAATGATGCAAGGTGAGATGTGCGCAAGATGGGCATCAACGTGCTTCAGAAAGCTTCAGAGAGCCAGGTGAAGCGTCAGTGGAAATTGAAGCGACTTGCACACACGCACACAAACATATACACACAAGGTTGATATCGCTGGCGCTATAAAGTGCGCAGAGCAGTTTGTGTAGAGGAGGACGAGAAGATTGAGTTGTGGCGGCCGCCCATTGCCCCTGTGCCACTCTCTCTCTTAGGCTGGTAATAAATAGCACGTGGCCTGTTCTGTGCCACTCACATATATGATAATTATCAGCTTCAGGAATAGAGAGCTAACCAACGATAGAAGAAAGACACGACAGATCTAGAGATGTTTCCCACAGTCGATCATCTTTTGGTAGCAAGCACAGTGTAGTTGGTTGGTAATCGGAGTTGGGCAGAAAAAGGATGTCTGGCAAGAAGGTGACCTGATGCATCAGGCACCAAGACACCAAGGCATAAACCTGCTCAGGCACTCAGGCACTCAGGCAGCACTACTACAACCCCAAAACCTTCTAGAACATCCGTCTGACACATTTGACATTTTGACGTTTGACGTCTGATTCTCCATCACCACAATTCACCATTCACCTCTCACCATTCCATCTCCACTCAACCTTCTACACTTTGACTTCTTTTTCCAAGGGCTTTTCATCTCTTCAAACTTTCGCCTCGACTTTTGATCTCGTCGTCATTCTTGGCTCCATAGCTCTCGCTTCCGTCCAAGCATGTTTCAGGCTTCGCTTGCCCCAAACATCTACGCGACTCAACCCCCTGCTCTGGATTTGTGCTTCTGCCACTTTTACCTTCCGACAACACGACCAAAATACGAGTCTCCTTGCCGATTATGTGCTCGGATAGTCTGCATACGTGGGAAGCATAAATTAGCCGCCTGCCATTGACACTGGGCGGGCATGCATCCGACGTGCCTTGCTACCATGTACGTGTCCATCCATCTCACCCACTTCAACAATTTGCTGCTTCCACTAACTCACTTCTCCATCAATGTGACCGCAATTCCTTCTGCCGCTCATTTCGCCGACACACCATCCGACGCCCAATGCACCCGCCAAGCTGCGCCCTTCCACCACTGAGCTAGAAGCTGTCTGTCACTCTCATCCTTCTATAACCCTTCTAGAAGTCGGCCTCGCCTTGCACACACATTCCTTGTGCTGCTCCACCGCATTCACGCCGTCTGTGCATCTTGGAACCTACGACATGGTCATGGTTTCAACGGCTCCTACAACCATCTAGATGTACACGGCCTCCGACAAGCCGATCCTGCCCTCCCTCCCTTGTACCGCTCTGACTTGTCAGGAATGACACAGACACTCGACGAACAGGTGCTCCTGTGTTCCTCGGCTTCATCACGGATTCACAACGGTAAGCCAGCCATACGTACCGTCCGAGCAGATGTCTGGTTCGATCCGTTTCAACGTGCCGCTCCAACTTCCTCCTTGACACGACTCACGACCTTTGAAAAAAGCATGCGTGGCACCCAGGGAATATCGTCGTTCATCGCGTGCAAAAAAACAACCATCCATCTTCTATGCCAAAACTTCTTCCACGTGGAACAGTAGTTCAACGTCGTTTGTGGCACTATACATCGGCCTCTCGCTTTATCCGAGAACAGATCATCCACATTATACACAGCGAAAATCACATCCTCAAAATAGAATAGCCAGGCTTGGATCCCCTGGCTTGAACACCTGCACTCTCGTCCGCAATCAGTCACTCCCTTGGGAAATATCCCCGGCCACCTGGCCCGCGACAATATTCCAATACCTTCGCATCGGCACACACTTCTAGGAATGTGACGATGCATCTTGCAGCAGCTCCCCATGTCGAGATTTCAAACAAGCCATGCCAGTCAAAAGAAACAACCCAATCCCCCCTCCCCTGCCACAAATCTCCTGGCAAGTCCCGAGCCCAGGTTCAGATCCTTCTGGAAGCCCAAACCCTCGTTCTCCGTCCAAACAAACTCGCCGACCGGCGAGATTCGGACCTGTGAGCCGGCCCTTGCCTTCTCTCTCTCCACTTCTCTCTGCAAGGGCTCTTAAGAGGTACTTGTTTCATCGTAAAAAAAAAAAAACTGTGTTGCCCACGCTTTCCGTCGTCTGCGTAATTATCGCGGGTTTGTATGTTCCTGCTAGGAGTATAGAGTCGTGTGCCCTCTCTTGTCTCTCATTTTCCCCTTGTGAACTCTCATTACACAAAAGTTCAAGCACTGCTCTGCGCGTTGTCCATGCGCCGTATCGCAACGTCGACATCATCCACTGGGCCCTCCCCCTCCCCCCTCTTTCCTGAAAGACCACATATCTACTGTGTGTGACCCATCGTGCCCTTACAAAGATGACAGTGCATTAGCTACGGTGACTCCGAGGCCTTTCATCTCGTTGACGTCCGAAGAGGATTCTTCTATTTGACATGCTCTAGAGGACGACGCTATTTTCTACATCGTAAACCCTCGGTCATGACATCGTTCGTTCTAGGGTCCACAGGATCTTTTTTTTTGACATGTCCATGGAGGTAATTATTCAAAACAACACTAGACTAAGCACGCTCGGCACGCGTATGTATGAACGACCGAGCCAATTTTTGCGGTCCACGCTTCGATGCCATTGGTCCTTCACTCCTACTAATATGCATCATATATCAGGCACACCATCTTCGTAGTAGTCTACTTTCGGTATATTATGGCAAGACCTTAAAGTACTACATACTTCATTCGCTATGTCGTTTTTCTTATCTTCGTCCCCATCCTGTCCGTCATCCATATCACGTCCATATGCATGCAATCGTATCAATCGCATACAATACGTGCTTCATCAAAATGACAAAGGAAATCGCTTTGTCCCATGTCAACGACGTCGTCATTCATTTCCACTCCTGTCATAACACTCCATCAGAGCCCGCCAGAGCTGTCTACTTGAAGACCTTGCCATCGGCCCACTCGTACGTCTTACCGTCGACGTTAACGGGCTTGTCCCATGCCCATTGGTCGTTGACGTACTCCTTGTCTTCGGCGTTCGTTGGGTCGAGCTTGACAAACTCGTAGCTCTCATAGTCGGGGCCGACGTCGAAGGCTGGGAGATAGTCCTGTCCACGAACCACAAAGGCTCCCTTGATGAGAGAGTCACCCTTCTCGCCGTACACCGATGCCGCTCCAAAGATGTGCTTGCGGCTAGCCTCAAGACGAGTAAATGTACCACCTATGTCCGTATGTTAGCTCGTTCAATGTGTGACGCTAGCTTTCAACACTTACCGATCAGGTTGGAGGACATGAAGACGTGGGACAGTTCGTTGTTGTACTTGTAGTCTACCTTCCAGAGAGAGTACTCTTCAAAGTTGCAGTTTTCCCAAAACCACGGAAGAGCAACCTCACGGGTATCGTTGTTGGAGTATTGGCGCTTCCACTCGTCAAGTACGAAAGTCGGTCGTGGAAGTAGATCGAGAGGGTGCTTGGGCTTGGGAGCCGGCGCTGGCTCGTCCTCTTCCTCTTCGACCTCCTTTGCCTTGGGCTTCGGTGCAGCGGCTTCTTTCTTGGGGGCGGGCTCCTTCTTTGGTGGGGTGTACTTCACAGCCTCCTCAATAAAGTCGGTCTGTTCGATCACACTGGAGAGGATAGGCTGGTTGATCAGGGTCTCATACCACCGGGTGAAGTTGGGGTACTCCGCACGCCACTTCTTGTCAAAGACATTTTGGAAACCACGGGAAACAGTGCCAACAGTGAAGAGATCAGCAAGAGTTACCCGCTCGCCAACAAGGTAGGTGTTGACAAGAAAGTGGTCATCTAGAGTCTTGATGGCAGTGTTGGCGCGCTTTTGTGCATCCTCAACATTCTTCTTGTTGTATGGATCCTTGCCGATCAGAGGGCGGAACCAACCGCCGAGGGGAGGGAGAACTTCGGTGTTTGCAAAAGACATCCATCGCAAGATTGACGCATAGTCCTGCTTGGTTTTACCGAGAAGGGATGTCTTCTCGTTCTGCGAGGTAACTATTAATGAGTCAGAGAGGATTCAGCGAATAAAACATGATTCAGCAGAAGTTTTCATCGAGCGTGTCAGAGTGTGAATACAAGTGTCTCAACATGGTAATTCAGTCAGGGATAACTGATTGATTGATGTAATCTCATCATGAAGGATTTACTAAACAAAATGGGTGGCTTACGGTAGACAGCAATGGCGATGGCTTCCGTCAGAACAAAGTCATCCTTGCCGTGGAAGGTTGGGATTTTGCCGAGCTTGTTAAGCTTCAGATATTCTGTAGGGACATCCGAGCCAGGTTCGGTATGAACGAGTTCGATATCAAGGTTGTTTTCCTTTGCGACCGCGAGGAGTGCAGTCGTGCGGGAGTTACCCTGTTGGTGCGTCAGAATTTTGTACGCAAAGTGGCACGGCGGGGTAGGATCGTGAACGCACCTTGAAGCTGTAAAGCTTGCCGAACGACATTTTTGTATCGTTATAAATTCTAAAAGAAGTTTGGGGTATCAAAAAAAGACTGGCCAGTAGTAGTACAGTCTGGTCAGACGATGGTTGAGGAGTGAGGAGAAAAGTTGTGTCCCTCAATGTCTCGTCAAGACCCAAGAAGAAAATCAGCTCCTGTCAATGCACGGACCCCGGCGTTTTGGCGCAACACGTGATCGTCTCCGCGCCAGCGAAATATTAGGTTGGAAGGAGCTCCAGCGCCTGGTAAGAACATCATTATCCATTGACCACCAGCTGCATCTTCAGTGCGCCATGCAGGTCGGCGAGGTGCAACGGGGCCTCTCGAGGGCCATTTGCTCGCAGTGCAAACGGTCTCGTCCCACTACACGCTTCCCATTTCGTCGAGGGACGCCTGCTATACCCCATGTTTCCTTCACAACCTCCTCCGCTCGAACTGAGTCAATTCAAATACAAGAACATGGCGACAGAGAGCAAATGCCTGACACCATGACTGCGGAGGAGATGGTCAAAGCTGGCGACGTATCAGTACTGCAACGACTGCGGGTCGTGCCAGCATCGCGAGCATATTTCAGCGGTCAGCCACGCTTCACCGATAGCCTTCTTGAGCTGGAAGCGATTCAACGAAAGTACGAAACACTACCAACAATCCCTCAAGCCCAAGCTCCAAGAGTAGCCTGGAAAGATATAGTAGCGTTCAAGACCGATGTCGGTGCCAATGCGGAACCTGTCAAGGTCTCGAAATACAGCAAAATAAAGCACATTTTAAAACGTCTAAACCGCATACATCCAGCTTTGATGCCACAGGAAGCAGCGGATATCATGAATCGATACAAGAGAGATATCCAGCCGCACATGAATGCAGCAACGCCCGGAACCATTGACATTCAGGGAAGGGCAGCTGGTGTAGGAAAGAGGAAGTCCTCATCGGCCGTTGCATACGCTGTTGAAGGAGAGGGCGAAGTCATGGTCAACGGGAAGCCTCTAAGTCTGATGTTTAGCCGTGTCCATGACCGCGAGACTGCAATCTGGGCGCTCAAGGCTACTCATCGGGTTGACAAGTACAACATCTTTGCAATTGTTAAAGGTGGCGGTACAACCGGCCAGGCTGGTGCGCTAACCATGGCTATTGCTAAGGCACTGGTCGTACATGAGCCTGCATTGAAAACATCTCTACGTGCTGGTAAGTCTACTTTACCCTTAGTCAGAGGCCTCATTCGAGGCTTTTATCCACCGTAGGATCCTTTTAATAAAGTCCTACTATGTATCTCTTCTGTACCTACAGTACCGTATATACCAAAACGTACTGATACTGACATTTTCAAAGCTGGCTGCATCACCCGCGATCCAAGAACAGTGGAGAGAAAGAAAGCTGGCAAGCTCAAAGCGCGCAAGATGCCTGCTTGGGTCAAACGTTGATATCGGAACGGCAATAGATATTGCCAATGTATATATTGTCTCTAACCCTCTCGGTGCCGCTCATGCGTGTATAAGTCGCAAGTGTTAGCTACCACTATAGACATTAACGTCTTGTAAGATATTTTCGATATTGGCTAGCGGAAGTAATGTTTCGAGCACAGTCAAATTTCTTAGTGCGACTACGTACCTTCTCTAGATGCCATAATGACGAAGTATAATAGGCGAACGATCTTGAATGGCGGACAAGACATGGCGTGGACAGAAGTGTGCATTGTAGACGCTTTGAAGAATCCGAGTATGCCAAAATGTATTGGCAACGTACCATCTGAATGTCCCAGTGTCATCCGCAGTAGCCTTGCTCAGTGCCGCTTGAAGTCACACGATCAGGTTGCGCGAATACGAGAGATTTGATTCAACAACCTCCGCTCGCGGTAAATACGAATTCAGAGATACGAGTGAAGGTTAATCGAGTCAAGGAGAAGTCATGGAGATGGCATGGTCTTCTTTCAAACAGCTCGTGACGCGATGACGTGAGAAGATAGGATCTGGGTTGAGCGAAGCCGAAGAAACGGTCGGGAACTAATTAGGTGGTGCATCGTCGCGCTACAGCACGGCATGCTCAGACCAGAGCTCGAGACAGCGACCCTTGTATTATAGCAAAGTTTAATCGTCATTCTGGCCAACCGTCATCTAGGATTTCATACTCATTATTAATTGAACTATGTATAGATCTAGATGCCACCTTTCAGGATTGTTGAGTGTGTAGACATGGAGAACATGCATGGGGCTTGCAGCATCGGCTAGAATGTTCTCAAATATAGAGTAGAAAGCGCTGCAAAAGACATCGATCATGAGAGTCTATGACTATCAATCGAATGCAGGGGTCTTTGAACGAGTCCTTAATATGGAGGGAGCCAAAGAGGTGCGTGTGCCTGCAATATAACGTTGAAGTCGTGGCTGAGACTTGACCATTAAGCACTCGCACCTGCGTTGGTCTGTGGCCAGAACTAGTTGTTTGTCAATGCAGAAATTCAATGCTATGAACTCGATGTCTCATGAGAAGAATTGACTTCTCAGTTGTCTCAGACACTGGTGAAAGTGTGGAGAGCGATACCATCATCGATGACCGGACCATGAAATGAACAGCGATGTAAGATTAATCGTGAAGCTGCTAGCCAAAAAAAAAGAAACGCGACGAAAAGTTCAGGCATACCAAGATCGGAGATGTTGTCACAGCGTTGTTCATGGAGATTCCGCGTATGTGTAGCACACTGGAAATGATGAGATAGACAATGAGCGCTCCATGAGCACTCACTTCAATCACAGCTACGTAAGCCACCTATTACCTCGCAGGAACAGTTATTGCTGCTCTTCTTTGGAACTGCACGAACATTTTCTTGTGTAGTTTGTCGACTAGCTCAGCGGTGACACCACATTCTCCCGCTTCTAGGTCACGCCGCACGCGTTTTGCGCCCACAGCGAGTCAGATGTGTGCTCAAATTAGCATTTGAGTTGCGGGAACGTCGCGGTCGGATGACATATTGCGAGGATCTTGAAGAATCGCTGGGGTTCAAAATAATATAGGGCGAAAGCAGTGAGGCTTCTTCAGAGCGGAAAGACCCAGAAGCCAGCGATCGACCTGCGCGTGGGATGGAGGGGGAAGGGTTGAGATGGATGCAAAAACGAAAATACCTAATCAACGTAGTTGGTATGGCGTGTACGCGGGGATAGGGGGCGCAGATGGTCCTGAAGTTATTATCATCCGATCGCAAAACAAGAAACACCACAACTTACAACCGCCTGCACACGAAGAACGCTTGCAGGGCGGCGGCAACGGAGCTTGAACACCATATCTCCAGCATAATTGCTCTTTACGAGATCCGAAGCATGTTTCAGGCTTTCCTGCACACGCTATTCTGTTCCTGCTCCGTCATTTCCTATATTCCTCTAGCCGGTTTCCGATGTCTACGCGAACAATCGCCTCGAGGGTATTGTACTAATGCAAAATGACTGTGTCTTACAGACTGTCACATAGTTGCTCACGATCAGGTCACCTTAAAAGTGCCTTCCGACCAACAAAGGCACGACCGCTAAGTCTTCGCCCGGCCCCCGGTGCCCAACAGGTAGTCCGAACATTTCCGTTAGTGTCCAAATCCACACAGACCTGAGCCATATATCATCAGGACTCACTCTGGTCTCAAATATGACCGTGTTGGAAGTCTGAGCGTGAGCGGAGCTGCCTCCTGGCTTAGGATTTGGAAGCTCATCTGATGAAGGCTGAGAGGAACGAGAGAACTGGAATGGCCTAACAGGGGGGTACTCATGATCCGATGCAGTCGGGCATCATCATTGGATGCCCAGTCCACTGGAAGAAGGGCCTATCTCCTCAGCAGACCTCATTAAGTCGCATCCACGATGCAATACCAGCAAGCTTAGCACTTTTGAGTACCATTCGAATTCTTAACAGTCAAGCGCTTCGACCCTAGGCTATTCTGCCACTCCGGTCGTTGGGCCGATGGAGCATGAAATCATTCTGCTTGGGCATTCCACTACCAGTACATATCACTCACAACGGCCGTTAGTTCAGGCTAGTCCCTCACGACTCACAATGCCCTTCGGCAAATCTGTAACATTGCTAGGATCGATTGGTCGTAGCTCGGCGTAGCCTTACTACTACCCCCGGCTGTCAAGACACCCCCCCCCCTCCACCAACCCTTTCAATCTACCGGGCTCGTCAGGATACCCACTGATATCATTTTACGTCGTCTTGGTGACGGTAGGTCTGCGGCTCTTCTTGGTCCAAGTGCGTAAGGAATGTAAGTATTGTTGATCGTAACGGCTTAACATGATACACGATAGCTAGGAACGGTAAGTCCTTGCGACTGAGCAGAATAACTAGTATCGTCTGATTTCTTACTGCTAAGACCTGTTCCTGCATGACCTTAAGCGTTTATTGCTAGTCGTCCAGCTATTAGGTGAGGCCTGGTGTTGACCCGATTAGGCTAAGATCTAGTATCAAGCCAATCAGAGGCTGTCGGAGTTACGACGGCGCTACTACATGATTAAATTCCGTAAAAATAGAACAAAATTAGCTTCTGGGATTCATTTCACCGATTTCTATACCGATAATTAATTATGACAAAAGCACCCTCCCCTGGCTCCTCTCGCTTTCTCAGCTTGTCCGCTGCTAAAGCGCATTGTAGCGGCCAAGATGCAGGTATCCCCGAAGGCCCTTACCATTATCGTGCTGGTGATATGAGACGTCCCTTTGTTGAGCATGCTGCTTGTCATCCTATCGCCATACCCGACGGGAAAGAAGGGTATTCTAAACAAACGAATAACATGTTGTTCGGGAGATTTCTCCACATATAAACTCGTCAATCGGAAAAGCTCCGAGACGTATATCTGACAGCCCTAGGAGCGTTTGTGGGCTGGCCGATCCCGCTGCGTTCAGCGTGCGGCCGACCACGTGCGAAATATAGATTGACTTTGGAGTCAATTGCGTCTCTCAGAGAGCGCGGACCTCGACTTCCTGGAAGTCAAAATGGGCTTTGTCCACAGTTGCAACAAGAAGGGACATATATTCATCTCCAGGTAAGCAAATCTCCCATTACCTTCGCGTCTTTTCATTAACAACATCAAACACCAGCTTTCACCAGAAGACTCGCCGACAGATCACCGTCACTCGTTCAAATTCTGTTCTGTCGCACCTTGGTCTCGCATTGCCGCCTAGTTTCGCTTTTCTAACATTGCTTAACTTCTCTCTGCTCGGACCGAGTATTGGCCAAAACCACATTCAGGGCGTTACACTGTACAAGTCAAGACCTAAGGACAACAACGGAGCCAAGCTTCTGCCGGGGGGGTGTTTTTTCAGCACCGGTTCTAGTTCTCCAGATCTGATCTCCGCCTGAACAATTTGATCCTGGAACGTTGGGCTCGTCCCCTTCGACAGGTGATTGCAAGGGCTACCCTCGCTACTAATCACTACCCAGTTCATCATCTCAACCGTTGCAAGTCTGGGATTTACCTGGTTATTAACACTCCACCATTTCGCCCATACCACCTCACCTCACCAATCGACACATTACGCCCAACTTGCTATCCTTGCCTGGCAAAAAGCCCTACGATTGACGCCATCCTTGGACAATCGACCCTCCCTTTAACTTGGACACGATCTTATTTGGGTCTGGTCCATTACTCGCCGGTTCTTTTCGCAACTCCCCATTTGCTCCTGCAGTATTTTATTTCCTGTTCCGCATCGCTCGACTCAGGGAGCAACCTTGCGATCTGAGTTGCGAAGTGAGGCTTCTGGGGATATTCCACAGCACCTCACGCGACGGTAATTGGCTAGTCGATTCTTATGCGCTGCAGTCTAGTCTCATACTTCAATACAAAGACCTACGTTCTAACGTGAGTGGGATCTTCCCTACACTTCTAGTAGGTGTCCTAACGAACCATTTTTATTCCAGTCATTCGTTTCCGTTCCTCCGCAGATCGGCCACCATCAGTTCATCTGGTCTGACGCACTCTTCCTGGAGACTATTACCCAGCGTATCTGCTGAAAGTCGCAAAGCTGGCATACCTTTACGTCTCCCCGCCTCTGTCGCCTTCGGCGTCTCGTAGCCCTCGAGATCTGCTCTTACAGCCATCCAGTAAGTGCGATCGGACTGGAATGGATGGTAATGATCGTCGACAAAGACAGAGCAACACTCAAGGTTACCAAACACAAACCCAAAGCATTCAAACAAACACGCGATATTCCCCATCTAGCTCAGCCGAAGGCCATCGACAAGCACCTTTGAACGCGCACCCGTCAACATCTGCGCCCGGTACAGGACGTGGAACGGACGCAACCTCGTATAACTACACATACGGCGGGGAAGGAGCCCAGTACGTAAGACAACAGATGCAGACTGGAACCCTCCAGTATCCGGCCGACTGCTCGGCAGACTCTCATCGCCCGTCTCAGCAGTATTCACAATATGGATCCAACATAATGTATGGTGTTCAGCACCAGCAACCGGCACAGCAGCAGCAGCAACCCAGCCAACATTCACCATACGAGCCTGTGCAACAGTATCAACCCCGACAATCGGCAGCAATTGAGGTATTAACTTCCCAATTTGGCGTTCCACAGCATTATTATGTTGGAAGTGAGGCTGGCACGACGAATGTGCCTGCAGCGGCAATGGGAGCACCGAATGTGTCGACCCAATATTCTGGGATGTCTTATACAGCACCGCAGAACCCGCTTCACAGAGATCACCTTGGACCATCTTTTGTTCCAGGGATGGCTGACTCTGCACACCCCAGCTCCACCGGGGCTTATGGACAACAGAGCTATTCTTCACACGGCAGTTCCAGTGTTGACCAAGCGTACAGCAAATACCAGACAGTACTGAAACAAACCTTCAGCCAAATTGGTGAGGGCAAGTTGCATGAAGCAGGTGTTTCTCTTATCGAGATATCTGACTGGCTTCTGACCAATGCTGAAGGGCTAGGTGAGTTCGTCTCTGACTTTTCAGGTACAGTCGGAACTGAGATTGACAATAGGCCTAGTACGCGACGAGCAAAGTATGCACGCTGAACGACTGAAGCTGTGGGAGGATTTCAACCATTGCTGGCTCACTGCTCTTCAAAGACAAAAAGAAATTACGGAGGAGAGTCTTGAATCCGGCCAACGACCACGTCCAACTCAGACTTTGATGGGGTATGATCAGCTGGAGAATCTTGGTCGGGAGCTAGTGAGGCTTTGTGATCTGATGGAAAAGCATGGCTTGGTAGACTATCAGATGGGCGTCTGGGAAGAAGAGATAATCTCAAGTGAGTCACCCAACTTCAACTATTGCGAAAGCCGATTGTCTCTAACTCAAACTAGTGCTCACGGCATGTCTGGACTTGATTGAGGACCAGCCGCGAGGCTCGACCGGCTCGACTGCTCGAGGCTCCATTCCACCAACGTCACGACGAAGGTGACACTGGAAAGTGGCATTTTCACACAAGTCTAGATAGATGGCTCATGGGAACGCGACAGCAATGATGCATACTGATTGCATGATACATGTCTTGATTGGACATATCGCATTGACCATTTCTGGACGGAAACACATCGACGGGCAATTCGACTTGATAAGACCCGGCTGAGTTTGGTCTCAGTCTCCCAGAATTACGATATATTCTATACTCCGCTGCGCGTAAGAACTTTCTTTTGTTCCTTCTTCGGGCTCTAAGGCGCACTGTACGGTTATGGACGGGAGATATCTGCATGTGGATAATGCACCGGCAAACGTTTATCACTTTTTCGACATGGCTCTCGGGATCTCAAATGGAAGTTTTTTTTTGCTTTCTTCGAATTCATAGACGTGGGGGCTCGATGTATTATGATTGCGACCAAGGAGTTGATGGGCTAGGGAGCTTCACGAAGGCGAAGCCATTGTGCAAGGGCACTGGGTTAGGGGTGGAGACAAGACAGTGCCACACCGGCTATTATCACCTGAGACGCGCGGGCACGACCGAGCACAATGCTGTGGAACAGTAGTCTGCGTGAGAAACGTGGACAATGCATGTACCATAGTAACCATACTAGACTATACTCGCACGAAATTTGGCGACTTGCTGCTACCTGGAGATACCAGAAGTGTGAACTGATGCATACATAGTAATCATAGAAGCGACCAGGCTGTCAAATTCACATAACGGCTTATCGTAACCGTTCATTGGGCATCAGTCTGTTGAGTTCATCATCCGGTGGATCGTCCGACTTGACACGTCAGAGCATTGCGACGATCATTCTCAGCCTCACAAATGTTGAATGCGCTTTGCCAAGATATTTTGTTCTTCTAGACTTTGCGCACGGTCTACGGCATTTTGGGATCGTCACAATGTGCCCTCCAAAGTTCCAGGGAAATGCGCCAGTTTGTAAGACAGGATAAGCTACTCGGCAGCGCGAAGCGGAGTGATGGGCTCCCTAGTTTATTGCTATTTGCAGAGTCCGGGGTAGGTACCTCACTGATGCCCAGGAACCTTGTCACGCCTTGCAGGCTGAGCTGTTGTAACTATTCTTAGAGTTTTTGAGCTTTGTTTGTCGCGGTCTAATTTTGCCTCTGCCTTGCATGTTCGCCTTCAGCTCAGGTCATAGCACATAGTTGCAGGCCACCGGAGAGGAATATGGCACCCTTCTGCGCTGTCCTTGTGTCCAGCACAGCACATAGTGGTATTGACGTAATCGATCCGTGATATGGGGCTGCCTCGGAACAGGATCGGGCTGCTCTGGAGGAGCCACGATGGTCACAGGATGCGTGTTCTTTGTCCTGTCTACACGGAGTCATAGTACAAGCCTCACTCTGCGTAGAATCTGCTTGTGGCATTCGACTATATGTCGATCAACTGGCCTTCGTTCGCAAAATCGGGCTCCGATAATCCGACGGCTTGGGCAACAGTTCTGGCTACAAGGGCAAGGTTCAGAGCATGACTCTCATCTAGGGAGAGCCTCGAAACCGACGAGGGTTCTGTAGATGCAAAGGAACCCGAGATGATGAATGATGGGCAGCGTTGGGCGGGATGCAGGGGCAAGACAGTCAGGACGGCCTGAGAGTAGGGTGTTGGGGAGTAGGGGGGTAGTAGGGGGAGTAGGGAGTTGCCAGCTTTCACTGCTGGCTGCCCGAGTGGAACCCGCCGAAGGTCCTTTGGACTAAGCCTTTTCCCGACACCACGGGCATGGGTCTAGCCGTCAGACTAGACCTAAAGGGGACGCGGGTGCTGTCCCTCGCGCCCGCCTCCGCCGTCCCGCCACGACTGCGGCCGGTATTTGTTGTGTCTCTCCACTCTCCGTAGCCTCCATCACCATTCTTTGCACGTCTGTCCATGTCTGACGCAATAGCTTACACAATCAATAGTAGGCTCTTTACTTCGTTTCTCTCACAATACACCAAGCATGTCACACATAAACATCTTACCTTGATAGCCTGTCTCTCGAGGCGACGGTAAGTCAAATAAAGGCGATTTTCATCTTTCTTATTCCTACCTTCCGAGTCCCTATGCCTGCTTTTCCCTATTTGCTTTTCCTATAACCTGTCCGGCTCTAGTTCACTCATATTCCAATTTCGATACTCTCTCTCTGGCTCAGCTGAGCCAACAGCCCTTAGTCTCGCAGTAATCTCCCGCACCCTTGTTGTCAGAGTCCTCTTTCTGACACATCGAACAAGGATACAACCCATATCCCAGTCTGCCTGAACAAGCGACCTCGTCCGAAAGTCCATCACTGCGTTGCAATTGGCTTCGAGCACACTTAGCTCGCCCTCTTATCATCCTCAAGCAAGACCCTTATGCCGGCGTGTTGGTCCTGGGCTGACGCCTCGTCGCGTACCTCGTACGCCCCCAGATTGCCCTGATCCGACACTACGGAATGGAGAGGGGACAGGTCCGCTCGTCTCCAGTCTCATGGATCTTGTTTGCTCCTCACTCTGCTCTAGTCCTGAGACACTCAGCTCTATCACACGCAAGTGGCTGGGAATTTTACGTCACTGTCAGCTTTGGTCTCAGATCCGTCGTGTCGCACAATCTAGATCTCCTCGGTCGGGAGTATCCAACTACCGCCCGCCCATCTCACGTGTACTATTGACACATAGACGTACGTCGATGTTCGGCCGCGTGGATAGGCATTTCAATAGCTCTCGGTCTGAATACTAATCGCCAGGCTGTCTGCCAACAGTTTCTACCGCAGCCGCGTTTAGTCATACCCTCTTTCCTGGATTTCAGCACCTCTACAGCTCAACCCTCATCCATCAGTGTAAAAGTATTCCCGAGACCCTGGTCTACAATCTCTTAATATAGCATACCGAAATGCAGCAACTGCCCCAGACCAAAGCCCCATCAACCCCCACACCCAGCAGTCTCCTCCCTAATGAGGCGCCAATATCTCGGCCTGCCTTGCCTTGCTGTAGATTTGGAATTTCGTGCCCCTGTTGATGGGTTCCAGGATACGAGGTTTGAGGGTTGAGTACCCTGTCCATGAATGTCTGGCCCGAGCTGGGATTCCTCTGTAAGTGAGGCAGTGTGGAGTGAATGGACTAGCTGTTATTGTTTCGCCCCAGACATGGGTGTTGGGGATCGGCGCTTGAAGAAGTGTAATGGTAGGTAGGGGTATTTCTTCGGGGCGTCTAGGTGCGTTATCTGGATTCTGGCTTGTCTTCCGGATTGAGTGCGGTGGCTTTGTGATGTATGTGCCTTCGGGTCAGGATTGGCAAGCATCAAAGCAGGATCCTGGTGCTTTGGTAATCAGAATCCAGTGTGGTAGTTTCGTCATCATGTATCCCCTCCGATGAGGTGGGTAGTTCTCAAGTAATTAGGTTCTTGATTGTGAATGAATCTGGCACTGCTCTTGGTAGAACGCAGCCGCTCACGTCTGAATATGCTATGTGTACGCTCATCAAGGTGGCAAGAGGTACTTTGGTAATTGTTCACACAGATGTCGGTCCTCTATCTTATGATATTCCAGTAGCGCTACCGCAGAAGGGCATTGATCAAGGCAGTGATGTCTGAACAAGCGTCTCTGTCGTTGTCATGAGCAAGAGAATAGGAGGCGACTTTGCCCTTGCTTGGGCCTTTTGACTTGATTAATTCATAGAACCAATGTTAATCTGCCATCCCTTCGGCACCATAGACACAGATAACTTGCATGAACACGACTTCATCATACCCAGCATTTCTCACGTCTTTACAATACGTTTTCACGCTTTCCCATGAACATGCTTCCTGTCATCAAACTTCAACCTGAGCGGCCCAAGCGCGGTCGTGAAGGTATCCTCAATGCTATTCTCAAAGTCCTCTGGCTTCTGCCCCGGGGCAAACTTGACGCTATACCTCCGCACAAGCTGCGACGTGACCTGGCGGACTTCCATCAGCCCAAGCTGTTTACCAACACATCCATCAGGACCTGGGAACGAAACAAAATGTCAGCCAATTCCATAGATATAGAGTCAAAGATATCGTCATTAGCTTACCTGTCGAGAACGGCATGTAGCACTTCTCCTCCTTCACCAGCTCCGGCATCGTGGTCCACCGCTCGGGAATAAACTCATCCGGCCGCGGGAAATTGCGCGCATCACGCTGCAGCGTGTAGATGGGTACTTGCACGATGGTGTCGCCCGGGATGAACGTCCCGGCGATCTCAACGCCCCCGTAAGGCGTCACACGCTGCAAGCCTGATGGCACGGGAGGGTGCAAGCGGAGGGTTTCTTGGATGACGGCGTTGAGATAGCTGAGTTTGGACAGCGATTGGGCGTCGATGACGTCGGCGCCGGCGTCGTCAAAGAGCTGGTCGATCTCTTGCTGGAGGGCTTGCTGGACTTTCGGGTGCTGTGAGAGTTCGAAGAAGAGGGTCGTTAGGGTGGCGGCGGTTGTGTCGCTGTATATACAGGTTAGAACTGAGGTTGGGAGATGGATGGAAGGGGGCGAGGTACCTTCCAGCGACAATGATCAGTTGCGAATCGCCGTACAGATTGACGCGCTCCTGATACGTGTGGCTCTTTTTCTGCTCGTACTCCTCGAGGAGCCAGGACATGATGTCTGGGCGCGAAGGCGGGTTCTTGCGCCTACCCTCGGTCTCGTCGACGACAAACCGCCAGAATTTCTTGTCCTCTGCATTCAGAACTGGGGTCATGCGGAAGATGGGGAACACGTAGCCCATGCGACTGAATATACCCACGACCTTCATGAAGCCATGGAGGGCTTTCATGAAGTAATGAACCACGCCTTCCTGGAGCATGCCAAACGACTTGCCGAACGAGAGGTCGCCCATGACGTCGAAGCTGTAGAAGTTGAACCAGTCGGTGACGTTGATGGGCTCATTGTGGAGTCTCTCGATTTGTGTGAGTAGTTGCTCTGTGTGTCCCGTGACGCGCGGTTCATATTCACGGATGTCTGGGAGAGTTTAGTATAGCCCACGTGACAGAGTGCTTTCAGCATACTTTTGGAGTTGAAAGCCTTGTCCCAGATCTTTCTGCGCCGGGAGTGCTCGAGTTTGTTGCGTGTTTGCTGTAGAGAAACTTGAGGGTGGTGAATACTGTACCAGGGACCCTTTGTACACTTCGATCTCGCAGAGTGTACCACATCGACTGCGTCGGCATTGTTGATCGATAGCTCACGAGGCCCTAGCATATAATCAGCCTATGCTTGACGTTGGAGGACGCACTCTCGCCTACCAATGCGTACGAAATCACCATGCTTCTTATGCAGCGCCTGGATCTCCTTGAAGAGCTTGAACTCCTTGACAGACAACCTCGTCGTGTTAAGATTGCTCACCCGGCCCATAAACGGCCCCGGAAAACGGTGGAGACGGTGGAAGAAAACGCGATATATGAGCATGCTCGCGTACACCCCGACTACCCACCATGCCGTCAATTTCGACGTGTCCTTGAGTGCCCCCGCCACTGATATCCCTCCGTTTGTCAACACGTAGCTGATAACAGCCGCAGCTGCAAGATTCGCAGTGATCAGCGTGCCAGCAATCTTGGGGAGCGAACGGTCCCATTCTCCAACTCGGAAGAGGGATACATGTGCTGCCACGCCTCCAAGCACAGCCAGTACTTGTAACGGTGAGGCTCCTAGAACTTCTGCCATGCTGAAGATGTGTTGACTGTTGAGCCAAACTTCAGTTTGATCGAGAATCGGGGCTGGGGATCGGGCTATATGCGACCTGCGTTCCGCTTCATAACTGCGCCTACAAATGGACAGGGCTCGCCCTGTTGGCCGGACAGTAGTCGACGTCGAATGTTACGCTCGATGGGTAGTGGTTAGAGCACCCGATACCGAGGTTACTCAAACGCCATTGGCAAAGTCCGTGCGGTGACGGCTCCAGGGCAGTCTAGTATAGTGTGGGAATAGCCATGTGGGTGATGGGAGACTCTAGAGCTCCGTCTGAATCGATAGCCTTGACGTCGAAGGACCATTGGTTAGAAGGTCTCGAGTCAGGTTGACGAGAACAAGAAACGACCTGGAAGGGGTACCTGGGATGTTGCTACTTGCATCCCCTCGACCGCAGCAAACACACTATGCAGCTATATCAGGTCAACATATTGAAACACTACCTCGTGTGTCATGTCAATCAGCCGTGCCGTTGAGTCAAGATCAACATCAGCCAAGAAGTGGACGGTCAAAAGCGATAGTCTCATTTGCTCAGTGCGGCTTAGCGCTACCCCACAATCGTCCCCCGCACCAGCAGATCCACGTCCTTTTATTCCCGTTACACCCGCACCGACGAATTCAGCATAGAGTCTGATACATGTCGTTAATATCCTTACACTTTAGTTAGAATCTCCTATCCCGTCACAAAGTCTACCAGAAACCCCCCCAGACTTCACACAAGGAAACTTCCAAGAAACCGCCTCTGTGACATAGCATAGTCAGTCGCACATCAACCACGCCACACCTCCCCCAATACCTAACATCATGTCCGTACTGCCCATGTACACTATCACGCACAGCGCAAATCCATTCCCCGCCCACAGCTATCACGGCATAGTAAAACTGCAATCCAGAGACATGATCCAGGATTCCAGATATCTATCTCTCCGACAATGATTGGGACATGTTCAGCAAGTCCCCTCCCCCAACATACCGCAAAGCCCTCTATATCTCGCGGATCACGCTACTAAGTGCTTTACTTGTAGTCTTGTCTGACTAATCCAAGAGTTCAACATTGCATAATATCATCAAAGGAATATGTCATAGTATCCAGTAGTAGCATCACTTAAGCGCACACACTTAGTCGAGTGTTTCAGGGTGGTGTACTACAGTATACATGTTTATACATATATACATATATACAGCGGAGGGAGACGCTAGGTTTACTTACGCCCATAACACTAATACGAACATGCTATTTAATGATGATGATGATGATGATGATGATGATGATGATGATGATGATGATGATGATGATGATGATGATGATGATGATGATGATGATGGATATAAGAGGCTTGAATGCCAGACTTCATAATTGCAAGTGTGTGCGTGTATGTAGCCCGACCGTAAGAACAACCTTTATTCCATCCATGACATCTATCTAAAATCCACCCACAACCTAACGCCCCTTTCCCAGAACCCCTTCCCCCCTCCCCTATCCCCTACGCTCGCCCTACCCAACCTCCAACCGCAGCGCATCATACTGCACATACACACTCTCCGGCAACACCGCCGTCTCCGGCGCAGTAGCATTAGCAGGCAAACTAAGCACAATAGTATTCAAGGCAGAGGCACGCAGAAGGTCCGTAGCAAACGCGAATTCGTGCGCGAGCGTATAGCACGTAGCCGCGGAGCGCGCAGCGCAAGACGAGCTATGATTAGAGCTATGGAATCATTAACCATCCATCCGTACAATCAACAATACGAAAACAAAAAAAAATGATGAAAAGGGGGGGGGGAACAACTCACGGAATAACCCAAACCGGCAACTCAACACCATTAACCACAACCGTGAACGGCAGATCCACCCACGCCTTCTCCACCCCATCAGCATCATCATTATTCCCCGTCGACGTCTTCGCACCCGCAAGCTGCACCGTCAACACCGCGCTCTCCCGCCCGGCCAGATCCGCGTCTTCCAACCCAAAAGTAAGCGTCCAATTATTCACATTCGCGTAATACGGCTCGGGACGGAGGCTATTCGCCTTGCCGCCAAACACGCTCCAATGCGCGTAATTGAGGCCTAGCGCGACATCGTCCTTGTCGACGTCAAACACGACGCCGTTCGGGAAATCGGAGGGGAAGTCGTGCACGGCCCAGTAGAGGCGGTATTGGGCTGGATGCCGGGTGCGGGAGAGGTCGGGCGCGTTGCCGTGGCGGAACTCGCCTGCGCTGCGGTCCGGGGTGTCGATGCGCCAGAGTTCGGTGCCGTGGGAGGTAGGTGTCCAGGTGGCGGTTGTAGACTGAGTTTTGCTGGGTGCGACGACGATGTTGTCCTGGGTGTAGGCGCCGAAGATGCCGTCGGCGTAGACGGTCAGGCGGTAGGTGCCTGCTTTGACGTTTGGGATGCGGACGGTGCCGGAGGAGGGGTCGATGTCGGCCCAGTACTGGTATGCGGGGGTGTCGAAGTTGTTGTCTTGGAAGTCGCGGTTGTTGGCTGCGAGGACGGCGATGGGGCGTGAGGCTGTGGGTGGGAGGGTGATTGTGCCTTGCCATGTCCCGCGGTCGGAGGACGGGGTGTAGCCGGGGACGTATTTTGAGATGGAGTCGTAGAAAGCAATTGCCCAGTTTGGGTCCGCGAATTGAGAGGCGTCTTTGCGGAGGTCTTGGAGGGTTGAAGACGGGGTGCCTTTGTTGAAGTAGTAGTATTGCTGTGTCCGTGAGTATGCTGGATGATGCGGAGGGAACATAATCCACTTACTGGCCCAAACGTCCGATCAAAGCCATCGAGCATAGCTGGTACGCCGTCTCCATGGTGGTTCGATGCTGTTGCACACTATCAGCGCGATTCATATCCAAATACTTGTCATCCCGACTTACTCAGATAGTTGTACACAATGCCATCGACAGTCAGGTCCGAATGCGTGGGGCCGCCATAGTACGTATCCTTCGTGTTCATCACAAGCCAGGCACCAAAAGTCGAGCCATTGGCAGTGTTTCTGCCATCTGCATACATTCCATGGACGGAAGTATCCCTCCAGGTCTCAGAAAACATGTATTTCGTAAAGTAATCGGAGACCTCCCGGACATACGGATCCGATTTGTTGCCGCCTACATACCAAGTCGCGTCCTGGACAACAGGTGCACCGGTGGTGTTTGGCAGCGGTCCATACATGCCATCGCTGGAAGAGAGATGCGTCCAGATAGACGCGCTGGGACGGAAGAGCGTCCTGAACTCCCCAAGGTCGTTTCCACTATCCGGTACCGACGAGTTGTGATATGCAGCGCGGGAGAACATGTGCAGGCCCGTCTCGCCCTCACGCAGGAACCAGTACTGCTCAAGCGTCGTGCCAGTCTTCTGGTACTCGTGGCTCATGCGTACGCCTCCGTACGCAATCCCGGTACTATCCGTTCCGTTATACAGTGTGTATGACGCGCCACTCCCAGGAGTCCATTGCCCTGAGGCAATGCAATGGCAGTCTAGATACGGACCCCGTCCTGTGCCAAGGAGATTCTGGCCGTCCAGGGATAGACTTGCGACCGATCCGGTACTCTTGCTTACAGAGAAAGCAAGACGGCTATTCGAAATACTCATCGCCGTGCTCGACTCCTTCGTAGTCAGACTCGCGCACACCGGAACGATCAACGCCGGAAGCAAGCCCGCAGCGGAGCAGATGAAGTCTTGGATCCGCATACTGGTTGAGTTCCCCAATGTCGATATTTCTTTTCACGGAAACAGGTGACCACCCTTCTTATAAGGCCAGAGGCCATAACCAGTTACGAATGGCTCCATTTTGTATACGTATATGCTTCTCGCTCATTTCCGGTTTGCGACGCGCGTGGTGCTCAAATCCGGCATGCCGGGACAATGATCAACCGAATACGGGCGAACTCCCAAGCGACAAGTGCGTGAGTATGTCCCGTGTAGACGCCACAGGCCGGATGGGTGTTTAAACCTGGACGCAGTAGGGAATATGGAAATCTCGGGACAGTTGGAAGAGGCAGACGACGTCGCGTCCACTTTGTACTTCCAAGTTGGATGCTTGTGGGTCGGCTGACTGATTTAGGCCAGGGTGGTCGTGGAGATGCGAATCTCAGAAGTGCTGAAGCAGTGACCATTTATACGCGGTGTCGAGGTGAAAGGGGTTACCCCTATCTGACCTGACAGTCGCATAATCAAATTCTTGCAGTCATTAGACAGGTTTGCGTATGTCATCGATGTTATGGATATCGTGGTTATGATACACAAGTTACCTTAGCAAATAGCAATCGGCACCACACACACATAGAATACATCTGAATCTTTGAGGCAAAGCATCATGAACAATGGCCATGGCATAGTCTATGAGCATTCTACCCGTATCTCGTGCTCATGTCTACCGAATATATGTACCTGCTGAGTTCATCATGATAGCTTTGAGCATTTAGTATGTATGTATATAGTTGGTGTCTGTCACTATACCCCTTACTATCACTACACTTCTAATCTATCGCCATCGCATCACATCAACGCACAAAGCACACACACACACACACTTCAAAAACTTAATCAAAACCTCAAGTATCTTCCAATCTTCCAAAAAACATCTATCATTCATGTCATAGACCCCTATCCCTCCTCCCTCCCTCCTCCCCCTCCACCACAAAGCAAAAAAAATAAACGCTGATGAACATGAGATGTACCATACATGGTATAGCATAGCGTATATACACACATATATATGTATACCCAAAACATGCACATGGCCACCAGAAACCAAAAAAAAAGAAAGACGCTGATATCTCGCACGTAATATACGCTAAATCTCTCACGCACTCACTCATTCCCACAAGAGCTGTGATACACTACACCACCTAACTACCACGTGAAAAACAAAAAAACCTAATTTCTCTCAAAACTAGTATCTGTACGTCTGATTCCCATACGTCGTCTGCCGCTCCGCAATCGGACTGACCTCGCCCGTTGCCGGCGCCATCCTCGTTTCCGCACCCATGGTGCTCACCGTGTCTGCTCCGGCGCCATAGCCTGGGTCTCCGTTCTGCTGTGCGCCGTAGCCAGGGTGATAGGGCTCGGTGTAGTCAGTCACGGGCGGCTCGTCCAGTCTCGCGGCATGGGCGGGCGGCGGACCGGTTGGCGCGGCGTATGCGTCGTCCGAGAACGGGTCTTCTGTGGAGCTGCCGTCGGCAGGCTGGTGCTGCGGAGCAGTCTGGAGGGAGGGAGAGAAGGCTTGGTGCGCGTGCTGGGGTTTGGGTTGCTGGAGCGGGGGAGGCGAGGATGTTGACATGATGGGCTCGGTCTGGATGACGGGGGGTAGATGCGGGAGGTCTTTGATTTCTTGCTGTGGCGGTGGAGAGGAGATTTGTTGTAGTGGAGTGATTACGCCGCTGTTGTTGGGGGAGGGAGACATGCCGAGGGCGCGGCGGGCTGCGAGGACTGCGCGCTGGTGTTTGCTGGCTGCGAGACTGAGTTGCTCGTTGGTCTCGATGAGGGTGAGCATCGTGTCGTCGTCGGGCGGCGGTGAGTCGCAATTGATGTACCCCTGTATGCTCTTGTGTGCGGATTGACAGCGGTCTGCGAATTCTTTGATCAAGTCGTTGCTAAACACCTCATTCGGCGGGGTCGACTGGACAAGCTGTAGCAGTAGCTTCGCAGAAGTTCGTGCCTCTTCAATCCGCGCAGCAAGTTCCGTAGGTGGCGGAAGAGTCCTACTCCGCGAGCGATGGCTGCCATGTTGCGAGCCTGGGTTGAACGCCTGCTGCTGCTGTTGCACCGCCCGGTTGCCAAAGTGTGGGTTCTGCTGCGTCATAGTCATCTCTCTCCTCCACATCGCAAACAGGGTGTTGAGGTTCGTATCATATGCTTTCTCCCTTTCTAGTGCATCCAATGTCTCCCTCAGTATCTGGTTCACGCTGGGATCGCGACCATTCCGCAAGAGTTGCTTGGCCGCATCGGTAAACTTTTGATCGAGATTCTTGGTGAAGGATGGCCCAGGATTGTCCGCCAGTATCCGGATCAGCATGATGGCATTGTATTGGATCGAGGGCTTGTTGTTGTACTTTTCAGACAAGAATTTCCGGATTTGGTTCGCAGCCGCGCCGGCAGCTTGAGGAGAGGCAACAGCATTCTCGACGATGGTAGGGAGGTGCAGGACTTCTTCGCCCTGCCAACACACTTAGTCAGTCGTTGCTCGCGCATGCGCATGGACAGGATGAGTTGTCTACTCACAGAATTTGCGGAAGCAGACTCGCAGAACGATTTCTATTGGCGCCGCGTCAGCTTCCGTCGCATATATGGATAGATGTGAATGGTTGTCCAAAGACAGCTTACCACTCCCTGCACGACCTGGGCTTCGGGCGAATTCTTGTCCTGCGATGCATCATCTGCGCCTGCTAGCAAGTCATGTCTTAGTTATATGCTCTCGTCGATTTTCTCGCAGCTCTCGCGGTCTTGAAAGGGCGGACGTACCCTTCTCGCCTCGAATCAGGGTGGAGATGCGCTTGAGCATCATTGTGAGATGAGGGTGGTGTAGTCGCGGCGGCGAACAGGACGCAGAGGCGATGAGGAATATAAGCCGAGTACGAGGGGTTTGACCAGCTGCAGGAATCCTCAACTCTTGTTGAACAATAGAACCAGCCTTGTCTTCGTCTTTCAGTCTGACAGTCAAAGAGTTGTCGCGGGACAAGACACAATGAGACCTCAGACCAGGTACCAGGGATATGCAGCAGCCTAAAATGCCTAAAATGCCTGAAATGCCGCTACCAGAACCACTAGAGCACCTCAGGCGCCTAATAATAGTCGACAAAAACAAGTGATAGGCAACCTCGAAAGGCAAAAAAAGAAAACAATAAATAGAACAGGATCGGGGGCCAAGGACGGCTCTCTTCGGTATAATAATAATTATGCCTATCTCGTAGGAATTTAAAGAGAGATAGATGGAGCCGGGCAACAGTGCGTGTCTCTCTCTCTCTCTCTCTCCCTCTCTGCAGGGATATATATGTATGGATATCTCCGCAAAAGCCCGCAGCCGGACCCTTTTTTTAAAACGCCTTGTTTGCTGCACAGCCCCCTAATGCAGGCGACTCACTGACGACGACGCGCAGATCAAACACGCAAGCCTTTTTTTAGTCAGTTCCCATAGTGTCTATCACTAATATTATTAGAACAAGACGGACAACCGACACGGCTTCAAATAGATAACAGTCTGTATATCATAATATACGTAAGTAGTTCCAATCACTCTCGTTCGTTGAATGTATCTATTCAAAAACTTGTGACTCTCTGTTTGTTTGCAGAGTGTCTTCGTCTATGTATCAAAACCGTAGGCAACCAACCTAGGTAGAGTGTGTGCGCGTCAAGACCATTGGCATCGTCGTCATGCCAAGCACAAGCACAAACACAAACACAGACACAGAATCGGCACTTCCGACTTCTTCCAATCCAACGCCGTTTTTTGCTAAATCGCTGCAAGTCTGGGTATAATCAGGAGGGGGAATGAAAAGCCCAAAGGAGTCCTCCCCGAACAGAACAATCAATATATATACATTCGTGTCCGGTTCTCTTTTTTTTTTTCGAAAATGGGTACATACACCAACATCATGCGCTGTATACACGCGGGTGTCTGGCTGGCGTGTTTCTCATGTCACTGCCTCGCCGAGATACGCAAAGTCGTCTACGAGTTGCGAGATCTGACTCGCCTCTGCGTGCAGACCAGACTTCTGCTGGTGTGCCGTCGGTGGGCGCGAAGCTTGAGGTGTAAAGCTCTCGAACGGTTTCGAAGGCTCCAGTTCGAATCGTGTGAGGGTAGCTTCGGAATTGTCTGGGTGGCCCATCAGACTATAGCCGTAAAGCGTTGACCCGTGCACTACATTCGGCGAAGACGAGACCTTCGCAGAGCCTGGTGGAGGATCCCGTAGCTGGAAAGGCGTCGAGCATAGTGGCCCATTATTGTCTAGTACTAAGCGGTCGAAGCCGAGCTCTTCGTCGTCGCCCAAGAGTTCAGCGTCCGGTTGGAAGAAGCGTTCGAGTCGGGCACCCAGGTCAGGGGTATGGATACCACTCGAATACTCGCTCAGTGAACTGAATGTGGGTGACAGTAAGGGCTCGTTCACGAAGACGGGCATTTCCCACGTGACCGAGTTGTTCCTACCCCATACATCGAGACTGCTCGATGACTCGCTGCTTGGAAGTACGTCTCCTTCATCGCCGTCGGATCGCAATTGGAAATGGAAATCAGGGAGAGTCTCGTCGACTTCCTCAGGGAGTGGAGCCAGCATCGGGACGTCCTTGTCTAGTATGTTCAGCAAGTGTACGTCTCCTTCTGGCGAGGCACGTCTCGAAGGCGGCCTGGTGGGGTATGGATAAGTATATTCCATGCCAGATGGTGAAAATTCTCTCAATTCCTGCTCGGATATGATGTCTTCGTAGTTGCCCTCGTTTACATCTTCTGGGATATCGACGAGATCATTATAGGCTGTAGGATGTCGAGTGGGAGATGTATTGTTAGTGCTGTCATTTGAAGTAGACCTGCGATGTGAGAAAAGCCCGGAGAAGTCTTGTCGAAGTCTCGAACTTGCAACCGATTGTTGCGAGTTTGATCGACTTGGGAACACGAGTCCATCGTGAAGATATAAATCCTCCGTATCGTGCCCGGCAGTCGGATTGTAGTCATAGATCAGCTGCTCTTCCTCCTCTCCAATTACCTCACCGATTCTCTCTAGATCTGGTGAGACGGCGCGGGACGATACGTGCAGGCCATGCCTGGATGTCGAGACTGAGCTTTGGGACCACTGTGAAGGTGTGGTCGACGATGATGGGGAACACATGTGGAGACGGCCGTCTTCAGTCGACAACAGGAACGGGTTGATATGGCTGTCCTCGTCGCTTACCGGTAATTGTCGAGCCCGAGATCTGCCTCTTCCAGTATCTGTATCTGGACTGTAGCCACGCATGGGTATTATACCATTATGGGCTGCTACTACTGGCGAATCTGAAGCTGAACGTGCACGTCGTACAGGATACTCCCGAGTTACTCGCCTATATCCGAGGTTTGTCCCAGCTGAGCGGCATCTCACGAGCCTGGGCGATGTTTGCGGTAAGGTCACCCCTGCTGCGGTACGTTTGCTGACCTTTGGTAGACGCAGAGCCTCCTTTGGATGTGGTGTCTGGTACTTGTCCTCGGGATTCAGAGACGGTACGATTATTTGATCATTTGATGCAGGGGCAATGGCGGTACTGTCCGTTGGGACCTCAAGAACGTTAAGCTGCTGACCAGGCAACAATGGACACAAGGTCGTAACCGGATATGATGGATCGGAATACTCGATTTCTCCATCTAGGCGATACTGGAGAGAAATGAGCTTAGACATTAGTCCGTGGACGTTTGATATACTCACATAGAACCAGTATATGCCTCCCATGAGGAGCCCACCCTCACGTTTGTTGGTAAGATGTTCAATGTCACCATCGCAGATGATGTTTTTGAAGCGGTAGCAGCCTGTCCAGTGGCCCAAGCCTTTCCGCCTATCCCGTTTCATGTTATAGGGAGAGCTGAAATTGTCCCATGAGCCTAAAAGTTCAACAGTCCTTACGGACTGGGAGCATTGACTACATGTCGTCAGCTATCGCAACCACATACATGACCCTACAGCTACGGAAGTGCTTACAGCATGAATGTCATTAGCGTGGTGGACTCCATGGCGCAGGTAATATGTGATATACAATGTTTGAAATGTAGATACCATGCATGTCAAGTATGAGTAGTCAGATGCAGCAAGTATCCAAGAAGGCTTCTAGAGCAATTGCTAGGAAGTAGAGTACTCAAACATTTGCCGGGTCGTATATTAAATATCGCGGGTCGACTATGGGTAGCTGGATACAGGTAGGATTGTGGTGAGGGTGGAATGATCGGGGCGGATAATGGCAGCCACTGAGGAATGTGTGCCAGGGGACCGCGAGGAGCAGATACAGGGTCGAGATTGTATAGCCGATGCAGATATGCGCCAAGTCGTCAAGGCTATAGCATATGGTATTATACGGTCAAGATCGAGTACAGTGAATCCTTTAGACTGGAGATCTTGTCAAAGGCCATAAGGCTGGGAATATATGTTGGGCACACCAACAGATGGTTTTGGGAAGGAGCGACTTGAAGGAGAGCGTAGTAATCTGATTGAAACCTGAATGAAGGTATATTATAGGTAATAGCCCCAAAAGAAATAGAGAGCAGCCTCTGCAAACCAAAAAAATTGAAGAAGCACAGAGCAAGGATAGTAGCGGGAGTGGATCCACAACATGGGCCAGCACGAGAGCAAAATACGGTGGACGACCAGGTAAAAGACGAAGAAGAATGGCTGGAACGAGAGGTTCACGAGGCAGTGAACTCAAATCAAGACCCAGGACGAAGGGCAAAGCAGAATAGACCAATGCAGCAGAGTGTTTAGCGATGGCGACGCTAGGCGACACAAGGCAGATGGTAAGGGGTGCACGCTCGACGGTTCATTCACATTGGACAAAACGACGCCGCCAGCGGGACCGAATGGATGGATCCACATTCAACTCCTGTCAGGATCACGCCCTCGAGATGCTGCAACTGCAACATGCGATCACTGGTTCTCGCCCTCGAGTGGCGCTGCAGCTGCGTCAGGATGGTTCAGGCGCAATACGATGAGCATACACTTGCAACCAGTGGACGGCAGTGACCCAGTTCCGACCGTTGCTGCGCTGGACCAACGACATCAACGTATGTCGGCAGGTAACCAACAACAATAAGCAATTGAGCAGCAGGTTTCCGGTTCCTGTCAAAGTTGCTGGCTTCATGGTCCTAGAGTAAAGCCGACGACGATCTGGTTCCCGTCCCTTGATCCCTTGGCCGGCGCTACCTTAATGGCCGATGTGAGACTCTGGACATGGTACAATATTGTTTTACAGCACGCACAGTTGTGCTCAAGGTCCTTCGTGGTCTTTATCTATCTCTATTCAGCAGTCGATTGCCGTAATCCACTCCTGTGTTGTATGGACGGACAGGAATACACAACCTCAGACACTGTCATCGTCGCTGTCCCCGAATGCAACAGCCACTTTGTGCCACAGGAGTCAGAACCACAGCGGCCATTTAAGCGCGAAGCCTTGTTCAAACTCCAGTTGCAGCACGCGCCGCACGTGTGGGCTGCAGCTGGAGCTGAATGGTGGGTCAATGGCAGCGATTCGCCTTCCATAACTTCATTTCCTTTTCATACACGCTAAGTCATGGCGCCCTCATTTCCGGCCAGACTACAATGTATCGCCGACACGGCACTATCAAGAAATTTGACGGCGGGCCCAGTGATGGTGGCAGTGCCGGTGACAGTGACAGTGACGGCGGCTGTCGCATTGAAGGCCACAGTTCATGTTCCACCATGCGGGAGACGAGACGATGCGTAACGGCGAGGGTAGTAGGAGAGGAGAGGAGAAAGGGGCCAGCTCGAGCCCTCAGCCTTTTTTAACCTTCTATCATTCAGCATTCAGCATTCAGCCAGCCAGCTGACAGCGGAGAGTCGTAAAACGGCCGAGGGGTGCCCGCGATTAACGGTCTGGTCCCGCCGAGAACCCCACCGTCCACGGGTGATAGCCCCGACCCCTTTCTTGGCCTGATCAATCCTCGCAGCGTACAGTAATTATTATTTGCTTCATTCCTCTCACTTACCTGTGTACACAATACACAGCACACTTCTTGCACCACCTGGACAACATTCACACGCTCTGTCACCATTCGCATAACAGTCATAGTCATACCCTCATATCTCCGTCCTGTTCTCGTCTCAAGTCCCACAGCGCAGGCTGACAGTAATATCTTCTTTGTCTCACGCTGTTGCTGTTGCACACCAGAAACAGTCCATGGACGCTTCTGAACAAGACTACTTCATCTCGCATACAACGTGGCCGCTTTGTTCCCATCTGTACATCATGCAAGCCATGCTATCATTCAACCCGCTTTACACGCATATCTGCCGAGACCACGTGAATGCACATCTTCGTACAACGACACACTGAACTCTGCCCCAGTCGATACCACGACAACCTTGGTTCAACATCCTGTCTGTCATGATAGAGCGAATGATTCAGTCCTCGGACTGTTTGCCATTAATCTATAGAGTCCGGGGAATCTCTTATTCTCAGTTATATTGATGTCCTCGCGATGGACTACGACTGCGATGTCATGCCAGATTATATTGCTGTAAACGGGCCTACTAACTACCCTAAACATGTAGGTGCTAGAACGTCTTCTCATATATTATCCTGAATGACTGGAGTCTTCATCGTATCGACGACCGCCCTCTTAGGATACCCAATATGAAGGTCGCCCGACAAATCATCGAGAAATCTAAATCGAACAAAAGCATGAATCGTCGATGTTACACACCTGTACTTTCTCTGTACGTTCACCAGGTGATATCAGTATGCTCATATACTATGGGCTGCCTTTCTATTCACCTACATTCCTATACATACCACGTGACAGCACAGCAAATCAATATCAGGTAACCTCACTCACGGATAAAATGCTAAATGAACCATCATCGTTCAAATATGGAAGATAATAAGTGCTCCTTGTGATTACGTAGCAACAGCTGACTTTCAGGAGGTAGGACGTTGGAACATCAAGCGTTCTGACGTAACTCAAGAGCCCAACCAGTCACCGATCAGTATCATGTACCAGATAAATACATCCAAGACTCAAAAGTTAGCATATCTGACCTATCCAATAGCCCCGATTCATCACCTTGAAAGAGCAACCAAACACCAATTTCTGCCTCTAATGTCCTGATTTTCATCATCAGCCATCTTCCTGCCTCCCGCAGGACCTAGATAACCAGACATATAGACCGCGATCCAGCCCAGAAGACGTCGAGTCCTTAGCCAGCATTATCGTCCATATGCATACTTTCGAACATTATATACCACGTTTCGCTTTCCATCGTAGCTGCGTTTGAGGCCGCTAATGTCTAAACCCTGCAATCGATAGCTTTACGATCTACTGTATACGAACGAGCATGGGTCGAGATCTCGGTGGCTCCAATGGCATACGTGGGTCACTATCCTTACTACTTGTGGTGGCCTATATTGCATAGTCAACTGACTGGACCCGATAGCTTGATTTGATACTACTACCAAGATGGTGGACATCAGATGGAATTCCCCACTAGTCAGCATCAGACTAAAGAGCTCAAACATCAGATTGTATCCTAGCAGACCGCTACTAAGTCAGTGATAACATCAAGGAAATCCATGAATTTGGAAAGTGAGTCCCCGGCCAAAGTTCATGTGGGGTAGAAAGACGACAGTTCTCGATACCGAGATCTGCAATGCTGACAGGGATACACAACGACGCCGGACGATCGACGTAGCGGAACAGCAGACGATCCTCCGGGGTGCATATTGGATATCCCACATCGAGGCATCCATTATACATGCAAAGCTTCATCTTATCCGTTCACTACTTTAAAACCCCATCACTCCCATGGCCTCGACTCGACTCGAATCCTGAACCTTCGAGCATGGCTCTACCCCATGCATACCGCAACTCCCTAACGCATCCCTAAACGACCGTGAATCGCAAGCACGAACCGTCACCAGCAACCGCCTCCCAGAAAAGTGACTACACCCACCACCCTCCCATCCCATCCCAAACCGTGAATTCCCAACCAGTCATACCCCCCAACATTCACCCTCGCCCACACTAAAAACCCCCCGTCCGTCCGTCCGTCCGTCCTCGCAATACCACCAATCTCATCCACCACACACACACAGAGACAGACAGACACAAAACCACCATGCGCCCGATCCTCCTCGCAACACTCCTCCTCCCCCTACCCACCACCTCCACCCCCATAACCGGCCTCTTCACACTCACCGCCCACGCGCCCACAAACCCCCTCTTCAACGCCCTCAAACTAAACTACGTCGGCCGCGCCGCCCTCTTCCAGCCCCAAGCACGCAGCTACTGCGGCGCCAATCCAGCCTCGCTGTGTCCGAACGGCACCGAAACAGTCTGGGGCAACGGCTTGTATCCCGTAAGTCTGTCCGTGCATACATCCACCCATACCGGGCATAGAGCCTAGATATAGACATCGACATAGACAGCCACGAGTACAAAACGCTGACATGGAGAACACAGTACGCCCTCGTGCCCGGCGGCCAGGACACATACGCCGAGGCCTCGGGCCTCGTGCGCATCCTCCCGCAGCACTCGCACCAGATTCCTAGCGGCGCCTTCCATGCTTACGAGGGCTTCGTCTGCGCTGCGGAACTCCCGGCGTCGTATGTGCCGCCGCTTGATGGGCCGTGTAATGAGACGGATCCTGTGTATGACTGTCGGAAGCCGGAGGGTCTGTGTACGTGGAGATTACCGGGTGGTGGTGAGGGGGAGGAAGGGAGTGGGGTGTTTGCGTGCGAGGATGGCGAGGGGGTGAGGAATGGGACGACGACGACGAATGGAGTGAGTATCTTTGTGCGGACGCCGGGGTTTGCGCGGACGGATTGTGTGGGGTTGGAGGGGCTGGCGACGCATGTGCATGATAGTTCGTTTGAGGTGTGGGCGTATGTGTGAGGTGGGATGATGTTTTGTGGGAGTGGGGTTGGATTGTATGTGTTTTGTGTGTTTGGATAGGGGCTGGAATTATGTATTAGGAATAACCGATGGGATAGGGGATTGGTTGTCGGTCTGGATATCTTGTGTTAGGAGACATAGCGTAGTGTATAATAACAATCTACCTCAAACAGCCGAGCGCTCATCAAGCTTCGTACACCGTACGAATGCAATAATCCAGCAAAACATCCATTCATTCATTCCAACATACTCACCCCTTCGATCCTATCCCACATCCCAACTAGCCTCCAAAAGAAACCCCCTGACAAAACCCCCCCTAAATCATCACCAATGTCACAAACATCTAGGACAACCCCTCCTTCTCAGTGGGTTTTGGATGCTTGTGGGATAGCCATTGGATTGATTGTAAAAAAAGGCATGCCGATATTGTAGATAAGATTGTCAGTCAGGGGGGATCTGGACGTGGTTTTGTACATGGGGTATGTCCTGTGTTCGCGCTCTTCTGATGGTATGTAGATCTAGGCGGCAGAAGAGAAGCAGAAGTTCGTGTGACACACAAGTAAGCCTCCCCCGTCACACAAAGCCGTGCCAATAACCACCCCTCCTCTCTCAACACATCCATCCCCCTCCACCCATCCCACCTACAACTTCCCATTCATATAAATCTTCCCCCCATCCAACACAAGCGTATGCCCATTAACATGCCCGCCAGCCCGACTACACAAAAACACCACCGCAGCCGCCACATCCTCGGCATTGCCCAACCGCCCATTCGGATTCGCCCTCGCCGCGCTCTCCGCCCCACCACTCATCTCCAACAGCCCGTTGGACATCTTGCTCGGGAAAAACCCGGGCGCGACGCTGTTGACGAGGATGCGGTCGCCGTCCGTGGCAAAGGACATGGCGAGGTTGCGCGCGAGATGGAGCACGGCGGCCTTGGACGCGGCGTAGGAGAAGGTGGCCTGTTTGCCGAGCGTGGCGGTGTTTATGCCTGCGACGGAGCCGGTGACGAGGACGCGGGCCGGGTCGGCGGTGGAGGCGTTTTTGCGGAGGAGAGGTGCGAATCTGGTGTTTGCAGTCAGTATAGACTTCCTAGACTCCCAGACGTGCGTAGGGGGGTTTCAGTGCGGCTTTTTCACGACGACGACGACGACGTACTTTTGGACGGTGAAGAAGACGCTCTTCACGTTCAGGTCCATGACCTTGTCGAATGCGCTCTCGGTGAACTTGTCAAAGGCCTCGCCCCATGTCGCGCCTGCATTCGCGAAGAGGATATCCACATGGTCGGTATGCTTCGCGACCTCGGCGACAAGCCTATCGATTTCGCTGATCTTGGAGCTGTCCGCCGGGACCGAGATGGCTTGCGCACCGGGGCGTTTATTGGGGAGCGCGTTGAGGGCTGCGCAGGCTTCTTCGCAGGCCTTGGCTTTGCGCGACGTGATGAAGACTTTGGAGCAGCCGGCTTGGAGGAGACTGGGGTGTGTGTGATACGTGGTTAATAATGGACTGTGCATGTCTCTATGGAATCTGGCGGAAAAGAGCATACATACCCGGAGGCGCTGTGCAGACCTAGTCCGCGAGAACCGCCAGATACGACGGCGACTTTGCCTTCGAGGGAAAAGATGTTGGAGAAGTCTTGGAGCTTGACGTCTGCTTCGGCCGACATGGTGGTGGTGTTTAGCTAGTGTTGATATTGGGTTGCCAAGATTGACTACCAATTGCGAGGCTGGGGCTGTAAACTGAGATTGGAATTTGTATCGTTTGATTGGAATGAAGACCTAGGCAATAAAGCAGAGAGATTTCACCTTGGAGCTGTGAATGATTGTGGGGAGAAATGTTGTTGCACGTCTAGATCCTGAAGCTCCGGCTAATGCTCCCGGACTGTGGGGAAGATACCGAGGCTTGACCCGAACTGGGGAAGATCCATATGCACTTCAGGAGTATTATAACAGTTTACACTGTTATTTGACATATGGACGTTCAAATTCTGTAAAGCTATGCCCGACTATATGACTTGAATAGGTTTAGACAAAAATATCCCAAACCCCTGCTGAATGCAATGCATATCTTGTGTAACTACCTATCCTGTAGCTTATTAAGTGTTTTTAGTGACACGTTGTATCAATTTTGAACCCCTCATGTGCAACTCCACTAAATGACCCTGGCAAAATGGTATAAAGACAACTTTTGGGACTCAGGAAATGGTGACACCCTCTTATCTAAGAACCGTTCACTTGTGACTCGAGTTTGCTGACAATCGTGCTCGGTGCGTCTGGGCCATTAGCCGGGGCGTCTTTCGGCAGAACAGGCGACAAGTCTGGCGGTGTGATATCTTGTGTATTTGATCTTCTCGGACGGAATGGGACTGGCGTACTTGGGCGACTCGACAGGAACTGATAAGGTCAATACACTACAGGTATTCAAGGGCCGCACAAGAGTACTTACGGAGGAGGCAGCTGATAACAATGCAATCAGAGATGCCTGGACTACGTCGTGATGGATACCAACACCCCAGACCTTCTGCGAAGAGCTTGCAGCAGTACATTCAATGTAAGTTGCGGCCTTCACGTCACGACCGCCACCAATGGCATGCTCCTTGTAGTCTGCAACATCCAGATCGATACCAAGGTTTCTCAGAGCGTTCGCAAGGGATGAAATAGCACCATTTCCTACACCACGAATCTTATGTTCCTGACCATCAATCTCGATGACGCCCGAGAACACTCTTCGGAGGTTCACATTGCTCTGAGATTTGCCGGTCTCTGGGGGCGCAGGCGATATCGAGCGGTCTGAAGTGATATCGTAATCTATCAGACTAAATCTAGGGTTTCGACGGAGGTGATAGGCTTCCTCGAAAAGCTTGGTGATTTCAGTGGGAAGAAGTTCGCGGCCAAGCATATCCGTTTCCTTCTGGACTATCTTGGAGAATGCGATTTGGAGGCCACGGGGTAGGTCCAGTTCGAGGTTGCGCAGAATGATCCAGGCGACGCCTCCTTTGCCACTCTGCGAATTAACTCTAATAATGGCCTCGTACGTTCGGCCAATATCCTGGGGATCCAAGGGAAGGTAGGGTATTTCCCACGGACTCTCAGAGTCTGCGCCTTGCAGTTTCCGTTCATGGAAACCTTTCTTGATCGCATCTTGATGCGAACCACTGAACGCACACACGACCAGTTGACCTCCATACGGGGCTCTTGGGTGGACTGGAATTTTGTTACACTTTTCGACGACGTCTATGACTGACGTTATATCTGAGAAGTCAATACCAGGATGAACACCCTGGGTGTACAGGTTCAGACCCAAGGTAACAAGGTCGACGTTGCCGGTACGCTCTCCGTTCCCAAATAGAGTACCTTCTACGCGATCCGCACCCGCCATCTGGGCCAGCTCGGCCGCCGCAACGGCACAACCACGATCGTTATGTGGGTGCAGCGAGACGGCAAACTTCTCTCGTTCAGTCATGTTACGACAGAAGTACTCGACCTGATCAGCGTAGACGTTAGGAGTGGACATCTCGACTGTGGCCGGCAAGTTGAAGATAATTGGGTTCTCTGTTGAGGGCTCCCACGCAGCCTTCACAGCCTCACAAATCTCGACTGCGAACTCTGGGCTTGTGTCTGAGAAGGTTTCGGGAGAGAACTCGTACGCCCATTCCGTAGCAGCTTGTTCAGGGTCATCCTTGGTTATCGATCGCGCGTATTTCGTGCATTCCACCGCAAGTGCTTTTGACTGCTTGTTGTCCATGTTGAAGACAATTCTCTGGAAGCAAGGACTCGTCGCGAGGTACAGATGAAGAATTGCTTTCTTGGCACCTTTCAAGGAGTCGACTGTCCTACGAATGAGCTCTTTTCGGCATGGGGACAAGACTTGTAGCCAGACGTCGTCGGGTACGACATCTGGTGTATTCACGAGCTTTTGGGTGAAGTCGAAATCGGTTTGCGATGCAGATGGGAACGAGACTTCGATTTCCTTATAGCCAAGCTTTGTGAGCATCTGGAAGTAGCGCCATTTCTGGTCACCATCCTGTGAGGGACGCGTTAGCTAGCTGTACGCCAATGCGGAGGTACGTGAGTAACAATTGTACCATTGGATCGACCAAGCTCTGGTTGCCATCTCGAAGATCGGTAGACAGCCACCGAGGCGGCTTCTCGATGATTTTGGAGGGCCATTGTCTGTCCGGCAAGTCCAATGGCGTGAACTTCCTATATTTTTTGGAGGGATCTTTGAGCATCGGCATTGTGTATGGGTGAATATAGTACAAAGGAAAGGAGGCCGTAGCCCAAGAGGAGGTTGACAGGTTCTTATTAAACTCGCAGTATGACTGGACCGCAAGTCCGCACGCCCTACAACAAATTTTGGGTGACGTTAGCGGGGTAGTGGGACCGGGAAGCCCCACCCAAGCGATTTCGGCGAATATTGCTATGAATCCATCGGACTATTAATTAATTATAATTACACAACAAGAGCAGTATCCATATGTATAACCATCACCATGTGAATAGGCACCACCATCTCATGCTTGTAGACGACAATTAGTTAGATTTCAATCCTAAGAAAGAGTTCTTGCTTGTGGTAGAGGGTGTAGCTTCCAGCACAGAAAGCCATATTCACTGCGATTGGCTCTCGCGGAAGTGATGTACATACATGCTGGCTGAGGAGTCCGATACTGCAATGCAGCCACATACTGATAGCTCCTGCAGGAAAAGTATCATGTGCCATAAATGAAGAGACAGAGACAAAGGAAAAGTCGACACATTGCACAAATCGATTATACAGACAAACAAGAACCAAACCATCATGTGTCATATCTTACTATCGTTTGGCTGCTTCAGGCGCACAACGCCCTGAAACATGTTAGTCAAGCTTTAGATCATCATGTCATTGCGTTCACTTGCCTCTTGGACGCAGGTTGCGACTAGTACCCCTTCTCGGGTAAATATTTTCTGGAACACAAGTCCACGTCCATCACCAGCCCAGGGTGACTCCATCTCCGAGTACAGCCAGTCATCTGCTCGGAACGCTCTTGGATTGTGGAAATATATGGTATGGTCCAAGCTGACCATCATGCCGATCATCGGATATTCTTTCACGATATTCTCGCCATTGCGAAGGCGTTGAATCGTACTCTCGTCCATGCCAGCTCTCTCCTTCAAGACGCGGTCATCGAGCGATAGAAGTTTCTTCAGTGTCATTTCGTCGACCGTCGACTGTCTGTCACTTCGCGAACCGGTGGCCCATCGCCAAAGCTTGTGTACTCTTGCCACTGTCCCAATGAAGTAGCTGTCCGACATGTAGGCGAGTGCAGATAGATGGGCTTGGTGGCCGCCTTCTTTTGAGATGTTTCCTGCAACTTTTGTCCATTGTCTGGTCCGTTTGATCGTCGGATCGTATGAGTCGTCTAGTACAATCAGTAGGTGGCCCTTGGAAGTATTCTTGTCCGTCTAACTCCTTCACTAACCATTTAAGATATCAATTCGCTGGCTCTGGAACGGTCCTTGCTCCCCAGGTCCACCGCCAGATCTAAGGTCGTCTGTGTCATCCTTTGGTGGTGGGACGCGAGCCATGCTGGACTGGTGCTCGACTCTCTTTGTCCCCCCTGAGTTATTTCTTGCAAAGCTCATGGTAGTCGTGAAGATGACCTTGGCTCTCTGACGTGCTTGCACTGTTCGGGTGATGAAGGACCTTCCATCTCTCACTCTCTCGACATGATATATGACGGGAATCTCAGCGTTGCCGGCCATGACGAAGTAACAGTGCATCGAATGAATGGCATAGTCGTCGGGAACTGTCCTTTGCGCAGCACTCAGGCATTGCGCAACTGTTCTTCGCAGTTAGAACATGTTATTCAAGGCTCTCTCGGTAGTGAAGGCATACTAGCAGCGCCGCCATATATACCTCTTGCACCTTTTGGTGTCCACAACGGTCGGGTATTCGTGAAGAGGTTGGGATCGATATCATTGAGCTGCGTCAGTTCGAGTACATTTTCGATGGGAGATTTAGCTGGGTCGATTGGTGGAGGCTTGACAAGGGTGGTCATGATGGGCAGAGAGGGAAGGGTTGCACGACAGGAGGATTGTGCAGAGATGTATGAACGTCAATGGGTATGATATGAAATATATGAAAACCGCGTGGTGAGGCTTCTTTACACGCTCTCTGTAAACATTGGCTCATCGATATGAGACGGGATGTCCGACCATAATTAATACGTAGCATCATCTCATCTCTCAACGCGTCTCCGAGACGGACGGACGTGAACCACGCTGGAGCCCGGTCATGGAGCCGAGGTCTAAGACCTTGGCTGCTCGGGTTGGGCATGATGGATTGTTTTAAGCCCGGGCGCCGGCCGGTGTGGGCGAGCGTGCGCCCTCCCGCCCGACTACTGGCCCCCTACCTACAGTCGAAGTAAAAGTACTGTACCTGACGTGCCCAGGTGGCGGCGGCCCGGGTAAGGTGCGTGGTGGGTGCACTCGGGCTTCTCCAAGTACAGTATTACCGTAGCCAGGATCCTACTGTATTACTGGGCAGGTGAGGTGGTCTGAGCCCTGAGATGGATCGTGTCGCAGGCTGTATAGAATGCTCTCGTCCAAACAGTCGTGGCTTGCAACCTCAGGCAGCGAACATCTAGATGCCCCAATAAGACACCCATCAATACCTCCAAACAGATAATCCTCGTGCATTCCATGCATAACTATACATTTGACCTTGACAAGTGGTAATCGTTCTTGGATGATAGCCGATAATAGGAAGTGATAGTAATTAGCTGATGATAGGCGCCGTCTCCAGGAACATTCATATCGGGCTAGCCTGACAAACGCCGTGTGCTCTCCCGTGAGCGCCCCCCACTGCGTCATTCGAAGGAAGCCGTCCAAGGTTGCAGGCGATGTGGCATTGTGAAGTCTGCTTGAACATTCAAGACAAATATTTCGTAAACATCGCGTTTCTGTGGCTAAGACCGTCTGAGCAATCGCATACATCCGCTTGCTTGCACAAACTACTCCCTTCCCCCGCCTGGGATGAATCACCATTCGCGCCTCTGACGTGAAACCCACATCTACAAACAGCGCCTTGGACAGTCGCGTGGGCAATCGCCATTATGGCGGAGTCACATCCAGAGCTAGAACGAAAGCTTCAAGAGCTAGATCATGAACTAGAGGTAAGCAACAATGCCATCTACCTTCAAGAGGCTGCTCCGTGTCTCCTGGCGCACTGCACAATATTGACCTTATTCGCTTTCGCAGGACGGTGATATCACACGAAAAGGGTACATGATATTCCCCTCCCGAAGTTCAGTTGCAGTACGCTGATGCGCCGATTCTTAGATATGAGAAACGTCGTACCATCCTCCTATCCCAATTTCTCGGGCCTGGCATCCCACAACCTCCGGTAGACATCCAGGTACAGCCTGCAGAAGATGACGGCGCTTCATACGATGGACAATCCGTGGCTCCTCTGCGTACTTCCAGTATGATATCGTCTCAATCACAGTATGCACAGAATCCGCAGTATGCGCAGCAACCACAGTATGCACATCAATCGCAGTACGCTCCGCAGAACCAGGGACCATACGGTGGACGACAGTCTTCGGGCGAATACATGGCATACCCTCCAAGTCAAGTCGGCAGGTTTCAGGAGCGCCAGCTAGGAATTCGGAACAATAGCATGCAAAGTCAGAGGCAATCCTCGTTCGGCGGCTCTGTCACACCAGACACATTCCAGTATTCAAGAGAAGGTACCATGGTAAACTCGGATTATGCTTTCAACCCCGCGAACGAACCAGGCTACCAAGACCACGGGGGAGACAGTAGTCGGATGAGCACAATGCTCGAGTCTCAGCAGGGTTACTTCTCCGACTTTGCAGGTCAACAAGCGCAGGAGCCTCGAGAAAGCTATGGGGGACCTAACAGATATTCCACAGGAGACGCCTTTTCACCTACAGCAGCAGTTCCACCACCAATGCTTGATCAATACGATCTTCCTTCCATCGAGTGCCAACTACCTTTGGAGCCCAGAGACGTACCGTTCGCGGTCAATGATCCACATAATGCAGGTGTACCGATGGCCAAGTTTGATAATCTCGCGGCAGTCTTGCGTCACCGAGGACGCACGAACCAGAAGCAGACAGCATATTGGGTAATAGATCCGAAGGGTAAAGAGACGCAGTCGATCACATGGGAAAAGCTTGCCAGTCGTGCGGAAAAAGTCGCCAAAGTCATCAGAGACAAGAGCAATCTATATCGCGGCGATCGTGTAGCGCTTGTGTACAGGGACAATGAAATCATTGATTTCGCCGTTGCGCTACTCGGGTGCTTCATCGCTGGAGTTGTGGCTGTTCCCATGAATAGCGTTGACGACTACCAGAAGCTGAGCCTCCTACTGACAACTACGCAAGCCCATCTCGCTCTGACAACGGAGAACAACCTGAAGGCATTCCATCGAGACATAAGCCAGAATCGACTCAAGTGGCCGACCGGCGTCGAGTGGTGGAAGACCAATGAATTCGGCTCCTATCAGCCCAGGAAACATGACGACGTACCTCCTTTACAAGTACCGGATCTGGCTTATATTGAGTTCTCTCGTGCCCCAACTGGTGACCTTCGAGGTGTAGTATTGAGTCATCGAACCATTATGCATCAGATGGCATGCATGAGTGCAATCATATCAACAATCCCAACAACTGGCTCTGCAAGTAAAGATACATTTAATACGACATTGCGGGATAGAAACGGAAACCTGATCAACACAGCCGGCGCTCCAAAGTCATCTGGTGCGGAGGTTATTATGAGTTATCTGGACCCGAGGGAGGGAGCGGGACTCATCATGGGTGTACTACTAGGTGTGTACGGAGGGCATACCACTGTGTGGATGGAAGCACGAACTGTAGAAACACCCGGGCTTTACGCTTATTTGATATCGAAATATAGAACGACCATCATTGTGGGCGACTATCCTGGCCTAAAACGATCTGCGTACAATTACCAACAGGATCCGATGGCCACACGTAACTTCAAGAAGAACATGGAACCAAACTTTGCCACTCTCAAAATTTGCCTTATCGACACTCTCACAGTCGACTCCGAATTTCACGAAGTCTTGGGGGATCGATGGCTGAAGCCATTGCGAAATCCTCGTGGAAAAGAGCTTGTTGCTCCGATGCTCTGTCTGCCCGAGCACGGTGGGATGATAATCTCTGTTCGAGACTGGCTTGGTGGTGAGGAACGCATGGGATGTCCACTGAGCGAGGACGAGCCTCAGGAAGTTGAAGTGGACACGACAGAAGCACCACCAAGTGTTTCGAATGGATACTCTAGTCTCATCGGAGGGGGTACAGTAAAGAAAGCGACCAAACCCAAGAGCAGGACTGAACTCAGCGAGATTCTCTTGGACAAAGAAGCATTGAAAACGAACGAAATTATTGTCATCGCTATGGGCGATGAAGCTCGAAAACGAGCGAACGAGCCTGGAACTTTGCGCGTTGGTGCTTTTGGGTATCCTATTCCGGATGCCACTTTAGCACTAGTTGATCCAGAGACAAGCTTACTATGCGCTCCGTACACGATTGGAGAGATCTGGGTCGATTCGCCATCCTTGTCCGGTGGTTTCTGGGCTTTACCAAAGCACACCGAAACTATTTTCCACGCGCGTCCATACCGTTTCATGGAAGGTAATCCCACTCCTGTACTCGTCGAACCTGAATTCCTACGCACTGGTCTCCTTGGATGTATCGTCGAAGGCAAGATATTTGTGCTAGGCTTGTACGAAGACCGCATCAGGCAAAGGGTGGAGTGGATGGAACACGGTGAAATGGCCGAACATCGATACTTTTTCGTACAACACCTTGTTCTCAGCATCATGAAGACTGTGCCGAAAATATATGACTGGTAAGAACTCCGACTTGATATATTGCGACCTACTTACGAGTATAGCTCTGCCTTCGACTCGCATGTGAATGGAGAATACCTACCCATCATCCTGATCGAGACGCAAGCTGCGTCTACTGCGCCGACCACAGCAGGTGGTCCCCCACGACAGCTGGACATCCCGTTCCTGGAATCTTTATCGGACCGTGTGATTGAAGTGCTCTATTCAGAGCACCATCTCCGAGTGTACTGCGTCATGATAACTGCTCCCAACACATTGCCCCGTGTCGTCAAGAATGGACGTAGAGAAATTGGTAACATGCTTTGCCGCAGGGAGTTCGAAAGTGGATCGCTCCCCTGCGTACACGTAAAGTTTGGTATCGAAAAGGCGGTACAAAACCTACCCCTTGGTGATGATCCACAAGGTGGCATATTCAGCCCGCTCTCATCGCAAACGCGCCAGGACTACGTGATGATGCAAGATAAGCAGTATTCGGGCGTTGATTATCGTGAGGTAGTCATTGACGATCGAACCTCTACACCACTCAATAAGTTCACCAACATTCACGATCTTATGCAATGGCGAGTCTCCAGACAGGCCGAGGAACTGGCCTATTGCACTGTAGATGGGCGTGGGAAAGAAGGTAAAGGCGTAAATTGGCGAAAATTCGACCTCAAGGTAGCCGCCGTAGCCCTATACCTGAAGAATAAGGTCAAAGTGCGGCCTGGTGATCACCTCGTTCTTATGTACACTCACTCAGAGGACTTCGTGTTCGCGGTACATGCTTGCTGGGTCTTGGGTGCTATCGTCATTCCTATGGCACCAATCGATCAAAATCGGCTAAACGAGGACGCACCAGCACTCTTACACATGATCTCTGACTTCAAGGTCAAAGCAATACTGGTCAACGCAGACGTGGACCATCTCCTAAAAACAAAGGCAGTCTCACAGCATGTAAAACAGTCCGCAATGATTCTGAAGATATCGTTGCCTAACATCTACAACACCACAAAACCACCAAAGCAATCGAGTGGCTGTCGCGAGCATAAACTCACCATGCAAACAGCCTGGGTGCAGTCCGGGTATCCTGCACTCATTTGGACGTACTGGACTCCCGATCAACGACGAATGGCTGTCCAGATGAACCACGACACCTTAATGGCTTTATGTAAGGTACAGAAAGAAACTTGTCAAATGACGAGCACGAGACCTGTGCTAGGGTGCGTCCGTAGTACGATCGGTCTTGGCTTTATTCACACCTGCCTCATGGGCATTTTCCTAGGTATGTCGTCTCAAGCCGCTTATGAACTAATACTCACGTGAAATAGCTGCCCCTACATATCTTGTATCTCCTGTCGACTTCGCCGCAAACCCTCAAATCCTTTTCCAAACACTCTCCAGATATAAGATCAAGGACACATACGCGACGAGCCAGATGTTGGACCATGCGATTGGCCATGGGGCTGGTAAGAACACTGGTCTGCACGAACTCCGCAACCTCATGATTTCGACCGACGGGCGACCGCGTGCTGAGGTATATCAAAAAGTCCGGCTTCATTTTGCAGGTGCAGGTCTGGACAGGACTGCTATCAACACGATCTACTCACATGTCTTAAACCCTATGGTAGCCTCTCGGTCATACATGTGTATTGAACCCATCGAGTTGTGGCTAGACATGAATATGCTGCGGCGCGGCCTTGTTGTGCCTGTGGATCCAGATACGGAACCATTCGCGCTACTCGTCCAGGATTCAGGCATGGTACCTGTCAGTACACAGCTTGCCATTGTAAATCCAGAAACCAATCGTCTTTGCTTGGTTGGCGAATACGGCGAGATTTGGGTACAGTCGGAGGCGAACGCACACTGCTTCTATGGAAGCAAAGACCCCATCGATTATGAAAGGCTGAACGGCAGAACAGTCGATGGCGATCCAGAAGTTCGCTATGTGCGGACAGGTGACCTTGGGTTCCTGCACAACGTGAGCAGGCCTATTGGACCGAACGGCGGCATGGTTGAAATGCAAGTGCTGTTCGTACTTGGTGCTATTGGGGACACATTCGAAGTCAATGGCTTAAATCACTTTGCAATGGATATTGAGCTGAGCGTCGAGAAATGCCACCGGAATATAGTTCCGAATGGATGGTAAGTCCACTACAACTCGAATTTTTGTCTGCCTACTTACATGATTCGCAGTGCTGTCATTCAAGCTGGCGGCCTTGTCGTTCTTCTTGTAGAGATTGTGCGCAAAAACTTTCTCGCCTCCCTCGTCCCGGTCATTGTGAACGCTGTGCTCAATGAACACCACCTTGTCACCGACATTGTTGCCTTTGTGGGGAAAGGGGATTTCCCTCGCTCGCGCCTCGGTGAAAAGCAGCGCAGCAAGATCCTCGCGTCTTGGGTCACGCGTAAAATGCGGACTATCGCTCAATTCGCAATCCGCGATCCAGATATGGACGTGAGCCAGATCACTGAAATACCAGAAGGGCGCACCCTGACTATGCAGAGTCGTACTCCTACAGGCCTCGCAAGTATGAAGCGCCCAAGCAGTTTGAAACACGAGCTTGCCGCAAACTCCATGTCACCTGGGTCGATCAATTTACCTCCAGGAATAGCAGAGATGCCTACCTCATATCAAGAATCCATCGCCGAGCTACCTGATAACGAACGTGGTGGTGTGACACCGACGGAAAACACCCGCAAAGAGTTTCTCAACTCAGAGCAACAGCTGCACCACGATTCCATAGGTGTCGCGATGAGCGAGCATGACCCACTAGTCGATACCTCGGTCGCTGCGGATACAGCTTCTGCTGCACTACATCGGCGACCGGTGCCTGGAAGAGCTATGTCCTCTGAATACGCGAGAACCGGCGAAGCATCTGCTACCTTCGACCCCAGCATTCCCGCAATGTTGCAGCCACAGGTACCGCGAAGCTATGCCCCGAATCAGGATGGCCATCATCTAGGCCAAGGCTACAACGATCAGCCAGAGTTCACGCCAGGGGACGATGCTAGCCCAGACCCAAACTACGCAAGCAAGCCGTTTCTAGACGTCGAATTCGATCATGAGAAGCGGAAGAGTGGCGAGAGCGAGGACTGGCCGCAGGAGGCACTGGGATACATGAGTCTGGGCAACCCATCGTCTCGGTCTTAGGTATATAGAGCTGGTCGGAGGGAGAGAGATATTCTGTGTTCTTGCATACATGGTCGTGTATATCTAGGGATGATAATTGGCGGGTCTCGTGCAAATAATGGCGACTTGATGGGTTGTTTCAACGGTGGTTGTGTAATAATTGAATGGCTTCAGCTTTCATTGCCTGTGTTGATCTTTGTCACGGGGCACATGGGCTCGCGATTAGAAGTCGGTTCTTTCATTGATCCATTCATCAGCAAGTCTGACTAGAGTATATTGTTGAAAGTAGCCTCAGGAGACCAGAGGCTGACGTTATGGCCCGAGAATTAAGGCACCATCAATAATTTATATTTAGAATCACTAGCGCGACTCCAACAGAGCGACTAAACTCGGTGTCCTACATCACGTCTCGCTTCTAATCCATCCTACACCTTCGCATACATTCCTGTTAGCATGCGTTTTCGAGAGCAGAATAGCCTAGATCCTCGCTTTTCCTACTGTGAATATCACTACGAGACGCGTTACCGGCCGACGTTTTTCAGTCTACGCCTCTCTCGCCAGTGTCGAAAAACTCTAGACTACGAATGGCTTAAGTGGGTTTTACGGTTGGTTTTGCACCTGTTTGTTTTATGCTGGAGCCATGTTCTACTTCAAAGTATGAAAGGATCCATCGAGTCTTTATTTAGACTCTCAACGCCTTCAATCTAGGCCCATACGGTCGAAACGTCTTGTTTGACAATACGACCCCCGCTCTTCGCTTGGCTGTTTGAGATCCTAGTAGAGATGTTGTTGTAATATGTCAAAGCTGGAGAAATCCTACTGAACGGATTTGATCCTTGCACCCCCCAAACAGACCAGCTCGGCCCTATCACAGAGGCTGCACGGGGGTTGGAGTCCTGGAGTGTTGTATATTCGTTCCTGAATCCACAGTTTCAAGAGTCATGTGGTACGTACCGTAGAAGATTGCCGTGCCGTCGAAACTCGGCCGTTCTTGGAAGTGATGATTCACTGCGAAACTACCGAACGTTGAACATGTCTGGTACGCTCTGCTGTGGTACGGGAATTGGGTGGTCTATTTGATACGTACTAAAGAGCGTGGGTAGACTTGTTCTTCGACTACCATCGCATAGCTTATTTCTACCTACCACCGTTCATTTCTAGACAATTCGCTCTGGCAGCACACAGTTATCAAGAGCATTGATTGCTTCTATTTCATTAATCATCTATTACGACTCTCTTCTTTTGATAAACATCACTATGGAGCACAAAGGCGTCTTTCGCAATATATGTCAAGGCGACGGAAAGGGAGCTTACGTCGTCGCACGAGGGCACTCATATTGTCCATACGAATCCGCCTCCGCGCCAGAGAGTCCACGAACACCGCGAACCTCCAACAGCCAATTCACAGACAAAGACAGCACACTCTACGAAGAATCAGTCTACGAATGCGAGCGAAGATGTCCAGCCAGACGAGCACCAACGATCGTCGTGCACGCAATCGTCTTCCTCGCCTACTCAACACTACTAACAGTCCTAGTAATGGCAGCAATGAGCAAACCAGACTGCGAACAATGCATAATGTACAACTGTAAATCCCGCCCCCCCCCCCAAATCCCTCCCCAAAGCAAAGCCTCACAGCACCCAGCACCAGCAAAGAACCTAGTAAACTACAAGCTCCAATCCACCTCGCAATACGACCTCGCAACAGACATCTACGCCGGCCACCCCCGCCCCGAACTCGAAGCAGCATGGTCCATCCTCCTCGAGCCCACCAACCTCCGCCTCACCGAATCCGAAGTCCACGCCGTAAACCGCCTCGACAACGCCATCGCCCTCCCCGACGGCGGCTACGCCGGCTCCCTCAACATCTTCCACGAACTCCACTGCGTCGTACGTCTCCCCCCTGCCCTCCCAACCACATTCTAACCCACCCGCGTACTAACCAGGACGCCATCCAGCGCTGGCTCCACACACAACTATATGCTTCCACGTACTTTCCGCATCTCAACGAGACGGATAGGGCTCGACAGCGGTTTCGCACGGAACAGTGCCTTACTAGTCTTCGGAAGGCGGCACTTTGCCATGCGGATGTTGGCGTGGTGACGTATAATTGGGATGGGGAGGCGGGGGGGCCGAGGGCGCGGGCGGAGTATCAGTGTGCGGATATGGGGCCTTTGTTGGAGTGGGCGGAGGGGCGGAGGGTGGAGGTGGAGGGGGTTGGGGAGGGGGATGGGGGGTATTCGGTGCTTGGTGAGTTTTCTTTCGGGGGGGGGTCTGGTGTCTGCTTTGTTGGGGATGTGGTGTGCTGATTTTTGGTGTTGTAGGTGAAGTTGTGACTTCCTCTGGCGAGGAGGGTTTGAGGCAGCTGATGCAGGAGGGTCTAGGGGTGGTGAGGAAGGGTGTGAGTATTATGAGGTGAATGTCTTTCTTGACAGGTGCTGGTTCTTCTATTTATTATCGTCATTCTTTCGATGTTCTTGAACGTTCAAGCTCTGCGGAGTCTTCTATGGCTTTGCCAATCATTTATTTCTTCTTCTAGCCTTTATGTGGCATTATGGGGGGGCTTGTAGGGCTTTGGGGGTATTTTGACGGGTATCTTATGGTTAAATGTTGGTAAGTTTTTGGGTTGGCGTGTATGAGACTTAGGCTGGGATTGAGTCGATTGCTTGATAGAGTTTGTTCATCAAAGAGCCATGATCATATGCTACTCTAGCCGTCTTCGCTGCAAGTAACAGTGGTCTCTGTCGAGTATCTATCATACATGGTTCGGCCTTAAATCCATCCTCTCATGAACGTAAGGTTTAAGCATACGATAGTCCTGAGCACCTCGCTAACATTAAAGACACAGTATCGAAGCATCAAAACACAACCTCTTGAAATCAAAAAAACAAAACTTCAATTCGCCGGGGAGACACTGGCATCGAAAAACACAGACACGCATTCAGGCATACGAAAAAGGGCACAGCACAGCCTAGCGCGTCAAACAGTAGCCAAGTCTGCAAAACACGTTGTTCAACCACGTTCTCGCCACTCACAACACCTATTCGGGAACTTCTGCCTGGCTCCAGGCACATCCAGGAGTAAAGTTGCCTAGTCCACTGTAACAGAATCTGCCACAGTCATGCACCATGTACCCCAAAGCAATACTCTTCTTCTCTGTATTTCCCTAAACCCGCTGTGATTCGTGAAAAGGAGCCCGCCAACGGCTTCGTTCTTCGCCGCCTACATTCCTGCGGAACGTTGAACAATGTCAACTGACATATGCCTGAAACCCCTACTTGGCCACTCTGGTGGCGAACGCGCGCATCGTCAGGACACAATGCTCAATTGTGGTGTTTCTGGCCAGGGGCGGGTATCTGAGGAGGTGTATAAGGATGTCTGACCTGCTGGCCTGTTGATTGGGGTTATTTCTTGATACACCGCACACTAACTTGCAAATACTACAGCTATCATCATACAAGACATACGATCCCAGCACGCCAGGCTCAAAAGCACGAAGCAGGAGAGCTAGGAACGATGGCATATGACGAGCCCGATGATATCGTTGATTATGGGATGGACAGCGAGGATGACGGAGCGTCGGGAATCCAATACATTGGCGAAGTGCCAGAGTCAGATATCGAACCTGGCCATGAAGTAAGCCATCGAGTTCCTTCGTCCTTGAACCAAGCTGCCCAACTTCCTGGAGACTGGCATGGGGATGACATAGAGCCGACAATCCAATCCATTGGCGAAGCGCCAGAGTCAGATTTCGAACTTGGCCACGAAGAAAGCGATCAAATTATCTCGTCTAGGAGCCCGGACGCCCAAGGTCATGTAGACTGGTTTGGGGATGACTACCGTCATCAAGCTCGATCCGACCCGCAAGAAGGATATACTTTGATCGGACAAGCCGGACCTGGCCATCAAGAAACCCATCCAATTCTCTCGCTTGGGAATCCAGACCCCCAGGGTCCTGTAGAATGCCGTGGGGATGACCACCGCAATAAAGATCCATTCTACCAGCAAGAAGGATATTCTTCGATCGGACAAGCCGGACCTGGCCATCAAGAAACCCATCCAATTCTCCCGCCTGGGAACCAAGAGCCCCAAAGTCCTGGACCTGGGGTTCCGTATGACTTCACCTATGGAACTCCACCCAACCCGCAAGAAGGATATAC